CCCATCCTAAAAAGGAAGAAGGAAAAAAAAGTCCCAGCTAGCATCACACACGGCTGGCCAGGGCCTCGGCAGCAGTCCACTTGTCTGCTCTCCCCTCCGCAGAGCCTTCACGAGAGATGGGAGGAATACTAAGAGAGCAGGCATAGATTTTCTGCTGGGGGGTGGAGGAAGAGAGGGCTGTTGGAGAGTGGTGGGGTTGACTGCCCACATCAAACTCCCCTCCTTTTCTCTCTCACCCCTCTCCTTTTCTCCTCCTCTCCTTCTCATCTGCCTGACTCTGGAGGGACCCTCTGTTTGTCAGCCAGGCAGTGGAGCGTCTCCCTCTAACCCCACCTTCTCCTCGTTTGCTGTCTTTTTCCCTTTTCTTCCTCGCTTTCCCTCTTTGTGTCTCTCTCTAAATCTCCACTTCCCTTTTGTCTTTTTACACTCCTCGTCTCTAGCTTTCCTCAGGTCTGGTTAACAGCCTCTTCACTTTCCCTTTAAGTAGAGCCTTTTGATAAAGTCAATAAAGGGGCGAGACAGCGTGAGATACGATAGCTGGTGTTAAACAAGGTGGATCAGCTTTGCTCTCGTTCACCTCAAAGTGTTGGGGGGGAGAGTTTGGGAATTAATTTGCTGTGAAAAAATGTTGTTCAGAAAAAAATCTGTGTGAATTGGTGTTTGCAAGTTGGCAAATGAGAGACACAGAAAGAGGCTTCAGTGCCCAAAATGTGTCTAAATGGCAGTGTAACTTTGTTGAGTTGCAAGAACTTCAATTGCCTAATTGTTTCCAAAGATATCATGTGGTTGAGAAAAAAAAGAAAAAAAAGCTATGAATGTGCAAGATAAAGAAATACTGTAAAAAAGTAGGCCTGGATCATTTCTGTAGCATGCTACTCCTCCTGGCTTTAGACTCACAGCTTGAGGCAATGTTAGCTGCTACTAATATGACTCAACACCTTCCTAATTTGCTTACAAGCAGAGCTGCATCATGGTGTTTTGTCCTTTTTTAAAGAACAGTAAGTACACGGTACAAAGTGGACAGCTTCTTGAAATCTTCTAGATTAAAATCAACCCATTTCCCCCCCTAATCACCAGAACTCACAATAGATCTAAAGCACTAAGAAATTTCTAAAAAAAAAAAGCTTATTTGGCAATATTCTGTCAATAACCTCATCTGATACTGTCTCTACGGTGAGGTGACAGGGATTTAAAATCACTGCTTACTTATCCACTTTGATTTTGTTGGTCTTATTTGCTTTTCCAGGTTACAAAGAGAAATCTGTATGAATTTCACTCTGCTTCATAAACAGACAAAAATTCCTCATCATAGCTTTAATGCAATGCTAAGTCAGTGAGTTTCTAGTTAATTTAATAAAATAAGCTACACTACATCAGTAAACCTACTATAGTTTCAGCTTTTTCCATTTGTTTTCAATATTTTTATTGGAAGTCTCTGTTGCTACTCTTGGTGACTATAATTTGTCTTTAACGCTCATATAGAGCTCACAGTAATATATTAAAGAGTTAATCCTGAAGGGAAAAACATTCTATAAATGTACATCTGAGATGCTGCATTTTTTTCATTTTTAGTTGAAAAGGGCAAAGACAGAAATCTGGCAGGTGGATGAAAACATCTTGAGCAATAAGAAGAAAATTTTGTCTGTTTTCCTCATTTGAAATATGTGACTCCCCAACTTTGTACCCTTATGTTTCCATCTATAGTTAACCATCATCATATCAATGGCAAACCTCTTTTACCTCAATCTTTACCTTTCTTCCTCTCCTACTTGTTTTCTTCCCCCCTGTTTTTTTCTCCTTCATTCCTAATCCATCCTCGGCCTGCCCATGTTTCCTCCACAAGCATGTAAAGATTAGAGAAAGAACATGGGGCTTTATTGATTTGTGAAACTGTGAGATGACAAGTTTGGTCTCAGATCTCCCTGTTTACATCTGATCTGCTGCAAACCGCTTGTGGTCTCATAGAGCGGTGGATAACAAGAACTAAGAGGGAAACAACACAAAGGTTTCCCTTTCCTGCTTTATTTTACCCTGTCAGTCTGCATGTAAAGGCATTCGTACACTTTATTATTATTTTCAATATTTTTGTCTGTTTCAAGTATACAATTGTTGAGGTATGTGTTTGTGAAAGAGCCAGAGGCTAGTTCATTGTGGCACACCAGAAAACTGCCAGGTCAGATTGAAGTAAATGCTGAAACAGAGGAGAGTGAGTAAGAGTGGCATTTTGGAGGAGGAGGAGGAGGAGGAGGAGGAGGAGGCTCCCGTGGATGAAATCCATCGTGCCTGCAGTTGTGGCCTGCAGCGGAGCGAGGGGATCATAAACTGCCACAACAAGGGAATCACCAGAGATAAAAGTCAAGTGTATGGCAATGATAAGATCATAGCACACACTTGTATATAATTAAAGGAAAGCCTCTCGATGAAGGCAGCCTGATCCCTGTTGCAGATCTGACAGTCTTTGAACACATTAGGCCTGACAGTATTTTTGATTCCCATTGTGTTGTCTTTTTGACCTTTGTCCTCTTAGTATGTTTCCATCCATCATTATTAGATGTGTGAATATTTTTCAAGGATTCTCTGCATCACTGGATGTCTCACTTTGTTTGATGGTGTCACTGAAATACAGAAATGAATGGAGAGGCCTGCCAAGGCTTGCAAAGTCACCAGGGAGCTTTTTCCAAACCAAATCCTGCATTGCATCTTTGTATCGCAACAACAAACTTCCTTCCTCTCCCTGCAGCTATTTACCTACCTTTCAAATCATGTCACCTTTCATTTCTCGCCATTGTTTTCAGCTGTCTTCTCGCATGACCCCTGCTCTCTCTTGAAATGTGCATGTGGATTTCTGGCAGCTTGTTTCTTTTTTTTATTTTTCCAACCAACATGCCACGATTCTATGATCTCTTTGAAGCCTCTCTGCATCGCTCTAAACATCTCGGGCAACATCAAAGACCACATATTACAGAGGGGCAAAGTTCAGCCGGCAGCAACTGTGATCCAAGCATCATCCCTCCTTTTCCCTTTTTCTCCTCTGTGTAGAAGAAGAAGCAAAAGGAGGAGGAAAGAGAGGAGGAGAAGAAGGAGGAGGAGGAGGACGCAGCTCCTCTTCCTGCGTTTGTGTCCATCATGTGTCATGGCTGCTCTCGGCTTTCATGTTCTGTCTGGCTGAGTCTCCTGCTCCAGCGGTCTCTGTTTCCTTGCTGAAAAATCGGTGTCCCTCAGAGGCAGAAGAGACGCTCTCTCTCCTCTGCATCCATTTCAGCTCGGCTCAGCGTAGCCGGGCTCTGTTCTCACCTTGCTGACACCAGCTCCTCAGGAGACACCTCGTCCCTGCATGGGCTCAGCTGGCTGACAGGCAGCTGTCCGTATGGATAAAGCAGGAGAGGACACACTGTAGTAGGCATTCACCATCACTGCCTGCTTTTCTAACACCTTTACTATTGCCTCCTCTTTGATTTAGATGCTTCTCCTGGAAGCATATCACGCTACCGGAAAAAGGGTGAAAAAACAACTTTGAGTCAAATAAAGTAATGTGTTCCTTTTATTATTTACTCCACGTAAGGTTTGATTTGATTTTTCTTTATTTTATCCAAAAATGTTTAAACAAAGCGCAGATACCCTTTTGTTTTTCTCTTTTTGAATAATTATACTCAAGTGCGGCTGTTCTTTCAGCTTGATATAGCCAACTTTATCCGAACACTCCAGTAATAGTCCATGTTTGAAAACCACAAGGAGGGAAAATCTTGTCACGGGGGCCCAAAACAAGCCAGAGGCTGATGAAGACAAATGTGAAAACACATGTTGGCAGAATTGCTTTTTGCTTGAGCGTGATCGGCTACGCTCAGGAGGGCGGAACCAGGAGTTTGTGATTTATAGTTTTGAGCTGTCCCCGGACCACCACTGTCTGCTGCCTCCCACTACTGTAATTACCATGTGTGTCTATTAGAATAGTCCTGCTGCCCACAATGCATCACCTCAGCCAACGGAGGAGAAGAGAGGAGACTGTGCAGAGATGGTTTTGTTATTCAAACAGTGTTTCTCCAAGAAAACATGATACACAGGAAAATAGGAGGGCAGAAATACACTGCGGATGATGTGATAAAGGTCAAAAAGAACAATGCTGAAAGGTGGAGAGGTATATTGAAGGTGAGAAAATGAGGACAGAAGCAGGTATCTTCCTACATGTATGACTTTATTTGGAACACATACAATCAGAGCTCAGGAATAAACTCAAAACACAGTCACAAAGTGTTGAGCCTTTTTGTATTTTGTGCTGCAGTGCTCCCGTTGATGTAATTCAGCTAATAACTTAAACAGCATCCAGGTTGTTTCCATGTTTTAATGCATCTTTGCCTGTGGGTTTCACAACATATTCAATCTTGTTTTACATTACAGGCCCTCCTACGTCTTATCTGCATCCCTCCTGACATCTCCAAAGTCTGCTTTGACTAAAGTGTGCCGGTCTGGATGCAGTTTGCTTTGCCTTGGGCCTTATAGCATCTCCTAGTGGGCAAACTGTCCGCTGTTTTCTCTCCCATGAAAATTAATGCCTTGAGTAATGGGATTCAGTCAATACCTTCAGGTACCTTGACAAATAAGAGAACTTGACGTCTTCTGTGCTTGTTTATATGCTGGATTTCTCTGCAGTGTTTCCATTATGGATCATTTTCCTCGGCTGTTTTATAGTCAGACTGTGTTCGCACAGACTTAAACAAAGCATTTACATCAGTCCGCATCAATTGCACTTGAGAGCTAATGAAGCATTTTATGTAGACTATCTGGATTTGTTTTCTTTCTCAAATGTACCGTTTTTTTTCCGTGTACCTTTAAAGGAACTGGATCACCTTTCCTTCTCTTCTTCACGAGAGCTCTGAAGCGATAATGAGACCTGGCACTGAGGTCTGGTCAGTGTCATTTATGCTGTAATTGGCCTAAGGGTGTAAAGGGCAGTCATGCATCAGAAAGGACAGAGAACTAAGTGGCTTACAATGACAGGACTGAGAAACGGACTTCGGGTTGAGGGTTTGCGTAAGACAGTTTCTGAGATGGTTTATGATAGAACATGTACACATGATGGCTACAAGAATACATTTGGACTATTACATAAATGAATTAATGCATTCATGACCCAAGGAGGGTTTTCATGCCATCGAAGTGCATATTGATATTTTTTGTCCCCAAACAAACACACTAATACCCTAATGTTTCAAACAAGGTTTTCTTAATGTCCTTCTTTCTACCACATAACCTCTGAGTGTAAAATCATTTGAAAGATAACTTGTCATGTAGAAATGTACCATCATTTAAAAAGTCCTAGTCTTTCATTTTCTTATTTAAACCTCTTCACAAGTCATGAGCAACTGAGCTGTAGCTGCTGGGAAAGCATTTTCATTAGATACTGGTAATGACTAATTTTATGGTTACAGTATACTGTTGTTAAAACATCCCTGTGTGGAGACAAAACTATGGACACCTGCAAATTTTCGCTTTATTTTCTGTGGATGTCCTGCTTTGAAAGAGTATTATATAGGGATAGACTGAGCCTCACAAGACATTTTGTAAATATAGAATATAGACTGCCTTGGATGTCTACCTCAAAATTGGTCAAACATCTGCAAAAAGATAAATACTTTATGGTACTGTTGGTTGCTGTAAAAAAAATTCTCTCAGTAGGAGATGGTCACCAGGAGATGCCAACTTTAAATGCATGAATGGAAATAACTGTGGATGTTCACAGCCTGGAGAGGATAACAGCCTCATAAACTGCCAATTCTCGTTAAAATAGATTGACTACATAACTGCCTGTTGTCCTTTTTTATTCTATTATTCGAAAAATAAATGTCTGTTTTGAAAAGATCGGATCACTCCCAGCCTATTTGTTGTTTTTTATATGCGTGTCCAGCTTATACCTGTTTTCCTGCTCCTCACCTCTGATAAGTGCTTTTTGGGACTGACTGCAAACAAATAGGTTTGAAATGTGAAGAGACTGATATTCGTTATTGAAATTTCTGCTAAATTTGGGTTGAAAATAAGAATTTAAAAAATGCTTCAACAAGTACTGTCTTCTCTGAAGTGATTATATGTTGGCAAAAAAAAAAAACAAAAAAAAAACTTTAAGGTCTTAATGTAAATGTAAGTAACATAAAAACTAAACACTTCATACATTCCACTGTTACCATAAACAAACTCTCCAAATTATATGAGACACAACAAAACAAGTACACTGAGGTTACACTGAATACAGGGCTGTGCTGTTCACGTTGATATCATTGCTCATTAGAACCATAAAAATGGTATCAACTGATCTCTGTGACCACAGGCTCAAGTGTTTCCAGCCGCATTTGTGAGCCATTGATTTCCATGGCTTATTAAAGGTGTGAGTATCTTACTATACAGAGAGATGTGAGCGCAGGATTACCGGGAAATAGGGGTATTGATTGGGTCAAGAAACAAGGGCTTACATTTCAAATATCACAAGGAAGACAGGAGAAAACAGATAACTGAAAAATAGAGGAAACCATTCTAACAAGTCCAAATTAATGTTTTTCATGTGCCATGTGTGAAGTATGTAAATGATATCTGAATTACACAAAGTAAATGTGATTAATATTTCAGATAAAGCTTTTTCGGATATGCAGAAATATAGATCTCTGTATTACTGTTTATCATATTACAAGGCAAAAAAGTCACTATGTTCTCAGGGCTTTGACAAAGGACTCATTCTCCTGCAACTTAATTAAACTGACTGCACAGGGCTTTACCCTTTTATTGCATTCAGACAGACCAGTCAACATAGGGAGACAGTATTATCATTGTACAAGTCAGTCTTTTTTTTTCTTAGGTTGTACTTGGTCAAAATGGCTCAGGGGCTCAAATATTGACTGGAAACCCTGTCCAGCCATTTTGTAAGAACTACTTTAACTCTCATCATTAGCATAAGGTTTTAAAATTACAGATATAGTTAACTTTCAGTTCTCCAGGCTTCATTCGAGCCTTTACAGTATTGAATGTTACTTCTACTCCTCTGTCTATGATAATGCATTTATCTTATAACACAGCATTTTTATTTATTTGCATCTACTGCTATCAAAAAATACCAGTTTTACCTATAAGAAGAAGAAAACGTAGAGAGAAACATACGATAAAAGAGTCAGATAAAGTCAAATAGCCTACTGTATACATTTGGCCGGACGGTTCATGTTTTTCATGTGTCGCACAACTGTCGCAGTCCACTAGATGGCAGTGTCGTCTTGTCTGCCATCTTGCCCTGCTCTGTGACGCAGTCCGGTACAAGGAAGCCAAAACACATTTTGGCGATCTTTCTGTTGGTCCATTTAGCCACATCTTGTTTCATCCTGAATGCAAAGCATAAATAGACATTTTTTTCACCATCACAAGGTAAGTTAATTTGCTCAGCTCATTTCGTGGCTTCCAACAGATGTTTTAACTGTATGTTTTTTACCGTAGTGATGCTAGTTTTTATGCCAGCTAGTAAGCTAGCTGTCAGCTGCCTCACTCAGACTGGTTGCTGTGTTTCTGCAGAGCTTTGCAGGTGTTTCTTCACGCGTCACACCTGGAGGAAAATGCCGTCGGACAGAGGAGGATTCTGGTCTCTTGCAGTAGTTGCAATCGTGGCCACAGCTGGATTTGCACAGGCGAAGGTAAAAATGCTGCTGCGAGATTCAGACTGATAGAAACCCTCAGTGGTGACAGTCATGATCTGTGGTTGAACATTATGTTCCTTTACACCCAGTGCTAATGTAGTTTAAGCGTTGGTGAGCCACAGCCTTAATCTAAAACTCTCTGCTAACACGTTTTATCAACATGTAAAGCAAAACAGAAACAGAAATTGTCATGTCATGTTGCAGTCTCCAAATGAAGCAAAGTTGAAAATTCAAAATACACTTAAATGACACTGACCATAACATTATGAACACCTGAGTGTCTAATACAGTTTACTAGATATTCTACTTTTACTACACTGCTTCAGTTTCATTTTTATACACAGTCAGGCAGATTATGATTGTTTTTTTGTTCATTGTTTAGGTTGTTTCCAATATTTTCTACCCTTTGTGTTTGTGGACAAAGTAAAACACACTCAAGTACATACCACCACCTCTCACTTTGTCTTCAATAATAAGGAAAAATCATAACTATGTCACACAGTGAATACTGTAGTAAAAATTCTATAGATGATCTGTAACATTAAACCCTTAAGTTTGCTGAGTCTGGCTGCACTCTGACAAAATTATCCTCGCTATTACAGAGCTTTGAGGATGTTCGCTGCAAGTGCATCTGCCCACCGTACCGAAATATCACTGGCCACATATATAACAGAAATGTTTCCCAAAAGGACTGGTAAGAAGAACCTTTATCTTGTTCTGAACCCCAAAACAAACTGTATAACATTTTATCAACTCTTAACCACTCATATGTAACTAAAGCACAGAATCGGGCCTTCAAACCCAATCACTTTTATTTATCAATGTTTTTTTGCACCCTTTGTCTTTTACAGTAACTGCCTCCATGTAGTGGAGCCCATGCCGGTGCCTGGCCATGACGTGGAAGCTTACTGCTTGTTGTGCGAGTGCAAGTATGAGGAACGGAGCAGTAACACCATCAAGGTACCACCTACTCTCCTTGGGGCTCTGACTTTTGGCCTCATTTAGTCTGTATTATTGATCACACTAACCAAGATTAACAGAGTAGGCGTGATTATGTTGCACAAAACAGTCAAAACATTAACGCCTTCATCTTAGATCCTCAGCTGATACAAATGGAAAAAAGTTTCTTATAAGAGATGTTTGCTAAAGTTAACTTTAGATTTCATGGATGTTTAATTTCTGGAAAAAAATAGAATAAAAAAACAAGATATATTACACATCATGTTACACAAAATATTATTACAAATATTACACAAAATAAATAAAGGTTACAAAAATTGCAGGTTTTGTTTGATAATAATTCTGTCTGAACTTCTCCATTCTGTGTGCTCCAGGTGACGATCATCATTTACCTGTCCGTTGTGGGTGCACTGCTGCTCTACATGCTCTTCCTTTTACTTGTTGATCCTCTCATCCGCAAACATGACCCCTACACCCAGCCGCTGCACAATGAGGAGGATGCAGAGGTAACCATTGACTCAGAAATATTAATTGCAATTATTTCACTTCACTTATACTTTTAAATCTGGATTAATTTATGCTTCGTGGCATGTTTGTGTGTACATGTTCAGGAAATGCGTCCCCAGGTGGACAGTGCCCAGGCCAGAGGAAACACGGTGCTGGAGCGGGTTGAAGGAGCACAGCAGCGCTGGAAAAAGCAGGTCCAAGAACAGCGCAAGACTGTTTTTGACCGCCACAAGATGCTTAGCTAAACAAGAAGCGGCACACCTCAGACCAGGTTTAGAGGAGGTAACTTCCCTGGGCTTTCTGCGACACTTTCACCAGCTGCTTTATACCCGACTTCTTTCACTTTCTGTGCTTTGCACCATTTACACCAGTATTTCCTCCACAAAAATATTCAACCGCTCACACAAAGATCCTGTTCATTTATTATATGTACTTTTTAGACTTAATTGCAGTTTTGAAGAAACTGCGTGTTAGTGCACTCTTAATTTTTGAAAAAACATCTCAATCATTTCAGCAATTAGCAATGCAACCAACTTTGAATGTCTCCATAAAGGAAAATGTCTGCCCATTTAGTCGCATTGTGAATAGCTTCTGTGCTAATATCTTGCTCTCTGCTGGTTTAGTTGGTTTCACACAAAGTATTTTCTCTCAAAGCATAATTAAGGAGGTTACCTCAGGACAGGCAGACTGAACATATTTGAAGGATCAGTTAAAGAATACCAACCCATGTGCACTCTTGCCAAGCATTGGACATTTCTAGTCAAGTGCTAAAATGATTTATAGCACTTATTTATATCTTTGATTTCTCTCCATTAATGTGATTTGAACTGGAGCATTTTTGGTATTGTTTGCATTAAAACAGTTATTAAAAGACTGTAAATTTTTGTTTTGCGATTTAAACGCTTTGATAAAGCTACTTTTAAGTTATGCGGCACCAACATGTGCCTTTTCTTTTCCTCTCTTTGTGTGGGGCAGGAAGTTGCAGCAAAAGATGCTTTTACACCGTTAACTAGGAATAAGTCAAGGGGATAGAGGGGAAACTGAGAAGAGCCATCTCAGAGTCTAAACTTGGCTGCCCCCTTTGAGAACTGTAGTAAGAACATGGGTGCACAGTCAAAGTACTAAACCAAATTAGTACCCTGAGCCCAAAAGATTTTAAAGTTTTTGGACTTTACGTTAGGAGAATGCTGTGATCCACTAAATGTAATGTGGATAATAGTGTAAAGCCACATTTCTGTTATGTATTCTTCAGTTTTCGTAACATTCGCATACAAAGAGAGAAATGGAGAAGAGAGCATTTAACAGAGTATAAAACTGTATTTAGCTGAATCAGATCTCTGCCACTGGAGAATGTCCCAGATCAGTAAAGCTGCTGCTACTGCAGTTCAGTGTGGCAGAATGAGGATGCCTTCCTGGCTTTTTAAAGAAACTGTTGTGTATCGTGAATTCCCCTCTCAGATCTCACCAAAGCTCTCTATGGAGAGAATTCTAATTGCGATGCATATGCACACTGTAAACTACTGAAGTTAATTTGCCTGCAATTGTTTGTTGAACCACTGAATTGTTTTAGATTGATTGAAGTATAATTTGTTCTCACTGGTTTCTGTGTTTTGTATTGGTATTTATTTCCAGAGTGGAGTATGGCACTGTTCATGTTATTTTTTTCATTCATCCTGATCTGAAATAAAAATGTACTTGAGTGTGAGATTGTGTTTTCAATTCATTTGATACTGATGATATCTATAGAGGGCAGGGCATTATCTATGACTAGCACTAGAGGGCGACAGAGCACACAAAATACATGCTCCCACCTTTCACTCTGCAAATGAACTACATAAAAATGATTGTCAAAGTAGTCTTTAAATTTGGTTTGTTGTTCACACTTTAGGAAATCAACAATTTGACCCCCGATTGAAGATGAGGGTTTTTAGTGAGATTTAATAATGCAGTATCATAGCTAGATAACTCTTTGTATAAATATGTACCAAAGACATGACTAGAATTCCGCACAAACTCAAAAAACGTGATGTTCTTGATTAAGATCTGTGAGTCATGTCTGAATTATTTCTTACAGTTTTATTTCATTAGAAAGAAGCTGGAGTAGTTTCTGTCATTTCCTTTGCATTTCTTATGTTGTAACCTAAATTATTCATCATTTTCACAAGTCCTACATGAACATTTCACTGAAATTTCTGTTGCACTTCAGTGTTTACATTTGCAAACACATTTTTTATTTATGTACAGTGTTTGTAAGTATCCATAACTGCTCATACAAGAGCATTTTGAGCCTAAGAGCTTCCCTGATGTGTCAGTAAAGTGATTATTAAATGCTTGATCGTACATCTTGGAGTATTGCACATAACCCTGGACTTCATTTCTTGCATGAAGGAAAAAGGGGAAGGAAATTTCCAAAAACCCATATTTTTCCTCTTCCTGATCGCTGTTTTTTCAGTTTGTGGGTCAGTAAGAGTCTCTAGCTGTAGAGTCTGTTTTGGAAGAGAGAGCAGGTTCAGGAGCTTGCAGTGATACTCTACTCCTACAAGACCCCCAAACCGGGTCTCTCCCCTTCTTTATGATCTCGGCTGCTTGCCTCTTGGCCCAGCTCCCCCCTAATGAGTCCACTGACTTCAATCCACCGCCTTCCACCCCCCTCACCACCACTCTTTTTACCATCCCCAAGCATGGCCCGTATTGGTTCACAGGCTAAATTTAAACTACAGCAGGGCCAACTGCTCCTCCAGCCTCTTTGGGCTCCTGTTATTTTTCCCCTCAGAGGGGGCTTTTTCTGTCAGAGGCCCTCAGCCAGGAGGAGAGGCCTGCGTGTGTGTGGCAGAACAAGTCTGAGGAAGAGGGGACTGGGGAAGGAGGGCGGCGGTGGAGCACACACACAAGATCTTCAGGTCTGGAACCCAGGGGCCCTCACAACTGGGAGTTACACCGAGCCTCCGTTTGGGATTATACTGTGAGAATATACACCTCTAAAGGAGTGGGAGCTTGTCTCAGGTGAGGGCGTCAAGATGGCGGCCAACGCAGACGCGGCCAAGCCGGTCATTATGAATGAAGAGGAGCTGAAGAGGAAGCAGAGGGAGAAGTTGAAGAAGCTACAGGCCACAGGAGGAAACCCTAGACCTGCCAGATCCCTCTTCATGTTCACCCTCAAAAACCCTTTTCGCAAGGCCTGCATCAACATAGTGGAGTGGAAGTATCCTTTCTATTATATATACGCACACACACACACACACACCTAGATATAAATGAAGGACCCAGCAGTCAGTAGACATTGGCTGAAAACACAGGTATCTTTGTGGTATCAAACTGAGCTGTGAGCTTGTAGTAGGAGTCTTGTTAAAAACAGGCAGCCTGTGTTGTATACACAGTGATTAGGCGTCTGCAAGCCAGTGAATTATCAACCAAAGACTGTGTCAAACATGCCAGAGCCAAGTCTCTCTCAAATCTGCGTTAAGGCGATCCCTAGAGTGTTAAGACTTTTGTTATGCATCTGGCAGCTCTGTGTCAAATTCAAGTTTATAGTCTTTGTATTCTCAAATGGAGGGCTTCAGCAGATCAGTTTACATGTGTTGGATAGATTCAATTGAATAGCATATCAGTAATAACATGTTAGTGTTATTTACATTCTGTGTCCAGAGTGGAAAAAGCTGATGTGAAATGCCTGAATAGAGAGAGGGGCTCGGTATATGAACAGAGGGCAGGCTGCTGAGTGATGTTTCAGCTCCTACAGGGGGATTCCTGCTTTATTCCTGGATGATACATGTTTCACACCCAAAATAGAATAAACAAATCATAAGAATGCAGCAACAATAGACATTTCTGAAAATAGGGCTGAGCACAGTGAGGGTTGAAAAGTATTTGTGGCTTTTTATAAAAGTATTTTTAAACTATTTTGAAAGTATTTTCATGTCATTTTATTCTTGTTCTTTTGAACTTTGTCCTCATTTGCTCGACCAGGGCTCGTGCTTTTTGTTGCTGCAGTTTAATCACATTGGTATGTTATTCTGTAATTGAGATCATGAGTGTGCTACTTAAAAAAAACAAATACAAATAGACAAAAATTCCTCCCTTTGCATTTGCAAAATCAACTCTCACAGAAAACTGAATGACAGATGTCTCTCTGTGAATCAAACCAGTTTTTTTTTCCTCTGATGATCTCTCTGTGTTAAACGGTTCAGTCATATTCTTGGGCTCTGCAGCTGTCATGCGGCATCACAGGGAGACATGATGCTGACCTGGCAGGGAAATTCTGAAAGAGAGCCCCCTATGGGCGAGAATGAAGCAGTACAGCGGACAAGATTACATTTACATTTGTGTAAAGGCTGTTATGGGGATGATGTTTCAGGGGCAGTTTTAGAGTTGTTGAAAAGCTTTATTTTACTTTTTATAACACAAGTAACACAAGCAACATAAAGTATTGCTTATAAGTGAGTGGTTATTACATCCTCATTAATTGTTTTAGTCTCTTTGTTATCACTACTGTGTTTCAGTGTCAGGTTTTTTTGTTACGATCCTAAATTTCTTCATTCAGAACCTTTGAGATCATCATCCTATTAACCATCTTTGCCAACTGTGTCGCCCTGGCTGTGTTCCTGCCCATGCCCGAAGAAGACAGTAATAACACCAACTCAAGCTTGGTGAGTGTGAGAACAAACACTCATCCATTCTCCTGTTTATGACTCAGAGGTTTAGAAAGACTTCTGACCCAGTGTACCAATACGGCAAATGTCTGCAGCTGTTCAACAGTTAGATTTGAATGCTTGATCACTGAGTGTTTCAGCTGGTCCGAGTGCCAACCCTCTGTGAGATGATTCAAGACACAGCTTAGGTCTTTATTTGGATCCCAGTATGAGTCTGCAGAAGACAATGTCATCAAGCTTATGTTGTTTTTGTTTGATCCCCTTGCTTTTACGAGGTATGGTCAAGAGTGACAGCAACACACACTTAAGCAGTAAAATTAGAAAATACCACAAATATGTATATGGAAAAGATCAGCTTAAATATTAACACACAAAAGGCTGGATTCCGAGAAGAAAATTTAAAGTTATTGATTTTTGCAGTTGGTCTTGTCTAGTGTAACTCTTCTCCTGTTAAACCCTTTCAGAATAGACACTGATTTGTCGAGGTTTCAGACAATGATGGTCCTAGAGAGATATTTGCTGAAATTTACTTCTGTTGAAACATTTTCCAGATAAAAACCAATGTTAGGGGCAGAGGCACCTGACAAATGTTGAACCTAGAGAACCCTGATTAATAACTCTTAAAGCTCTAACAAGGGACCTGCACTTTGTGTTCGTTTTTTGCGCCCAATTTTGACAGCAGATTTTGCCCTTTTCAACTTTTTTTTTCATTCATTTATTTATCTAAAACAAAACAAAAAAATCTCACCCTGCTTATCTTAACACACAAGTGTTTGATTCTACATAAGTCTTTGGCATGGAAAATAGAAAGATGCTGTTTTGGCAGGGTGCTGCTATCTGACACCTTGCCCACAGCAGTGATTTACAAGACCCTCAGTTACCATTTAAAAGTCTTAGTAAAACTTTAAAGTCTTCATAAAATTATTTTCCCTCAAAATTTCTTACTAATATATACATGTTCGTCAAAGACTTTTCTCAAACGTCATAGCTGGTGATTCACGGGCTCTTATGTTGACGTGGTGTAACCAAGCTCATGGCAGGTGTTTGGCACTTAATCTGCCACTGATGTGTTTCCAGGCTTTATTATATTTCAGGCCCGTAGGTGTGTGTTTACGCTGCTGTGAGTGCATGGATTGTGTGATTCAGGTCAAGACTGAAGGGGAGACAGAAATGTCTATGTAGTGAGAAAAGATGACTGTTTGCTCTTGCACAGTGTACACACATCTTGCCATGTCTGGATATTTGCTGATGTATTGGCACTGGGGTGATTTTATCGAGGAGGCTGGTTATGACAGACTTGATATGTGGATGGTGTCTCTGGGGGCCTGCAGACGGCTCAAATGTCAAATATAACACCCATCACTTTCTCTCCACCATTCAGTCAATACCCTACACACATCACAGGTTGAAGCTATCAATCTTGTAGTTATCCAACTTATTTCCCCACTCTCTAGAGAATTACAGTCTTTTGGTATCTGGACCTGAAACCCACCCCCGCCTCTTTAATATCTTTACTTTGGCTCACTTCAATAGCCCCCTCCTAGATCTTTCTTTCGTCTCACTGAGCCATTCCTTAGAGGTGAGGGATGTAAGAAGAGCTGGTCGACTTCAACCCCATGTTGCTGTTAGAAGTAGGTCGACATAAGCGACCTCACCCCACGGACGCAGGTGGATAGTGTAGAGTCCCTGAGGTCGACTCATGTAACCACATTTATATGAACTCACTACAGTGATACTGATAGGTTTCAGCGTAGATCTGCAGCTCTATCTGCATACAGCTCTGTGTTTGGTTTTAAAGACATCTTGTCACGTTTTGTCAGTTTACATTATCATCAGTGTATGAAAGCTTGGCCTTAAAGGATGTAATTGATTAGAGGCTTGAGGACTGCTGCTGGATAATTTAGAGTAACATTATTGATGTAATTATTTTAAGTGGGTCCAAGCAGGAATATACAGCAAAACATTTCTTATTTATTGCATACTTTACTTCGAATGAACTCCCCAAGTTCGCTGATACAAAAGTTTGGTCTTGATTTCCATCCAGCTCTTTTTATACTATTCACTCAGCACACCTTCTTCTCGCACAATACATGTTTTACATCAACAGAAGATTGTGTAGAAATATCCACTTTAGGTGTTTTGATGGTGACATAAAAAAGGGAAGCTGAGTACACTGACAAAATTACATTTCGTTTAATTTAATGGAGAAAATAGCACTTTTATTCAGTGTAACTGCTTTACAGGGATCCTTTAAGAAAATTGTGCCTTACTTTTTTCTGTCATTGCATTTTAGTTATATATAAGCCAGTTGCTGTTCTATATGAGCCAGTGGATGTGCAGCTGTATTTGGATTTCTAGAGTGTTTTCTGCTTCTGTCACAGTATGTTGGCTGCTCATTGTCTAATCTCAGACACTATTTTCCCATAAAGGTGATTATATCCCTCTCTTTGTTTGTTTGTCTGTCTGTCTAACTGCAGGAGAGTTTGGAGTATATCTTCCTTATCATTTTCACGTTAGAGTGCTTTCTGAAGATAGTGGCGTATGGGCTCGTGTTCCATGAAGGCGCCTATTTACGGAACTGTTGGAACATTTTGGACTTTGTCATCGTCTTCATGGGGTAAGATGAGCTCTGAGCTGCAGGTTGGATATCTAAGAAACTGCAGTTCATCCTGAAGTTAAAAACTGTTGAAATTATTCTATCTTTAAAGCTCCTTTGAAGATTTTCTGGTTCGTGTCAATTTTGGCGCCCCATGTGTCCCAAGCAGTCTTTGCTTATCTTGTCCTTTACATGATTAAGAAGTTTATCCTGACAAAAGTCTTATCCTGCTGACTTTTGACAGTCAAATGTACAATTTATTGTGATTTTTTTTATTTATTAATGTCAACTATAAGGCTGTTTTTTGGCTGCTTGGCTGACACCTACCCCCTTACACCGATTTGAGACATTATAAACTGGTTTAAAGATTGTCAGTCTTGTTTGCTTTCGCTTTTGTCTGTCATAAAAAAGCATCAGTTTCAGTTTCAGCATATTTCATATACATAAAAAACTCCTCACAGGAGCTTTAAGTATCTAAAAAAATGCACTATTGTTCGATCCATTTTGCAACAGTCGTTGTAGAGCGTATAGGAATTAATGGTTGTAATTTTTTGTCCTTCAGTCTCTTCACTTTTGCTTTGGATACCATTAACAAGATAGCGGGTGTACCGATGGAAAAGGGTGGAGGGTTTGACATGAAGGCCCTCAGAGCTTTCAGAGTCCTGCGGCCCTTACGCCTCGTCTCTGGAGTCCCAAGTAAGAGCTTCCTCTGTTACCACAGTATACTGCAGATGAGCTCCTCTGGTTATGTGACACTGGCTGATTCTTTTAAAGGTTACTCACACATTACTGAAGTTTTTTATGCTGCTGTAATGTTTTGGTTTTACTGTTCACAATCAGGCCTGCAGGTGGTGATGAACTCCATCCTGAAAGCCATGCTCCCTCTACTGCACATCGCCCTGCTGGTCTTTTTACTGGTCACCATCTATGCCATCATGGGACTGGAGCTCTTCAAGTGCAAAATGCACAAAACCTGCTACTACACTGGAACAAGTATGTATAGAGGGCACAGACAGACACTGTGGTATTTTAGCTTTGATATGATGTTGTATATACTCTTTCCTAAGACTCAGGCAGCTTTAAATCCCCTGAAATGAAATAGTAAAATGGTGGTTATTTTATCTCTTTGGCCTACAGATATCTATGCCACAGCAGAACTTGAGCTGCCTGCACCCTGCGCCCAGGCTGGAAATGGACGCCGCTGCTTCATCAATGGCTCAGAGTGTAGGCCAGGATGGGAAGGTCCCAACAACGGCATCACTCACTTTGATAACATCGGCTTTGCTATGCTCACTGTCTACCAGTGTATCACCATGGAGGGATGGACCAAAGTGCTTTACTGGGTATGTGACTGCTCAGAAATCTGCTCATTTGTGTTACTGCTTCATTAAAAGATGTCATATTCCTTTACCGCAAACCCCTGCTGTATTTTTTTTATGTTGTTAAGTTTACTGTTTACCTGACTGAAAACAGTGTTTGTGGCTGACCTGGAGTTCTCCTTCAGGTTAATGATGCCATTGGAAACGAGTGGCCTTGGCTCTACTTCGTCCCCCTTATTTTGGTGGGTTCCTTTTTTGTGCTCAATCTGGTCCTGGGTGTGCTCAGTGGGTAAGGCAACCATTATCATCTCTCCTTTTCATGGTGTAAGTCTGGCCTCTTTAGATGAACAGGAAATGATCACTGTTCATTGTCTCTCTGCTCAGAGAGTTTACCAAAGAGCGAGAGAAAGCAAGATCTCGTGGAGAGTACCAGAAGTTGCGAGAGCGTCAGCAGCTGGATGAAGATCTACATGGATACATGGAGTGGATCACCCACGCTGAGGTCTTGGATGCAGACCGAGAGGGCAAAGGTTCAAACTCTAAAAAGAAAAATGAGCACCCACACTTACTAATGAAAATGGTGTAATATCACTCCTGTTCTCCCATTAGGACTCCTGCCTTTGACAAGTGGAGATTCTGACGCTGACAGTCTGTATGACATGGAAGGAAAGAGTAAAATCATTTACTATTAGTAAGTTTGCTCTTTTGTCAGTGCTCAGATATTCATATGTGATATTCAGGTCAAATTAGCTTTGTAAACTATGTCTTATTGTGTGTGTGTGCAGCCGCCTGGCTCGTCGCTGGAACCGTTTCTTCAGGATGAAGTGTTTGGTGTACGTGAAAACAAACGGCTTTTATTGGTTGGTGATGTTCCTGGTCTTACTCAACACCCTGACCATAGCTACAGAGTTCCACCACCAGCCTGACTGGCTCACTACCCTCCAAGGTTGGCGATCAACATCCACAATTTCTGAATCAAGAGTATATTTCTGAAATAAACCCTTTGTTTCTCTCTTCTATTACCTCTCCAGATGTGGCCAGCCGTGTTCTGCTGGTGCTGTTTGTGTTTGAGATGTTCTTGAAAATGTACGCTCTTGGGCCCCGAGCGTATTTCATGTCTCTGTTCAACCGTTTTGACTTCTTCGTGGTGCTCTGTGGTATCCTGGAGATGATCATGTTCTCTGCAGGAGCAGTCACTCCCCTGGGTTTCTCAGTGCTCAGGTGTATCCGCTTGCTGAGGATCCTTAAAGTCACAAAGTAAGAACAGGCTCTCCTCACAGGATTATAGTTTTAAAAACATAAATGGGTGATTTCATGTTAAATGTTTCTGTCTTTCTTCTGTTCGCAGATACTGGAAATCCCTGAGTAATCTTGTGGCCTCTCTCCTCAACTCTGTGCGCTCCATCGCCTCCCTGCTTCTTCTTCTCTTCCTCTTCATCGTCATTTTCTCACTCCTGGGCATGCAGGTGTTTGGGGGGAAATTTAACTTTATTGACAACAGACCCAGACGCAGCAACTTTGACAACTTCCCTCAGGCCCTCATCAGTGTATTTCAGGTAAGACAGGGCAGCATTATACGCCTGTAGCTCTTAACTGTCTTAACACTTTGGATATATTTCCAAAGTTTTATGAAAATGAAATGACGTCAACCATTTTTAACCCTAAACCATCTCTCAGGTCCTAACAGGAGAGGACTGGACCAGCATCATGTACAATGGTATCATGGCCTATGGTGGGCCGGTCTTCCCAGGCATCTTGGTTGCCATCTACTTCATCATCCTCTTTGTCTGTGGAAACTGTATCCTTCACACTCACTCATAATGTCCCAGAGAAGATGTGCTTGATAGCCTGTGAAACTGAAATTTGGCACAACTCTGCTGTCGGACAAATATTAATTCAACTCTGCTCACATAAAAGCCTGCAACAAATTTTATTGAAACAATCAATACATTATAGGATATTATCAGTAATGTAGGAGAACCTCACAGGGGCACATGAGGAAAGAAAAGGGGGACAAATTTAAATTCATCATCCCCTGGGACTGTTTTTATACATCTACTTTCACCTGGAATCATTTATATGAATATAATATTTATTTGTATCACCTGCTGTAAGTGCTGATGTATCTCAATCCAAGCCAAAATGATGAGCCATCTGATCAACTGACTAACAGACCGATTGGCATCTATGTTTTGATGTTGATGAGCGTAGCTAAAATTGTTAACAGTGAGCAATAATGCTTGTCAGAAAAATCACTTTTTCTTTTCCTCAGCTCTGATGCCAGATATCCTTCTAAATGTCTTTTTGGCCATTGCTGTTGACAACCTGGCAGAGGCTGAAAGTCTGACATCAGCTCAGAAAGAAAAGGCAGAGGAGAAAATGAGGCGAAAGCTACTCCGGTGAGTAATTAACTCTAAGTGAAATGATCCCCTCTGTTCAGCAAAAGCTCAAGTGTGTTCTTTACATTTATACTCAAACATTCAGGTCCAAAATGCCGGAGAAGACTGATGAGGAGCGAGAGAGGATAGCTAAGAAACTGGCAGAGCAGAGAGCCAAGATGGAGAATATGCCCACCACAGCCAAGGTCAGCCCTGTTTAGAGTCTTGTATTACATTTTTACTCTCGACTGTTACAAATAATTTATGAGCATCATTTGTTTTAATACACCTGTATATTTGTTTTTCAGCTCAAAGTAGATGAGTTTGAGTCCAATGTCAATGAGGTGAAAGATCCTTTCCCACCTGCTGACTTCCCAGGTAACCAACCTTAAATGTTGACATCTGAAAATAAAACAAATCTGCCTTTAATTTTGAGGACACATTTCTCTAAAAGAAGCAACAGAATGTTACATATAGTATTGTATCAATTTAATCAGTTTTTATCCTAGTTTGTCCAATCTTGTCCCTGAATACTCAACGAACCCCTTTACAGGAAAAGGTCACTGACTGTGAAAATTCTAATTCATCACAGAGGTCCTCTGCTGTCCTGATAATGTTACAGTATAAGTATAGTAGCTCCTCATTATTATTAGCCCAAGAGTTCGGCTGTTTTTACTCTACTCCAATGACAACCATATAAAGTCTATGACGTGTTTCTTCTTTCAAGAGATACATTTATTTAAATTCGCTGAGTCATTTTTTACAATCTGTATTGTGAGTACTGTGCTTGAGGGTACTGGTCAGTAATTGAGTTTATTTTACTCCAAACTACAGGTGATGATGAGGAGGTTGAGCCTGAAATCCCCATCAGCCCTCGGCCCAGACCAATGGCTGACCTTCAGCTAAAGGAAGAAGCTGTCCCGTTGCCTGAAGCCAGCTCCTTCTTCATCTTTGGCCCTCAGAACAAGTAGGAACCAACCATTACAACATTTGAAGCTTATCCCCCAGAAGATTAAGATTTCCTTGTTCTCACATTGAACATGTATCAGACAATGAATTGATTAAACATGATGTTGACTCTATATTTACACATTTCCAGGTTCCGTAAACTATGCTACAAGATCATCAACGCCACCTCCTTCACCAACTTAATCCTGCTGTTCATTCTGCTCTCCTCCATCTCCCTGGCAGCTGAGGACCCTATTGATCCCAGGTCCTACAGAAACCAGGTGATGGATAGGTCTACAGTTCCTTATTTGTTATTGACTTTTTGAAATGAGCAAATATTTGAATCAAGGTCAGTTCATTACCCAGTACAAGAAATTTTTTCTAGAAATCAATCACATGAAGCAGAAAAGAATAAAATTGCAAAGAGAAATATGATTAAAATATGTGCCACAGGTGTAATGAACGAACTGTACGGTGGTGCAGGAATCTGCTCAAAGATGATGACAAAATTTACAGCATAAAGAATCTAAAAAGATAAAATAAGTTACCTTACAGTCTGTTAAAAGTGAATGTGTGCAGTGTCAGTAAACAAAACCAAAGTTCAGTCTGTTTTAAAATAACACAGATATATGTTTTGTTTTCTAATAAAAGCCCTTTGTGTTTTTCCTCCAGATTTTGGCCTATGCTGACATTGTCTTCACAACTGTGTTCACCATTGAGATCGTTCTGAAGGTAATTTTTTTAGTATTATTCATGTGCTGTCTTGTTATGACTGATTTCACTGATGCGGTTTCTTCAAAGAAATGTCCCAGACATCAGATATTGCTGCCTTTGATATTTTATATGTTTGGCATGTGATGACTTCGTACCAAAAATTACTTAATCTACTCATATAACTAAATCTTTCCTGCCCAGGACTCCAGGCTCTTACTGTAATAGTAATGACTGTTTATTTAAAGGAAAATATATTCATATTTAGTATTCTAAAGACTAAAGATTCTGCTGGTGGTTATGTTCAATGATATTTGTTAAACTTCTGTAGGAATATGAACAGATAATGTAAATAAAAAAAGATTGTCAGTGATTTGATTTATTTGTTTATTTTTAACTTTTCTTACTTAAATGCATCATCCGGTATAATCACATAATGCAGCACATGGGTTTGCATGTCTATTAAAGGCTAAATTTAAATGTATTCAACCTCTGTCAAGACTTAATGATGTATCTTAATGATGACTCTACTGTGACTGACAGATGACCGTGTATGGAGCGTTCATGCATGAGGGCTCCTTCTGCCGTAACTCCTTCAACATCCTGGATCTGATTGTGGTCACAGTGTCCCTGCTTTCTATGGGAATGGAGTGAGTTATATTATCTAATAGCTGACCTAAATAAAGAGAATTTTATTAAATTTTTTCCTAAATTACAAATGTAAGTACTTCAAAACAAGTATAAAAAGCCATATTTTTGCGTGTGTTGTTTGCAGGTCCAGTGCTATCTCAGTGGTGAAGATTCTCAGGGTGCTAAGGGTGCTCAGGCCTCTCAGAGCCATCAACAGAGCCAAAGGGTTAAAGGTACAACACATATTAAAGCATCTTAGGATCCAGCTGTTTTTTTGGCAGGACATTTCTTCATTTCCTCTTTATTTTTTTTTCCCAACTTCTTTTAACAAGATATTGTAAATTGGTGAAACTAAATATGGCTGTTTTTGTAGGAAGCAATGAAGTCTGGGAACCACTTGGATTTCTCACACTATTGTATTTTGTTTGCTTATCAAAAAAGTCTTAAATCTTTGCAGTCATTTTAACTGTCGGATACATGTAATTCAGTAAAGAGTGCAATATTTCTTCTAAATATCAGTACAGCAGAAGTACTACAAGAAGTAACAGTACCTCTGGCTGACTAAAGACCTTTTTTACATGAGTGTATTATTTACATCAAGTTATCATTTTTCTTTTGTGACAGCATGTGGTCCAGTGTGTGTTTGTGGCCATCAAAACTATCGGCAACATCGTCTTGGTCACCATGTTGCTGAATTTCATTTTTGCCTGTATAGGCGTACAACTCTTCAAGGTAAGTCTGTAAATGCAGGTATTATAGCCATATGTTAAATGAGATACTGTAGAAGTCATATTTTCAGATGAACTGTCTGTTGTATTAAAAGGTATTTGCTGTGTATGTTTTCATCATGTCACAAAACCTTTCCTTCTTAGGGTAAATTCTACAGCTGCACAGACACGACCAAACTGAATGCAGAGGACTGCCAGTAAGGCAAACATCAGACGTTTTTGAATCCATCAAATCAGTAGCACTACCTCAGAGTGATTATCCTCTGTGTCTTTTTTCAGGGGAATGTTCTGGAAACACATCGACAACTCCCTACAAGACACTGTGTTGGCTAAGAGAGAGTGGCTCAACAGTGACTTCAACTTTGACAACGTGCTGTATGGCATGTTGGCTCTTTTCACCGTTTCTACATTTGAGGGCTGGCCAAAGTAAGCACAGCCCTGAGTTAATGTCGATTATTTTAACTGGTTGGCTGGGTAGAGGACAGACTGTGTCATTGTGTGTTATTGAGTTGAAAGTAATGCCATGAGACATGTAATTCAGTGAAAGCAGTATATCCTTAGTTTAAATTGATGGATGGATGGATGGATGGATGGATGGATGGATGGATGGATGGATAGATGGATGGATGGATAGATAGATAGATAGATAGATAGATAGATAGATAGATAGATAGATAGATAGATAGATAGATAGATAGATAGATAGATAGATAGACTTAATTAATACCCCAAGGGAAATTAAATTGTTATAGCAGTCCGGCAAAATACAATAAAATAAATGAAATACTGAAAAGACAAGAGAATGAAAAAGCAGATATAAAAAATATATATACACATGCCTTAAATTCAATACCTATATATAATGAATCTTAAATAGAATACTTGAGTACACCTCATCCGTACTAATGAGCCTTTTTGTGCTTTTGAACTTTGAATCCTCCTTCTGTCTCATCATCCCTTTGTTTTTCTCAGAATGTTATACAGAGCAATTGATTCAGACGAAGAGGACCTGGGTCCTGTCTTTAACAACCGTGTCGAAGTGTCCATCTTCTTCATCATTTACATCATCCTCATCGCCTTCTTCATGATGAACATCTTTGTGGGCTTTGTTATCGTCACTTTCCAGGAGCAGGGCGAGCAGGAGTATAAGGACTGTGAGCTGGACAAGAACCAGGTATGCCCAGACAGTCAGGGTTGAAGTTTTAGACAGTATGAGAACCGTAACGCTCAAAGTGAATCCTGAAAGTTTTTTCTTTTTCTCAAGATCAGAAGGATTCAGTGTTTTGTTTTCAACCCACATTCTGTCTCCTTCCTCAGCGTCAGTGTGTGCAGTACGCTTTGAAAGCTCGACCTCTGAGGTGCTACATCCCCAAAAACCCTTACCAGTACAGAGTGTGGTACATAGTCACCTCCTGCTACTTTGAGTACCTCATGTTCTTCCTGATTATGCTTAACACTCTGTGTCTGGGGATGCAGGTATGTAAATTAAAGTCACTCCCCCATCTAAAAACAACGAGACTGTATCAGGGCTTCTGACAGACAATGTTCATTATCTATGGAGAGAAAGCTGCAGTGATGGTTACAGCTTTAAGTTAATGAGAAAGTGGGAACTTTGAAACTGTCTTTAGGATATGAGACATGATGACTTTCCAGTAGAATCCCAGACTAATTAATTTTTCAAGGGGATTAGGAGCTCAGTAATGCAGACTGCCCTACATAAGACTTTGTGCATTCATTTACTCAATCTTATTTGCATGGAATTGTGGTTATATAACTATTATATGAGAAGACCAGACATGGACTAGATCAATACGGACCAGATGAATTTATTGCTTAGAGCTGAAACCAATTTGTTTCACTCAAGTCTTGTTCCTGTAGGGTTTGACTCAATTTCTATTGTTCATGGTAATATGACACTCACTGGGGGTTCACCACTGGAAACCCAAACTGTTTATTCACACAGACAAAAGCAAGACACTCAGCCAGACACAAAGTCTGAAGACAGTCAAAGCTACAATCCAAATAGGACTGTAATCTGTTAATTATCTTCTCACAATAAAAGATGGGAACTGCAGGAGCAGAAATTGCATGACAAATCAATCAATGATCTGATTTTTATTCATGTTATGCAGTTTTTGTGAGATGTCACTTACAGAGCAAGTCTCAAATCTACTTTTTAAAATGAAGATATTCTCTGTTTTCGAGCACCAATCAGGATTTAGCAAACAGGTTACCTTTAAATCAGATTCTGATCGAATGTTAAGAGTTATGTGGTCACTGTTAATCAAATCTAATCAGTTCTTGTAACTCATCTTTTACAGGTTAATGTTACATCTCGTTAAATAAGACCTAAGATTTATATTTGTTTTCCACCTCCAACAGCATTGCAATCAGTCGGATCATGTGACCAAGCTGTCAGACATGCTGAACTTGATCTTCACCATCCTCTTCACTGTGGAGATGATTCTCAAGCTCATGGCCTTTAAAGCGAGAGTAAAGAGAGAGAGACTCATTCAAATGTTTTCACACATTCTTGAGTGCTGCCATGTCTGAAGTCTGTGACCTCTCTGTGCAGGGCTACTTTGGAGACCCCTGGAACGTCTTTGACTTTATTATCGTGGTCGGCAGCGTTGTTGATGTCATCCTGAGTGAAGTCGATGTGAGTACATATGATTAAATATTGATCTTTTTAAAAATCCTTTCATTTGAATATATCAGATGATCATTGTAGGCGCTAATTATGAAAGATTCTGGTCAGTCAGTACTGACTCTTTATTTGAATGACTGTTTTAAATTAATATTCTGATCCAGAAGCCCATTAATGCAGCTGATTGGTGCCAGCAGAACTAGCCTACAGAGGACAGTCTGTACTGTTGCTTGCTAATCACATTTCCATTGTTCCTGTTTCAGTCATATTTGTTTTTTTTCTGTGTTTGTTTTAAGAGCACTTTTTTGAAGAACACAGTTATCATGAAGGATTTTAAGTTTATTGGATTATACCACACAAACACTTTCCTCTTGCCTGTCATGTATCTTTTCTTGTTGTTATTGCACTGAGTTGTCCTCGTCTCTTTCACCCACAAATACAAGCTTGAAGCAAATTCACTTCACTCCATCTCACTACCTCAAATTCTTCCCTCTTCCTCTTTCTCTGATTTCCTCTTTCACTTAATCCATCCTCCACGCACCTCACTGCTCATGTCTATCCTCCACAGACCGCCCTGGCCGCCAGTGGAGGACTGTACTGTCTCCATGGCTGTGCTGTAAATATCTGATCCACACTGCACTGCACTGCTGCATGAGCCTTGTTGTGTGAGCACTTCACTATCTTCTCTACTAAACTGTTTTGTATCGAGCAGTGTGTGACTCCAGCAGCTGGTGATCTATCTTTTTTATTGCTAACCTTACAGAGCAAGTGTAAGACCTCCTAGTGTTTGCTATATTGTGTTCCAGTAGGCTTGAATAGTTTAAAAACATAGATAGGAATATTCGCTGGATTGGCAAAATTACTTAAAAAAAATAAAGTGTGTTTATTTCCTTTATTTTGCATGAGTTATAAGTTGCAGCTGCTCATGATTTCAGTGACATAGGAGGTAGGGCTGGGCGATATGGCCTCAAATCAATATCACCATATATCGAGCAAATCACCTCTATAATGATAAATGGACGATAAAAACTCCACAAGCTGCTTACCCCCTCCCACATTAACTTTGTTTACTCCAGTCGCTACAACTTTTGAACTGTCCTCCATCTCCTCACTTGTCTTTCCCTCTTTGTTCGGACTGGATGGGGTAGAGTCACGTCTCTGATGTAAGACAGTGTCTTAACCGATTAAGACCTGAACCCTGTCTGAGCCACGCCTCTGAAATCCTGAAGGCAATTTTAAGAAGGGCCCCCAGATCCTGAGGTTTTCTGAAGTGTTGAGGTTTATAAAAAAGTGGATATCTTGGCTTCTGTAGCAGATAGAAACAAATTTCAAAAAGTATTTAAGAGCTTACACATGTGGCTTTCAAGATGACTATCTTTCATTTTTCCGAACCGTCATCATGTTATTGAAAACCTTGAACAAACAAGCTCAAATGAAACAAAGCAGCTTTATAAATAAAAGTAAAGGCTCTGCAGTGGAGAACAACAAACTATTTGCTTTCTGTAAAACAAGTGGCAGTCATGATAAAGTGTCCATTCGATACAAATGTAAATATAAAAAATAAAGTGTTAAAAGGGTATGCAGCTGCTCTAGTTTAGTGCCAGTACAAAGCCAAAGTGTGAGCCAAAGCACTCAATATGAAGAGGTTGTTCACACTGCTGGATGCTTCTTCTCGAAAGCTGCTCTCTGCCTCCGTCATTGTTTACTTTCCTCACGAAGCCCATAGCAAAATCCGAGCATGAATCTGATCGCTTTATTGAGCTTTATTAGCCTATCAGAGGCAGTATGATGGCGGTATGAGGATTTGATTCACCACGACTCCAGAAATGATTGAAAAACTACAGAACTTTACGAAATGACGTACACACTTCTCCGGGCTTGAAGGGTAGAAATGCGTACATGCACCCGGCTTTCTGAGTAGAAATACCCAGCCGCGCTCCCGGCTTGGTTCCAGTTTAAATGGGTTAAAGGGACATGAGACCATAGCCTACCTACACACATCCAAAACCAACTTTATTTATTTATTTTTTGACCCCGAATATATTGACATGGGCAAAATAACATCAGTTATTGACGTAAATTTTGGTATCGGTAAATTTTTGGTTCATCGCCCAGCCCTAATAGGAAGCTTTGTAACTCATCTAAGGTGGTAACATCTGTAATGTTAACCCTTTTTGTGGATGTAAGTCATACCTTGATAATATTTAACAGCTGATCAATGCTATAACTGCAACATGCCTCATTAAAAGTACACAAAGGTCTGAGAAAGATATCTTACGTAACAGTTCTTTTATCTGCTTTGTTCAGGAGACAAATCCCATGCAAGCAATTGCAGTAAGTCTAAACTTCAGTTTTCAAGCATCAGTTACAGAAATGTCTTTCAGTTCTCTTGATTTTTTTTCTGTTCTCAAATCCTCTGGTTGTTTTTCTCTGCAGGCTTCTGAAAACGCCTCAGTTTCCATCACCTTCTTCCGACTCTTTCGTGTCATGCGTCTGGTCAAGCTGCTAAACCGTTCAGAAGGCATCCGGAACCTTCTGTGGACCTTCATTAAGTCCTTCCAGGTCTGTCCCCCTGCCATCATAAACATCCCTTTCAATTCTGTTTCTTTACACTTTGAATAAAATAAAGGACTGTTCTGTTCCTGCAGGCTCTTCCTCATGTGGCCCTGCTCATCGTGATGCTCTTTTTTATATATGCCGTCATTGGGATGCAGGTACAAACAGCATAATGGACCTTTGTAGATTCTTGAAAGATTGATTATTTGATGTCATGGACAGAAGTTCCCCTCCATTGTTGTTATGTAACTTAATATCCACCGGGACTGTAACCAATCTGCAGATCTTTGGAAAGATAGCCTTAGTGGACGGCACTCAAATCAACCGCAACAACAACTTCCAGACATTCCCTCAGGCTGTGCTGATGTTATTCCGGTGAGTCTCTAAGCTGGGATCACTGTTAAATAGGTCCTATGTTTGAAAAGATAAACAGATCCAGCATCCTTTATGGTTTATGTCTGTAGATGTGCAACTGGAGAGGCCTGGCAAGAAGTCATGATGGCTTCAATGTACGGGAAGAAGTGTGACCCGAAGTCAGACTTCTTACCAGGAGAGGAGTACACCTGCGGGTCCAACTTTGCTGTCTTCTACTTCCTCAGCTTCTACTGTCTCTGTGCCTTCCTGGTGAGAAGCAGCACAGAATCAATATTGAACTTCTACCTGCATCTATTGCTACCCTTGCAAACTATATACAAACACAGAGTTTAACTCCTTCCCACTTCAGATCCTGAACCTGTTTGTAGCCGTTATAATGGACAACTTTGACTACCTAACTCGTGACTGGTCACTTCTTGGCCCGCATCATCTGGATGAGTTCAAGAAGATCTGGGCTGAATATGACCCCGAAGCCACGTAAGATAAACACCTCCTTATAAAACTTCACCTAGTCTCTTCTCACTGCACAGGACCCAAGTCAGTGTTTGGGTCAATGTTTTTGTGATCCAACAGGGGGAGAATCAAACATCTGGATGTGGTGACATTGCTGCGTCGCATCCAGCCTCCACTGGGCTTTGGCAAGTTCTGTCCTCATCGAGCTGCATGCAAGGTACAAACATGCATGCAAACATAAACAAGCTAAAAGACATATGCTGCAAATACAGGGTCAGCGTCAGGCTAACAGCTAGCTTACAATGTAAGTTTTTATTCAAGTAGACAAATACAGGATAAAACTGCAAAACATGGTTTTATATAGAACTTTTCTATAGTGAATTTGTCAGCAAAAAAAATTTAGGTTACTGCCAAGAAAGTAATGTTTCTCTGTAGTTTAATTATAAATATACATTAACAGGAGTTTGACGTGTCTATTTCTCTCCCCTCTATTTGAGATGATATCAATAAAACATATACTGACTGAGATGATACTAAAATGAGATGTGATAAAGTTGTAAAAAGACTGTTTTTTGATTGTTTTATTCCTCTTGGGCACTCTAAATCTTAATCTTGTCTGCAGCGCTTGGTCGGCATGAACATGCCTCTGAACAGTGATGGTACCGTCACCTTTAACGCCACCCTGTTTGCTCTGGTCAGAACTGCTCTCAAGATCAAAACAGAAGGTACATCTACACCGGTCCAGCATTGTCAAGGCTTTAATGTTGTTTAGAGTATATGTGTTTACTTTGATAGTATTGGATGTAAATCTGTCTAATTGTTTGGCACAGGTAACTTTGAACAGGCTAACGAGGAGCTGAGGGCAATAATAAAACAAATATGGAAACGCACAAGTATGAAACTGTTGGACCAGGTCATCCCACCAATAGGAGGTGAGTCTATCAGAAAGAGTTCAATTCCGTCTTAGATAATCAAGTATGTTTAATGCTGACTGATGTTCACAGATGATGAGGTGACCGTGGGGAAGTTTTACTCCACCTTCCTGCTCCAGGATCATTTCCGTAAGTTCTTGAAGCGGCAGGAAGAGTACTACGGCTACAGACCCAAGAAGAGCGCCTCAGGTCCTGAGATCCAGGTGAGCAGCCGATACGTGGTCTGAATCACACCAATAAAAAATATAAATTAAAAAAAGGTTAATTAATGCGCAGTTCCTAAAAGGTTATGCAGTGTAAAATCATACATATATATATTGTCCTCTGTGGTTCTTATGCAACTTCACTTTTTTTTTTTTTTTTTTTTTTGCTTTCCTTGCAAACCTGTTATTACCTGTTATAACTTTCATGTTTCCAGGCTGGCCTGAGAAGCATAGATGAGGAACCAGCCCCTGAAATGCACAGGGCCATTTCAGGAGACCTGCAGAATGAAGAGGAGATGGAAAGAGCGATGGAGGAATCTGGAGAGGAAACTATTTTTCAAGTGGGAAACAGCATTGGAAGCTTGTCTGACCACATATAAATACAAACTTTGAGATATATTTAGATCTATACAGCCCTAGTTTTGGTGACTGTGACTTGTTTGTATTCAAGGGTTCAAATCTAGATTATATCAAATAAACTTTATTGAACACTTTGGAAAGTTTCCTTCAAGGAAAGTGTTCACTAATACTAAACTCTGCCTGCCTGTGTCTTATTCTGTGTATTTCCAGCGCTCACACGGCCTGTTTGGAAACCGAGGGGACTCATTCTCAGACGACACGGCCAACGCTCAGTCTCAACAGATGACCAGCCAGCGGCCCCTCATGTTCTCTGAGAGCCAGCCTGACTCTCCACCCAACTCTTCCAACATGTCGCCTACCACTGAATTTTTCCCCTCAACTGCACCGAAAAACAACACCAACAATAACGCCTTTGCAGAGTGAGCATCAAAGTTTCGCTTTTCTATGGGTTTATCAGGGAGACTAGGGTTAATGGTTTTTCTTCTTTCAGGTTTTCATTTGACAGAGAGGGGACTCCTGCAGAGTTTTACAACCCAAGTGAGGATGAAGATCCAGGTAAGATATTATAAATGGACAATGAGCTGATGGTGAGACAGCAAAAAATCCGAACAGATGGATAATAAGCAGACCTAGAAGCTGTGGATATCTCTGTACTCCCAACTGTTTTTACATCGTCATTGTTTTACCTTTTTAGACAACCTGCGCTCATGGAACTTTACAGTAAGAACAGACAAAACACAGGTAAGGTCTTTTTAATGCTTACTCATCCTGAGTAAATGCAGGTTAACAGCTTTTTAAAATAGGTTTGTGTGGATGTGTTTCATTAACAGTTCCCGTATGATCCAAACTATGGGGACAGTCAGAGTCGAAGCTCCTGTGCAGCTGATCATCTGGTCCATGAGGTAAATGAGAAATCTGTGACTCACAACAAGCTAATTAATTACTTCATGAGAAAACAATATAAAGCCAGATCAGTCAAAGATAGATAATGAACCTGATTCCCTTCTTAATTTCCTGTAAGCAAAATAAAGAAGCAGATAAAGTTTAGCTCAAAGATGAGTCAGTACTTTGATTTTGAGTCCCACATGACTGTCATGACCTGTGTAGCCAGTTCTGGTAAAGCCAAAATATTAACTTAATAAATTTTTGTCTTTTTAGTGCAGAGAGGTTTCACAGAAATACTGTTTCTTTCTCATGTTCAGTGGAAGAAAAAACTTCAAATTTTTAGTTAAGACAGTTTTAAAATGTGAAAATACTACAGTTGTATTTTTTAATTTTGGGTTTGAGAAAGACACCCATCCTGAATTGTAAATGTTATGAATTTAGGCCTGGGTGCCTTCATCTGTGGGGTTGAGTAAAATACCACATTATTATTTACATTCGTCCAAATATTAGACATAAAATTACATTATTATTGAATTTCCCTTCAGGGATCAATAAAGTCTTTATTATCTTATATTAAAATTGCCTAACAGTTACAGTAAATGCAACTGAATTAGAGTTAAAACACGGCTAAATCTCTCATGAGAATATGTTTCTGTAAGTTAGCAAGGCTTCTGTTTGTTGTCTACTTTCCCAGGCTCTAGTGGAAGGCGGTCTGGCCTCCCTAGCAGAGGACCCTAGTTTTGCCAATGTGGCCAAGCAGGTGATGGCCGTGGCCATGCGCACGCATGCGGACAACGTAGAGAGTGTGGCCCAAGATATCCTCAGTGAACGTTCAGGCAGCGCTGCTTCTGTCAAGAAGAAGAGACGTCCCATCCCCGTCCCTCCCTCCGCTCCCGTTGTGACCGTGAAGGCGACAGTCGAACCTGATCCGGCTGTGAGGAGGAAGAGACGTCCCATTCCCAGAGTCCCCGCCACTCAGGAGGACGACTCCAGGGTTTAGAAGCCGTCACTTGAGTTGGTGTGGTAATTTTGAGATTTCTACACTTGCAGGTGGCTCCACCTCAATTTGGGACACTCTTTGTTTGCTGGCCTGGCACCTTAACGCAGGTTGACTAAGTTCAGGTTTTCAAGTGTGGTTGAAAAGAGGAGACACATTATATCTGATGACGAAGCATCTGAATATCCAGATTGATCGAACTTAATAAAGTCACTAATTTATCACAGAGTGAGCAGAATGACGCACTTCTTTCTTTATGGCTTTCTCCAGGTTTTCCATTCCATATGAACTATTGGACAACCATGTGAGTGAGCAAAGTGTCTTATTGAAGCCTCACTGAGGGAGGTGACAGGCGACTGAAACAGCCCACTGAATACAGGGAGCAAGGTGGCTTTGTTATGTTCAGTTACGTTTTAATAATGGGGAGAAGGAGAATCTGTGCAGCCAGGCCCTGAGATGTTACACTGAGTATTCAGTTCAAGCTTAAAAAAAGGGTCTGGTGCTGCTGAGGTGATGAAGGTTTAAGCTGTTCTTTTGTTTTCTGGTGAGGTAGCGTTCCCTGATCCTTCAGGACCTAACTGTCTTTAATCTCTTAATACTGAAGTTTACCGAGTTTTCTCCCGCTCACCGCTGTTATTCTGTGCAGTTGGTACAGAGTGGATTTTTAAGAGGAAACTTTTTTTTATTTTGGATATTTCAGATCCTGTAATATTAATGATTTATCTATACTTTTAAGTATTTGTGGGAAAACATACTGTAGCCAAGCAGTGCATGTGATCCCCACCAGCACATCTTAAAATCACTCTATTGCATTAACTTTTGTGTTTTTCAGTTTCATTCATTTGTCATATTTGTTAGATACAGTTTGACCGGTCGATCATAAATCTTCGGCATACCTGGAGTATGGAAGATTTGGCACCCTATCTCACCTGGGCTTCTAATAAATTTTGTATTACACTGGCACATTTTATTGCACTTTTTCATGTTTTGTGCCTGTATGCAAGCTATGACAGCCTGGTGGACTTTTTTTAAATGCTATCTTCTGGTCAGACTGTTCAACTGTCATGCAAGGATTGTGTTGGGGTGAATTTTAGAGCTCAACATATATCTATTTGAGACTATCACTTCCGGATCTGTGCCATTGTGCTAATGTTAACCTGGTGTTTTCTTCATCGTAAAATAAATAATCCAAACAGTCACTTCTGTTTCTTTCTGTTTCTGCAAACAAACCAAAGACTGAAACACAGGGTGCAATACAGATATGGAAAAACATCTTTAAGGGATAGTCTAGCGTAAATTTAAGTAATGGTCAAACACACCGTAATACAGACTGCTCACTTCTCCAGTAATCCTAACTTCAGTAACTACTGCACAATAGCAATACACAGTGGTCTACGTCTCCACACGCAAACCTCAACCAAAAAGCCACTCTACAGCCCCAAATAATGCTCAGAACAGCACCTAACTTCATCAACAGTACATAGAGGGTCCCAGGGTTCCCTAGTGTGTCCACATAGCTCAGAAGACTGACTGGGACTCCTGAGGTTGTGGGTTGGACCCTTGCCTTATCCAGGTTGAGGTGAAATTACAAGTCTGGTGTCTAGAAAGAAGATAAAAGCGGGCAGACCTCCTGCCCTAGTGTTTTTTTTTTCCATATCCCTTTAGGGGCTCCTTAATAAACATATGTTTGAATTAAAAAGAAAAACAAAATATTAAAAAGAAATCTTAAAAAAATGGTCACCATCTTGAAATGTCAAGCAGCTTGGGCCATTTTCTTGTCGAGTGACTCATGAAGACGGTTCATATCAATTTTCATGCCTATATCACCAACTTAATAAGGACATCACCTAATTGTTCCACCTAGGTGGCGGCCATCTTGAAATTTCAAATGGCTGGGACGCTTTTCCTTGTAGAGCGACCCATGAAGAATACTCATGCCAATTTTCAAGCTTGTATCACCAACTGAACAATTACGTTACTTAGCTGCTCCACTAAGTGGGGAAACTGTATATAGCTATAAATAGTCCTACCTTGCAAAGCATCGGTTCCCCCTTATGGAATGGAAACTGATACAGCAACATGCATGCTGAGATTGGTTATAAGAAAGGAAAGGGCCTGAAAGAGAAGCACAAATCTATAAAAACAAAACGCAACTTAAAGCTAGGAGCATTACAGTACAGGTAAACAAAAATACAGGGGCTTAAATAATACAGATTTTATTTATTGAAGCAAAGCAATCAATAAAACCAGCAGGACAGAAAGAGTCATACTGAGTTCACCTAAAACTGATCCAGAACCACACTGAGGGAATACAAAGAGACTGTCTTTAGTTCATACAGTCTCATAACTGCAGTATATTTCCAAGGACATAATTTTCTGACAAGGCTCAATGATCTAGTAGCACCACAGATTGTAGCTGACTGGGGTTTTATTTAGAGACTGATTACAGGAATGTATCCACCATATCGTAACAGCGTTCTGATTCAATTTTAAAAAAAAAAAGAAAAAGAAGAGCACATGAAATTCAAATACATGATTCAATACACAAAACAGAGGACAGGAAAAGGCTTAAAGCACATCACTGTGAAGAGGGCTGTAAACAGTATAAAAAAGTCATTTCAGGTTAAGTAGACATGTATGGTACCATTTCTACAGTCTGTTAAAAAGGATGGATCTGCTCCTGACATTACATCATTATTTCCACTGATTAATATAAAGGCTCCTGGAGGGACAAATTAAGAAAGGGCTTACTTATATAAATGTACATACAGCCTGGTTGTTGCTATCTATAAAGAACAACCCCCCACAGCTAAAAAAAAAAGCACTATTTCATTACTCTACTATAAAATAAAAAAAACAAACGTGAAAACAAAGAAGAAAAACACAAGACCTAATGGATACATGATCTGTGGCTAAAGAGAGAACGTCCCACTTGTTGAAATGTCAGTGTTGGGAGTGCTTGTCCTATTCATTGGGATTGGGGTTGGCATCAGGATATTGGGAGAGGTCGAACGTCAGCACTTTACTGATGACACAATCTCCTTGCTGTAAGAGGAAGAGACACAAAATTAGTTTGTTTAAAATCAGACTTAAAACAGCAACAGCAGTTTCACACTATACTGGGAAGGTCTCTCCTCGATTAGTGCGTGTGGAGTCTCGATAAAATCACTTTTCTTTGTGTGTTTGTTTGACAGTGATGCTTGTGTGAAGACCTTGAAGTGTGTAAAGGTTTTACATTATTTACAGATCAGCTGTGATCAGATTGGTGGGGTATGTGATTAATCTGCATCAATTTTTCAAAGCATTGTTTTTCCCTATTATTAACTAATAACGTTTATTCCAAGATCCTGATTAACTTAGCTGTGTTCAACAACTTTAAATGATTTAGTTTTATCAAAGGAAATAACCTGAACCCAGAGAAACTGTAGGTCGTTAGTGATGTATAAGCTCATCCCAAAAATTGCACCTATACTCTGAAAATGTGGGTCGCCTCTTTAGTTGCTAAATACAGATTTTTAGGAATAATCACTTCTCCCCTTTCATGTCCTGCAGATTAACTGTAGTATATTTCTGTCGGAGCCTCCTGGCCAAAATTTCCCTCATGTTTTACAGTCACTTCTTTAAAAACAGAATAATGAGATACAAACCTCAGGATAAACCCCGATCAGTGAGTCCGCCTTGGTGTAGAATTCCTCCTTCAGAGAGATGACGATGGCCTGGAAGTTCTGCACAGACTGGTCTTTGATGTAATTGGCAACCTTGAGGGTGCAGAGAGATAAAACATAATGAGTTTCAAAACAAGAGTTCACATTACAAGTCACGCTAATAAAGCTCGAGAGTGTTCCTTAACAAACCTTGCCGATGTTAGTGTTGTCCAAAGCGGCGTCGATCTCATCCAGGACGAAGAAGGGGGCGGGTTTGTAGCTAAAACAAGCAGAAAGAGAGGCACCGTCATGAGCTTAAAACAAACACACTTTTTCACTCAAATATCTGCTCTGTACTCCTACACTCCTCACCTGTGGATGGCAAAGAGCAGAGCAAGGGCAGCAACAGTCTTCTCTCCTCCAGAAAGGTTATCCATCGGTCTGAATCTCTTCCCTGGAGCTACACAGTTATAGTTGATACCATCCAGATACGGCTCCTCGGGGTTCTCTGGGCCCAAGAAAGCCTATAAAAGAGAAAGAGGGAAAAATATGGTTTACTGTAAGGTCAAGAAAAGCACCTCAACCATATCTTTCATGGTGTATTTTACCTATACAGGTCATTTTAAAAAATTTTGATCAAACTGAGGTGTACCTGAGCGCTGCTGTTGCGTGAGAGGGCCTTGTAGATTTCATCAATATTTGTTGCGACAGACTCAAAGCAGGTATTGAAACGATCAAACCGTTCTTTCTTGATCTGCTCAAAGGCCTGCTTGGCCTTCTTTGCCCTCTTACGCGCAGCCTCGAACTCTGTGGAAAAGGCAGAAATCAAAACCATGAAATCCCACAGTTGTTACATCATGTAGAGCTCTTGAGAGGGTGGATTAAACTGCATCATTCCTTGTTCCTGGATTCAATCCTGCTCTCTTACCGTCACTGGTCTCCTGAAACTTATCCCTCACACTCTCCAGCTTCTCCATGGCCTTCATGTTGGGTGCGCTGATCCTCTGGAGGATACTCTGCTGCTCATTCAGACGCTGCTGCAGGGTGTTTGTCTCTGCCTTTATCTCCTCCTCAGACAGTGCATCCTATAGAAAGTCAAACAGACAGGATTTGTTCAATTCTGATTAGATCTGGTGTTATTTTACTGAGTTTTGCTGAAAAGCAATTGTGACTGAACTAGTTACCTTGAGGTCTTCAGACAAGTTACTGTAGTCAATCTCTATGAGGGCCTCTTTAGCGAGAACGCTGCTGGATGTCCTCTGACTGCTGGACTCATCTGTCTGAGAGCTCCCCTACAGAACAAGATGTTTAAAACGGTGATTTCCTGTTTCGATCCTTCTGGTTTCAAAGTTAAAGACTGTATGAGTGTTTTCTTTTCTTTCTCACCTCCCCTTGACTGATATCGTCCATTGATCCAGATCGAAGAGGCAGCCTGATATCCTGCATTTTGCAGGCCTGCAGCAGGTTGTGACGGTCACTGCGCTTCTGCTCCAGTTTTGTCTCGATAGCTGTGACCTCCTTTTGCAGCTGAGTCAACTCCCTGAATGACAAGAAAGCCACATTTGTAGCTCAGTGGTCAAATTAAACGACTATGACTGAATAACATAAGAAACATGAATGTTTGTTTGTAACCACTGACTTGTTGGCACCGCCCAGTTTTTTGCGGATCTCCTCCATGTCATGGTTTTTATCGTTGACTTCAGATTTCTTCGTGAGGTGCTGGTTCTTCAGGTCTTGCAGCTGAGCCATTGTCTCATCAATGATCTTCATGTGTCTGTGCTCCTCCTGCAGAATGTCAGAGAAATGACAAAAACAGACACAGGAGTTAGAACTTGAACTAACGGACTTGAGAGATGATGAATCCAATTTTCACCTCTCATGTCATGTTTTCACCTTCTTCAGTCGCTCTATTTCTGCCTCATCCTTCTTGACAGTCTGCTCCCACATCATTACTTTCTCTTGGTCTTCCTTCAGCTGATTCTTCTCATAGTCTAACTGGATACCCAGGCGGGTCTTCTGGGTCTCAAATTCGAGGCTGAAACAAAAAAGTTTCATGTCAGAGACCACAAAAATAAACATATACATAATAAAGAGAAGTTATCTGATTTTATAACTCACCGCTTCTTTGCAATCTCATTCTGCCTCTTCACCTTCTCCTCCTCGAACTCTCGGATGTTCCTCACTCCAATCTCCTTGCAGAATTCCACAAACACCTCATCCTCCACCTAGAAAATGGAAACATTTATACTGATGTTACTGCAAGGCCAAATCCTCACAGACAAGCTGCCGAATGGAGTCCACAGAGTGTCAGTCTCACCAGGTTCATGCGGTCTCGCAGGTCAGTGATCTCCCTCTCGCGAGACTGGATGATCCTCTTGATGTCGTTGATGCGAGGACCGAAGTTCGCCAGTTCACTCTCTAGCTTGGACTTCTCCTGCATGTAAGAAATAATACAAGTTTAAAACTTTAGACACGATAAGCAGTGAGATGAATACAAAAAGCTATGACGCCAGGCAGCACCTGCATGTTGAGTGAGAGGTGGCGGGTTTTCGTCTGTTCCAGATCACTCTGGGAGTATTTCAGTCTCATTTGCAGACCATGAGCTTGAGACTGCACCTGACGCAGCTCTGCCTCCTTTCTCTTCGCCTTCATTTGCTCCTACGAAAAAAAAAAAAAAAAAACATTAGGTTAGGATTAGAGGAGATGCAGTGAGAGGACACGCATGAAGAGTCAATTTAAGGGGAACCTCGAGGTCAGAGCTCCTGAAATCTTCCACAGTGCATGATCAACAATGATATGAATTTTGGGTTTATCCACAGGCACTCTAAACAACGTTTCTAAGACAACCATCTTTTCTTTCTGAGGTTTTCTAAAATTGAACTCATGGACAGACAGACATGAAGAGCATCACACCCTGTTTGATGCAGGAATAAATAATTGAAGTTACCTTGAGCTCTTCTGTGAGTTTTTCTTTCTTCTCTTTCAGCTTGTCCACCGCCTTCTCATCCCAACGCCGGGCTTTGGCTTTCAGGTCACTGGCTCCTCCAGAGATGACTCCAGATTTCTGGAATAGAGTACCGTCCAGGGCTACTGTCTGCAGAGACAGACAAAAATGAGATTAGACAACAAAAAATACATCTAAATGTATAACACATGTAAAAACTATGTTTTTGCCGAGTTTGGCACCTTGTGTCTGTACGGTCCCCCAAAAGCAATCCTTCGTGCATCTTCCACATTCTCACAGACCAGAGCGTTGCCACAAGCGTACTGCAGGGCTTTCTTGATGTGGGGAGGCTCATAGCGGATCACGTCAATCACCAGTTTAGCTCCCCGCAGCTCTCTCAGCTTCTCATCTGTTGGTTTCACCTTTACAAGATAAAACACAGAGATTTTTTTAAAAAGGTATTTCAAAAAGGTGAGTTTTTATTTCTGTGAACGTTATATTCCAGCGGGAGAGCTGACGCCTCTTATTGAGTAAAAAGTATATAACCTAAGATATAATCTAAAGTCATAAATCTTGAAAATTGTGCACTCACATTTAATTAGAAGCTCTGAAATGAATAATTGAAAATTAAATGGGTGTTCAGCCACAGTGTCAGAGATGCTTTCAGGCTGATTTTTTTCTATTCAACAAAAGTGTGTTTTCATTAAGATCACACACTTTGATAACTGATTACTCCCCAAAAGACTCTAAATGAGTAATTATCTTGTATTAACCTCCAGGTAGTCCAGAGGGAGGAAGGTCTCAGGCTCCCCTCTCTGCTCCTTGATGTACTGAATGCAATCTCTCCCGGTCTTCTCAGAGTCCACAATAATGGCGTCCATGTTTTTCCCCAATACTTTGGTCACAGCAATCTGATACTTCTTCTGAGTGGGCTGGCACAGGTCGATTAAACGGCCATACTGGGGAAAGACAAAGACAAAGTGTTTATGAGACTCCTGGTTAAATCTGATGGCGAGGGAAGAAACAACAGTGTTGGAGGCAAAACTTAACAGATAATATAGTTATGAATTCTGTCACGGATGGCTTACCACAGAGCCGGGGTACAGTCTTTTGATACTCTCCATGATCTCAGCCTTGCGCTGTTGCCGGCTGTTCTCCTGCCTGTCGATTCTGGCATCTCCCAGCTGTTCCATCACCTACAACCAGAAGGAAATAAGATTTGTTACGATCTTTTCACAGCTGACTTTTTGTGTCTTACACTTCAGAAATCAGTCACTTCAGACGACTCCATGAAGGTGGTTTTCTTTTCTTTTTGAGTGTGTATATTGAGTACCTGGTTAAGCTCCATGTTAATCTCATCAATTCTCCTCTTGGCCATCTCAACCTCCTCCGTCAGCTCCTCCTCCATGCGCTTCTGCTCATCCAGTGACTGTCTGAAGATTGTAATACAAAAGAATAGGAATATGAATAGAGCGCCTAAAGAATCAATGATCACATCTGAGTACAGATAAATCAATATGAAGGATGAGGGCAGTATACCTGCTGGTAGTGATGTAGTCCTCCAATTTCTCGATACGCTTCTGGTTTTCTTCAATTTCACGGATCTTCTGCTTGATTTTGGCCTGGAGTTTTACAGATATATGTGGTTTTAAGTGATCAAATCAACCATAACGTTCTGACGAAGAAAACTTGCAGTTAATATTTCATTTACCTCCGTTTCCACCTTCTTCCTCTCCTCTAAGTCGAGGCGGTCCTGGTCTGCTTTCTGGTCGCGGTTGAACTTCTCCAGCTCTTGTGCCAGAGTGGCAGCACGTTTACTGGCCTCCTCCTTCAGACGATGGTACTGCTTCACCTGAGAGGGTGAGAGGAACAGAAGTTCATGCCAAGTCAGTGAATTTTTAAGCTAAGTCTCATCACTAATTCAAAATAATGGCATGCAGGTCACACCCAATAGCCTGGGATCTGCATTAAGCAGCTTTTGAAGTAAGAAAAACCGCTAACTGAGCTTTAGCAAATCAAAGACTAGCTGTACTGACCATCACAACATATGACATAAAAAATGATATGAAAAAGTTAGATTCAGACTAAATCAGACAAATAAGAGCATGAGAAAGTTGGCTGTATGTTTTGCATGCTTCAAGTGTGTAAGGGAGGAGGAACTAGTTGGTTAAGCTCATACCTGGTTTTCCTCAAGAGTAAGATCCTGTCCCTGACTCTGCGCCTCCTCCTCCATGCGCTCCTCAAACTCTTGCTTCGCCAGCTCCACCGCTCTCATCTCCTTATCCAGCTCGTCCATGTCCCCCTTGCGTTTCTTGTACATCTTCTGGGCATTTTGCAGAGATTTCTTCGCTGCTTCGAGCTTCTTAATCTTGTGTGAGGTGTTCTCTTTAGCCTTGATGTACTGCGGCCTCTTTTGGTTCAACTCAGAGTCTTTCTCTCTGTGGGCACAATCAGGTGTTTAGTGAAGCCCTTTAATTATAGTTTAATGGAAAGAAAACATGAGCAAGTTTTGAGGATTCTGTAAATTCCCTGTCACTTACTTGATTTCTTTCTCAATGGTCTGCTGCTCCCTCATCAGCCGGCCCAGCTCCTTCTTCTTGTCCTTCAGCTCCTCCTCCACATGGTCCATCTTCTTTCGGTCTTTGTCAATTTCCTTGTTGCGCTGGCCTAACTCTTTGTTAAGCTTCTCAATCTCTGTCTCGTTGTGGTAAAGTTTGAAGAGCTGCAGCTGAACACTCGCTCTGGCCACTTCGTCTTTCAAGCGCTGGTAACGCTCAGCCTGGTGACATGATAGGTGGAGAAATACAGACCAAACTGAGGTGAACTCGTAAGATTGAGTTTAAAATCAAAACAGGAAATCCAAATTAAGATTCATGAAGGACTCAAACACATAGCCGTATCACCATGTGCATACCTCCTCCTTTTCTTGCTTTGCTTCTTTGCGCTCAGCAGCAATGTTTTTCTTTCGATGGTAGTTGAACTGAGTGTCCTCTTCTGCTTTCACCATCTCTTTCTTTCTACGGTCGTACTCCTGGGCTAGCTCTCCAGAGCGGGAGATTTCTTCAAACAGAGCCGTACGTTCTTTGGGGTTCTTCATGGCAATAGACTCCACCGCTCCCTGGATTAAAAGGGGTCAGAAAAAAAGTTACAGAAAACAACCATGTCACCAGACATTTAGTCAACACTGGATAATTATCAAACTCAGTTCCAAAAAAAATGGTATGCTGTTTTACGTGCTGATTAGAAGTCTTTGTTGCTGTTCTGCACATTTATCACCGCCCTAGTTAGACCCAAACAAATATGTTCAGTGAAAAATATGCGTCTATTTTCAATTTGATGCCTACAACAGGTTCTAAAAGTTGGGCCAGGGACCACAAAAAGCTAAATGCCTGTGTGGTGATAAAAGAAGTTCCTGGCACAACAATTTGAAACTATTTACTTCAATTTGCAACAGCATATTTTAAAGAGGCCGAGTCACTGATAAGAAAAGCTCTTGAGAAACCACATGAGCTCACAGTCCAACAAACTAAGAAAAATGTTCCCAAGCACAAAATTTCAAGATTTGGGGATTTCATAATCTAATTTACATAAAAATAAAAATTTAAAAAAGACTCAGAGAACCTGGGAAAGTCTCTGTGTAGAAAGGACAAGGTTCAAAACCAGAACTGGGGGGGGGGGCACCATCTACATGTCCCTCAGCTGCACCACATCAAAAACAGACAAGACTCTGAAGTGGAAACGATAGCATGACCTCAGATCACTTTTAAAAACTAGTCTAAAACAGTTTACAGTTACAGCTAAAATAAAGGAGCTGTACCATGCAAAAAACAAACCCTGTACACGCACAATCCAGAAACACCAATGACCTGGTTCTGGCCCATTAAAGATGGATAGACACAATGTATAAACTGTGCTGTGGTCTGAAGAATCAAAATTTGACATCTCTTTGGAAATCATGGATATTGCACCCTCTGAAGGCATCGTATATCATTGGAAATTGATTTTTGCCTCACCTGGAAAACCAAGAAGTTCCTGGCCTTGATCAGAATTCCAAGTTTTTCCAGCTCTTCACTGTATTCAGGCAGGCCCACCACCTTGTTGTTGATGCGATACTCTGAGGAGGCACCTAATGCACAAGAAACAAAGAATACATATTAGGGTTAGGTTATTCATGAGTTCCTTCAGCACATTAAAAGGACAGAGTGTTTTGAGTTTTGTCTTCCATCAAGGCACACAAAAATCAAATGCTTTAATGGATGGAAAAGGTAGATGCATGGTTGTTAATTCAGTATTGCCATCAAGCAAACAGTGCACAGATAACTATAAAAAGTTGACAAAATGTTGAGGGGTTACATTGAACCACAACAAATATCATGTGTTTGCATTAAAATGTTTTCCTGACAAGATGACACTATTTAGAAAAGGTAAACTCCTCTAAATCAGTAAAAGTAGAGTCATTACAGAAAGGCTTAAAGACTGGATTCCAGGATGTAGGCTGTATTAAAAATAGTGCAACATAGCTATGCAGTCATACTTTGACATAGGGATGTATAAAAGAGTGACTGTTTGTATATTTTTAGTAGAAAGGGGAAAAGCACTCAGAATTTCTCAAAAATGGCATCTCTGGATGTTTTTCATAGAATAGGATTAGATAAATCTTTCAACCATTCTTACCTATGATGACCCTTGTGAAGGAGCGCTCCTCTCCGTTGTCTTCTTGGTACACCATGCTGACAAAGGCTCTGTTGGCAGCTGGCTTGCCCACAGGTGCTCCGTGGATCAGGTCCTTCAGAGTCTTCACACGCAGGTTACTGGTCTTCTCTGCCAACACGAAGCTGATGGCATCCATCAGGTTGGACTTTCCTGAAACAGCGAGACATACTTATAGACTTGACAACAAAATGTAAATGTAACCAGATATTAATGACAGACCTTTGCACGAGTGCTTTCTGTTTACATTAATATGTCAACAAAAAGACGTTTGAGGCAAAAATCGTGGGTTACTGTGTAAAGAACACAAAGTGCCATTTCTCATGTATAGGACATATTAACACACAGCATCTAAAAATTGTGCATTCATTAGATCATGCAAAAAAAGCAAATAAAAGTTAGGATAAAGGCAGTAAATATGCCATTAGCTTGTTGAACAGATTAGAAAGTGATCACCAAACACAGCAGCTTATGTCTGTTTACTGTTAGCCAAAGCTAGCAGGTCGTTTAGCCGCGAGTTTTTTCCAGACCATAACATACCTGATCCATTGGGTCCAATAATCGCAGTAAACTTGTGAAAAGGTCCAATGATCTGCCGTCCTTTGTACGACTTGAAGTTTTCGATCTCTATAAGCTTCAAGTAGCCCATCTTCTCAGTATTTGTTCCACTGACCCGGAGAAAAGCTGCAGCGAAGCTAGTGAAATATTAGCTAGCAAATGCTAACATCCAAAGTTTAGCCGATAATGCTATCTGAAAGAAGACGTTTGCACGCTTATGAATTAACCACTTTGTTAAATCTGCCCTACGACTATGCACAAGTCACATTATTAAGTGCAAATACGGTAAAATTATCCAGTCGGCTTCATTATCTTTGCTAAATAGACGCGATGCCGTTCTCACAACAATGCGCCATTTTACAATCCAACAGGAAGACCCTCTAGCGCGCGAGGCAGGAAACCTCGTAGTTTAACGCGAGAATTTCATCATCGTTTGTCGACCCCGGGATTGTGTGTCCACGTTTCACAATGAACGTTTAAAAATTATATCTACAAAAAATGGTTTCATATTTAAATAAAATAGAAAAAAAATAGATAACTAAATTTGGTAACGGGTGTCCTGCTAGCTGTGGCTGTTGTCAAATAGAGCCCTACCCGTGCAGCGGAAAGAAAAGATGTTCCCATGGTTACAGGGGACATCCAAACACAAGAGGATTCGAGCAGCAAAACAGCCCTATTGACCCGGCAGCAAGTCCTGACCCAAAAAATTAATTGAAATAATTTTGCCAGATATTTCATATCAGAGGTAAGTGTTATTATATCTGGCATGTTTGTATCTTCAAACTTACATGCAGTTTTGTATTAGATTAAAGTCCCTCAAGGTTTTAGTGGAACACTTATTCGTTCATTGAGTCTAGAGGTTTATAAAAGAAGAAAAAGAAGAACCACATTGATCCCTGAGGGGAAAATGAGTAGGCCTAATTCAATTTAAGATCAGTGCACCATTATTCATCTCAACAGACAGGACGGCATAATGACAGCTCAGAATTGTTCTGTTTCATTTCTGTTTTATTTTAATTGAATTTATTATCATCTTTCCTGCCTTACGTTTTGATTATCTTGCCTATTACCATCAATTGTCTGTCCGTTTGTTATACAGCACTCAGGGCTGCTTTCTTGTTTGCATGACCTTACCATCAGGGTTATAAGCTGAAAGCATGTACAAAGTGGATTTGTCTGTAGACCAGTCCATAAACAAGGCTGTGGAAAGGAGAAGGTCTGCAGAGACAGCACGCAAGGCCCGGATCTTCGACACTCGGCTCCGTGTGATGGGCCTCGACGTGGATGCCCTCAATCAACAGGTCCATCTGAAAAAACAGCAGCAGAACATGGAGATGCAACGAGGCAAAGCCTTTGGTAAACTATGGGCATGGGACAGAACTACACCCTAACCATTTTCACTCAGAGGAAATAACAGGCCTTTAAGGACAGTGCAGATTTCTGGAACCATGTCGTACATGTACTTATAGGCTTGACAGCAAAACTTAAATTTGGTTTTCTCTCTGCTACAGATAAGCTAAGAGTGTGGCATGATAAAGCACTGCTGCAGCAAGAAGCTGATGAAAAAAAGAAGCGAGCTGCTGTACACACTGACCTGACCCAGTATTGGTCCACCCATCAGCGTGTGGAGGACTCGAGTGATACTGATCTCAAGACTGGCCTGAGGGGGGCACTCAGGATCACCATTCCAGAGAGCGAGCTGGGGCCTGCCAGTATGCAAATCTTTAATGTAGGTTCCATGGAGCTGGCAGGTGTTTATCAAAGATGTGTGGACTATAGTCCAAAGTTACACAAATAACCATGTTGCCAATGAATTCTTCATGTGCAGGGCGAAGATGTTGAACTGGAGCAAAGGAAAAAAGAACAAATAAGAAAGACGGAAGAAGAGCTAAGAGCGCAGAAGGAAGACAATGAGAGGAGGCGGAGAGAAGACAAGCACAGAGGTAAAAGGAGAGAGAAAAAGACATACACACACATACAGGTCCACACACTTGCGCATGATGTAATCCCTGATGAGCCAACATGCTGTGCACTATAGCTCCTTCAAATCATGCACATGTTTCATGCTTTCCTGCTCAAACAATCACACACTCCTACGCACAGCCCTGTCTGCCGTGTGGCATTGATGGATGCTCATCTGAGAGAGCTGTTTTGCATCCGTGAGAGTGTCACTGAAGTCCCCTGCATTATGTGTGATGGATATTGCAGGTGTAAATTCATACTTGTGTGTGTGTGTGTGTGTGTGTGTGTGTGTGTGTGTGTGTGTGTGTGTGTGTGTGTGTGTGTGTGTGTGTGTGTGTGTGTGTGTGTGTGTGTGTGTTACAGAGATGCTTGTGAACAAAATGCTGGTGTATGAGGACCTCATGGGGGTTCAGCAGCGAACACAAGAGGAAGAGTGTAAGAAAGCTGCCCGTATTGCCCTCGACAACTACAATCATGCTCTGGTACAGTACATGCATGCTCACACACTTCACACACCAGTGTAAACTCAAAGTCAAATCCAGAGAGAGTTTGCACTGTGGCGTGGTGTTCTCAGGTGGGTTTTGAAATTAACACAGCTAATTGAAAATGTGAAGTGATGCGTACACACACTTGCTGCAGGAAGACAGCAACCACATTAGCGGGTTCCAAGTAACATGGATGGTTAAACTGTCCTGATGTATGCGTGGGCCTTGTCTGTTTTTCATAAGGCCCCATTTAGGCTCCCCTATTAATATGCCTGGATGCACTGAAGCCTCTACAGGGAGGCACCACTGTAAATCCTTCAGGTCTTGGCATTTTTATGGCAATTATGTGGTTTCCCTAATAACCACTCACATGCACAATGCACAAGCAAACACCCATGAGTAAGTAGATCTCTCAGGAGGTCAATCAGCCTAAGTACGACTCTGTGTTAGAAGTAGTTACAAATTGGAGGTTGGATTTTTGAAGCTGCTGCTGTTCTAACTATCGAAGAAATGATAAATCAGCTGTTCCTGGGTCAGTTAAGTGAGGCCTGATGTTATCCTCTTGTTCTTCACAGGCTGCAGATCAGGCACAGAACCTGAAGGAGCAGCACAGACAAGAAGAGAGAGAGAATCTGTCTGAGATGTGGCACACACTGACATCAGACATGATGACAGAGTGTGCAGAGGCAGTTGAGAGGCAATTAGGAGATGGGAGGCCACCCAAGGTTCAGGTGGAAAAGTGGAAGGGGATGAGACCTGAGCAGCTAAATGAAATCCTCAGGGAGAGAGAGAAGCAACGAGTTGAAAAACAGGTACAACAGTCATTCTCTATGTCTGTAGAGTAGGGCTTAATGGTAATTCATAATGAAACACGTCTTTTCCCAAAGTTTCTGTTGAGTATTACTCTTTTCAAAAAGTTCCACCATAACTGTGGTGTCAGATCAAAGGGGAAAAAAATACTACAAAAGACCATCAAAAACCCTTCATTTCTGCTGGAGCTGTTGCCAGTCTTTTAGAAAACATCATTCATGTTTAACTTGCTCATCTAAAATGTTCAATCACTAACAAATAGTTCCAAGACCCTTCGTCCCCTGAGTGGATCTGCTTTCATTAAATCTTTTTGCTAATTTATTTGTGCCTGTTCATATTTCATCACTGTGCACAGACGGTTTCTTCAAAAGAAGTTTAACGAAGAAAGTCTCCAGGCGTTTTTATCCTTTTCTATTTTCTTATTAGAAAAGTGGTCACTGAGATTGGAATCTTTTTCAATCAGTCTTGGGAACATCCCTTCATAAAAACTGATCTAAAATACTTAAAACCGGGTATTACTTGTGACACCATCGTATCCCTCTACTTGGGTTTTAACTTGGACCATATTTTTATTCCATTTTAAGAGACAATATGAAGCTGAGAAGGTGAAGAAGGCTGCGTGGGAGTTCCAGCTCCTGAAGCAGGCGAGAGAAGCGGAAGAAGAGGAGAAGAGGGGGGCAGAGCTGAGGAGAGAGAAAAGGATTCAGACTGACCTCTACAACATGCACTTGGCCAGAGAGCAGCAGGCACGGTGAGCTTGGCACACATATACTGTACATTCAGTTGGACAGGAGTCAGCCAGCAGATGAATTTGGGTAGAAGAAAGGATTAGTGAAGTATTTTGGGAACAGTAACCCACAGTGTGTTTATTTTTTGTTCCACAGACAGGAGTACCTGGACAAGAAGCTGTACACCAACAAACCCACCAAGGATTACTTCTATCAGTTCAACACCAGCTCCCGCTGACCACCAATTACTTCAATCACGTCAGGATTGTAACAATCTGCTAATAAAATCTATTTCTCGCTGCACCCAAGTGAATTGAACCCTGAATAAAAAACACCTGCCCTTTATTTTCAAGTGGTACAGACATATTTTGATTCAAGAAGTTGAAAAAAGGGACCCTTTTTCTTCCGATTGTTCCAGGTTCTTTATTTTTCAGTAATATATCCAGTTACAGGAGTAGATTCATAATGCAGTTACAGTTATGATTTTGGCCCCAATCACATGTTGTTCACCTATTGTACAAGTAGATACCATCATTCTCATTGTGCTAATGTGCACCCCACACACCACAAACTGGCACAGCTATATCCCAGTAGTGCCACATACTCCCTTCCCCTCTTTTTTGCCTCTACTCCTCCTTCTCCTACCCCCCACCCCCATCTCACTTAGGCATTGTTGTTTCAAATCTGCATGTCTGAGTTCTGAAAATGCTCTTCTGCACAAGCCAATTCACTTTTCAATAGCTTTTTATCTTTTGACCATATAAAAGGGGGGAAACAACAGTGAAAAGCAAAGGCCAGCTTTCCCCTCGATACATGAAAAGCAAAGAGTGAGTGGCAGTTGAGTGAGTATCTGTGTGTGTACACTCATTCCCCATTCAAAGCTAACATTTGTTCCCAACACTAACAAACAAAGATGTTTAGCAGCAGATAGTCCAGTTAGAATATCAGCATAGTTTGTGTCATTCATTGCTCCTGTATGAAAATAAACTTTGTCAAAAGCTTTATTTGTCCTGAGTGTGCATGAATAACCAAGAAGGAGTGTATAGACACCTCCTTTAGCGTCACTAGCCTTTGTTGACATTTCAAATATCTCATGGGCTGGGAGGCAATGTTTAGCCAGTGTCAAGCTTTAATTTGGACAGGGGGAACCAAGGAAGCAACTACATAAAGTCACACCCTGCGGTATGCCCAAACAGACTTGCTGTACCCCTTCCTCTCAAAACTGTGTCACACAAAAACACCACAGATATTCACCGCGCTGCAATGTATCGCTAGATGGTCACGGGCATGAATGAAAATCTTAGCTTTCATTGTAATGTATGTGCTACTATCACTAAATGACACTTAGTCGCAAAGTTTAATTAAAAAAAAGAAATTGAAATGTTTTCCAAACATCTACAGAACAATGTGATTTTTCTCCCCTTTTTATTCATTTATTTTTTTCTCAGCTATGAATGCATTTTGCTCAAACAGCCAAATCTTACTCCAATCATTAGTCAAAAAAAGAGGCTTGATTCCATAGCAATAGTACAAAGAACAAAAAGAAAAAACTTGAGGGGGTTTCAAACCTGCACATTTTTCACATTTTTATATCAAACATTTTTGGGTTCATCAAAACAATCTAGCGGGGATATATTTACATTCTGAAGAGGGAAAAGAAACCATCATTACTCTATGTATCCAGTTAGTTGTAGCTCAGAGTTTCTGTTTAATCGATAGCATATGAATACGATGACTGCCCAGCTTTGAAGTAGTACATTCTGTGTTTGATGTAGATATCAGCTGCTTGCCTTTATTACAAATCAACTGGCATTCTATAAATCTGTCTGCAAACCCACTTGCATTGATGGAAGTCTGAAAAATAAAACTCAGGAGAAGACTCCTCCACTCTCTGATCTGTTAATATACTGTTCATAAATACTGTTTCTCAGTTTGTGTAGTATGAGATGGACAGGTATGAAAAGGTTGTTAATCAGAGACAACAATGTTTTAATACAGTGTAGAAAGAGACAAAGACAGATACAGAAAGCTACACATAGGTCTCGACACAAAAAATTACAACATTTCCAATCATGACATTACACTTCTGGTGGGAAGGCGAGAGAGTAATGACATCAATCTGGTGCTCTATGCAGACCCAGCAGGCACAGGAACTTAGAAGGAGCATGTACATATCTATAATACTGTATTATGGCTAAATAGATAGATGTAGATGCAGCTATATACACCAGATGCTACTTAGCATTTTCACAGCAAGTTCCCGTATGCATCCAATGTTATCTATAGTAAGAAACTTGGCTTTACTTATTTTCAATAAAACCAATATGATCTATGAGATGGATTAATCTAGAGAGGTCATTATAGAAACAAACATAGTAGAAAAAATATGAAAAGGAGATGATATAAATAAAAAGGTAACAAAAGGATGTTTTGTATTCAAACGTATTTGTAAAAAAATGTAAAAATGTCACTGGCACATACAATCTGAGACATCGAATGGTGTTAAACATACAAAACAGTGTGAAATAATATAAGGCATGATGAATGTCCAAAATTTAAGACTTTTACAGCAGCAGGTGCTGTCAAATTCCCCAGTCTACCATTATCATCATCATCCTCTCTCAATGCACTACTCTGTATCTCTATAGGACCACACCTACACTCCCTGTGATATTCCTATCTGTACAACATTCTGTCTTTATCCTTCTATAGAGCTGTCTGTGAAAAGAAGAAAAAGAGAAGAACGAGAGGGAAATGAATGTTAGTCATTAAGATATATTGTAAACCACAGATAAAGGAGGGGTCAAAGGGCATTTTCAGGTCAGTCAGACTTGTATCTCATCGTCCACTACTTTGGACTCTCCTTTGGTCAAAATAGTCTAGTCGATCAGATGACTGCCAGGTGCATCTGAAAAGTCAGCGTAGTGATTGTATTTCAGTCAGGAACTACAGATCAGCAGGTCAGCAGGGAACAGGAGTAAATGGGCACATGTGTGTTGAGATGTTTTGGTCTGATGGTCCTCACAAGATGAGGGAAGTTAATCCAGGATGGTGACTGAGTTGGGCATGCCATTGGTTGCTGAAGAGACAGTGGTGGGGTTGAGCGGGGAGGTGTCCGGCAGGCCGTGGAGCGTCTCCGGACCATCACCAGATCGGCTGAATTGGCTGACTAGAGACTCATCCATGTTGAGCTCTGTGGTGATGGCACTGCTACCGTTGAAGTCCAGGTTGTCCTCGCTGCACAGCTTGCTCTCCTCACACAGGGATGGCTGGCTTGCTGTGCGCTTCTCCTCAAGGTCACTAGAGAACACGAGGTCAAAGTAGAAGTTATCAACAGGAAAGATTCACACATTCGAGTTACCTCAGAAGTCAGAAGTCAGAACTGAAAATGACGTCACACCTGAGTTACCTATATTTTTGTTACCAAGTCAGAATAAAGAAAAATCGGAGGCGGAAACAAGATGGCTACATCTGCAAAAGTTATTGTAGCGCTTGCCTTGTCCAAATATAAGGCAAGCGCTAAAATAACTTTCATAGATGTAGCCATCCATTTTCAGGCCTCTGATTTTCTTTACTTGGTAACTGAAACGTTAGTAACTCGGGCACGACGTTATTTTCAGCTATGACATCTGACTTCTGGGGTGACTCAAATGCAGCATTAGTAACTTATCTTTTAAGTCTTTGTGAGGTAAGTACTTTTGTAGTTTTTATACTCCATGTGAAAAAAAAACAATCCGTTGGGAGTTAGCTTGGGCTTTAGAAAAATATGATCAGCCCTTTTCCTCCGTTTTCAATGTTTTAATGATCGCGACAGGAAAAAAGAACAAGTTAATAGGAATCATCTTTGGTTGCAGTTAATAGCACACCACATAATGACTACTCCAAACAAAAGTGAGGAGGTAGATAACACATAGGCACGGGGTAATTAATGTTAGCGGGTCTGGGATAGCATATCACAGCACAGCACAGCATACCTTTCCAGGGATCTGCATACACGGGGCAAGCATTCAGAGGAAGGTGAAATGAAAAGAACACAAGGGGTTAGAAAGTGCAAACAATTCTGATGGAGTTACGCTTTGTTAAAAGTTTAAATAAATAAAAGAATGATAATAATGTAAGGCTTAGAGGGGTGCTGCGCATTCAGATGACAGACCTGTACTCTCCGAAAGTCTCATCCTTCATTGGTCGTGCTTCTGAGTCCATGGGACCCTCTTCTTTATCTTTCACTGAGAAGAAGATTATTGGATTTCATTATCAGGAGGATCGCCACCATATTTCTCTTTATCGCCACCGAGTCTGACATCGATAATTACATTCTGATGTGCAGCAAGATAACACCAAGAGAATAAAAGTCGATTGAATATGTATTATTCTGAAGGATAAGGATTTCTAAACAGAATCTTTCTGTGTAATATTTGATGTTTGATGTAATCGCTCTCTTTCAGCATAAAAATCAAAGTTTGAGACAAGCTAAATTATTCATATTCTCACTACGGTATGTTTTCATCATTTTCTCAGTCCTTCCTTCTTACACAGACCACTGAGTCCTCTTTAAAAGTAGTGAGCAGCTTGCTTCTCCCTTGTGTGTAAGGAGATAAAAGGCTGTTGCTTTTTTTTTCTGACCAGGCAGACAGTGGCCTGCAGGTTTAAGTCACTCATGTGGTTTGTGATGATCATTTCACAGTCTTTTATAAAGCAGAGCCCCTTCTTTGCTATCACAGAGAAGAAACATAAGCTTTAGGGAAGGCTTCGCTTTATTTGTGTTATGAAGGCAAAGGTAGAAACTGGCCAATTATGTGAAGCCGCTGCATGGATCACATAGAGAGCTGTTTGGAAAGAATTATAAACCCACTGCAATCTTAGTTTACTTATTTCCCACAGGAATAATCTTGTTTACTTTGGCACATTCATCTAACTGCTTGGCTCCTTTTTGTACTGCAGTGCTACTTTCATTATCGAACAGCTTTATGGCTCCAGACTGTTCAGTGTAACCGGCAAAGCTTATGTAAAGGGTGACACAGCAGTTTTTTTTACCTCTGAATTGCTCTCACAGGAGGGTTAGAGGGAGTAACAGCAATGATACACTCTTTCAGAAAAGGAGATTGTCTCAACAGTTTTGTCTTTACAAACACCAAACATACACAATATTCAAGATCGGATCTGTACTGATGGATACTTGTGACTGAGAGGAGCACTTACCTGAATACTTCCCCCCTTTACTCCTCTTGATGAAGCAGAGGATGAGCAGAATCAGCAGCAGCAGCACGATGGCACTCACAAGGCCGATGAACCAGCCCTGTGTGGCAAAGCTCGGCTGCACTTCTGTCACAGCTGGTAAAAAAAGATGGAAGTAGAAAAATGGATTTTATGAATCAGAAGAAACGGGACCAAACTAGAGGCAGAGAAGTAAGGATGAAAAAGAAGCAGAAACCAGATTAAAGAGGGAGCAGGATCCAGAGCAAAAGAGACAGTGTGTATCGACAAGAGACATCACCTCAGAACCAACAAAAATAGAACTGCACTAAACAAACACAAGTAATGGATCGTTTCATATGGCTAACCGAGTTCTGTTTTATATACGTCTTTGAAAGCACTTCACAGGCGTTTGAGAGAACTGCACGACACTCTCAGTAGGATCAGCGTTATATTTAGATGTGGGAGGCCCAGAGGAGGGAGCAGAGAAGATGAAAGGACAGATGATGAATGGAGGAGGAAGAGGGCTCATAGTACCTGTTCCTTTTGTGTTGATGTCAGTCTCCCAGAAGGTTGTGTTGTTGTAGATGAAGTAGAGACGGTAGTGGGAGCCAGGAGTTAAGCCCTGGAGTTGGTAGAAAGACTGTGCAGAGTTCACCTTCTCCGACATCTTCCAATTGGAGCCATCTGTCACAACATAATATAAACTTTGGTGACCTTTTGACTGTTAAGAGCTTAGGAAATATTCATGGTTGACATAAACTTTTCACAGTTGAATTTTGAAGTTTTCTCATGCACATAAAAGTCAGGCCTCATACCACTCTTTTTGAGGTATTTGATCTGAAAGCTAACGTTCCTGTGTCTCTTCTTGGCGACCCAGCTGAGGTTTACTGAGGTTTCCTCCTCAAGCAGGCTGATGTTGGCAGGAGGTGCTGCAAGACATTCAGACAGAAGACTCTTTAAGTCTTAAACAACGCAAACCCCACAATGGGAGCAAGATGGGTTAATTGTCTTGCCCAAGGACACAATGGGCAGACTTGGGATAGGGCAGGGATCGAACCGCCAACCCTTTAGTTATTGGATGACCACTCCACCCTCTGAGCTACTGCAAATATATACTCCAAATATATCTGATCTGTGATGAAGAAAATGCTGCGGATCAGTTTCTGTACCTCCATCAAGTGTAGTGGCACCCTCCTTCATGACGGGCTCTCCATCCCCTGCAGTGGTGCGCCCCCTCAGGTAGAAGCGGTAGTGACTGTGACGGTCCAGACCTTTCAGCTTGAGGTGAGTGACTGTGGGGTCATCTATTTTCTCCACCTGCATGGGGCTGTCATCATTCTCTACAACTGACCAAAGCACAAAAAAACATTGACACATGGTTACATACGACGTGACTGACTGATGAGCCTCATTAGAGGGCTGTGCTCCTGATATTCTCTGCTCTTATTGATCCAGCTTAGAGTGTATTGTGTAGCTTTGGCTTGCATTGATGCTTTTATTGATGACACAGCATAGCATGTCTTTGTTTAGTGATGATTTCAAAAGGTTTACGTTGTTCGTATAAAGAGTGTTCATGATGCTTACTCTGTTGGTACTGCAGAAGATATCCAATTAGGATACCATTTGGCTGGCCAGGAGGAGTCCAGTGGAGGGTCATTTCAGTTTCTGATGGACTGTCCAGCGTGAGGGATGCAGGAGACCCAGGGACTACAAACACAACAAGTAGGCACAATTAAAATACACTGTTATAGTATTCTCATACTATTTTCATCAACTGTCACTGATATTTCACCAACAGCAGCCTGCTTGTCATAATTTTCCTCTTTAGCCCTACACTCTTTTCCACTCTCCACCCACTCACTCTCAGCATCCTCTCATCCTTCCATACCTCCAACTTACTCCATCTTTGTCTCTCCCATTTAGAATAAAACCTCTTCACCCATTTTATCCATTACCTAGCCTTTCATGAGCCCCTTCTCTTCTTGTCACAATCTTACCTCCCTCGGGAGTCTTGAAGGTCAGCATCTCAGAGGGAGGTCCTTCACCTTTACTGTTGAATACAGTGACCACCAGGGAATAGTGGGAGTATGGTCTGAGACCACTGATCACCTTCTTCTCTTCATTGGCCCCAGTCTCTACCACCAATTTGGTCTCTGGCTCATGAGCCCTCCGGCCTCGGTGGTGGCCCCCTGAGCCGAATTTTGTCAAGTAGATCTAGAGACAAAAAAAATTGTTTAAAAAAAACTTAAAATACATTTTATAGACTTCTTACACCACTTAATAGAAAATTCCTTTTTTATATTTCAAATAAGATAAGATAAGATAAGATAAGATAAACTTTATTGATCCCCGGAGGGAAATTCAATACAAGATTGTGATAGAATATCATACATTTTGAAGGTTAGGGCTTCCAAAATAAAATTAAAAAACAAACCCTCTGTTCTTCACAACCTTGAAAGTAATAAGAGAACTGTGAAGCTCTGCCAAGGAACTATCTGGCTGCATCCACTGTAAACCCAAAGTCTGTTTAATTCATGAGGACAGGCACAGGATATGTCAGGCCAAACAACAGGGGAGTTACAGGATGAGTACCTTGTATCCCAGCAGGTTTCCTCTGACTGTATCTTTTTTTATTGCTGCCCAGGTCACTCTGATGGTTGTGCTGTTCAGTAGTGCAACACCTACATCCATTGGAGGTTCCAGTGGCACTATGGGAAAATAAGACACAGCAAAGAGGTGTTATGAGAATAAATATAAAGTGTAAATATGTGCAGGAAGTTCTTTAAAACTTGAGCAAATGCAGTAAAAATATTTTACCATCCTCTCCTGAATACCCAATGACAGGGTCAGGCTCAGGTCCCTCTCCTTTCTCATTGACAGCCTGTACTTTAAACTCAAAAGCAGAGAAGTTGCCAACGTCATTGACCATGAATGGTGGTGCAGTTGTGTAGTTGGTGTGCCAGGTCGGCCCACTGCCCAACACTCGTCTCCAAAATATACGATACTTGAAGTCAGGTCCATTAAAGTCACGTTTGTCCATTTCCTACAGAGATGAGGAATGGCATTCAATGAGGCGCAAACCCTTTATAAAAGAATTTTTTTTAAAATTTTATTTCAGATTCTTTGAAAAAAAAAAATTACCTTCCAGGAGATAACCAGAGTGTCTGGGTCTGTGGACTCACTCCTTACACCCTCAGGGTTGTTGTCTGGAGCTGTTAATTAAAAAAAAATGTTTAGTGTCATCTCAATTTAAGTTAAACTGGGAAATTAAAATTAGCTAAAAAAAATACTAGCTTCAACCTTCATCAGCTGTGTTGTGGATTTCAGATGGCTTGCTGGGTGCACTCTTGCCCACATCATTAATGGCAATGACCCGGAAACGGTAGGACATGTAGGGCCACAGAGAGAGGCTTGCACGCTCCTTGTTTCCACTCACTCTCTTGAGTTCTTCCCAGCCGCTGTCCTTCAAACTTTGATCCTCAAACTCAATTACGTACTCTGCAAAGAGAAAAAAGGGAAAAATAGAAACTTTATGAAAGGCAGAGGAATGTTTAGCTCCATAAGTCTGAATTTACAGATCAAATACTAATCATATTGCCTCAGTAATGAAAACAGAGATGGCTATCTTTTAGCCAGAGGGAGTTAAATAATGTAGATTTGCTTCTCTTAGTCTTGGAGCTAGACATGAGAATTTGTGTCTATGTCAGCATACATCTTTAGTTTGTGGCACAAGAGTATCACAGTGAGAGAAAATATTCTTTTATTAAGATACAAAAGAAAAACGGCACATGGAAGAAAATAGATAAATGCGTGTGGAACTGAAGTATGAGTGAATTTCTGTGTATTTGTCTGTACTAAACCTAGCACAGGGCTGTTGTGGTCATCTCCTGGTGTCCAGCTGAGGGTGACTGCTCGATGTTTTGGATCAGTGATCTGAAGGAGGCCAGGAGGGTCAGGACGATCTGACATGGAAATAAATACAATCATGCATAATTTTGTATGGTATCAGTCACCTGCTGGTATGTGATCATATTATATTAATATATCCTACCACATAAAGTGAGGGTGCTGCTGGCATTAGCCATGTCCAGTTTAGTGATGACCTGACAGGTGTAAACGGCCTCATCATCTGGTCCCACATTTGCAATTATCAGGTCTGGTCCTTCAAATGTGTATCTGCAAAATTATGGACATCACTGTTAATGTTTTCCTTATGTCCCAATCTCATCCGTTTTTTTGTATGTGTGCCGAGAAAAAAACTTCTTCATAGAGGTATGGTCCCCTTGATTTGTGAACACATCTGAAGGTTTGGCCTTGACAACAGAGATAAAATAATTCAACGACTGTACTTTGGACAGTTATCTAATGTACATAATTCAGTCTTACTTTTCATCACTGTGAGACTGAAAGAGCTTCTGTTCATTCTTTCTCCACTGAATTAATGGAGGGTCCAGTTTTTGATCAACAAGGGCCACACAAGTAAAGATTGCTGTGTGTCCAGGTTGCACTTTAAGAGCCTCTGGGGGTGTAATGATCACTGTCCTGTCTGGAGGAGATAACAAGAAGACAAAAAAACAAAGTTATGTAAAAACCGATCATGAGCAAACAACATCGGCTGCTAAGGTACACAGATTATTACTTACTCAGCACTTCCAGCACGGCACTGATGGACAAGTTAGTGTTTTGTACAAAGCAGTTGTAGATCCCTGAATCATCATGAGTGATGTTAGTGATCTCGAGACCTCCATTGGTAAGTGGGTTGACTCTGGGATCTGCCAGAATTGGGGATGTGCTGCCACTCTCCCTGTAAAAGACATAATTACATCCAGAGATGAACATTAAAAACTGATAAAAAGAGTGAGAGACAGATCTTTATTCAGCAGCTGGAAGAGACGATAATTTCACCAGTTCAATCGTTTGTTTCAACTGATAAAACAAAGCTAAGTTGGAGACAGCCCTTACTAATAAGATTCACAGTCACAGCCCAGATGTAACAACATTTAACTGTTAATTTATGCATACTAAGAGCTACCCACGCAGTTACTACAATCCCTCCCTGTAGAATCTGTTCATATGAAAACCCACCAGACAAGTACACATTACGGTGCATTGGAATGAAAAACAGTAGGGGGGTTTGTGTCTCACCATATGACTTTAGGTTTAGGGGAGCCAAAGGTGTCGCATTCCAGCGAAGCTTTCTGGCCTTCGGTAAATATGTATGGGATCCCATCATCAGTCAGGATCTGAGGGGGCAGCTCTGATATAACACAAACACATATATATAGAAATGAGAAACACAGAAGTAAACACACTCATAGTTAAATATGTGAAGTTCATAAAAATAAACACTTACCGATGACGTAAACGTTAGTGTTGGCGAGGATGGTCCCATGCTTGTTAGAGGCCCGGCACTGGTAGATGGCAGTGTCTCCAAAGTTGACATCCTTTAGGATTAGAGACCCACCTGTAGTCAGAGTTCGTCTGGAGTCCTTGTCGATTGCTTACAAAAACAAAAACAAACCAAAAAAAGTTCATTTTTTGATGACTTGTGTTGAGGTATGGACTTCCAAGTGGATTTATGCACTGACCAGTGAGGGGGATCCCATTGATGGTCCAGTTGATGTTCGGAGATGGGATGCCATCTGCCTGGCAGTCGAGTCTGACAGTCTCACCAGGGGCGTAGACCTGACTGATGGGCTCTTTGGTCCAATAGGGAGCCGCTACAAAGGCCATAAAATGTCAGTTACATTAACTTAAAGGTAAAAATCTTATCTTGATATCAAAACTTTAAAAAAGACAATAAGTGAGACTAATGGGTTGAGATTGATGGGTTTGCACTTTCCTAGGGGACAAAATCTCAAACAGGAAGCATCTGATCTTTCAACTGCACTCTAAAAAAACACTCAATCAATTTTTTAACTCAAGGTTTATTTGGTAATAAAAGGCTATATACTCAAAATATTCACTTTTATGGAAGAAAACCTGAGGTTTAAGCTTTAGATGGGAAAACTTTGTTAATCCAAAAAACTCAAGAGCAGTATTTTCATTCAGGGTGCTGATGTAATCTAGGCTTGGACCCAACAAAAAGTCAAAGTGTTATTATGAGAGAACAGGAGATTGGCAGATACATACATGGGAGTGACTAATTCTTACACTAATCAAGCCTGCACATCACACGCTCAAATCATCCTCATTCATGTACAATACATGCATAAATATAATCACTGTGTGAGGTACCTTCAACAGTCACAACGTAAGTGTGTGTGGCCTTCCCTTGGGAGTTCTCAGCTATACACTGGTACTCGCCCGCATCACTCTCGGAAATGTTACTGAAGCGCAGGCGGCGCTCAAACATATCTTTGACGGTCCGGGATTCAGAGAGCTCGCCGTCTTTCCTCAGCCATGTCACTTTTGGAGTTGGACTGAAAAGGAGGAGAGAAGGAAGGATGAGGGATGCCATAGAGGAAGGTTCATATATGGAAGAGAGGAGAAAAAGAAAAAAAGAAAAGTGGTTTAAAGGAAAATGGAGTAAGAAGAAAGGACAAGAAAAAATTCATAGAGGGTGAAAAGAGAAAAAAAATATAAAGGTAAGAAGGAGCAGCATTGGCAGGAGACATAAAGATAGTTAAAGGAAGGTGGAGAGAGTGGGAAGGTAGGAGGGGGAGGAGGGAGAAAAGGTGGGGAAGATTGATCGTAAGGAGTGGCTTAAAAGGCATGATTGATGGAGGGAAAAATTGACACACATGCACACACACACACACACACACGCACAAACACAGGCACTCACAGGCCTTGGATGATGCACTCAAGCTCCAGGGTCTGGCCCTTGAGAGCATGGTAAATGCTCTGGGGTCCAGTAGGTCTCATCATATGGGGCCTCTTATTCCGCACAACAGAGTTAGCTAGAAAAGAAAAAGAGAGAGAGGGAGAGAGAGAGCAAGTATGAAGACCAGGAGGAAGATTCATACATATGCATCAGCAATGTGCTGCTGACACAGCAGCCACTTTACAGACTGACACGCAATCACACACACAAACACTGTATCCAAACACTGTGCGGAGAGGACCTCACCCCTCTAACGACATATCGACACACAGATTTTCAACACACGCAGATGTTCGCGAGCGTGCGCACACACACACACACACACACACACACACACACACACACACACACACACACACACAAACGCAGAGGTCTCGTGTTAACATGTGCTCATCTCTCTGACCTCTAGTCAGGCCACAGATGCTGGCAGCTATATCTCAGTGTGAGCTGCATCTCATTACTGCTGGCTTAAGGAGATGGTGGACCTCCCACTGGCTTTCAGACCGTCTTCTGGACACACTACAGTTTAGGTCAGCAACATGCTACCACATGGGGGGAGACGACTTTGGTTTGAATATCCTGCATCAGTGGCTCTCATGCTGAGTATTTATCATTTCAAATGTCGCTCTCATAGAAAAATCTTTACAGTGTCTTAATGGAGCAGACTTCTCTGAATAAAGGCAGAGAGAATTTAAGACTGATTTCTGAGTCATTTCAGATTTATCGGTATGCTCTGGGAAGCGTTGAATTCTATTCACCACTGTGTGCAACCTCACAGAGCTGGCAGTCGAAACTATACTACACCAAGAAACCATGCCTTGGAAATGTTAGACATGAGTTCTGTCAAGTGTTCCTATGAGGAGATGAATGTGCAGGAAATTTGAAATGTAATTTATCAGTGCGATGAGCCCGGCTAAAAAAATCCATTAATCTTCTTTTTTTTTAAGCTGGCAGCAAAAATCTCATTAGCAGTTATCTCTGAACCAAAAAATCTAAATGCACTTAAATGTCCACAAAAGCTATTGGTGAGAAATTGGTACATTCTGGTGAGAAAGAATCTATGATAAATTAAAGGGATATTCTGGTGTAAAATGAAGTTACAGTCAAACACACCGTAACACCGAGTTAGACACCCCCTTGAGAGATGAATGTTGCCAACTGCTTGCTTCTCTACTTATACAAACTTTAGTAACAAGCGCAAACCTCTACAAAAGCAAATAATCACCAAGTGCAGCGGAGAGTTGCAGCTCAAGAGAGAACATTTATGACCATCACGTCATGGAAATGCAATCAGACCAAAACACTATCGCGTCTGCAGTGCAAAATGATTGTTATGGTGATTATTACTTCAGTAATGGAAATGATCCGCTGCACTCAGTGATCGACTCGTCAGGGCTCCCCTACAAACAAGCAACTGCTGGAGGAGAGTGGGTGAGTTGTGTTTGGTTTCTTCGCTAAAGAAATTAGGCAAAGCTAAAAAGATGTTTGATGGCTAGTACTATGGCTGGGACCCTTTATGTACTGTTGATGAAGTTAGGTGCTGTTCTGAGCATTTTTTGTGGCTATAGATTGTTTTTTGGTTTAGGTTTGTATTTAGAATTGTAGATCGCTGTGTATTGCTATCGTGCTGTTGTTACTAAAGTTGGTATAACTAGAGAAGCAAGCAGACGGCAACATTCATCTCTCGGTGTTAGAGTGTGTTTGACCCTAACTTAATTTTACGCCGGAATATCCCTTTAAGGGAGTCTAAGAGATGCAGGACACTTTTCTCTTTATTTTAGCAGAGAAGACCCACTGAGACTGAGGCCTCTTTTTCAGAAGAGTCTTGCCTTTATACATCATGTTACAGCTGGAGGACTTTATTAATGGAGGGATTGACTAAACCATTACACTCTTGTGTTAGAATTTCACTATAAGCAGTCTAAGCCTGACTATTAATTTCAGATCCAGTGTCTGATTTTAAACTCACAAGGATTGACCATCAGAGTAATGGGTTCCTTCGCCAGAATGGTCCGCGTCGCCAGGTACTGGACATTGCAGGTGTAGTCCTCCCTGCTGTCCTCAGTTGTCAAATGGGCGAAGTACAGGTTGCCGTCCTTTCCCACTACCACTCGCTCACTTAGCTTGATGTGGTGTAGTCCTGTTGGGTGAGAAGAAATAAGAAAGAGAGGGAGAGTGACAACAGTGAGAGATAAAGGAAGTGGAAAAATGAGAAACAATGGAGAGCGAAGAGAATCTTTGCATAAGAATGAAGTAGTTAGAGAAACATAGGAGGGAGACTGTGGGCAAGAACAGACTGCACAGTCTTTAAAGAAGGATACTAAAAGCATTTATGTAAACATCAAATTATGAGCAAATGCATGAAAAGATTTTGGAAATTGAGAAAGGGAGAGAAGACTTATAATTGACCACTTCTCTATGATGGGATGTAAGTGAGCAGAAAAAAGATCAATACAGTGTCCAAGAGACAGCTTTACTGAGGAGACAGGAAGGATGTAATGAAAGGAGATGGAAAGGTAATGTACTCACTCCAGTCCATCCAGTGAATGATTGGTTCCATGGAGCTCTGGGGAGGGTTACACTTCAGGACAATACTGTTTCCTTCCTCAGACTTCACAGTAACCCTTTTTTCTTTCTGCTGGGATGGGGGAGCTGGAGGGAGGTCGGTGAGGACAAAGACACATCTGTTAGTCTGCACTGATGCAAACAATCACGCCATCACCTGTAAATACATTTTCTCTGTTGTCTGAAGACTATCCAAGGGAAACCACAGGGCAAGACAACTTGAACACACACACATACTCTGGATAAGAAGTATCTTTTTCAAACCCCTGACTGGAGAATTTGTTGGGTTTGAGGAGAAAAGCGTCACAGTGAAGTGCAATGACGTGCTTTGTGTATCATTTATGTTTGCTCTGTCCCCCTCCTCCACCCTCCTCCCTTCTGCTCATTGTTGATAACCCCACTGGAGTAACTGAACAGGGCTTCACATGACATCAACTCAAGAGTGTTTCTGGGGAAACCGTTGTCAGGGAAACAGAGAAGGAAGGAGGTCGCCCAGGAGAGAGCCAGTCGCACAGGTGGATGGATACACAGAGGTGCTCTTTACTTTTGTCCAAGGGACTCTGTGTGTGTGTTGGTAAGTGTGTGACACATGAGTGTGTGTACGTTAGTGTATACTGATCATGTTATTGCATGTAATTATGTTCTGGGTGGCAGTACCAGGAGTGCTCAGCGTGAGCCTCCATCTGCTAACAAATGAGCCCTCCATAAAGCAGGGCAAGGTAAAGTTTAATAGGCCTGCTCCTCTTACAGCTCTGTAAATCGCTCTGTTATTGCTGATAAAACCTACAACAACACAGTGTGCTTCTAATCCGGGCCTTGAAGGCATTTATGAGAGGGATGGCACTGAAGCTGATATCTGTAAAAGACACGTGACTCCTCTGATGTGGTGCACTTTATGAAAAGACATCAGGGAAGGCTTGATTAGTTTTTTTTACCTCTTAAAATGAAGTGATTCATCTCTCTAGGCTAAAGCCAAACTGAAAGCTATAGAATTTGAATATTCAAATCATGAACAAAAAGCGAGAGACTAGGGATGGGCGATAAGTTATTATTCACGATTTATCGTCAGAAAAATCCTCCACAATAAATGCAAGTTGATGACGTAAGCGTGAGCCACTAACTCGCAGCCATAGCCCACACAGAGCAGGATAACATGGCCAAAGGTAATAGGAAGGTGTTTCTGAGCAACTTGTTGCTAAACAAGGCCACATGAGGGATTTCCTTCAAGATTGGGGCTTAGATGAGTGCAATCAGGTCTGCCTGACATCGGACAGTAGATTTGCTGCTGTCCCCTCTGTGCAATAAGAGTTTTCAATAAATGTTGAAAATGTTTTCACATTTCAGACTTGTTTCATTTCAACTGGTGTTCTCAAGACAGAATGAGTCAAAAAATAGATTGGAATTATAATATTTTTTTATCAGGACTTTTATCGTTATCGGCAGAATGGCAAAAACTCATTGTGATACATATCACCCATCCCTATAAGAGACTTTTTTCCGATGTCTAATTACTCACAACTTTGAGAATGATCAGTTATTGATGATTTTTCTTACCATCAATTTCAAGTATGGCTTCATGAGAGACAGCTGTCCCCAGCTCATTGGATGCGTAGCAGACGTATTTGCCTCGGTACTGCTTCAGCGTGTCCATAGTGTTACTGAGCGTGTAGAATGCAGACGAGCCAGAGCGCTCTGTCATTTTCAGCTCCTGGTCGCTGCCTGGGTCAAACTCCTCTCCATCCTTTGTCCACCGGAAACTTCAGAAAGGAGAAACAAATCTGTTAGACAGCTGGCAGAGTGTTCACTCAAACGAGAAGAATTATCCCATACGGATAAAAACAAAAACAAAACAGAATGACAATAAGAGACTTATGCAAAGTCTTTACATGTCACTGAAGTTGAGGACACAAAACTTCGACATGAGGCTCACAAACTTCTGTTGTGTAATTGAGATATTCATCTTTTTCCCGGCTGCTGGAATACTGTTCCACTTTAGTGCCGTTACGACACTCTGAGGAGAGATTGCTGGGGGGCTTCAGGACATTCATGTTGAAATAAGGACCCTGACTGGGTGAATCTGTGCTTTCCCATAATACTAGTATGAAGATGTCAGCCGAACATAGAGAGAGAAGGTCACTGTCCTCAGATGTCCTGGAATATAACCGGGGGCTAGACTCCTCTGTGACTAATATAGTATTTTCAGAGTTTAGGTTTAAGTGTGAACGTGTGTGTGTATGTGTGAGTGTGTGCGTTTGATGACTAACATGGGTGGAGGGTTGCCATTGGCTTCACAGCTCATGACGAGGTCTTCAACACTAAAGACCGTGACGGACCCTGGCTGTGTGGTAATCACTGGAGGCCGTTTAACTGCAAGGGCCAAAAACAGAGTTAGTGGTTTATTAGCATGTAAAAGCGAGACTTTAACCCATTTATACAAACGTGCACACAAACAGTTCAGAGTTCTGCAGTTTATACTTGACCTGCTTTTATGCTGTAACAATGCAATCTTTGACATACAGACATAGATCGTTCTGTTTTAACACAGAAAAAACAGACATTTTTCATTTTCACACTCTAACAGCACCGATAAGTATAATCAGTCAATAGCACTTAAAAAGACTCCCCAGAGAAAGAGATGAAATGTAGGACAAGAAAAAGAGTGAAAGAAGCAGGCAGGGAAAATGGGTTGAGATGAGAGGAAATTGATACAGTCTAATGTAAGAGGAAGAATTCATGCAAAAGAGATATATGGCACACTGCACCTAAGAGACTCAGAGAGGCAGGGAGGAGAGGAGGGCGTCTGTGGGGAAATGAAGCAGGGATTTCTTAGCGGGGGAAAGTAATGACCAGCTGGAGAGGTTCGGCTTTCTACTGTCAATGTTGTCCATAACGGCTATAAAGCAAAGCCTCAATAACAGACTCATAAAAAGGGCATGCTGGGATTTGGTGTAACCACTGTATTGAACCAGCATGTTTGATGCTCCCACATGTTTTATGACCCGGGTCCAATTTTTATGTTCTGTTTTCAAATACTTAGAGAGAGAAATTTAAATCTTCTGTTTGTGTAGCTCCTATAACTACAGCCTGGCTGTTTGCAGTGAAATAGAGGTCACAGCTTAATACTCGAAGGGAGGAGTCGTTGACTTTAAGGGGAAGAGACAGAGCTCAAGTCGGAGATAAATTTGCATTATGTAGGTAAATGGGTGAGGGTGTGAGGGAGGGTTGCAGTGCAGAAGAGATGGGGAGCTGAGCAGACAGGGGAGATGGATGGAAGCACTACAAATAGAGAGCACACGCAGAGAACTGAGCAGAAGAGGGACAAAAATAGACAAAACAAACAAGGGGTAGATTCACAGAGATGCAGAAAAAGACTGATAGGGTGGCTGAGGAAATTTAATGAAAGAATTCCCGCTGAAAGAGGAAATAAGCCCATTTCTTTAGCCGATCAAATTGAAGTTCAGGCTACAGGCGTTGCTCCATTATTGGCTGAGGAGGAGGAGAGGAGCTGGTGCTTAGTGCTTTAACTCCTCTTTATTTCACTGTGTCTTTGATCTGACAGCCCTGCTGCATCCTTGCAGACGGCGGGTCCTTTAGTGTCCTGCTTCTTAAGTGATCTCGCCTAATGGGAGCTAGTGAGGCTTTACACACTCTTCTCCTATACAGATCAGAAAAAGTCACGGAAACCGGCACATGTTTGCAATATAATACACAAAGAATAAACACTGTGAACGTAGATACAAAGACAGAGACACTCATGCAAGAATAACACTGAAAATGCACACTGCTACTGCTGCAATCATTTAAGTGCAACAGCAGTTTTACTGAGGGATGGAAGGAAAATAACCTCTTTGTCATAATGAAAGTGTTTACAATAAGCTATGCCAGTTCCTGCATTAAGACAGATAGAAGTCAATAAAGTTGAAAGCACTTACGATCACTTATGTGGTCTGTTAATCCACCATGGTGGCCGGAGGAAAGAGGCAATGAGGGGAAAATGTTTTAGTTACAGTAAACAAGAGTGACCGAGATATAGAGAGGGGAAAAAAAACAAATAAAAAGGTAAGAGAGGAGCCAAACTATAGGAAGAGAGATTGAAAGATAAGAAGAAATAAAGATGTAAGCACAAACATAGATGTTTCAGTGCTAATTGAACAGCTACTATGATACATGGGCGATAAAGCAGTGTTCCATAATGAAGCATAGCTGTCAACCTGACACAGATCCTGAGGTATCTCCTTTATTGATCCCCATCATTGACATAGTCGACGCTCTCTAATTGAAAGGCATGGAAACCTTGACCTTTTCCATCTTTGACCTGCTCCTCCTTCTTTCCTCCTCATCATCCGTCCTTCATCCTCCTCACTCCTCTCACCTCTGTGTCACCTCACCCCTTTGAGGATTACATATGTAGATTTACGGCATCTCATCAACAGTCACAGGTCGTGCCTGCATGAGCGCATGTTTGTCCATGCGTGTGTAACACCTCGTTTGTACATACACTCTTGAAATGCGTGTGGGTGGTGGAGGATTGTGACTCATTTCAAGTAGTCTTAGATAAAGAGTGAACAACAAAGGCAAGCTGGGAAAAACAATATTCTCTCTTCTCTCTTTCTCGTTCTTCATTTGGGGCTCTGTGGGCTGGCCCACAACAGGCGAGGAGATGATGATCAATTTCCCTGCAGGGCCACAGGCTCAGCTGTATTACTAATGCTCACATATTGCACCCAGAAGGAGGAGGAGGAAGAAATAAGGGTGTGTGTGAAAAAAAAAAACATGCTGGATTTTTGTTGTATAACTCAATTGTTGATTAAATTATCCCCCGACCAGATTCTAGTTTTCACCAGGAAACCAGATCAATAGAGGGACTAATCGATGCGGTATGAGGGGATCAATTACAAAGTAATTAGACACACCAGAGGCACAGATGAGCACCCGCCTAAAAAGGCTTGAATTTCCAGTATAATAGCTCAATCCAACCCTGAACATTGGAGTTGGTGAAAGAGAAACACATGTTCACTCTGTTGATATGCTCTAATTAATTATGATGAAAGATCATTATTAGCCGGCTTTGATGAATCAACAATGTAATTAACACAACAAATAGAACCTTTGAACCTCATGGAAGCGTTCAGCCACTATCATTATGATGAGATGTACGATATAAGTCTGTACTCACAGTTAGGGGGTATGTGTATGGCTGCTCGGCTGGGCTGGGCAGCAAAGAAAAGGAGGAGGAGGAGGAGGTGTGGGAGGTGAGGGGAGCACCGCCTCCTACTGCCAACCTGCTGTCGCTGTGTGTGAGGCATTGCTCACTGTCCCATCAAAGTCCCACCTGCTCACACACACGTGCAGTAAAATATGCAGGTAGGGCAACCTCACACACACACACACACACACACACACACACACAGAGCAAGTGTGAGGCTGTGGTTCTTTTCCAGGCGGCCTTGTACTTATGCCCCGTTTTCTACCTCCCAATTTTTTTCTTCTTCTTTTTCCTTTTTCCTTTCCTCAAGTCAAGTCCACGCCCTCCTGCTGGTCTCCTCTCTGAAAGATAAAAGAGAAGGGGGGGAGGTGAGCGGTGGACAAGAGGAGCCGGAGGGAGGGAGGGGCGGTACAGGGCCATGTGTCAGAATGGGAGAAAAATTGCCCTGCGCCATGTGGTCAGACCTATACACAGACTGAGACATGGAGTTAACACACCAATCAAGAGGTAACAAAACACATCCCTGCAGAAAAAAAAGAAATGCCTATTGCTAAACCTGTTCCTGTGAAAAAAAGGAGAAAAAACTCAATTTGGATAATAATGAGAGCAGTGGCCCATATGGAAAGGCCAGTCAGTGGGACAGATGGACAGAATACCACAACAAGAAGCCGAACAGAGCCGCCCAGCATCCAGATGGGCTGTGGACAGACAAATGCAGACTGATGAAGTGTAATACCAGATCATTCACAGGACAGACAAACATACAGCTCATAATTAGGTTGACTAGTCAGGGCTTGTTCACACTATCTGGACACTCCGTACTGTACTTGGGGGATATTGCTGTGTTAAGTGCCCGATAAAGATGCTATCAGTCTTGGTGAGCCAGACGAGCCACCCCTGCTAAGAGTCTATCCGTTCTCCATCTGTACCCTTGGATCGGGTCCCCGCCACAACACGCAGACTGTCCTCCCCCGCGACACCACATCCCGCAGCCCGCTGACTGTTTACACTACTCAGTATCACACACAAAGAACTGTTACTGCGCGCCATGATTACGACGTACACGCAAGACAAAGGAAAATGGAGATAACAAAGGGAGGATGCTTGTTTGGCAGCTCTTCAATAATGGCAGCCTGATTGAAGAGTTTTGGCTCTGTGTGCTGCTGTTTGTTGGCAATGTCACAATGGAGTGACCTTGGGGAGTGGGGGGCCGGTCAGAGAGAAGAGGAGATGAAGATGATGGGCAAAGAGTGGAGGATGAGAAGAGGATGGAGAGCTTTGATGATCATTCTTGATGGTTAATTACCACAAACCTTTACATGAAAACGGTTTGAAAAAAATATCTCAGAGAGAAAGAAACAGGAGGAAGTAGACAGACAGAGTCCAGTTAGACTTAATTAAAGACCAAATGAAAGCTGAGCTCTTAATAAAGCAGTTTAGACTAACAGCATTAGGATTAAATGAGCCATACACCAACTTCTTTGCGATGTAAGAAGAACAACACAACGGGTTTACGGAGAGGGAGAAGAGAGAAGAAAGAGGGTTTAGAAGATTTAAAGGGAGCGTGGGTTTTTGGGAGGAGAGGTGGAGGTGAGGGAGGCAGGATGACAAGTGATGAGAGGAGTGGAGGGATGTGAAGAAGAGAGGAGGGGTAGGAGGGATGACAAAAAGTGACAGCTGTGACGTTAATCCTTTACATCCACTTGCATACAAATACACAAACTGCTCCAATCAGTGTTTATCACTAGTTCTCTCTCTTTCTTCACCTACTTCTTCTCATTCTTCCTTCTTTCTTCTATCTGCCTTTTTAGTGATGGTTGTTCTCAAGAGACAGGGGGCCAATTACAATGATCTGGGCTTAAAATGGCTTCTCCAAGATGCCACTAGAGGCAGGTGGATCAAACAGGACTAGTTCTTTAGTGCTGGTGTAAAATTGATCTGAGATTGGTGCTCGGCCATCCCATCCAAAGCAGTGGTGTGGAGCAAAGCAGGACGCCGACAACATTGTGGCGCTCTGTCATGCTGCCAGTCACAGAGAGAAGGCAGACAGACAAACACACACACGCACACAAACACACACCTCCAGTGGTCTGACAAAAGAAATCAGACAGTTGAAAGGGTATGGTCCAGTGGGCTTCAGTCGGGAAGCAGACCAAGCCAAAGAATATTCTGCTCATGTTGAGGAGGAGCAGTAAAGGGGAACAGTATAATGGGATGGGAGGGGTGTGTAAAGGCGGCACTATGTGTGAGTGAGGGAGACAGAGAAAGACACCCTGGAAGAAATATAATGAGGCTAACCCTGCCACCCAAATATACCAATAACACCAACTAATGTGGCCTGAAAAATGCACAAACACACAAAAACACACAAATCTCAGCTGTGTGCCCAACACAGAGCCTTGTTGCGCTCCATTATCACAAGGGTGAGCGGCAGTGACACTGAAGCAGATGCCTGATTTCACTTCTTTAATCTTTACGCCCAGCAGCTGTCAGGGGCCCAATCCCAGCCCTGTTACCTGCTTCATTTGACAGGGTCAAAGGTCACTGTGGGGATGGCTGTTTGCAGCTGAGCTGAGATGACCTGTCAGTGTTCCTGAGTGCTTTTAAAAACTATCATCACAGCTGGGGTGTCAACTGCCACCATCAAAAGTCATTCAATCACACGGAAGATTGTAGAGTGAGGAGAGCTGTGCTGAGATTTGAGGGCGTTGTCTCTTTTCACCACGAGAGCAGAAAATTAGCCGCCAACAGGACGTGTATCAAACAAATCGACAGAGTCAATTTTGAGACCCCTTCAATTATTCATGAATTTCTGCTTTGAGGCATTTTGCTTGCAAGAACATAAATAAGTCAAACTATCATATTATACTGTAAATGTTTCATCATTAGAAGGATTTAATTGCTGCACTATTGTGGCGTACACCTCCTGTCGTCCATTAGGACCAGAATTGCACCCTTCCTTCCTCCGCAAAATGTAGTTATTAGTTTTAAGTAGACATGTTGGGTGTTGCCAAGGTCTTTGAGTGCTGTATATGCTGTTTTTTTGTGCGAGGGGGGGCAGCACACATATCAAGCCTCTTGAGTGAAATCATGTATTGAGCTTCACACTTTTTCTGATCTTCAATGTGCCAGCCTCCTACATTTACATGAAAGACTTTGGCTGTTTACTTCTTATCCTCCTATAGTTGCAATGATGCTTCTTATATTTTTCTTTTAACACATTGTGACAAACAGAGATTATTTCTGTTTATCTGTTATTTTCATGAAGAATATTTCACTATTAGGTATGTGAGCATGTGCGGGTGTGTGTTTGTGCATGTGCTCAAACATGTTTGCAGGTCTTGTGTCCTGTCATGCCTTGCTTTTAAATATTAACCACCTCCTGCTGTGAAGATGTGTAGAAGGAGCGGATGCGGGACGGAAGGAGGGGATGGAGAAAAATAAATGAATACATGGCCCCCTTTACCCCCTACTTTTCCCCCAGGGTATGTCTGTCTGGTAAAACATCAGATTGAAAAGAGACAGAGAGAAGGACAAGAGAAAGACAGAGGGATTCAGGCTCTCATAGTGAGGGTTTTTACCAAAATAAATAGAGGAGCAGTGAGAGATAATAAGGGTCAACAACAAAATGAGGAGGGGATTCAAGAAACAAGGTGATGCTGGTGGGGGGTGGATGATCAGGTCCCCTACAGAGTGAATTATTCATAGAAATCTCGTTCCTGTCTGCACAATTTGCCCTAAATTCACCCAAATTCATAATTCATTCACACCCCTCTCCATACATTCGGTTTGGTCCCAGACAGGCGCTGTCCATCTATATACCTAGTGTACATGCTCAGCCTGTCTGTCTGTCTGGTTGTCTCCTTCTCTCCCTCCCTCTCTCTGGCAGGGTCATGCTTAATGCATGAGCCTGTTGCAGTGAGACAAGTCTCAGACCCACTTTGTCGCTCCAGCAGAAAAATATCACAAATCATGTGAAATAATACCTGTCTCTGCTCAACTCCACAATTCACTTCTAACAGGGACATGTATTCAATCATTCAGCGCAGTGAAGATTGCATTTCTTACCATCCTTTCTCCTATTTTCATTGAGTGTTTCTACTTAGGAGCCAAAGATTACAATAGGAACAGTCATCGAGCGACTTGTACCCATTTTTCTGTCACTTTTTTATCAGTCGTCTCTTACTCTGTCTCCCTCCCCTCTCAGCCCCCCTTGGTATCCGACACTAAAAGCTTTCTTCAATTCTCCTTCAATCACTTCTCACAGAACATTCCTAGACCCTCTTCCTCTCCCTCTCTTCCTCCTCTCACCACTTTGCTCTCCATTAATTCAATAAACCGCTGCGGTAGCACTCCAGCTTGGACAATGCTGATTAATTCAATATTTGCAACTTTAAAGGAACAGTAGCTTCAGTGCACAGAGGGAAAATAAGATCTCTGTCATGCAAGTGCCCTTTGTTTAAAAGCTGAGAAACATGTGTTTCAGAGCTGATGATCCATGGTAAACCAAAATGGAATTTTTCCCTCGAAAATGGTAGCGCTAGAAGCTATCTGGATCAGAGTACACAGACAGCACATTTATCAATACCACTATTAGCATAAGCCCTGCTGTTGGATAGTTTGCAACGCCCACTTGAGTCAAAGCGGCGATCTATTGCATGCAATATTTTGCTATTTTTTCTCTTTCTGACCTCCCCCTCCACACACGCACACACACACACACCCTTTTCCTGTCAAAGGTTAAAGGTTAATATTGGAGTGACACAAAGCTGGAGAAAGAAAAGGTTGTCAGAGGAGATGTTAGGGCAACCGCCTACTCTCTCTCTCTCTCTCCCTTTCTCTTTCTCTCTCTCTCTTCTTCTCCTGGTTGCCATGACAACAGGGTCTCCACTACATCCCCCCCTCCCTTGTACATACAAATTCAGTTATTCACACACATGGACACTAACAGGTTTCCAGTATCGCTTACATACTGGTATGCGCAGGCACATACACGCTTACTCATTTACTGGCACAGTGACGGGCTGCTCCTCAGCGCACACTCTCTAATCCATGTGAGGGTACAAATACTGAAAACGCTGGTAAAAAAAAGTCTGGTAAGCTTTGCAAAAATTCATAAATAAAAATCATTCAGTGACTTGCCAACTAATGATTTCCGGACTCCATTACAAATTTCTACAGTCTTTCTCCTCTATACATCAATAAATGAGCACAGTCATCCCTCCTAGTGCCAAGACTGCAAGAGCAGCTACATATAGTGTGATTTATTTATTTATTGATGCATTTTTCCCTTTACACACAATGGGAATAGTAGAATAAAAGAAGTGGTGAATTATTCAAGGAGAAGGGAGTGGACTCATTAAGACATCCGTGATGGCTGGAGAATGAGAGGAGAGGTGCATGAATGGACTGATGGAGGATTGACAGCAGAAAGGAAACAGAGGAAGAGAAAGAAGAGCAACACCTGCAGGAGATCAAAAGGGGGTTGACAACAAGTTGACAACAAAAACTCTAAAAGATGAATAAGGAGTGAAATCAAGGAGAAACAGGTTGAAAAGAACAAAAAGGAAAATATTGTTTGAAAGAAAAAAGGGTAAATGACAAATGTGAGGAGGTAAATCTGGATTCCCTGATGTAATCTTGTATCAAATTCCCTGTAAGCGCTCATATTGTGTTCATGTGTGTTGCCAGTGTGTATCAGTTAAAGATCAGCCCATGTGTCAGCAGGTCAGCTAATCTCTCTTGTCAGCTAATGGATCCAGTCCTGGAGATGGAGAGCTGCCTTTAGGTCTCTCTGTTTCTGGCTTGTAAGCCGCCGCTCACTTAAGTCCACAATTGATAAGCTAATGTGCTTATGGCTTGCCTGTCAGTCATTTAGTGGTGGAGTATAGCAGCTGTGAACAAACAGAAAAAGCAGGAAAAGGTGCTGGAAAAATCATGATTGTAGACTCTTGTATTGTATTGCATCAAATAACTCCAAAATATCAAAATCCTTCTTCTGTTTGCTTTCAGTTCATGTGATCATAAATCATGGAAAGGAAAATAAGTCTCATTGGGAAAAGTAACACAAAAAAACAAGGAAACTGATATATATGTGTGTTCAGTATAATCTCTAAAAAACATGCTCACACTCATAAATATAAATATTACACATTGCTGTGCTCTTCCCTTTGGGCGTCATTTGCTTCATTAGCAGCAGCATCAGTCAGATACTGCGCCCGCAGCACAAAGCGCAGTAATTATGGCCACACCCTCTGTGTCAGGCAGAAGACATAAGATGCGATCCATACACACTCCTGTGCAGCCTTTGCGTCCTCCCAGGAACATTGTTATGCACAATGAGTGCAGCAAGAGCATGCAGCCATGAACATATGCAGCTCTCTAGCCTCTTTTATGGCGGAATAGTATAGTGTTCATAAAGCACAATGTTAATGGGGTTTGCTTGCGTAAATAGGAGCAATCATGACATTATGAAATTACTTGGAAGAGCTATTAGCAGTGACCTTCCCTATTTCCCCTCCCTGCTTCCTTTTATGTCTCCTCCTCCATCCTCCATCCACTCCCTGCTTTCTCTCCTCTTTATCTCCCACAGTCAGCCTCTCCCTTTTTTCCTGCTCTTCTGGAGCCCCAAGTCCCACTGATCCCCCTTTTTTTTATTATAACATGCATTTTGACCTTCACTGCCAGTTTCACTTTCTTCCTCGCTTTTACCTTTGTTGAGATATTTATGCTCTTTGGGAACTGGAGTCAAGCGGAGATCCCTCAATAAATGCATTGTGTGCGCTGTTATTTATCCATGGAGGGGAATCAGAAAGGGGGTTTTATGTGAGTGAGCTGGTTAGGCCTTTGGGGATCAAACCACAGCCCAGCAGCCCAGTAAAAAAGGAGCTGACATCAGTAGAGAATCTGACAGAGGCAGCTCTGCAACCAGATGCAGCAGTTTAATACTGGCAACTATAACCCAAACAGGATGCAGCAGCACCAGGTAACAGCTACTGAAACACATGCTTGATCAGAAATATTCACATATGTGAGAAAAAAAACAAAAATTCAGTTTTAACATGACTGAACGGTGAATTGTATCACAAGAACCACATTGTAATTCAAGTCAGCCATGCAAACATACATTATTGATCAGCAGATGAAATGTATGAGTCTATAAGAGATGTTTGTAATGTTAAGGTAATCTGACAAGTGTGACGGAAAGGGAGCATATGTGCACATTTAAGTGTATGTGTATGTGTATGTGTATGTGTCTGGACTGCTTAAAGTGAAGAGTACTGGCAGTGGTTTGTTTGTGTTGGCTCTTGCAGGTAGTGATGTCTGAGGGGGGGGCTGTGCACTCAGTCATTCAGCAGACAGAGAGAAAAAGGAGGAGTGGTCCCATGGGTCAGGTGATAAGTGGCCCATATAGCGCTGGAGGACACAGCAGCTCGAAGCTCTTGTGACACGCAAGGACACTGGCTGTCTACCTTGGGAGGATCAGCACGCCACACCCAGAAGAGAAGGGAGTATGTGTGACCTTAGACCTCCATCACAACAGGTAATACACAAAAACTTAATGTGAAGAGACAGCTCTTATGCTGAAAAAGCATGAAAATCATACTTGATAAACCTGAAACTATGAGTCTTGATTTAAGGAGATTTAGCTCCTTGTTTCTCAAGAGCTTTAACCACAGGTACATTGTTTTAATGGTGTTTTTAAAAAGGTATTTCTGGCTTTAAGCCTCCCCATAGACAGCTGCTTGCTCAGAGTTACTTTGTCAGAAACATTTGTCAAGGTCTCCTTAGGATGGATGTAATCCTGTCTTTTTCACCACTTCAGGGAAATGAGCTGCTGGCAGGGCAAGGTCACGCATAGTGCTTTGCTAACGTGGAAGAACCCCGGCGGCATAACGACTGTGGGAAAGTTGCTCGCATTTGGCAGCCTAACACTGAATTTGTCAAGTCCTGAAAGCGTCACACATGAAAACACAGTCCATAAATTAAAACATACATCAGGCACACTTGCACCCTTGCTTTAGTGATGGGAATTACAGCTCTTTTTAGTGAGCCAGATCATTCGGCTCAGCTCAACAATGAAGAGCCGTCTCTTTCGGTTCCCAAACAGCTCTTCATTTTACTATTTATACATTCTCTAATTTATCCAAATTTAGTGTTGTTTGGTTTATGATATGTACGTATGTGCACATATACCTCTTAAATAATTCAATACATCCTTTTTACTGAAGTATTCACAAGTAAAAATGACATTTTTTAATATCAGTAAATTGCTGTAGTCAAATGTTTTCAATGCATTTACAGACCCTTGAAACGCTCTGAAACCACCCAATGAATGCACTGACTTATTTGTAGAACCACTCTGCTACACAAAGCGGATAGACATCCTGTCATTCTGCCTTGTAGTTTTTTTTTTGTTTGTTTTTTTTTTTACAGTCTGTGGGAGAAAAAGAGAGAGAAAAAATGGCTCACAGAGGGGAGCTGGCTCCCATTATTCATGTTAAAGAGTCGGTTCTTGGAACAGATTCGTTCGCAACTGACAAATCACTACCTTGCGTGGATTGTAATAGCAAACAGTTTTCATCAATTACAGCAATGCAGAAGAGAACTAGAAAAGCACTCGGAGAGCGTAGACCTCCACCAAGCAGCTCATGTCCCCCCTTATATTGTGATTCACACCAAAACTTTTACTGTTACATGTCTTTTATTAACTTTTATTTGTGTTTAAACTGGTATGTTCACTGTTCATTATGTTCCTAAAACAAGAAATGCCCTGACCCGGATTCAAACCCAGGACCTTCTGGCTATAAGGCGACAGTGCTAACCACTACACCACTGTGCCGCCCATTGGTTATCTTTCAGCATTGAAAATTCCAACGACACCCTTATTTTTGTGTGTTCCGGATCACAGTATCCGGAATTTTGTCTGGATCAGGATCAACCTTTGACACCTCATAAAACTCATTGAGATCCTTTTGTGTAATTTTTTACTAAAGACTCTGGCCATTTTTATAGAGTTAAATGCAAAAATTCCCAAATTTGCCCTATCTCACAATGATAAAGAATCCTTCAAAAAATTCCTGGATCCAGAAGGTGATCCGGATCACCACCAAAATGTAATGGGATCTTCCTGGGGCTGAGACGCACCTCTGGTGAAAATTTCAGGTCAATCCATTGGTAACTTTCTCCGTAAAGTTGTTAACAGACAAACAAACAAAAAAAACAACGCTACCGAAAACATAACCTCCTTGGCAGAGGTAAATATAAACAACTGCCTGTGAAACAACATAGGGAAACCAGGGAGTTCTTGCACAACCAACCAGGTGTTGAAAGTTAACTGTTAAGATGCAAAAGAGAGAAGCTCATCAAAACATCTCACCAAACTCAGAGATGCACATCCCTTAAACCATTAACCAGAGCAAACAACAGCTTCTTTGCAATCCTATTAACTTTGTTAAAAAAGTTGCAGAGGCAGCACATCTCTTTAAGTGCTCCTCATTTAATCAAATCCAAGGTCTTCAGGGGATGAACAAGGAGAAACACTGGCCTCAACGGTTAGGAAATGCCTATCAAGTCGGAACAGAATGGAAAGATTAAGCGTGGTGTATGGACAAAAAGAAATGAGTAGGGAGAGAAGAGCAGGATGTTGTATCCCTCTAAGATCTCGATGAATAAAAGGACATGATCACAGACCCATAAGCTTCAGAGCAATAACCGCATATTTTACAAGTGCTTGAATAAGTAATGTGATTGATTTATTTCTTGCACAATATGTAAATCTTTTTTCCTTCCTGCTGAGCAGCACTTTGTTGAATCATTTTTAATGCTTTTTATTCTCTCACCAAACAAGGATGACAGGAAACTGTTCAAGATTCATCTCAACAACTTGAAGATCTCACATCAGAAATATTTCAGTTAAATTAAATTGGTTGAACAGTAAAAATACTCACCTTTATCTCAGACAGCCTTCGGTTAAAAACTCTATTTATAGGTCAAAGAAATGAACAAAAAAGCTTTTGGTGATGAAGAAGTGGTGTGTTTAAAATCTCTTCACCAGGACTGCACTCTTATGATGCGTTTTTATTCCCTGCAGTTGGTATATGTTTTTTTAAATCAATAATAAAAAGAAATATCTGTTACGTAAGTGTTTGCACAGGCTCAGGAAAATATACCCCGCTAGCGCTGCTGCTTGTCTCTACCTCAGCTTCTTGTTTCTGCTGCTTTCATCTCCCTGTCATCGACACACACAGGAAAAAACAGCAATAGTCAGATATGTGAAAACACACACACTCGCTGCTGAAGTCTGCACACCCAAATACGCACATACAGACATGTAGAAGCAGACAGCAGGGGTTGGTTTAGGTAAATGTCTGACAAGAACAAGTCAGTTTACAGGAATTTGCCTGCTATTCAAATCGGAGGGGGAATAATCGAAAGCAGGGAGACGTGGGAAACAGAGTTTGCATGAGGGTATAGCCACTGGATTTCATGTATAGTTTAGGTTTATTGTCATGCTCTACCCGTTTGTGTTGTTTGTGTTTAAAGGTGTGGGTGTGTGTTTACTGAGGATGCGACCGGTCAGTATCATCCCGCATGATTCATTTTGTGAGTCATGTGTGTTTGTGTGTGAGTGTGTGTGTGTGTTTTAATTTGTTTCTGTTTGTTTGTGTGTGAGCACAAATGTCCACACAGTCTCTGGGCCTAGGTGTCAATACCCCTGCCTCCCATTTCTTTTCTCACCCTGCTATCACCATGACAACCTCCTGACTCCAGCTCAGCTGCACACAGAAAATATTTCCCTCCCCTCCCCCTGCTACATGTTCATCCTCCTCACCCCATCCCCCTATACTCTCTCCCTCTCTCTTCTCGCTCACTCTCATCTATCTGAACTTTATAGTCTTTACCTTCATCTCCTGTCTCCTGAGTCCCCATCTCTTGCTCTCTCTCCATCTCCGGCACTCTCCAGTTCCCTCTTTCTGTCTACATGCTACCAACACTTGAAAGATCCCCCCCTCTCTGACTGTCATCTTTGTAGAAAGTCTGTTATTTGCACTCCTCCATCTCTTTCACTTCACTTCTCTGTTCTCTGCTCCCTGCTGATTGCCTCTCACTCTTTATATCTGAATGATACTTCCCCTTTTTTTCCTCCCTGAACTCCTTTACCCCACCCTTACCTCCTATACGTACTTCACCTGCCTTATAGAAAGTTGCCTACAGAGTGCTGTCTTCAAACTGCACGGCACTACATTGATGGAAAAACCTATAAAAAAAAGTTATCATGCTTTAGATGATTTTATATGATTGATATGTGATTTAATTCTTTTAGATTGATTACAATGTGATTTAATCCTTTCAGATGGATTTCAGTATGATTTGAGTCGTTGAAGAATGATCTTAAACTCTTAACCTTTTAGCTCTGCAGAAGGGGATATGAAAGTGTTGAACCCTGTACCATGTGTTGTGCAAAGAAGTGAAAACACATATGTTCCTTAAAAATAATGCCATACATATGCAAAGAATTACAAAAATAATCATGTTCCTCTTTGTAAAGGTCAACCGAAAGTATTGCAAAAGTGACCGTTGCTGAGGTAGCAGATATGGATGACTATGCATAATCATGAAATAAAAGAGTGCTGTTGGAGAGGAACTGGCAGAGAGGGACTGATCGAGGACTCGAGAGGTTCTCCTCAGCCGTTCTCTCCTTGCAAGTAAAAAGTCTTTTGGTCTCTTCTGTGTTCCTGAATCCTCCGAGTTTGTTAAATATGTCCACTTGAACCTGACAACATCTTCATTAAATCCACCAAATCAAGATCATACACAACACAATTACAGGTAGCATTCTATCAAACCCTGCCATCAACTTTTATCTAGCTTGAGAGAGAGAGAGAGACCTTCCAGTTCAAGGGGAAATTTGCAGTCTGGCAGTGCATCGATACAATCCCTCGACCCAAAGTGGCTGACTAACTCCCATCGCATCTGTTATCATTATCATCGGCAAACCATTTCTGCTCCGTAACTAAATCCAATCATTACCAATAGAGTCCGCAGTGGAGATCTATTTGAGGCGGAGCAGCTTGTGCTCTCCAACAGAGGAGGGCCAGGCTCCATCAAAGGCTGCGGCGTTATCTTAGGCGCGCAGCCCTGTCTCAGCTGTAGACCCCCATCCCTGCAAATCCCCCCCCCCCCTCTCCCTGTTCGTCTCTACACGGCCCCGTCCACGCACCAGTGTGTAGTGGTGCAGGCAGATCAAGGACGTGACATTTTCCGGAACTCAAAGCAATTTTCAGGCAGGGTGCGAAATGAAAGAAAGTACGCAGACAACCTGTTCGTCCCGCCTGTGTTTGCATCTGTCTGGCTGTGAGTCTGTGTGTGCGTCATTTCCCATCAGGCTGTTAAAAGAGGTGGCAAATATATCTTGGGCTATATTATCTATTCCAGGAGACAGACAGTGAATAAGCAAAAAGAAGCTGTTTTATCTGCTCTCTATAAATAATGCTCTTCTCTTCCATCATCTGTTTTTTTTCTCCAGTCCACTCCCTTCAGGGCTTTTGCCCTCCACATAGTAGCCCCAGCTGTGGCCATAACTTCACTCCACTCTCTCAGATCTCCTTTTCTTCCAGTTTTGCTTCACTTATGAGAGATGACAGAAAGGATTTCACAACAATTCAAGCGAGAGGAAACTGGAAGAGAAAAACAGATCGAAGCACAGAGAAGGGCCATGGGGATGTAGTGGAAGCTTAGGTGACCTTTCCCTGTGGCTAAACAACCAGTTGATGAGCTTTTCATACAGAGTTTAAACCAACAAGAACTGACACGCCACATCCATACTGTAGACACACATTACAAAGAGGCTTGGGGGCAAGAAGTGGATACTGTTGTTTATCCTCCCACACTTTCATATGTGAGCTACAAAACACACCAATACTCAGCCTCACAAGGAGAAAATAGAACAACAGCAAAATCCTGGTACTCTTACACTCCTGCCATAGCTAAAATAAATATCTAAATCAACCCAATCCCATGATAGTGTGGCTTAAAACATGCTGATCATACTGGTTTTTATTTAGGACACCCACACAGCATGTCAGCAACTCCTGGCAGTGAGCTCGAGCTGAACAAACACAGCTTTTGCATGACAATATTTCCCAGCATCTCAGACACTTTTACGTGATTTGAACTGAAAGCAGAAACCAGCTTCTTCTGACACGCGTGGAGGCAGACGGGTCCCCGCAGGAAGACCAGAGGGGTAAAAGCAGTAGAGAAAAAAGTCCATATCACAGCCACACAGCTAGTACCAGTCCTGTCGCTAACATTTACTGATGGATTGTTTGTGCCCTGTCTCAAATGCAGGCTGGTGAAAACAGCGTTCAGCACTGACACAACAAAACAGAGAGAGTGTCTGGACTGCTAGGGGCAGATGGTCACAGGGAAAAGTGAAGAGATGGAAGGATTGAGCGAGAAGGAGAGAAAATGGGAGTTATGAGTCTGTATAAAGATTGATGATATGTGACACCTACTCAGTATGAAGACATCACACCTTATATCATCCTGTCATTTTGGTCTGTGGGCAGTCAGACTATTTATAACTCGAACTCAACTTCATATGTTTGGAGCTGTGTTTGTTTTATTTAAAAAGTGTCACAGACTGATAAAGCACACACCCAGCAAAGACCCAGGTGAGCTGCATGTGTGAGCTTGGCAGGCGTGCATCTGCCCCTGCACACACTGACATTTCAGTCGCTACAGGATCTCTGTCCTTTACCCTCCTGTCTTTCTCTCCTCATCTTTCCTCTCCCCTCTCAGCTTAACTTCCACACTCTAACACTTCCCGTGAGCCGCCCTGAGATGAATCACACTTATATTCATTCAATATCATTAAAGACCCACTCTGATGAAAATCATGTTTTTCTTGTTCTCTACATGTTCATACGGCATTTTTCTGATGCTACAGGACATATCATAAGGAAAACTAAGTGTGAAATTGCATTTCTGAGTATTTCTTCATTCGAATCGGTGTGAATCTCTAGCAGACCCATAAGACAGGCTCAGACACAATCAGTACATTTACATAACACTTGAGAAAACTGAATTATTGCCTTACTCCGATTAAGACCAGACAACTGAAATGCATGTAAACACCTTAGTCCGACTATAATCAGATTTTGAGAACTCCGATTAAGACACCCAGATAATGCGTTTGGAATTCGATTGTCTCTACCATGTAAGCAGTGTAGTTTGAGTATGATCAGACAATGCATGTGAGTGTGCGCCATTCCCCTGTAACCCTAGAACAAAAGCACCAGAGAAGAGGAGTAGCGTGAATCTCATCTGCAGAAAAAGTAGTACGTAAATCATGTATGACAAAAACAACGCTGTATGATGCCCAGCAGTAGTTGTAGCCACTTCTGACGTCTGGCACGGACCTGCTGCTGTTTTGACAGTTGTATGGGGTCGGAAACAGCGCCGCTAAAAAGACCCATATCGCCTCCTAGTTTTGGGGAGGAGGACACGTTCACGTCAATAATTCAATTTTCTCAGCTGCGTGTATACGCACACAAGGAGAGAAGTCTGACACGGAGAAAAAAACGATTTATGAGCTTAGTCCATTTAAGCTGTGCATGTAAACGCACTGAGTGAGATTTCCTATGTAGCAAATCCAAGCTCCACCCCTGGAGCCCCGCTATGCAGGCCACACTTGGTAAACAAGATTGGATGGATGGATGGATGGATGGATGGATGGGTGAGTGGGTAGGTAGGTAGATAATTAGATAGATAGATAGATAGATAGATAGATAGATAGATAGATAGATAGATAGATAGATAGATAGATAGATAGATAGATAGATAGATAGATAAGACGATTGTGGAACAAACGTGTGTGTTAATGGATTGCGATGCTCGCAAGAGAGATAATAATGATATTAACTTTCATCATGAAAAGACAAAAAAAAAAAAAAGCGATCAGAGAGGGACTTTAAAAGAGTACTTTCTCCCTCCTCCTGTGTTTCACTTTCTCTCCTGCTTCCTCGGCCACACCCATCTGTGCCAGTCTGAGGTGGAGAATGAGGTCTTTGCTGCTGCTGTGTACAATTATCTCCTTAATCTTGTTAAAACTGTCCAGGCCCTCTGTTTGCTTCCTGCAGTCTCTGTCGTTATCTCCATGTGGTGTGATTTCTGCTTTTTGTCTTTTCTCTATTCATCCCCCTCCTTCTCCCGTGTGACATCCGCACCCCTGAATAAATCTATTTTCCCTCCGTGTTGCTCCTGTGTTTTCTCAGGGGATTGGGTCTCTTATCTTTTCTTCGTATTAACAAGAAGCCTCACCCTGTGTCTCCTTATCACTTCCTGACACATCTGTCAGTCCTCTCCTCAGCACGGGTTTCAACAAATGATTTACTAAAAGGCCCACACAATACTGTGCCCTGAAAGTTTTGCCACATAAATACCCTTGCTCAATTTCTCCCCCCCCCCCCTGTGCAGCAGAGCGTGATGGCTGAGGTAAACAGACATCTTATAGCTAAATATAGAGTCTCATTATTGCAGCACGGGAACTGTGAGAGACTCTCTCCGTAGTGCCATGCCCAATTACCTCTGATCAATTTAGAGAGCAAACTCAAACAACTTCAACACCAACCTGTTAAAGAACACACAGTCTGCATTAAAGAGAGGCTAACAAGAACAAATTCACAGACATCCACCCAGTTTAAGAGGAGATTGTGTAACGGGCTACCGTGGCCTTATTCCTTAAGGCTATAAACAGATAAGGAGGGAAGGATGTGGGTCATCATAAATAGTGAGAAAAAAAAACACAGAATAAGTTAGTAACTTCTCTTCGCAAAGTCTCCTTGACATGCAAATTATTTGCAACTTGGCCAAAGAATTATAATGAGATAGGGAGTCATCCTAAAATACACCAGGCTGAAGAGAGACAGTTCTCAAACAGAAACAGTTTTAGTTTCTTAATTCAGGTAATAATGAAAGAAATCACAAGACGGCTTTAAAATGAGATGCAACAAATGAGTGAGTTATATCCCCACATGTACGGCCAAGTTACATGGAAGCAACATTGATTTAGGTTTTTTTAATGTTTTGTCTTCATCTTTCCTGTGGTTAGATAATGTAATTACTTTCATGACTTGTGATGCTCATGTAAACAAATTTCGAGAGCAGCTTTCTCTAAATCCTGTCGGCACTTTTGTCTCTGACATTTCTTTAATCCTTGACATTTCTTTCAGATTCTCTATCTCACTGTCCATAATCAATTTTCCTCTCAGTGACTCTTTTCTTCAACATCCCCTCTTTGTTCCCATGCCTCTTGTCTGGTGTTAGCCTGTTTTAACCCCTCCCCTCCCCACCCTAACTCCGCTCTCCTACAGCCAGTGCCTGCATGCATGTGGTGGGTGTAGTGTGTAATAGGATGGCACAGTAGGTGAGATTAAATTAGGCCAGTGTATGGGGATTACAACCCACTCAAAAACCTGATCTCCTCCTACTCTCTGTAATCCAACCCTAATGAATATATCATGGCTGACACAGCAGATAATGTGCCTGAGAGAAAACATAGTCACAACATCACACAGATATGCAGACGAGACAAATGCAGGCAGACTGTTTACTTACATCACCTGCAGTACTCGAGGATGCTGCGTCTGCTCGAGTGTCTTTCATGCCCCATTTATTTCAGTTATAGTTCATTCAAATGAGGTTTGGTTGAAGGGAAAAACAACAAAATCAATGAACTTCAATGTAAACTCTCCAAACAAATAAGCCTTCAAAGGACACAATCAAACCACAAAGTAGGGCTGGGCGATATGGCCTAAATTCAAGATCACAATATATTGATCAGTTCAGCTCGATAACGATAAATGGACAATAACTACTCCACAAGCTGCTCTCTCCCTCCAACATTAAATTTGTCTACTTCAGCTGCTACAACTTTTGAACCATCCTCCATCTCCTCACCTGTCTTTCCCTCTTTGTTACGGACTGAATGGGGTGGAGTCATGATGTAGGATAGTGTCTTAAAGGGACATGAGACCATAGCCTTCCTACACACATCCAAAACCAACTTTTATTTATTTTTTTGACACCAATATATTGACATGGGCAAAATGATGTCAGTTATTGTCGTAAATTTCGGTATCAGTAAATTTTCGGTCTACTTCTTCTTTTAAGAAACAAATGTGTTTCACTCAGCATATGTGAAGCAGTCAGATTTTATACAGTGTTCTTTCTCTGATTCTCCCCAAAACACAGTCTGTTTTCTCTCTTGCCTCTTTCCTCAACTGAAGCAAACAAACTGAACGCTGAACTTCAAGAGATCATACTATCGACCAGCAGTCTCCTGGGTTTGCTTTCATGACTGAATATGCTCCTGCATAGCCTCAGTGTTGCAATCCAGTCTAAGCTTCCCAGCAATAAACAGAAATGTGTCAGCTTGACAGGTTTGATGTTTCATTGCCAAAATGTGGAATAAATGTCAGTCAAGACAGCTTTATGAACCTTGGTCCAACATTGACTGAAAGCTTTCGCGCACAGTCTACTTTTGATTTAGATACAATCACGGTGTAAATGCTGGTTGGAAACTGGTTTTCATTTGACAGTCTATCTACAGAATAAATGGAGGAGTGAAGAGTTTTTCACTGGGGTAAGTATTAGAAGAAGAAAAATGGGATAAGATGAAAGTCATGCCAAGGACATTGAGCAGCACTGTCGAGGGGAAACTGACATGAAAAGAGTAAATTCCAGCAGCAGTAAAAAAGCCCTCTTTAAGGCTTAGCCAGAACCGCATGATGTAACCTAAAGCAAAGCAACAGTGCTGAAGAAACTGACAGAACCACGATACATCATGTCTCCAAGTTTCATTAAAAATGCAGCAACAAATCAATAAATTAGTAAACCAATGCTGTCTTGTTCTATTACTATACTGGGTCTGTGCATGTAGACCAAAGCCAAACTGGTGCAAGAACACACAGGTCTCTAAAGAGTCACAAATGAGAAACTGGGGAGAATATTAAATCACATCAAACTATATATATTCAATATTCACTTAAAAAAATCCTTAAAAGCAACAAAAGAAGCAAATTCGGCCATCGGCAACTGAACAAATTCAGGCTTAGACATTGTTACCTTACATGACAAAATCATTCAAATTTAGTGTGTTTGAATTAAAGGTCGTTTTATTTGCTGCTGAAAGACCAATGAAAAAATACTCTACATAGCTATGTCAAGTATTTTAGGTTATAACCACTAAAGGGTTGATACTGTAGGCTCACTGTTAGCTGATAGTTCAACAAGCAAACTACAAAATATCACAACCTAAACTACAGCTATAGGTTGATCGTACTAATGCATTTTAGTATGGTACAGGTGAAACCATGGGACACTCTTAAAGTTATATAGTTGAGAGAAAGAAAAAGCAGGGAGCAGAGAGTGGGGAAAGGCTTGCAGCAATGAGTCATGGCCAGGATTTGAACCAGAGACCACTGCAGTGAGGACTACAGCCTCTTTACGTGGGTGGAATAGAATGTCTCCATGCATTAATGTAAAGCAATATATAGTAATTGTATTTTATGAAGGGTTTATTTAATAAGCTGGGTTGACCTCCTGTTGTGGCCTCACAACTGGAAGGTTGCACAAGCAAGGCAGTTACGCAAGAACCAAAACTTATTCTGGTCTGCCAGAACAAATAAAGGCCAATTTCTAAGAACAATCCAAACAAATGATAAATTTCAACACACTCATGTCCTTGAGGTCTCTCCCAGAGGTCAGGTATCTTGCCGGGAAAAGCTAGCACTTACACACACATCTAGAGGACTCATGCACACACACACACACACACACACACACACACACACACACACACACACACACACACACACACACACACACACACACACACACATTAGAGTCACAAAGTTGTAACACAATGCAATTCACATATGAGAGGTGCACTTCTGTCGTGCTACTAGTTCAGACACACACCCAGTAGCATAAAAGTGAGAGAGAGGGAAACCTGGGGCTCCTCTTTCCTGGTTTGGTCAAGACTTTGTTTGTCATCTGTACTGATTTCTACATCTGTACAATAAAGACGCCCAGGCTGCTCTTTAGAGCTCATCCTGTCTCCTGTGCATTATTTTGCTGCATACCATAAATTGTTTTCTACAACATGGGGTGCTTAGACCACTGGGATATCAGCCCCTGAAGGATAAGAAATAAGATATAAAATTAATCCAAAGCCACTTTATTAAAAACAACAATCTTTGAATTCTTTTTACTACGCAAAATAAAATAACTTCACATTAAAATGTGTTTTAATTTTATCAATTGAAAATCAGTATAACAAGTACATAAGTACTGGGATTAACCTACGTCACCATCAGACACTTGTCATTATTTTTCATAAACAACAACCAGTAAACCAACACTAGCAGCCTCTGTGATGTACAGTTAATTCTTTCATGGCAAGATCTCAGACTGAACACTGTTCATGATAAAACAGACACACACACACACAAAAATCCACAGAGCATCTTCTGTGACAATCAACAGAACAGTACATAGATGCACACAGAAGGTCAGTTTAGTCCAATAATAGCCACTGATGTGGAATAAGAGGCCTCTTTGATAAAGATGAATGTAGTCCGGATGGAGCGACACGGAGGGGAATTCTCTGTTTCGCTAAGACAAAGACATCATTTTGCCAGAAAACAGTCAAAGGATAAGGACTGCATAAAGAAGCGACAGAGTTCAGACATGAGTTCTCTGTCTCCCTTATTCATATTCAATCTTAGCTTTATTGCCACTTCTTTCAAGCCTGATTCTTTATTCTAAATTGTGTCCTCTGAAGAGATTAAATTCATAAAATTGGATTTTTTTGGCCCCATATTGATAACAAAATGATAAAAGTGTCATTTAATATATATTTTCTGGTTTCGAAATATATTTTAACAATAACCGGGGCCTTCAATTTCATTATTGGTTTGGCAGTAATTAATTTCTCTCCAGGTTTCAAATAAAATTCGCGATGGGGTTCCAGCTTTGTAATTTTATCTGCCAATATCATATTTGTTTCCCAGGGGGGATCTTACGATTTCTCCTCTCTCATACCACCACTTCTGAGAGCTTTAATCAGGTAATTCACTTTACGAAATTAAATTCATTTCTATACATGACACCTCTATTTGTGCCTAAGTCTCCATCACAGGTTCAATTGTATAATAGGGGAGGATTTACAAGCCTTTGTCTCGAAGCCTCTTGCTTTCTGGGAAGGCCAATAGGAGCCACAGTCATTATTTTGATTAAGACCCGAATGTGGGCTTCTCCATCCACCACCGCATGAATACTGATATGACAAGTGAAACCGCAGGAGTGTGCGGCAGGTAGGGTAGGGAGAAGGATGGAGATGGATATCCAGTCAAAGAAAAAAAGATTACAGAGGTTGAAAGGTTTGCTAAGAGGAAAGAACGGGACTCTGATATGATAACTGGAACAAGGTGGATCAGAGAAATCGCCATGACAATCCTTTTCCAGCTTTGTCTCATCTTCCTTAACAGCTTTTATCCTTCCACCATCTCCACACTGTCCTGCTGCCTTTTAAATCAGTCCTTTCCATCTTTAAATTTTCCTCTCTGCCTGACTCATTCACCTTTGCAAATTTCACCATCTTCTTCTTGCTGGATTCTCCATAATCATTTGCCCGTTGCTGGCCTGTCAATACATCTGACCCTTAGCTCCCCTAAATCACCTCAATGTATTCCCCACCAAACCCTGACAGCATGTCTACACGATCCCCCACTTGACACCCAGTGGGCCGACTCCCATCTGTGTAGTCTAAATCAAACAGCCTCCAAGCTGCAACTGGGGAGGGTTTGTGTGTGTCTGTGTGTGTGTGTGCATGTGTGTGAGTGTGTAAGAGAGAGTGTGTTGGGGGGGAACTCACTGTACTAACAGCATCCTGAATGTGCACATGCAACTGTGTGCTCACATGTGCAAACCATCAAAGAAAACACACAGACACACACACACACAGACACAGAGACACACACAGACTCTGGAGGATAACTCCAGGGAGTTCCCAGAAGCCTTTGGATCCGTGTTTGTGATTTTGTAACTTAACATTTTTTCATTCTCAAAGGAGGATGAACAGAAACCGGAGATGAAAGTCACAGTTGACACTTCAGTATCTAAGATTGCTCTCTTGCTTAACCCTTATTTTGCCCTGTCGCTGCTTTCACAGCTGAAACCCTACAATCTGGCGTGCGGGCTCTTTGATCAGCAGCAGATGCTAAAGTGATCAGGCCAGTAAGGCAATATTCGAGAATCTTTAATGTGGTGCACTGCAACAGGTTTTTTGTGCTGTGTATTTGTAGAATGGTTTTGTCTTGCATAAGTAGTGCCGATATAGATGCGGTGATGTGAATGAGTGTTGATGTATCAGAGTTTGGTAAGCAGGATGACAGGCTTAGGTGCCCCAAGGCTATAACAGGTTGCTGAGAAGCAAAGGGCCGGTGCAGCGCTGCTCTTCCCTGGAGTTGCTCCGCCTAACTGGCAGATTGAGAGTAGATCATTCCTCTCCTCCTACACAACACCAGCTCTCTACTTCAACCGCAGCACTTAAGGCATTTGGCAAAAGGCCAGCAAAGATATGTGGGCATACTGCAGCGCTTTTCCTAAATAATATTCTAAGACCTTCATTTTCATTATCTCGAAGTAGAATGTCAGGAGAGCCTTTCTTTTTACCCATGGCTCCTTTCATTTCTGTGGCTCTTTCATTAGCCAGAGCCCATCCTCCTTCATGACCTTGGCCTTTTCTATATCCTGGTTGATCCTTTCTTCTCTCTCACCATTTTCTTGAATACCTATAGCAATGAAAGGAAGCCAAGTGTTTTTCCTTTTCAAAGAGAAGTCCTTCTACCCCCTCTCTTTATCATTTTATGTTGCTTACACCATCCACCCCTGCCTTTTCTCTCTCTCTCTTTTCACTGCCATTTCTTTCCTCTCAGCCCTTCTCTCCATCCATCTCTTTGATGGAACAGCTCAATTAAGCAGCCAGCGTCAGAGGGGAGGTTTCACTCTGCACCATACTGTAGCAAAGGTAATCATAGCGGCCAAGTCTACTAGCTCCAGCAACAACCTCTGTGCTACACAAGCACAAACAGAAACACTGTCTTGAGATCCACACAAGCCCCGCTGCATTAAATAGTATGATAATGTGACCAGCAGTAGGTCTCAAGAGCATTGCTGCCATGGAGAGGCTGCTCATGTGCACACATACACACAGATTCATTCACATCCTCGCTCACTCCAACAGGCCCCCTCACTTCAGCAGCAGCTGTATCTTGATCTATTGTGTAAATGTGTGCAGTGCAGTGTGTTTATGGATGTTGTACAGATGGAAACCAGTCATTGTCATGTGCACCCCCCACCCCCCAGACAGGGTTCATCTGGGACAGGCTGCTGGCTACTGAGAGAGTCGGTTCAGTCCGCTACCAAAACACACATGAACCCACAAGATGCATAAAAATGGAAAGATTTTCATAATCGTACATTTCTTAGTTTATATTTTGTTGAATCTGGTCATGGTGTGAGAGGATGCAGAAAGAAATCTACCAACAATACACAAGTCATGCACAAACAACCTAGAGGAAAAACATACTCATAGCCTTTAGCTGCTCCCTTTGGCGAAACAGAAATACATCCTTAACACAACTGGTGGAAAACCATCATTTTCTGCCACTGGGTACAACAGATGTATAACAGGCCACAGAGGATGACAGAAGGCAGCTGTATGGCACAGAGCCAGGTGAGACTCTCCTTTTCAGAAGCACACCTCCACAGTCTGCTGCGAGCACGGCCCCACCCTTGTTTTCACCTCCCTTGACATCTCTTTCAGTATAGATATCTTTCTCTGTCTCTATCTCCTGTTGATATCTAAATCTCTCTGTCTCCCTTCCTCTTTCCGCTCTTTTTTTAATTCCTGTGCTGTTTTTAAACCGAGCTGGAAGCTTCAGGTTACTCAGTTTTGTCATTGCCCTCACTAAAGAGACTCACTGCAGCTGCAGGATATAGGATTTGTAGACTAGAAAATTGTTGTAGTCTGCTCCGCTGTGCTGTTCACCAAACAGCTGAGCTTCATCCTCCACCCCAATGAAAATCAATGCAGCACATGCCCATGCAATCATTGGCAGTACTTCACATTAAGCCACGCAGCTATTAGCCTCTATTAGCTGGGGGAGGGGAATGGGCAGAAAATAAAAAAGAATATTAAAGAAAGGGATTTGCCGGGGTAATTGGCTTCACAATACAGAAAAATGAAATATGGATAGCAAAGCAGCAAGATTGCAGAATAGTTGAATCACATACTTTTCACATTTTGCAGAGATTAATGAAGAAGGGCTACAGGTGCATGTATTTTAGTATTGTAATTTGTTGAATGGGCAGTGTTATTAGCATTTAGATAAAATTATGAATCACAGGAACTATTAATACATATATCTATATAAAAATATAGATATAAACAGTAAATAGTTATAAAGGAACATAAATAAAGTACATCATACGAATCACTCATTAGACTTCTATGTGTAATCTGACTCCGACTCAGGCTCAGTGAACTACTGTTTATTTCTATTTAATGTCATACGAGACACTGTTGAATGGAAAGTCATTATTTTCATTCAACAAGAAAAATAAACAAGGACTTAAGAAAAACCCACTTACTGTGGGTAATCTATTTCAACAGGTTATTTATGAAACCTGGTCATTAATACATTAAACTTTGACAGTTACATTGACCACATTATTAAGGTTTGATTTGATTAAGTTGATCACAATCCAACTCTCCCACCAAATAAAAAAAAACAGTTATAAAATTCTTTTAAAGTAAGTCTGTTCAAATAGCTCAAAATCAGCTCCAATCAGGAGCAGGATTGCACATGATAAGCTGTTAAAATGATCTGAAACACTGAGTTACTTCATCAGACTGTTTTCATCTTTTCATGCTGGTGGAAGAGGAGGCAAAGGTGTGATTCCATGACATGCCACCTCCACCTAACAGACTAATTAATCTGCCCACCAGCTCTCTGCTGCTCTTTTTCCGTCCAACGACAAAATGTCGAATTGAGACCCAAAAAATCCTCTTACCTTCAAAGGGATGCTCCTTCTTCCTGGCAACTCCCTTTGCCTTTTCGTCTCTTCCTTATCTACTTATGCCTTTTCTTCCTCTTCTTCTATGAAATTGATTGTGCGCCTCTCTCCTCTCTGCTGATGCTGCAGTGATAGAAAAACACACCCTCCTTCAGCCGTGCTCTCCCTCTCTCCCTCCCTGACTCTCATTGGTTGCCTGTTAGAGGTGACATCACCCTTCTTCACTGCCTGTCTCATTTTCTCCTCCTCTCTTCCCTCCCTTCTCTCTCTCTCTCTCTCTCTCTCTCCTTTTCTCTCTCTCACCTCACTCCTCCGTTAATTCTCACTATTCCTTTATTGTACCCCTCCATGTTCTATCGTTTCCCTCGGTCCTCTTCTTCCTTCCTTGTACACAGTCTGGATTAGTAGGTCCAGCTTGTATTGAGCATGCAGTGCTAAGCATAATGATGCATATACTATAGACTACATTAGCATAGAGCACAAAGCCTGTGGCCCTCCAGCATTTAGTCTTCCCTGCACCAATATAGGAGTCAACAGACTACAAAGGTAGAATAATGAAAGTCTGAGATTATTCTGAATAATCTGAGGGGCATGACTTTCATAAGCTTTTTTTAATTCATTCTGCCGCTGAGACACAGTTCATTATGGTATAATCAAAGACATGACTGGGTTGAAAGTTATGTAACGCTGGTGAATGAAAATGTGTCAGGACTTACTGCCGTCTCTTATCTTTGACTGGGAGGCGGGTCGCTGAGACGTAGAGATTCCCTGATTGCAGGGTAATTAAAGGCTGGATAATGCAGTCTGTCTTGGTGATTGTAACCCACCACACGTGCAGACAGAAATCACAGGATTTTATTTGACTTGCTTTGATCTGTTCGCATCTTGGTTACGGTAGATTTATGGGTCATTAGGTTTCCCTCATTTCCCCTTTCGGCTCATTCAAAACCCAGTGATATAAAACTGGATCTTCCCTAATTGCTTTTAAAGAACCGCATGGACTCACAACTGTTCATTTTAAAACCTACTAAGTCCTTTTTCCACATCCAAAAGCCTTTAGATCTCTCTAAACAATTACTCCTCTATATTCCACACTCCCAGACTAAATATCAAACTCAATGAGATTTTCCTACTCTGCTGAATAGACTAACCCTCTTACAGGGAGGAATAGTGTTTTCACTATTTACCCAGGACCATTTTTTTTACCCTCCACCTGTGTTAGGGTTAGCACCAACCTGTTTCTGTTTTTAAATGCGTATAAGAAACACATTTTTTTATTTTTATTTTTTTGCATTAACCCTCACATACTGATTAAATCTTGTATCCTCACAGTATGTTCCCAGTCAAAATTGACCCAGCCCAAGAATTGCCCATGTAGCAAGTATTTTCACCAAGGTTTCACCCCAAACCTTTTTATAAAAAATTTGATTTGTCCTTCATAACTGTATCAAAGAGCAGGGAAAAAGTATTTTTTAAGTTTTAACACCACTTGTTTTTGGTGAAATATATATTTTGGAGAAGAATATCTATTACACAGGATAATGTCATATCATATTATGTAAGAAATAAAAGAATATAAAAGTCATAATGATAAAATTTGATAATTCATTGAACAACAAACTTTATATTGAACACTGTTCTTACTGCTTGTCACTTGTCCCACACTGGTAGATCTAAAATACATCAAAATAGATGTGGGTCAAATTTGACCCGCAACAGTCCCATAGGGGGAAAATGTGTAGCACATTTACGAAAATAGACATGAATGTTTTTAAATTAATTTCATGTATTTTGGGCCACTTCAGGAAAAGTCATCAAGTTTCAGGCTTAAAGAATGATGTTTAGGGTATTTTTAATGCTGATAAAAGTCAAAACGGGTCAAATTTGACCCGAACAGTATGTGAGGGTTAAGACTTTTTGACTTTGTCAGGAACCTCTATTTCAACACAATTTAAAAAATTCAATTTACTAAATTATAGAGGACAAAAATTCTGGCACAACTTTACCAACTTCCAAGGTGCTTGGAGAAAAAGGGTCTTTAAGAGGTCAAAAGAGCACCAGCAACACTTGTAGTTCAGGAAAACGGCTTTATTCGACTGACACATTTCGGCTTGTGGCCTTGAGGATGACCCTGATGAAGGCCACAAGCCGAAACATGACGGTCGGATAAAGATGTTTTCCTGAACTACAAGTGTTGCTGGCGCTCTTTTGACCCCTTCAGTTTGCTAAATTATAAAATGCTCTGGTAGAAATCCTGGCACTTGTCTTGTAAGGGTCGCTGTCAACCCGGTTAGATTAAAAAGCAAAAATTAAAGCAAAAACTGAAAACATAAGAGCACTGTCAGGCACCACACTGACAGCCAGATCTTCTCCCAATTATGTGAGATTAAGGGAATGCTTATTTTGCCATGACACGTGAGATCAATTCAGTATAGATGTCTGTATAAGGGGTATACTGACAAAGAAAAGGCAAGAGGCCCAAAAAAATATATTACAAGCAATATTTCATGGATAATTTAGCCTAACAAGGTAACCTAGAGATGAGAACCAAGTTGAATGATAGAGAATTGTTTTTAGTGTCATTTGTAGCTGATTTAAGACACGGGTCGAAACCAACCCATTGACATAGTGGGTGCATAGTGAAAGCTAACACAGAAGGAAGGTTAAATAAGTTAATTACGTGATACTCACATTGCTGAGGAATAGTTGGCACTGACTCCACCAAAATGTGCAAACCCTGTTAATAAGATGGGCTTCGATCTGATCCTGAAACAAGAGAAGAGAAAGGGAAAATAGGTTAGGGTGAGAAACACACTCCCTCCACACCTCATCCCAAAACTAACTCAGAACAATCTGGATAATTGGGACAGCATCATGTCCAGTCAGAAACCTCCATTCTCACAGAGCTGCCATGGTGTTCTTTGTGCTTCTGCAACTTGAGGATGCCAGCTTGCCCATCTGCCATTGGTGCCCATGTCGATGCCAGGCATGCAGACAAAAGCAGCCACCAGAGCAGACAGCATGGGAATAAAGATTGATGAGGCTAGTTTAGATAGGTGAGCCAGTATCCTCAGGAGATGATGGGGGTTCAGAGTCATGACTTTGACTAGGAAAACACTGGGATTAGAGTTTTTAAAAATGACTGGAAATTACAGAAATATAAGGAATTGACTGAAGATTACAGAGGACATTATTTGTTTGTGATGTTATTTGTCTGACAAATGTTTTATAATTGTCTATGTGGGCTGAAAACTTGCCTTCAAATAACACCATAACATGACTAACTGATCCATTTAATAATCACAATGGGAATTTCTAGGTTTTTTCATTTAAGTGATGAATCAATCAGAAAAAAAGCTACGTATGAATGAAACACTACACCAAACTGTACAGAGGCCATTTACCTTGAGGAGGGAGATGGAGCAAAATTAGCTCCCAGCTTGGAGATCTCACTCACACTGATCGATTAAGTGTTCAAGACAGCGTTTCCAGTTTGACTGTTACATCTTCTTATTGTAAGAGCTTTGTGTTAAGAGAGACTCAAGCTTGGGAGTTACCCCTTCCCCTCAACTCCTGTAGTGTGGACCTATTTTCAAAAAGCATTTACCTGTCAGTGCCTCCTACCCAGACCCTTCACTCAAATCCATTCATCTGTGGGAGACTTCCTCCTCGCCCTTGCGAAAGCTATCTTCTAATTTTCCTTCTTCCTGACTTGAGTGTAGGTGAGTCAGCTGGCAGACTGGCAGGAGAGAGATGGAATGATATACGAGGAGCAAGGAGGGGGGGGCTGAGAGGGAGAGACAGGAGGAAGGAACGGCTATGAATGAACAACTTAAAGTCTGGAGTTGCAGGAAAAACAGATGCAGTCAGCAAAACACAGATGGGAGAGAGAGAGAGGGAGAGATAGACAATTCCATCAGCTTAAAAAGCAAAAGGATGGAAGCAATATAGTAAATGGCTGCAGTGGGGGTGTGGAGGTTTGGAGAGAGAGAGAGTGAGTGAAGTTTTAGACAGATTTTACCAAGATTAAAGTACTAAGAGGTAAGGGAATACAGTGTTTAAAAACATGACAGCCAACATGAATATATTTATACAGACAGGTGTCAAAAATAGACAGTGTTGTCATGTCCCAACAGACTTAAAGATGATAGTACAACAACAGAGTAAAGCTAAGAGGAAGTCACAGTCTGCCATCTTTGCAACAAGGATAACAAGTAATTTTCACAGGCTGAAAAAAGAGACAGCAGTGGAAATATATTATGAAATATACAGAAGGTAATGTAGGAACTATCGATCCTGTGAGTATTTTAATAGTAAATACAGATTTGAGAAGTTTGAGCAGATGGACAATACATAAGGAAGCAGAGTGGACACAGATGGCAGCAGAAAAAAAAAAAAAACTAATGTTCTACTTTAAGAGAAATCAGAGATCGTTTTTTAAATTCCAGCCAACAACATTTGGCAAAAACAAGGGCTTCGTAGCACAAACAGTCCCAGAGGAAGTACAGGAAAAATGTCCTGCTTCTAATGTGAAACTTATTGACCTCTTGATAAGTAGTCAGTGAGTTTTTTTCTTCTTCTATTTTAGCTCTAGAACAAGCCGGTGAACAGTTATGCACTCAAGACCCTCTGCGTCCTCCAGAATATTACTTTTTAAAATTGTTGTTTTCTGCTGTGTTGTTTTTTTATAATACAGGAGCAGGAAACACAAAAACAACATGAACACATGAGCTCCCACAACTATCAAATTGGCTGTCTCCCAGCAGATACAAACACAAAGATAGAGCTGAGTGTTTGAGAGAGGAGAAGAGACAAACAACAGAAGCAACGAAAAACTAACTAAACATAATGAACCTGTGACAGATTAAAGAGACAAAAAACACAAACAAAGACAGTTACCAGGCAGTGAATCTATTAGGAGATATAGGAGTTATAGTTACATATTATAATGTATATATATACATATATTATATTTCACCTTTATAACATTTGATCAGAAAAGATGACTTTCTGGGGTGCCAATTGGCCAAGCAGTCTACCATACACTGATGTCAGAGTCCTCGTCTCAGTGGTCATTGGTTTGAGTCCCAGTCATGACCCTTCGCTACATGTCATCCCCCACTTTCTACCCTTCAGCCGTTTTATTGAACAAATGCAGAAAGTGTCCTGTAAAATAACATTAATAACAACCTTTTCAAACATTTCTGTGATTTTTATCATGATTTTAACTGGCCACAACTTCCTGTTAGATCTCTGAGCTTTAAATCTGGTTCAAGATTGTTTTTTCAAAGTGGAAAGCCCGTCTTGAAAGTCCTGACAGTGTTTAAGTTTTTGGTCTTCTACTATATTACTCTGTCTTATATGTAATCTAATCATTTAGTCATCAGGCCATTTTTTTTTTTTTTTACTGGATATTGTAGAAATAAAATATAGATAAGTACCTTCCCACACACCAAGAAAAAACTGCCAGCCCCAATTGGCTGCCAGAGCATGAGATGGCACACCTAATTTACATACAAGATAGGTGACACACATACCACACATACAACAGACACAGCCAATATACATATTTTATAATACGGGAGATTTACGGGACATTACTAATACGGCAAAAGAGGGGTAAAATACGGTAGTATCCCAGCCAACACTTGACAGATATGCTTCAGGCTCATTTTTAAAAGCTCTTGTTGGTTTGGTCTAAAGTTAAGTAGGGTGTAGATGTCACAAATTTTACAGAAAAAAAAATCAGAGAAGAAAAATAACAGCACCAAGGACAGGACAAGGGTCAGAAGTGGGGAGTCGAGGTGGATTTAAAAACCCTACAGCACCACAGGGCCTCCCTTTTACTGCACTGCCTCTTGGTTTGTGTTGTGGTCTGCTTTTGGAGATCCATTGATCCAGTTAAAGTCATTAGGTGGTCAGAAGGTCAGCCAGCCGTCTCTGACCTGGCGTTAATCACTCACTAAGTGAAGGGAAATGAGTCTGATTCAGTTTCCTGCCATGCTTAAAGTAGCCCGGCTGCCTGATATGACCAGCACTTCACCTCCCAGAAAACATTTTACCAAGTATATTAACTGCATGTCAGTAACTGTGAGTCAGCTTTAGACAGATGTGCAGTGGTTAGAGCACCAACAAAGATAAGATGTTAATGGTGATGGTGTTACTGAGAAATCAGCATGTAGGCATCAGTCAGACGGGAAATGGCAGTATGTGATTTATGCATATCCAAATAGTCTTCACTGATATTCAAAGCAGGGTTTTGCATAGTTTTTGTAAGTGCTCAAAGTGTGCCGTGTTGTTATAGCAAAGGAATGACTGTGTGACCTTTACTTGTTACTGGCTTCTAAACATTTTACTGACCCCTTACTGTCCTTTATCCTCTATTACAATGCACAATGCAGGAATTACATCATCCAAGGATTAGCATTTTAAAGCTGTGTAATGATGAAGCCGTAAAAATGTCACCAAGATGAGATGTTTTTGCACCGTGAACATTTCCACGTGATATCTGCAGATAAATAAGCTGCTTATTTTAGATGGTGCCAGCAGATACCGCTGCAGTTATTGCTGCCGCTATATTACAGCCCTCTCTTCAAAATTGCTTTTCCAAATGATAACCTTCAGTAGCTGATGATCTGTAATATGACAGGGCTGAATTTCATGCAGTGGTTTGTCTCCTAGAAAAGGCCACAGGGTGACCACTGCTGTGCCTCTGAAGGGAGGGGAAGTTTAAAGAAGCTTTGTTGCAAATACATATCAACCACAGTTGCTTTGGAAGCTCAGAGGTAATAAAGGCTTTGACCTTTCGAGTTGACAGACTGTCACCCCTGGTTTGGGTCTGGAGACAGTGGCATAAAGGTGCACAAGCTTGTGACAAAAAAAGCACCTGACATGCACCCACCTGAGTCAAACTGCATCCCTAGCTGACTGACTGTCCCCTCCACCTGCAAGACAAAACACACTCACGTGCACGAGTACATCAGTGACTGAATGACATTGCATTTTTTAAAGATTGGTCACTGTCTGTCATCAGCTCCTCTGAGGAGAAGCAATAATTTCTGTGGCTATCCTTCCCTCAGTTCCTGTCCTCACAGGCAAAGCAGAGATAGCAGTCTAATCAGGAGGTGATGACAAATCCGACAGATTCACAGGAGCACATAACACCCTCGCTAACATGTCGGGCTGCTGTCAAAACGGAGGACTGCTTCTGTCCACCTTGATCCATCAAATTCCTCCTTAACTAAATCATTTTGGAGCACAGGGTTGCTTATGAAATTCAAAGACTTAAAAAAAGGGCAATATCTATCTATCTATCTATCTATCTATCTATCTATCTATCTATCTATCTATCTATCTATCTATCTATCTATCTATCTATCTATCTATCTATCTATCTATCTATCTATCGTGATCTAGTATGCTAGTCTAATCTATGGGGGACAATGTCACTGCATGCTGTTGCTCAACTAGCAGTGCCGCTGCTAATGAGGCCATCAGTAATTGATTATGAATAGTTTTTGACTCTAAACCATTTCCCTTTAGTTCTATAGAAGTAGTGGATAAATTATGCAATAAAGGGTTAAGCACATCCATCAGTTTTCTCCAGTATAAATATCTCTTTGGCTAATTAGAATTAAACCATTTACTCTAATGAACTGGATTTGTCCCCTTGCCCGTCTGTGCTTTGCACTAAAGAGGCCCTTTTTCATTTTGCTGGGTGGGGGCTGTAATATTGTGATTTATTCTGGAGACACTGACGACAGCAGTAGTAAAATGTATTAGGCTGAGAGCTTTCTGGCTCATACACAAAGTAGCCATTATTAATGAACTCCACCCCACTTCATTTTCTCCTTGGCTCCCCTTGCATGAGGAGGCATCACTATTGTGTCTTTTCTACCTACGAGTTCTGTTTTCAAAGTGGCTTTCATGGCTTACTCTGCCTTTTAACCCATCCGCTGGCTTTTCATTTTGTAGAATGGAAGAAAAAAGCTGAGACACCACAGTCTGACAATTTTAGAATTTGTCACACTCTCATTCACATTTAAGCTAAAAGCATTAGTGACTTCTTACGTACAAATAATTTAAATTCTTGCAACAGGCACTGTAAAATTGTTCCCAGAGCGTGAAATGAAAAAGATCACAAAGTGACTCTGCTAAAAAATCAAAATGCACTGACATGGAGATGATATGACGGGGAACATCCTGTTCATTCTACTTAGTCTAATGATCCCCACCCAGTGGAGGAGCTGACACAATGCATTTACAGCTCATCTGGCACTACCTCTGATATCTCCATCTATTTGACAGTTTACAGGACAGACACCAGCAAGACTGCTGCATAATTTCTTCAGCAGGAAAGTTAAACTCCCCTGAGTGGCGTAACAGTTAATGTACTTGTGAGGAAATGTATTGTGAAATCTTTCACCGGGCAAATTCCCTGCATGAATGAATTATTTTCCCTTTTTAATTGCAAATCAAGCTTCCACGCAGCAACAGATGCCTACAGAATACTTAAATCAAGCGTGGCTTATAGAAAATTGCATCTGCACAGGAAGGGGGGCAGGGTGCAAAAATCTGGCCAGCAAATGTACTGTAAAACCAGGGCTTACTGTGGGGCCTGAAATCCCTGCATGACAGCAGTGTAATTTCATTTATCATGCCTCAGCACACACCAAATCAGACATGGAAGCTCCCCATTCTGCAACCTGTGTTTAGATTTTCTGTGAGGCTGGGGGAGGGTCCGAGAGGCTGCAGCGGGACATGAGCAGTCGTGGAGGTGGTGATCGGGATTGGATTTCCACTTTTGTAGCAGGTCTTCATGTGGAACAAATGCAGCAGCAGATACAAGAGGATGGAAAGAGATATACAGGAGGAGACTGAAAGGGGGGAACAATGCAACCATGAAAGGGTATTAGAGGAAGAGGCAAATAGATATAAGGCAGAACAAGGAGAAGTAGCCTAGGTCTTATAATGGCAATCAAACATAATAAATTATTTCTAAATTAACGCAAGACTTCAGATTTTCAAGTTGAGACAGTCCTGTTCCAATTTATACAAATAAGGAGTTTCAGGAGTGCCCTGGATTAAAGAAGCACACAGACATCCTTGAGTCATCCTCTGCATGGTGTGTGGTGTACAGTCGTGTGAGCATTTGCTTTCCACTAACGTGTTCAGCAACATAATATTTCAAAGTGGTTTTAATTTTCTTTCTTTTTTTATGTCTGTCGGCTAGCAGCCAACACAGACCCAATAACTTCCCGAAACAGGAGTCAGTTTCTACAAAAGCCCATTGAATTCACTGGATCATAAAAAAATCAGACACCTTATCTTGTAATTACTAGAAAAGATTTCATAAATATGACATCAAGATCTCATAATTACTTTTCACAAAAATCTAATATTACTCTTAACTGCCTGTACAGGGGGACTTCTCAGTCCATCATTGTATTTTATTCTATTGTAAGCTTGTAGCTGACATAACCAAGGACATAAATTAGCTTCCTTGAATAACTTCTGGCAGTTACCGTAATTAATCTCATCTCTTCATTGAGCTGAAATGTCTTTTTTGAGCATAAATGAAAAGCACTGCGACACGGCCGACATCACTCCTACTCCTTGCTACTTTGCACTGTTGTGATAACATGGGCTCTGCATGCTGAATTCGGGCGCTGCTACATAGAGATGCTGTAGCGGAGTCTGGAATAGACTGCTTTTATCAGAGTGCTGATATCAGAGATTTTAGATGCAGGCCGATATAAACTGATATTCTTCTTTTGTTAATATCAGACCGATATCCGATATCAATATTGGATCGGGAAATTCCTACTAAAAACATGCTAGTAAGTGGTAAAAATACTATTTCACTCATACTAAATGTTGCATGAATATCCAATACAATTCTGTTTAAACTCTCTAGCTACAATTTCTCTACATCTTAAGTAAAATAGTCTTTTTTTTATGATCTAAATTAAAGAGAATTTTCAAAGCAGTAAAAGCTGGGGTAATTTTACTTATTTACCAGGGAAATCCCTCACCTCCACATGAATATAATCGTTTCTTTTGCCGTTTAACGAGTCTATCCTGCTGTCAAAATGTCAGACAGCTTTTATTCATCAGTAATGAAAAGGGAGCAAAGGGGGATACTGTGAGCGGTGAGACATAAGAGTGCAGTCAGTCATTCAAGACCAAAGGGAACCCTGGGTCAGTGTCAGTATGCCAAACGACAGCACCGCTACAACAGTTTCCATGATAGGCTCCCCGATGGCTGTCCAAGCCTGAAGGGTTTTAGTACTGCATGAGAAATGTGCTCTAGGATGGCATGTATCACAAAACGTTTGTTCCTCTGCGTGAATGATACCGTCATGAGTGACAGTCTGTCTGATTCATCAAAGATCAATGAGTTTGATTTTACTCGTCGCAGAATCATCAGGGATATAATACCAAACTGGGAAATAGAAAAGAGACATTAGAAAATATTTTGAATGACAACAGTAAAATAGCTACTCTGTTTTGATAATTTTGATGAGATGGGTTGACTGCATGTGATGTTATTACACGGTTAAAAGAGACAATAGACGCAATTTTATGCATTTATTCATGTAGTTATTCCACTCTGATTCAAAGGCTCAAGGCTGGTTCAGCGATTTAATAGCCAAAAATACTCTAGAATTTAAGGTTAATGTTTTTTTTAATCTCCTTCAGGTTTTCTCTTCAGTTTTTTTTTGTACCATCCTTCCTTAAAAATGCCACAAAACTTTGAAAAGTGCATTTTTGTGAATATCTCCAAAACTCAAGTTGTTCATATACCCCCCATAAAAATGTTCCCCATCATCAAGGCTTGTGAGGTCACAAATTTGCAACAAGAAACCACCAACATTTTTCCCCAAAGGTTTTATAACCATCCTGTTCAAACAACATTCTCTTTTTTCTTTTTACACAGCCAGAGAACAAAAAAGATTAAACATAATAAACTCCCAAACCTTTTGTACAGAGAAATCAAACTAAATGAAGAAAACATCTCTTATATTAGTCCATGTTTTATCTTCTGAATCCACTCTTGCATTTGCCATTTAATTGGAAAGGGAGACACAATTGTGTCAACATGAGGCTCTCTGTGTTGTATGCAATGTCAATCAGTCCATTTCACTTGCTGGTTTTAACTGTTTTTATACGGAATAGAAACCAGGAAGTCTAGGCAATTCAACAAGTTATCCAGTAATGTCTATGACAGTGTGTGCGTGCGTTCAAAGGTTATCAGTGTGAGTGTGTCAGGTGTAGGCAAATCTAAATCAAGTGTATGCATGTCCGTGTGTGTTAAGAGTCTCATAGTTTAAGCCAATCCGAATCCCTCTGAGCATTCTTGAATGGCCAACAGCAGCATATGTCTCAGCTTCTCGTAGCTCTCGTAAGCTGGGAGGTCCAGCTGGTTAAAGCTGATGGTTCAAAAGGACAGAAAATGATTATTACAAATTAGGTTCTTTAACAGAATTAAAAATTGAAGCTTTGCAAACTTCTTTGTGTGGGTTTACCAGGTATGAGCAGATGGCAAGCGGTCAGTGGAGCGATCGTCACGATGGATCTGGAACTTTTGAATGCCGTTCATGCCCTCCAGAGCGGCGAAACCCTGGAGTGGAACCTTGGATGTGCCAGTAACAAACTGGAGGAACTTTGCCCGGTCTGCCTGGTCAAAGGAGCGCAGAGCTCGCCAGAACCACTGGATCTGGATCAAATATAAAAAGAGAAAACAAAAGACGTCAGCTCAAAGATCATTTTGTCAAGATTTTCTGTGGGGAAAATACTCTAAAGCTTCAAACCCTTTGATAACTCAGCCAGATTTAAGAACAGTTTTTTTGCCTTACTGTCCTTACGAATAAAACAAAACTAAAAGATCACCTTAAGTAACTTGTATCTACATTGTCTTCAAGTTTTGCATTGTTTGATTTCTGTATGTATCTGACACAGAAAAATGAGCGTAATGTGCTGCACTAAAAAAACAAATTCCACACACTCAGTTTTGTGGCCATTAATGATTCGGATTGCACAACTACCTGATATTATTTCAAACAACTCTATGTCATCTGAAAATGTACCAAAAATTACACATGGACATATCCACCTATAATTACTACACAGATGTAGGAAGGACTGCAGGGGACAGTTTAAGAGCAGAGATGTTCGTGTTCACTCATACATACCTGAATGGAGCTGGACTGGTATTTGTGGTATTCAGTATTGGCCTTCAGGTCATCGATGTCAATGGTAGGTAGGCCAGAGATGAGCAGCTCCAGCTCCTGCTCAGTGAAGATGGAGATCAGCCTCTTGGGGATGATCTCATAGAATCCCTCCAGGAAGGCCGCCAGCTGCTTGCGGATCGCACCTTCAAAACATGTGAAAGTATTCACTCGGGGGATCTAACAGGAGGCTGTCAGAATATTCTTTATCTGGTGTGTAATTAACATTATTTTATCATATAATTAGGTGTTTTTTTTCTTTCCAATTAAGGAGCCAAAATTAAGAACTATACTGAATTATGTATTCGAGCAGCAGCTGGTTGGTGCTGGGTTTAATAAACCAGGAATCTCCAAAGGGACAATACCTCTGAGCTCTCTGCAGCATACTAAGCAGCTGAAAATTCAATAGTGCTGCCATCTACTGTTCCCTTTTCTAATCTCAATGGAAATATATTTTTCTCCTACAAAAGCCTGACCAGTTAGAAATGTTGATTAAAAACAGAACAGCCCATATGTTTTCTACACAAATCATAGTTTGAAGGTGATACTAATGTGGATATTAATTAGATTTACTTCTCATAGGAGAACAAGCTCTCAGATTAATAATGATAATCTCACCTGTCATCTTCATCTGGCACACTAGGTGCACATACTCCTTTTTGTTTTCCTCTGTCACCAGGATATTGGCTCCATTTGGCTTGAGGTCTCTCACTTCACACACCCCAAACTCCTGAACCTGGATACACACAGAGCACAATAAAGACTGTCAACAAGTCTTTAACTTAAGGAAATAAGATGATCCAAATAATATCGCTGCAGTACTTTTCCCCTGAGGAGATAAAGCTTTTAGGGTTTCAAACACTTGAGGCCTGCTCCCAATATCAGCAGTAAACAAAGAGGAAACATCCGAAGAATCAATTTTCCACTTGAAGCTAATTGAAAGGTTTAGAGAATGGACACAAACCTCTGTGCTGAATGTCAGCTCATAACCGAGTGTGGATACATCATTTTCCAACAAGTACACCAAGCCCTGGAAAAACGGGTAGTCCTCACTCTCCATGTCAGTGTACCTATGAGGACAACATTCATTTATTATCTTTAATGAACCCCAGGAAGCAGCAAACTTACTAGCAGTAAGCCATGAAACTCTGGCTGCAAAGTGTAGCTTGGATTTGTTTCATCTGAACCCTCGGCTATGACTGCCAGGAGCTCACATACCTGACGCTCTTGCCCAGGATGTGCTTGTAGAAGCTGCGGGTGAAGTAACACTCCAATAACCGGTTGTCATAGACCGCCTTGGCAACCACGCGGCCAACGAACTTGAAGTAGCTGAGGTGGTTGGGGTTGCAGTGAGATGAGGGGTTGATGGTGTAGGTGACTCGGTCGCCTGGAGAAGTGCGGAACAATGCGTACATGGGGTTGAACATCTCACGGGAGATGATCATGTACCACTCCCTCAGCAGGCCACCGGCATCCTGGCCCTCCTCCCCTTCAAACACAATGTACCTGTGAAAGATGAGAGCAGAGTTGAGTTGAGTGAATCTTCACTGAGATGATACAAACATGAGTAAAAGAGCAGAGGAGCCTTACAGCCTATTCTTCATGTCCTCTGGGCTCTTGCGATGAAGCTCCCTGTAGGAGTCCTCAAACACGTGATCCCTCCTCACATGCACTGCCATGTCCTCCTTCCTGAGGCCTTCATCCAGTCTCTCCAACTCCTGACGGAAGTACCTGCAGGGAGACAAAAGGAGGAGCGGATGAGTATATGTAAAACCCTAAAGGCTATGTACAAAGTTTGAAAGTGAACGATCCTCCTCCTTACTTTCGCTTCACGTCAAAGTCCAGGATGCGTATGTAGTCAACCAAGACGGCAAATGGCCCATCTGCCAAGTGAGTGGTGGACTGGCGCAGGATCTGGTTAAGCACTGTGCGGTGAGTTTCTAACAAGGAAGAACAAAAACTGTTAGCCACTTATCTACACAGGAGAACAAAGCTAAATCCTTCTCCACCTCAAGCTCACCAGCAAAGCGGAGGAACTTCTGAGTGTCTGGTGGCAGATTTGAGGAGATGTGCATGGAGGATGGTTCCCTGGAAAAGAAGGGGTCGAGGGATGACGGGGTGGCTGGTGTTAGAGGTGCTGGTGACAGAGGTGGAGGCTCATCTTTGATGTGAGATAGTTGGCTCTCCCTGGTGTCCCTCACAGGAGGTTTGCTCTCTCGCTCTGTGGCGTGGACCAGGAAGAAGGCCTCCACAGCAGGCTGGAGAACTGGGCAAACAAGTAAAAATACCACTTCAGCACGCTCTACTACAGTATGAGAATCATATGCAGCACAAAGACATTGATTTCCTTACCCAGTACGGCATGCTGGTCATGGGACTCCTCCAACTCTTTCAGACACTCTCCAAGCATGTCCCAGAGTTCATCCAATAAAAGCTGCTCACTGAGAAGTGGGAGGTCTGGAAGTCTCTCCTCACTTTCGGACTGGCTGTTTCCATCTTCATCTAAAAAAGACAATTACAAAATCATGTAACACACTAATGGAATTCTTTACAGGGCTTATTAAAATGCTGAAGACATTACTGTACATCCATCACCTTTAAAGGCAAATACAGGAATAAATAATGATCATTCAAAGCTCCATTCAAATGAGATCAAACAGATACAACTGTTTTATTATGGTGTGTGTTATAGTTTCAATTTTTTTTAGGTGTGAAACCACTTTAAGTTTTTGTTCAGGCACCTGTTTGAGATTTAACCCATTTTTGTTTTGGCATAGAAACGGGCAGTTTGGGGGGTTCTAAAAAGCCTTTATCGATAGCAGAGATTACCGCTAAATGCTGCGATCAATACCAAGTTGTCCTTTCAAGGTGATTGTGCATTAGTTAAGAGGTAAGTAATGTTAACTATGTGTATGTTAAATGCGTGTGCACTCAACCAAGTACAGCTCCAGAGTTGCATTAAGTTTGTTATATTTTACCGGGGATAGCATACTTACATATCGCGTCACTGAAGCTAATACAATATTTATGTCTGTTGAAAATTGTGTTTTAATTTCTCGCTGTGTCTGTTTTATTTAAAGAGACCACATACACAATCAATGTAAAAATTAGTACTGTAAAAAAGCTGTTATGTTGCTGAAGAGAAGAATACAAAGGGCTGACTAGAACTGTGTGTCCTGGCTTCACTCTCTATCTGGAGTAAATAAATGGAATGAGTGTCCCAGCATTATCTCACAATAACATTGAAGTCATTCTCCAATAGTGTGGGTAGTCTGGACCAAAACACAATGTAACAAGATTTATATTTTTGCAATGAAACTTACATGGGGAAATATGTTTGGACATATCAAGCGATATTTATGTAACTAGGCATTAACACTTTTAAAAACGAACCACAGTCCCAGCACAACTTGTGGAATTGATACAATATTTTTATCATGTGGTTCTTCGGTTTCCTCATAGCCAGCTCTCAGAAATGTAGACAAAACAGCACTGTGAATTCACATGTACCTAAAAGTGTCTATAGTATTTCAGAAGTGAACCATACCCAGAGGTGCAGGGTCCTGCTCCAGAGGAGATGGCTGGTCCACATCCATTGGTGAGTCATCCCTGTTGGCCGCCTGTGCTTCAGACATTGACTGAACTTCAGACTACATCAAAAAAAGACCAGAGAAGCAGAGAAGTATGATCAACATGAAATTAAAACCCCGGTGGAATTAACTGTGAACTTTAGACTGAAACAATAACCATCTTCACTGGTATTGCCATGCATAATGACATTCCCCAATCCAACATGAGAAAGGAGAAGAACTGGAATTGAGGAGAGGAAGGGGAGGGCCAGAAGCATGAAGCCATGTCAGCCGATCAACAAACATTAGTGGAACATATCACCACAGTCTGGAGCAGGCAGCACATTCACATCTCCATCATTTGATCAGTAAGAAATCTAAATGCAAACACGAATAGGGAATGCAATGGAAAACTGACAAATCTGTCTCAGCTGGGCTGTTACAGTTCAGCTTGTCAGCAGCTGTCACCATGTACATACCACTGTGATGATTACATTGCAAAGCACTGTTTACAGATACCATACCAGAAAGAGGTTCAATGTGTTTTTTCAAGGCTAAAAGACCATACACAATGCAACCAGTGTGCAAGTTTACCATTTTCCTATTTTTGCTATTGTGTTTGCCTGTTATTCACAAAGTCAGAACAGGCAAATCAGACATAAAACATGGAAGGACAGTGTCATTTAAAGGGTTAAAATTGATGACTGCTACAGCACTTTTTCATGTATATTTTCATTGTGCAGTGTGGATGCCTGCTGTCATTGCAGCCCATGCTAACCGTGGCAGCAGCAGCCGTGCCAGCAGGGGGAGCAGCACCAGCGGGGGCAGGGGGAGCAGCCACTGAGGATCCGGCAGCAACTGCAGCAGTAGCAGAGGATGCGGTGGGTGGCGGGGCCTGTTGGAGCCGACGTGCCCGCTGACCCTCTCTCACCATTTGAATAATGGCGTCAGCCTCAGCCTCGAGCTGACGCACTGCAGCCTGGATACTGCTTGCTGAGCCCAAACTGGTGGAGCCTGATCAAAGGTGGAGGGGAGAGGTGTTTGCTGTTTTATTCAATATCAGGATTTTGTACGCAGCCAGAACATTAAGTGTATCAAAAACATCATCTCACCTAATCGCCCTGTCTGTTTGGCCTTCTTGTTGGCGCGACGTGTGTCCTCACGGAGCTGGATAATGACCTGCAGCACTCGCAGGAAAAACTTCTGTGTGGATGTCTTGGAGGTTAGTGAGCTCATGCAGGGAAGCTGAAGTTCTCGTCCCCCAAGAGTGCGCTTCTGTGCAGCCACAATGACCACACTCTCTGCACCGTCAAACCTGTGCCCCAACCAACAAACGCATACCAAGTAAAGGACATTGTAGCCGAGAAATCAAGCTTCACTCAAGAATGGATAATTGCATAAAGTAGGGATGTCCCGATGCAACTTTTTTACTTCCGATACAATACTGATATTGTAGCCTTCAGTATCGGCCAATACTGACATTGATCCGATATTGGCACAAACTTGTACATGACAAGTTTTGCACTCAGCTGCAATGTCTTTTTCAGACTTAAACGAAAATTGTGCCACACAGCTGAAATCCCTCCCACCCTTAGCGACTGGTATCAGACCAATATCCAATATCAATATTGTACCGAGACAGCCCTAGCATAAAGTAAGATTGCAAAGGTTGTAGATCGAGCACAACAAATCCTGCCTCATCTCTCTCAAATGCTGAGAACCTAAAGTCCCTGCCAGCCCAGCATTATGACTGACTAACCTGCTGGTCATCTTGCCCTTGAGTCTGGCAGAGATGGAGGAATCCTCAGGGGGAGCATCTGGAGAATGGGAATCAGCTTGTGCCCGTCTTTGCTGCTCCAAGTTGTATTCTCTGAGTTCAGCTAATAATGTGCCTGTGTGATAAGAGAGAATGCAGTGAAGTATAAAAAAAACTGCTTAAAAAGGAGCACAACAACAGGGATCGGTTTATCTTCTGAGCACTTACCAATCTGTTTACACAGAGTGTATCCGAGATGTCTGGCCCCACTGAGCAGCAATCTGAGCACAGTGTCTCTGGTGGAACCGTCTCCTCGAGATAACTGCAGTAGAATGTTAGCTGCATCCTCCAGACCCTCCTCTGAACAGGAGTGAGATGTCAACACCTGGTCACAAAGACAGAGAGAAAAGAGGTGACTTTATGAACTGTAAGCATGTCCGGAAAAACTAATCACAAGTCTGACTTCAAACTCTGAATACAAGTAAATCTTAATCTATTAACTTTTTTTTTTTTAAACATGCTTGAATGACTCAAACTTTTTTAATGAACTTTTTCGCTCATACCTCAACAGAGAGTTGGAGTTGTTTTTCTGTGAGCCCAGAGGAGGCCATCTTGTCAATTTCTGTACTGCTTCCAGTGGTTCTCTGTTTCCCTATTTTGGTAAAACACAAAGAAAAATGAGACATCATTATTTTAGTCCGACAGAAGTCAAATTGTACAGATTTGAAAAAGTGTTGACATGTTGATTTGGAATCAGGGAACACTAACCTGTTGAGGTTGTTCCAGTGGGCGTGGGTATACAGATTGCAGTAGAGGATGTCTGAGAAGCTGTGACCGTTGTCCCTGAAGATGAACCCTGGGATGCAGTTCCCACAGAGGCCCCTGAGCTTGCCACTGTGGGCTGAGTAGAGCCTACTGAGACCACACCCTGTGTTGTGATTTGAGCTGTGGCTCCTGAGCTGGTTGCCACATTAGGATGAGCAGCCTGTGGAGTGGGGTGTCCAGCAGGCACCTCGGTGGCCTTATTGTCAGGTAGGGCGATGGATATGAGGGAGAGCAGGCGCAGCAGCTTTTCAGTGAGCAAGGAGCTCCGTCTGATTACTGGGTGAGACAGCATGTTCATTAGCTGGCCCAGAGGCGAGGTCTCCAGGCTGAACTGGGCCCCCTCAGCCTCTGCACTGCCCCCAAGAGGCACTGTCTTCATAGAGGCTTTGCCCTTGCGGCTGACATTCATGTTGTCCAGCTTGACCAGAAGGTCCCAAAAATCAGTGGAGATTCCTAAAGACTGGAGAGCAGCGGCAGAGGAGCTCAGGGAGTTCTGGGTGTTAGAGGCATTGGAGCTGGGGTTGCTAGATTGTGACCCTGACCTGGAGCCACCACCTCCACCCCCTCCCCCAGAGGTTACTGAACAGAGACGAGAGTCCAGATCAGAAGCAGATGCAGATAGATCTTTACAGCGCTGCTGGGTGAAGTGGCTGGGGAACACCTGCACACACAGATACGAAACACACAATTACACAAAACCGTTGTAACCTGAAAGACTTTGAAAACATCTTTAACAGTTTCGAGCAAAGTCTGCAGATTACTAGATTCTAACCTTTGCTAGCTGGATGAGTGTGTCCAACACATGTCTGCAGACCACTGGGGCAGCCTGTGGGTGGATGTGAACAGTGGAACCTCCACCTCCAGCACATGTGACACCTGCAGCAGTTCCTGAAACTCCTCCTCCCAGGGTTCCAGATCCTGTAGACCCCCCGGCTGAGTGCCGGTCAGCATGCTTCCTGCCTGATACTCGCTGAATCTGGAAAATGTTTGTCCGGCAGCCCAATGCTGCATCCATAGAAACAGAGAGCCATGAAAGCTGGCTGGAGCTGCGAGACTCTACCTTGTTCAGTAGCTCTAGAGAGGAAGATGAGGATGAGGAAGAAGAGGAGGATGAAGAAGATAGGGAGGAGGTAGCTGAGCCTTTTCCTCCGCAGCCTCCCTGGATGCTCCGTTTGCCTCGAGAGTCTTCCAAGCGTGAGGTCTCCACACACACCTCACTCTCACTGCTGCGCTGGAGGATAGATAACAGGCTGCGGATGACCCACCCACGTGTTTGCGAGTGGTAGCAGAGGTTCCTGAGCACACGGTGCAGACGGCTTGTGTTGAGTTTGGGTTCATCCACAAACAACAGGACCAGCAGACAGGACAATGCCTCATGGTCCAGCAGCAATCGCCCACGCAGTCGCAACAAGGAGTCCACGTTGGAGCTGGAAGGTCTGAGGACACAAGAGGACAACACTCAGTTTTTCTTAATTCAAAAAACATATTTAGATTTGTATGAGGATGAACACAGTGGGATCATCTAGGAAACAACATGCAAGTCAAGCTTTAATTAACACCTTCAGATTGAGCTTATTCAACATTTATTAGTGAACTCAAAAGGGAAATATCCAATTATTACCCATTCCCAACTGACCTGTGGTTTGTTCCTCCTCCCATCTGAAAAGTGCCTCCTCTCTGCACAGCCAGTCGAGTGTACTGGACGCCACGATTGCTCCCTAACCGGCTGGTGAAGGCTGGTGAGCGCAGGATGGCCGATAGAGCTGAAGAAGAGCTGTGACCAAACAACCTCTCGTGCATCAGCTGCCTTTGGCGTGCCTCTTGCTCTCTACGCAACGCAGCTGCTTCTGCAGCGATGTCGGGGGGCATGACGGCCAACACGCTATCCTCCATATCCTCCAAAACGCTTCGCCGGAGCTCTGAAGGCAGCGTTTGGATGAAGGTGACTGGATCCAGAGGAGTATCACCCTGTGAGGGTTGCTGGGCTAGCTCCCTGCGCTGCTGCTCTGCTCGTTGTTGGGCAAGAACCTAAAACAACAAATGGCGTGATCTGTTAGAAGAACTGATAAGCTTGAAGTGACAATAAAGAAGGCATTCTGTCCAGAGTAACCATTCAAAATGTCAGAGTCCCCCACCTCTTCCTGGATGGCAGGTGGCAAAGCAGCCAAAAACTCTGGGCTGACTTCTGTGACACCCGGTCCTCCCAGAACAGGTGCAGTAGAGGAAGGCAGGGTGGTAGCAACAGGGGGACGGGAAGGTGGCCTGATGCCAAGCTGATTTTGCAGCACCTCTCGACGGATGTCCTCAGGAAGAGCTGCCAGGAAAGAGGGATCTACACCCTCTGGCAGACTGATGCCTGCAAGGACAAAAACATCAAAGCATTAAAAGGGAATTTCTAAAAGACAGAAATATTTAAAAAATTGGATGAGGTTCTGTGGTGTTTTTTTGTTTGTTTACCAGCAAGTGGATCCTCCTCCTCATTACTGGTGGATGGCAGCGGCTCTTCCTGGATGGCCTGAGACTGGCTATCAGCACTATCACTCCTAGGCATTGTTTCTCCGGGTGAAGAGACAGAAGTAGAGCTGTAAATGTGAGAAAGAAAACAATGAAAACACCAAAATGATTCCTGAGCAACTGTTAATGACTGAAATGTGATGATGCGTCTCAACATGAATGATGTCAAGGACGCCACTGACCCAGTGTCTGCATCTGTCTGCCTGTCAGTCAGGCCACTCTCGCCGCTGCCAGACAGCTCCTGAGACAGTTGGGCAGCCTGGGCAGGGTTAGAGGCAGACTCTTCCTGGGTGGCAGAGGCGGGGCTGCTTGTATCCATGGGTGACCCTTCCAGCTGTGACACACCCACTACTGCAGGTTCAGAGGTCTCCACGATGTCTGGACTAAGGGAGGCTAAGAGAAAAAACATGTATGATGAGGTTAAAAGATCAGGAAGTAATGTTGACCAGTTTAGAGTTGAACATTTCCTTCTGCTTACAACTCGTGACTGATAGCTGTTACTTTTTACAGCCAGATTCTTGCTACAAACATGGTAAACATCATTTATCAATGTGTGTCCTTACTGTTGGCCAATCTGTATAAAGAGAGTTTTCAAAGTTAGTCTACCTTCCCTGCCTTCATCCAACGCTCCTCCTCCTCCACCACCACCTCCTCCGACTCTCTCACCGATTGTGGGTGCCGGGGACATTTCCATCTGTGATGCCTCCGCTTCGCTGTTTGGCCTGTCGCCAGTCGACAAGGATGGAAGGCCTGCCCCTGCTAGTGCAGCCAGTGAGCTGGCATGAGACTCAGCCAGTAGCAGGTCTGCAATTGGCTGGTGGACCTGCTGACTGATCGCAGTCTCCAGGGAAACCAGAGCCTGTTCATGGGGAGCAGGAGTGGTGGGAGTGACCTCTCCAGATGGGGGAGCAGTGAGGAAGCCCTCTGAGACTCTGGGTGGGTCCAGACATGGGACTGTACCACCTTGAGCCTGCTCACCCTCTGAAAAACCCAGACAGAGAACTTGGATTGAGACAGGACTACGAGTTTTACGAATTCTTCATTAGAGAAAACTATTTTCCATAAGATTTTTTAGTGTTTTTTAAGATACAGTAAAAAAAGTACTTTTGATCACCAGCTCTTAGAATTTTCTACAATAATAGAGAACATCTTTTTACAATATGGTAGCTGAATCTAATACTTTTATCCATATCAGGTTGTACATCACAAGTATTAGAGGAAGAGAGTTCAAAGAATAAACAGAACATCACTCAGACATTATTCCTTTTTTTCAGAGATGTGGTGGGTCTCTACTGAGGAAGGCAGTAAGTTGTATAGTTATCTCCTCGACGGGGTGAACAATCCTGATCCCCAACAACAACACAACTTACTACCTCACCACAGCAAAGCCAGCAGCAAGACAAACAACACATTGCGCTCCACATGGGTGGATACAGTTTTACAATCACTGAGCCTTGAGCAAGCAAAGTCAGGATCTTCTCAGCAGGGATGATGTTGAGCCGATATAGCATTGCCATAAGAAAGACAGTAGACTGTATAGTTATCTCCCAGATCTGGTGTGATCCTAAAACTATACAAACTACTACCTCATCCCACAGCAAGCTCTGCTGGTTGATTCCGGTTTAGAGAGAGGGATCCATTCCTGAAATCAGATTTGACATTAGGACACAAACATTAACAGTTTCTACTGTAATCAGTACCTGCAGTGTTCTCTGTGCCATTTATTGTCCCCAATCCAGAACTCTATATACAAAAAAAAAACATTTGACATTAGTCGACAATGAATATAGAGGCAAAGATCCATGCACCTCTGTGTTTGAATAGTGTTTCAACTTAACAGACTCCAAACATGCAATTGACAAACCTGCAGGCTCTGTTCTCTTGCCTGTTCAGCACCAGAGGCTCTGCGCTCATTCTGCTTAGACTCCTCCTCCTCAGCCAGCTGTCTCCTTCGCTTCTCCCGACGCTCTTCAAGCTCCTCATCCCTCAGACTCTCGAGATGCTGCAGGATAGGCACCTTCACCACTGAAAGCAAAAACAGATGTAAGAACTCCTTCAATGTGGCTTAAAGTTAAAAGTGTGCTGAGCTGCGAACTCTAATTGTGCCCCTCAGCTTTACAAACTTATGTAACGCTGTTTACTGTAGGGGTGGAAGAAAAAATCGATAGAGCATAGTATCAGGATATTTTGTCTGTTGATATATCATATCGTCTCATTTACCAAGTATCGATTTTTACAAATTAATTGCCAATATGAGGTCAATTCTATGATGATGGAAAAATAAAATCAACTCTTTGTCCAGAGAGGTTGGCAGAAGTGATATTATAGAGCAGGAGAAAGTTAGTGCAACAAAAATATATATTTAAGGTTTACATGACCTGCTACATGAAAATAAAATACTGTGTAAATAAGACAAACATAAAGGAAAGACAAATGCTAAATTGAAAAAATTGTATAAATCGCAATAATATCATATTGTGGCCCAAGTATCGTGATAATATCATATTGTGGGGCCACTGGTGATTCCCACCCCTAGTTAACTGCTGGGTCCTGTTCCTTTAGGGTTACTATGAAGGGTAACAAAGTTCACCTAAAAGGACAAAATCTGCAACAGGCAAAACCGCTAATGTCTTACATTCAGTGACGGAGTATTTAGCAGATTTCCTTACAAAATCAGGTACATGTTTAAAAAGCATATGCTGACTGCTGCATCTTTATCAGAGGACTGACTTCTAACTAGGCAACTATGCGATATCTTACATCCTCTTATAATTCTTAGACTTGTTCCTGTGATCAAAAATCGCAGGGATATTATCTGACTAAGTAAGTGAATCATAGATATGCTTTTCACTAGGAAGTTCAGATTAATTTCCATTTTAACAATTCTTGAGTTTAAAACGAACTTACCTGCTACACAGTCATGCATACTCTCAGCATCTAGCACTTTACACTCATCTGTCCATCGAGTCAAGGCAGTGGGAATACTAGACAGGGTTCCTAGAGAGAGCCAGAGAACAAACATGTTCAGAGCTCAAGAAAATTTAAGACAATACTAAACTAAATGTTTACTAATGTTTGCAGCCAATTCTTAGAGTGCCATTTCCCTCAGACTTTTGTTAGACTTAATTTGGTGATCTGTTTGGGCAAATAACAGGAGATGCCAGAGATCTCACTGTTGAAATATCACTGGCCTTCCACTAATCATGCAAATTCTAAAGTGAGGTCTAAAGACATCATGGACGAAACCTCTTCCCTAAGAAGTTACATACAACTGGAGCCCAGCAATGTTTTTTATTGAACGGACTCCATGAAATCAAAAATTTCAAGATAACCCCACCATCATTCTCACCTGCTTGTCCTCCTGTACTGCTCTGCTCATGGAAAAAGTCATCCAACAACTCATCATCAGAACGAGCAATGATGTGCACATCCTCGTTTCCAACCAAAAGGCGGGCACGACCCCGAGATTGCAGAGGCAGAGAGCTGGACAGCTGTAAAATGTCCGCAGCAGCACTGGGGCCCAATAATCTAAAAAAGGGGTGAATAAAGGACAGGCTCTTTAAGTAGCATAATAAAGAGGACAGCTGCAGTGTTGCTGATGTAGTTAATGAGAAGTGACCACATCTGTAATTATTTCAACCACATCATCAATAGGATTTAACCTTTGCAGGATGAGAGGAGGGTTGGGTTGGCGGTTCCCAGGGTAGTGGACATGGATTGTGTGTCCACTGTTCGCGGTGAGCTGACGCAGTGTTCGCTGGCTACGACCCATGCCTTGTGCCAGGCGGCTGCTGGTGCCTGCCACACCTAGAGTTAGGGAACTGTGGTCAGCGTGGCGCACCATCAGAGGGTGGGAGCTGGGGATGTTGCCTGGGGAAGGAGGGATGTCAGCTGATAGAAAAACAACAGAAAACAGTGGCAAACATTAGGGGAAAAGCTCCGGTACAACCCTACAGAGAACTTTTCAGAGAAATGGCGAAGGAAAATCAGATTTGCTTCACATGTTTTTCTAGGGCGGAAACTCTCCTGCTTTAGTGAGAGAAGCTAAAATAAGGCTGAATATGTGCATTACTGATGTGGAAATTCAAACAATTCAAACAAATCATCAATTTAACTTTTAGTAAACGCACAGATGTATAGTCCTGCTTACCGTTGTTGGAGAACATGTTGTCAAACTCTATGATGAGGTCGTCATCCCTGTCGAACCGTTCGAACCTGATGTGTGGTGTTGCATTAATGTCAGGAAAGTCCTCATCCAACTCCATCTCTGAGCCTTCATCATCATCATCCTCATCTCCTTCCTCATCGTCCTTGAAAGAAAAAAAGAACAGCCATGAGTCTAAAGGCCAGCAACCATGCAGCTCTAAACAGAACCTCACTGCATTTATCCATACTTGGTCTTCCTCCTCCTCTTCCTCTTCCTCCTCTTCTTCATCCTGGCTGTCTTCATCATCATTGCTGCCACTTGAATCTTCTTCTTGTGTGTGCTCCTCATCCTCTGGTTCTAGGATGTTCATGGAGTCTGAAAGAAAACAGGATCACAGGTGTTTACAAGAGGATGGCAGAGGGTATTTAAGACGAAAACAAACAAACAAAACAAAACAAAACAAAACACAGGTTATGAAGTTTCCTACCTTCCCGGTTAGCCTGAAGAGTTGATGCCTGGCTAATATTGGAGGGAGCCTCATCCATTAACACATCCTCCTGAGATTCATCTTCTCCACTACGTCCCACTGTGAAAGAACACAGAAATTACAAACCCATCCTTGGCTTTTTTTTTTGACTGATTGCATTACAATTAGTACCTCAGCTAAAGGGAGCTGTCATTCCTCTGAGCAAGAAACCACTTTTACTGCATTTTGTACATAAATTAAGGGTCTGCCTTCCACACTTGTGCGACCAATACACTAGTATTAAATACAGCAAGAGATGGTTTATTACCCAGAGGATGGCACTCAAAGAAGCATGCTAAATACTTCAGAACAAAGACAAGTCTAGTAGTGCCACAGCTGTTCTTCCTCGCTGAATTGTAATAATGCATTTAAAGTCTGTCTAATAGCTCATGCTTACGCAAGCTAAAGCTAATATACTTGTGTGATCGAACTACACCTATCAATAGCTATACCCTAGAACTTTGTTCAAAGCAGTGGAAGTCTTCACATAAGAGAATAACTCAAAACTCTTGCCCTCTGGGATATCTCCAGAAACTGACCAACTTTTATTGCCTAAATCCAATTACTTACCTATGATTGTGCTGTTCACAGTGCCAGCATCTCTTTCCAGCAGCTCATCGATCAGATCCACCAGCTCATTCTCCACCTACAGCAGACAGATTAAGATCAAGTCAGAGAGATAATATGGCTTTATTCTATACTTTTCTGTTATATCTACTCTTTCATGGAGGGGATTAATACAAGATATTATACATGATGTAATGTGGTGAATCATCGTTTAAGTATTGTATGCACTACAGTGTTAATCACCTGCATAGCCTGTGTGCTGAGAACTTCAGGCTGACCAGCTATGACCACTGTGTCTCCCTCTGTCTCTCCATCCATCAGGTCGCTGTCCGTTCCCTGCACCCTGTGGTTACCCTCCACTGGTTCTGCTTCGCCAGACTCTCCTAAGAATAGATGTGACACATGAGTAAACTGTAAACATTCAGAATAAGTGCATGGATAGTTTTTAAGCCATCTAACTTATGCCATTACCCTGGTCCTGAGTGTTGCTGTTGCTGTCTCTGGCAGTGCCCACAGTGTCATGTTCAGTCTTGTTCTTGCTGGAGCCACCTTTGCCCCCAAACAGGCTGCTGGGCTGGTTAACAATGCGGGACAGAGTCTCCAGTGGCTTCAGGGCAGCATTCACCGTGTTGGCCATGTTGGGGCTACACCAACCATTAAAAACAAATATTTTAAAACTTATTTTAGACAGCAAAAAAGAATACATATGTTCACCTTTTCACACCATTTTTATGTCATTTGTTCAGTTTTGGAAGCCATCTTCTCTGAGATACTTGTCAATAATAAAAATACTACCCACAGAGGATCCTGACCAGCTTTGGCCCCTTGTTGAAAAAGTGACTGAAATGTAAGGTGGGCTATCTTCACCTTGCAGACAGGACCAGATCTACCACGAATTGAGCTCATTTCAACAAACTCCAACCAAGACACTATTACTGATGCAGGTTTTTGCTGGATTTAGATTTACTTTGCTTTACTGTCAGGAAGCCCCTTTCATCTTAAACATCCCTCAGACAGAGCACATACAGTCAGAGGATGACATCCTATGGTACAGTCTACATCGACGATGAAAATGGGAAATACCATCCTGAAAGAAGTAAAATCAAACCTAGCCACGTGCTTCTTCTTTCCAAATGTTTAAGCCTCCAGTCTTGTCTGAATCATCCCAACCTCGCTTGCAGATCATCATTATCATAACATTGTTATTATATTATCACAAGTGTTCTTCTGTCTGCTGATCAACTGCTCAGGTCTATGGACTTCAGAGGTGATATAAAAACCACCACACAGAAATCAAGTGATTCTGAAGGCAACAATTAAATGCCATTTGCTGTGGTCACAACAGGAGGATGAGAAGAGACCAGAAAAGAGAGAGGAAAAACATCTATGTTATCTGGTGTTACATCTGTGTAAACTGTGAGCCCACTAACTGGGAAAACTCCTTGCTGTCACAAGGACGACTTGGTGACAATAGTATTTAGGGCCTTTTTGAATCACAAGATACAGGCAGACCCCATTCAGTTACAGTATGCACTGATCACCAACCAGAGTTGCCTGCCATACTGAACACTGAGTTTTCCTACTCCCCTCGATATTCAGAAGTTGAATCAGAAAACCAGATAAGCCGAACAGCGTCTCTTCAAAGAAAGTATTCAGTACCAACAAAATCACTCATTCTGACTATGATATATGCACAACGAACACTGTGTTCGCAGTTGAAGAGAAAGGAGAACATGTATGTAGAGTGTCTGAGAGTGGTCTTTCTGGTAGCCCAGTCAAGAGCTGAGAAAATTCCAAATATAGACTCACACTTAGATCAGTGCTTTGGGTGTAGTTTGTTAAAACAACAAGAAAAGGGAAAGGCTGACTGGGATCCCCTTTAGCTAAACTACCAACTATTGACTGTTAACTTAAACAGCTCTACTTCAAAAGGGTATGTGCACTTTTCTGTGTGCAAAATGTGCCACTTTTTCCCCATTGATCAGTTGGTGGTAAAACTAAAATAAAAAAGGCTTCAAGCTTGCAAACACTGATTTAGATGTTGAGTGGTTTAAAATGCTTTAACTTTGAATGTGTTCTGTAAGACTGGAAATACACCCAAGCCAATTATCATACCACAACAGAAAAACACTTAGTGTAAACATTACTTTTGTTTCCAAGGAAGAACACGACCAGAATGTAAAGGGACACGTCAAAATTAAACGATTCTTGCTCCAATTTTAACTGCTTAAATGAACAAATATTCTACCTTGACAAGTCCAAGCTGTGGGGCACACGGGCCAAGTCATTGACCAGACCTTTCTTGAGAAACAGTCTGATGATGTTGTTCATCCCATTGTGTTGTGTCTTGGCTGCAGCTGTGCTGTAGAAACTTGAAGTTGAGGGACAAGACTCCATGATGGTACTGATGATGCACATCACTGCTTGAAGCCTGGAAGAGATTTATGAAATAAAGGGTTAGTTCAAATTTCCATTCAATCATTTAAACTAGGACAGATCGATTATTATTCTGCATGCTCTTACCTTGCATGTTTTTCTGCACCTTCTGCCATTGCTAGAGCTCTACTGAGGGCGGCCTTCACCTCATTGACAAGGGCCACCTGAGCATCCGTGCCAGTGCCGGCAGCTGCTAGGCTGGCCAGAAAGAGACGTGCCAAGGCTGGGGTGTCCTTGTCCTCTGAGTTCTGAGTGTGGGGCAGTAGGTGGTCGAGCACAAAGGCAAGAACACTGCAATCCTGTTGGGATACAAAGAAGTTCAGATAGGTTCAAGGAATAGAAAACAAAAGCTCATGTTACAAAAGATAATTGGTACAGAGGTGAATATGTTTTACCAACCTCCTTAATGAGCTCAGACTGTCCAGCAGTGTAGCAGTAGGAGGCGATAAGTGTGGCAATGCCCACATAGGAGCGCACCAGCTCAGCCAGCAGTCTCAGGATGGTCGAGGTCGGCATTAGAGGTTTGCTTGCCTTCACCTTTGATGCTTTACTCTCCTCTGAGCTCGAACTCTTCTCTCCCTCCTGTTCTTTCTTCTCCTCTCGCATCTCCTCTGGTGTGGAGGCTGAAGTGGTGACAGCACAGTCATACACAGTTAATACCAAGAACACGCATGGAAACTCAGTTCTGTCTTTGTCTGCTGAAATGTTAAATTGTTAGAAACTTCATTGATTAACGTCCCACCTTCTCCTTGTGGTGTGCCAGATTGGGAGGACTCAGCCACACCTCCATCAGCAGCAAACACTTGAGTCTGTGGGGAGGAGACATGCTGTCATTCCTACCTGCTGTGATAACTCATAGCATGTTTGACTACTGAACACTTAGTTGTTGTCACTCACGTTGATATGGAATGCAGACTGGGAGTCAAAGTCACTGCCCTGTCGGGTGAGTCTGTACTGCTGGTAAACATCATCACCAACATCCTGCAGTATCTGGCACAGATCTTGAGCACCAGGTACAGCTGCTGCACGCTCTTCTGGACGCTCCGCTGTAACAGAAGTAACTTATGAAGCTATTTTCAAGTGACTGACACACACAACTTGTACTTGTAAAGCTATAAGGAGTTTGTTTACATGTCTTACGTTCTTCAGGGGCATGGTAGGCAGCCAGAGCATTGAGCATGTCATAGATGACCTCTTTGATGGTGTCAGGGATAGGAGGCAGGGGGGACAGCTTTAGAGGGGTAGTCTTGACGAGCTGCACTGCATTGGGTCCCTTAATCCGCAGGTTCTCAAACTCATCATCAGAAGCTGGAGAAAGAGATCATGTCAGAGCTTATTTAGGTAAATAAATATTTATGCACAACGAAAAAGCCTAATTAATGGTTCAAATAAATGACTCCCTCATCAGTGGTACTCTGTTGACTTAAAGAAGCCCACACACTTACCTGTACCGGCCCCCCGAGGTGCAGGCAGTGCAATGCGGACACAGTTGCTTGCCGTTTCAGCAAAGCATTCAGGGTTACGACAAGCTGCAGGGCCCAGGACTCTGAGAATGTAATTGATTTCTCTGGAACCAAGGCTGCCCGACACCACTCCTGAGGTGGTGCTTCCAGCTCCACTGGTCACTGCTGACCTCACCACCTTTGGAACAGATTATAAGACAGTGTTTGTACTGGATCAACTGAATATTCATTCAGAGTTAACAGAGACTTATGCCCAACAAACAATGTTTCTCCATGAACTTTAAGATGATGGAAACCAGGACTGACCTTTTCCATGGTGTGCCGCAGTGTTGCTGGGTCTTCTATGATGTGCCTGAACAGCAGAGTGACCAGTGGGGTGAAGCCATTGAAGCCAGAACTCTGTGTCAGCCCCAGAATCATACGGGTGCTCTTCAGCTCAGCAAACATCATGGCATAGTGGTGATTGCGTGTTAGGCGCAGACAGAGACGCAATGTGGCGTGGAGGGTGTCTGGGTCCACAGGGACGCTAATCATGCTGACACATGCCCGGATAAGAACAGTGGTCATGTCCTCAGTCAGGCCCTCCACAACAATGTCTGCACAGTCAGAATCAAGAGAGGATGAAGGTCCCGATGTGGTCTCCTTCAGCTGGCTGGAATCCTCCTTCGGGGCACTCATCTCTACTGCAGACACCGAGTCCAGGTCGGCATGAGTTTCCTCCACTTTGCTCCTGTCTCCTTCTTCTCTCTCGGAGTCAGTGATGCTACCAGTCTTGGCAGGCTTTGGCAAGCGAGGTACCCTCTGGACAGTCAACATCACTGGTCTCCTGTTTCCAGTTTCTTCATTTACCTGTCCGAAGGAAAAGGTTTCAATTACACAAAGCAACCTGACGACGTGAACACATATTCAAAGACTGGATGTGCCATACAGTTTTCTCTGAGAGACAGGCAAAATGTTTCAAGACAATCTTTATGTACCTGCACCATGGTGTTAAACTGCACAGTGTATCTCCGGCGTCCAGCAGTGAAGCGGACACTGCTCTCCCCAGCCCTCCATGCTGAGTCAATAGTGCTGTTGTTTGATGCGCTGTAACTGCACCAACGGCCTGAGCGATCATCAAACCAACGCCAGTTATTCCCATTGGGCTGCAGATACTAAAAGCAGAATGGAAGAGCTCATTAATTTATATAAAGCGTGCCAAAAAAACAACACCTTGGGATGTACCGCTAACAGCATCTTTTAAATCACACTTCACAAAATACACAGAATAAAAGCATTTTATCTATTTGTCAGTAGTTTATTTATGTGGCCATGATTTTTATGGTTTTTCTCCTATTAAAATTGGATTTTTATAGAGGAATATGGAAGGGTAAACAGTAAAGTTGGCAAAAGAAAAGTATGTTTTGTTTTGTTTTACTCTCTTCCCATTTCTATCTTTCAACTAAAACAGCAAATTTTTGTCAATTGCTATGTGGGTCTGTTTGTTTTTAATACCTCAGTATGTAACTTTATTCTTGAATCATGTATGTTTTTTTCTGTTTAACAGTTTCTACTTTTAAAAAAATATCGATTAGATAGAAAAGCTGGAGAGAAGCAGAGAATGTTGGGAGCTGAAGTGGGGATGACTTGCAGGAAATGGTTGTATCTGGGTGTCAAACCATTGACCGATGTGACAATGACTCTAGTCTCTCTACGTGGGGAGATCACTTAAAAAGCTAGCTAATAACATCCCACTATGAGCTGTTTTTTACCTTGTTCATTTGTTCTCTTCGCTTTGAAGAGACCGCCATCTTCTCATAGAAATCAATGATCAACAGTACAGGTGTGATCCATCTGCAGGAAAAAAAAAGGCAGTTTTTCTGTTAGAACTTAAAAACAATACTTGACTCAAAACAAAAGTATGACAAATGCATGCGGATACAATTTTGTCAGGCTGTGCGAAACTCACTTTGGTGTCTGGATATCTTTCTGCTCTTTCGCGGCTTGCAGACAGGGCTGTACAACCTCAAGCAGCTTAATGAGCAATTCAAGGATCCCACTGTTTTGCACCACCCTGGCACCAAACAGTTTCAGTTCCTTCAAAGAAGAAGAAAAAAAAATCATGATGAGAAAAATGAACCCAGGTCATAACTGTTCAGACAGGCTAATACATTTGTGATTTTCAGGTACCTCAAAGAGCAATGTAAGCAGAAGAATACGTGTTGCTAGTTTGGAGGCCTGAGGAAGCGTGGCCATCTGTCTGGTCCACTCAGACACCGTCTTTGTGTCACTGGTAGTCAGGGGCTCAGCCGCCCTAATCAGCACGTCTGCTGCATCCCACACCTATGCACAACACAAAGACAATGACACAGAAACAAATCTGCTGTGACTCTGTTCACTCACTACAGATACAGTTTTTTAATGGTATTCTCAATGCCAAATATCATGAGGGATAGATAATAAAAACTTCACCACTAACAAAGCTCAGTTTTCATTCAAGAAAGGTCAAGCATTTTAAGTTGGGTATTTAAGTTAGTACGTAATGCATCAGCACTGACCTGGTGGACAACCTGACCAAGAAGAAGATCTCTGTACTCAGGGCCACTCCTCTTGATGGCAGTCATCAGCAGGTCACAGAGTCGATACACTGTGTCAGGCAGCTCATCCAGAAGATGGAAGCAGCCAGGCAGCATGGAGTCAGTGAAGGCATGTAACTCCTTGGGGTCCAGTGGCTCCGCCTCCATGAAGCGCTCCAAGCAGCGGGCCTCCTCCTCCTCTGCACGCTCCCTGGCTCTCCTGTCCTCTTCCTCCCGCCGGCGTGCAGCCTCCTAAAGCAGAAACACAAATCAAGTCAACAGCTGCTCAGTCAGACTCAAGGTTTGTATTTAGGATGTTTCCTTCAGTCTATTATCTATTCTATTCTGTGAAGTAAGAATGACACACCTCGGGTGAGTCGGAGCGCTGCTCCATGCTGACCTCTTGTCCAAGTGACATGGCGATGGCCCTCATCATCTGGTCCTCTTCAGACATAGTCAAGTCCTAAACGAGGAGGGCAACAATGTCAGACTCCTGAATTTGACTGAAGATCAGTACAAGGAAAAAGATGACTATACTCTTTTTGTATTTGAATCCTTACCCTTACTGCTCCGCCAAGGAGTGGTGGAGGGTGTGTAAGTAGGTACTCAGTGGCCTGCTCCATGGTGCTGGTGTTTAGAAGAGCCTCCATGGCATGCTCCCTTGAGAAACCCATATCCATCAGCTGAAACACCACAAAGAGATAAAGAGTTATTTACAAAATCAAACTGAGATAGCTTCACAGATAAATAAAAAAAACAAAAATAAAGAAGGGATTATGAGACTAATAATGACAGCTCAGAGTGAACTGGATGTCATGAATAGTGGGAGGAAGTCTAATTTGGCCAGTGTTCTCCTTTCCTAATAAATCAGTATAATGACTCCAACCTCTGTCTATCCCTTGCACTCCTTATTTCTCCCCTTTTTCCCTGATGGCCCTATACCTGCTGGAGCTGCTGCTGGCGGGCTTGTGCATGCCTTTCTCTCTCTTCGTATCTTTCCTGTTATAAAACAAATGGTGGCCCAGGATTCAGTGCATGCAGACAATATGTGGAAGCATCAAGGTTAAACAGACACTTTTTTTTTTTTTTGCATACAGTTAATATGTGCCATGAGAGCCTGTTACAGTATTTGCAAAGCAAGTTCAAAAGACTGAGAGGGCTGCCGAAACAAACCGTAGCTGGTAGGCAGAAAACCACAATCAACGACACACAGTTCAATTTAATAACGAAAACTCATGAATCACTCTTACAATCATAAAAAGGAACAACTGTCTTGGCAAAGCAAGGTGCCAGGCATTCAGGCAGCTTTCCCACCTACCTGTGTTAGCTGGGCCTGGTTAACCTGGGGCTCACGGCGAGGGGTCGAATTTGTTGAATCTTCAGCTGATCCTCCTGCTGGCACACCAGATGTTGTCCCAGATGCAGCTGGTGCCTCTCCGGGTGTTGTAGATGCTCCAGGGGCAACACTGGGTCCCAAAGTCCCAGTGGAAGCTGTCTCTTCATCTGGGCGCACTGTGCCCTCTCTCTCCTTGGCGAGACGCTCCTGGATCACAGGTTCCCCTCTTAAAATGTGGCAGAGGATGGCCAGCATGGATTCAGCCATCCTGCCTCCGTACACCTTCAGCGGCTTCCTGTTCCACAAGTTACGGATGCAGCTGAACGCAGCCTGGATAAAAAGCAGACGTGTTAATTGCAGACAAAACCCATTAGTGTTATTCGAGGGTATTATTTCATTTAATGTAATGTGAATAGTTTAAATTGGAGTTACTGACCTTCTGAGTGACTATTAGGAACCGTAGGGCACTGAACTGGGGCATGGTGGGGGTGACCCCTGGCATTTTCGCAGGAAGGGAGTGTGGTGAGTCCAGTACGGTGCTTGGGTTCACCATCTTCTCCACTAGCATCAACCAGGCATCCAAAAATTCCCCAGTCCCATCTGGTAGATCTGTATGCTCAAGACCTTCAGACACAGGCACCTTCCCACCCATGGACAGGGCCCAGTTAAATGTCCTGCAAAAAACAAAACAATCCATTTAACTCCAGTTTGACATGGTAGAAAACTTCTGATACATCTCTTAGCTCAAACAAGGGATGTCACTGGCAGTCACGTGCCAGGTGTTCATAATGTTATGGCTGGTAGGTGTATATTTTTGTATAATTCCTTTAACCCACATGGTGAGATAATAAGGAATGATCATTTAACTCAAACCTAATTTAACTCGCACATAACACCTGTTCACATCATTTTATTGGATTTACAAACCTCTGATTAGCAATATTAACACGGCAGAATTTTTTACAGGTGTAGGGTGAGTACAATACATGTCCTGCTAAGTTCATATATAATTTTACTGGAGCGTCATCTCACTTGATCAGTAATAATCAGAGAATTGTACCCACTTGTTGATAACAACACAACTGGTCATCATCTGTGTTCATATACTGGACCTGTGCTGCGCTACAGACCTGTTTGACTGTAAATGCTACCATGAAATAGTGCATAGCGTATTTCTTCAACACTCTGCACTTTTTACTAACTGTTGCAATTTCTTCTTTATTCTTATTGATTAAAATTTCTATTCTCCTTCTACTCATATTTGTATTTTCAAGAGCAGGTGTAATGCTGTAATGACCAGACCCCAATAGAAAATTGGATAAGACAGATTCTTAGGATAGGATGAGTTTGAATTTCTTTAAGATGCTGGGTCCTTATAACTAACATAAATAGAAAATCTTCCAGACCTGCTCTTGAGATCACATTTGTCGTGAATTGGCACAATTTCACTTAAGTTTGATCAATGCATTCACTTCTGGTACATCCTGTCAAGCAGCACAACCCCAAGCAATAAAGAAGAGTTTTTTTTCCTGTTTCAACAGAATCTTAATTTGAATCAACTGAGAGTCAAGAGAGCAAGAGAAAGAGGGAGGAGACAGACAGAGAGAGAGGAACAGAGAGGCAAAAAGAAAGAAAGTAGACAGAGAGAAAGAATACTGCAGCTGATTACTCTGATCAGTATGAACTTTGAAGAAACGTGGCTGCATTCTACTTTTTGCAGTTGATTAGTGCCAATTTTATCAAATTCACAGCTGTTTTTACTGAGTGGTACATCTCACGGGCATCAAGGCCAATGACAGCTTTCGTTTAGAAAGCTGGAGTTAAAGATAAATCTGGAAGAATTACAGCTATGGTGTGTAATGGCATTGGGTAAAACTTACTCAAACAAGGCATCATGACCACCGGAGCAGAAGAACTTTTGCAGCATGAGGTGGTATGGGTACTTCCTCTCATCAAACAGCATGGGAGAGGTGAAGCCCACCGAGCAGATGAAGAAAGTTAGCCTGTCAAAAATAAATATTCCATATGACCTTTGAGGTGTAACGCATGTTTCAATGATGGCACATAGGGTAGAAGTGGTATTCTCATACCTAAACCGTGGAGTGGGAGTGTAAGGTGGGGGCTGCCAACTCAGACCCTTGGTAAGGAGCTTTGTGAGGGCAGAGGCAGTGGCCCTGGCAGCAGGCGTGGGGGTGGTGCCTGTGCTTGTGGCATGATGTGAACGGCGTTGGCGGACTGGGGAGCCCACACAAAGCTTCACCAGCAGGCCAAAGAGCTCAGCCAGAGCCCTACCCAGCCGAGATGAAGCTAGAAATACGGAAGACAATCAATAAAACAGATTCATGTGATCATGAATAAAAATAAAAAAAAGTCTGCCATACAAATCAACGTACCAGACAGGAGCGGTTTGATCTGTTTTATGCGCGTGGCCATAGCTGGAGTCAGTTTAGACTTGGCCTTTGGATCTGATGTAGTGGGTTCATCTGTCTCCATGGGAGCCAGGGTGTCCCCATCTAGGCCTATACCTTCCAAAAGTCCACTGGCAGATGAATCCACAGACACTGCCTCTGACTCTGCTAATTAAAGGAAGATGTCATGTCAGTTGTTGGCGTGTACTCCAGGCACACACTGGGCTTTAATAATGAAAACCTACTGCTAAGAAATATAATACCTGTTTTCCTGGAGCTGGAGGCTGCTGTTGCTGCAGTGCTGCTGGATGGTTTCTCTTCTTTGGGTACCAGTTTCTGCATGTCTGCCTGGCCAAACTCACAGCCTGGAGGCAGACTGTTGGACACAGAAGAGGGGTGTTAAAGGGGTCAAGGCTGTCCATGGAGGTGAACTAATGAGGGTAGAGGGTATTTACCTATTAGGTGTGCAAAGAGACAGCAGAACAGTGCTCTCCCACACCAGAGAGCAGTACAGCTGACTGAGCTTGTTGAGAACACTCAAACCAAGCTGGGAGCCCCACTGGTTGACTGAGATGGCTCTGATCTCACTCTGTAGAGGACAAAAAAAAACAACCATTCAGAGCTGCTGAGCTATTCAGTGATGATCTTCACATATCTAAGAAAACCCTTTCAACAACTAAAACAGCAAGCATTACTATTTGATCAACACTGAGTGTGTCAATCACAGTTACACTTTTCAGGCATGTTTAGCTTGGTTTAGCAGATGGTTCTCCTAATTTGAGGTAGAGTTCTGAGCAGCTGACAAGCTTTGTTCTTCAGGCACAGCTTACATTTCTCTGTGATGTTGTTCCGGTCTCTTTTACCCAAAAGCTGAAAATAATGGGAATATTTCCACTGAGTAAACGCTGTATGCTCTGCCAACTCACTCAAGCAATAGTTGAATAAGCTAGTCAGGCATGTGCTCTGACTTATATGTGGGCTAACCTTCTGCTAATAGGCAACTACCTGCCAAGAAGTAAAAGGAAAACCTGCGCAAATAGTACTTAGACATGCATTTCCTCCAACACTGTTTCTAGATAGTGGTTGGCAAAGATCAACAAAGGAAAAGGGGATATGACTTTAAATCTATATCATATGTTTTTTTTGTCTTTGTCTTTTTTGTTGTTATAGTTGTATTACATATTATAAAGGGGTCACACGTGTAAAAGTGTGGTTACATGTGTTCCCCTCTCCCCCCAGAACAAAACTGTGATGCATAAACTCAACTGATATTTGCAGCTGAGACCAAAGTTAGATGCTTTCCTAAACTACCACGTGTTCAGAATCATACGTACAATATAGTTTGTAATTACATCTCTGTGATCTGAATTTCCCTTTCTCTCCTGCTTCTGTGTTTGTATCGTGTTGTGTTGAGTTACTCCCGAAAATGTGCCATTATCTGAGGTGGATGTTTCAGTAAAGAGGTTTTTCAACAACAAACTATGCGAGACTTTTTTTGTAAAGAGTTTGACAGGAATCAAATACGTATGTATATCTTTAAATTAACTAAGCTCTGGTAGGAGTTATATTGCTATTTTCACTGGAAGCCACAGCCCTCTTCTTTTCACCTTTTTGACCTCAAGACTGAATCGTCCTTTGAAATACACTTGCAAGCAGGGAGGCCTTATTAATGAAGATGTAAATCCCAGCTGCGCTCTGACTTGCTGAGAAAAGGGCACTAGCACACCTGACTGCTGTGCCCTAATGCTCTCTCTTTGTAAATGCAACATCTGCTCTGATCATGAGGAGGAGGAGGTGGTGGTGGTCTTTGATAAGTGTGCTGGCTGCAGCTCTGCTCTGACTAGGATTCAATCTGTATGTTGTCAGTCACAAATCATTCTTCACCCCATGCTGTGGCAACATCAGTGCAGGGGGGACATAAATCTCTGCCGTGTGAGAACTTAACTCATCATGTGAGTTCAAAATACAAACGCATTCTTAAACCAGTGACAGTGATATTGCAAAATCCATGTCCTGGCAGACTGCGACACAGTGATGGTACTGAAACCAGTGTACAACCTACAACTATTCCACAGGGGACCTCTCACTGCATTTCCTACATTAATATTCCCTCAATTACTTCACAATCACTGATATTCGAATGACTCCCATTTTCAGACAGCAATAAACCTTGTGTGAGTGATATTTTGGTCATTTAAAAAGGAATGAGGAGGCATTAATTTTATATTTCAAAGATAAATCATCCATATTTACCTGTCCTACTCGGCAGGTGTGGACGAACATGAGGATGTAGGCATGCGCTGCAGTAAGAGCATGCAGCAGTGGTGTGGCTCGGGCTGACAACGTAGCGTCGGTGACATGTCCCGCGTTCGCCAGCTCCCGAAGAAGCACAGACCCACCAGGCATCTCAATTGGTCGATGAAGTGGCTCCAGAGATGTCAGGATACTGTCCAGTTGGCACAGGCCCTCCTGGAGTACTTTGGGCTCATGTGAGAGAGTCTGAGGGGAAATTATTAAGAGGGAAATGTCAGTTATTGATGTTAAAGACAACTAATTCTTTAGCTCTTAATTATCAAGTTTACTCAGGGAGGGCAGATTAAAAATGAGTCCTTTGGTTAAATCACAAAGTCTGTATGAGCCCTGACTAAAGAATGAGTATTATACAGAACAAAAGTTCAATAGTGATATTTCTTTTGTGCTCACTAGAATTGACTTGCAAACACCAGCCACGGCTTGGCAGGCAGCAGAAGTGGGGAAATCTATGGGCAGGTTGGGAAGACCCAGGATAGAAACCAGAGGCAGCAGACCCTTCTGGTTTACAAACTCCTGACAGTGGTCGTCTGTTGTGTTGTTGCTCAGGATAGATTCCACAAACTTCATCTGAAAAACATGTGCATCAAAAATGAATAGCTGTAGGAAACAAAATACTGATCCTTCTTCTAAACTCATCACTCACCACGTTCAGAATGTAATCCATCAAAGGAATGGGAATGCGCTCCTCCGTGCCCACCACCCTGCAAGAAGTTAAACATCATTGAAATGACAACCCAAACCTAAAATCTTAGAAATGCAGTTGATTGGCTTGAAAGACATCAACTTCTTGAATGACTTATTGTCCTATTTTATTGTGTTATGAACTCAGCGTCATACAGTTCAAGTGGCACTGACTGTCTGTTGCTCTCTGGTTCCCCCTGCTGCTGGCTGAATGTGTGAAGGGCTTCCTCTTCCTCTTCATCCTCACTGGAAGCTTCTTCAGCTGCGTGGCTGGAGCGTGCTGGTGGCACTGCCACAGTGCCATCTGCTTTCTGGATAGACGGTTTCTGACAGATATACTCAGGAGCTCGACCTAAGTTGCAGATCTCCTCCAGTAACTGAAACAAAGATTTTACTGTCTTAAAATCAAGTGGATCCACACAGAAGTCCCAGCACTTGAAAAACTATGTAGACTACCTTGATGATGGCAGTAGTAGCATCGGTCTTCAAAGTGGGCTGGTGCCTCATCAATTCATCCACAGCACTGCCCAAATTGGAAGCAGTGTCACCTGAAGCCAAACACATAAGATGTCATCCACTTGAGACGATTCCACAGGGACAGATCTGAATTACACAACGCAGACAGTCCAACTCACCCAATGGGTCAGAGCTGCGTCGCCTTCGCATGGCAGGCAGGTAGTCGGGAGACAAAAGCACTTTGAAGAGGCGCTCAAAGGGCTGGCACTGAACGAAGGAGTGCAGGCCTCTTGCATTCAAGCACAGGGCACTGAACACGTTGGGGAGGGAACCCAACACCTCACGGGTAGCAGGAACCTGGAGTTGATAAACAAGTACGTCAGAGGTGGTGCGCATATTTTTATCCAAAAACAAACTTAATGGCCTCAAGCAATTCATTACCAACGTAACAACGACATCACAGAAAAATAAATCATCAATGCATGTTGTGTGGTATTTTTTCTCCAGTAATTAAAAAAGAAAGTTAGCAGAGCACAATGTGCATCGATTCAGTGCAAGTTAAGAGGAAGATTTGTTTTCCAACCTAACCCATGCAAAACAGCTCCAAGGCTTGTCTGGTCACAGGCAGACATAATCATGACGCACAAGTGCTCTTAGTTTCTAGAAGGACGTTATGGGCAGTAATACAACCTGAACAACTTCAAACACACCGCTGTAATCTATGGCTGTGTTGGGAACTCACGTCTTTGATTAGAAGGGCATGCAGCATGACATCAGTGAGACCATTATCCTGCAGGGAGGAGAGCAGGGATGGCTCCTGGAACACGAACACCGTAACAACCTCCGTCGCTACAAACCCAGAAGATGGACAAGAGCAGAGGAGAGAAAGAAAAAGAAAGCAAAAGATGGACTCTGGTCAGGGCCACAGGACAAAAGGTAGATTGACAACTCTTACTGTGTGTAAAGAACTTCAAAGACCTCTTTAAGCACGACTTTGAACTCACCTAGGAGGAACAGTGAGGGGCCATAGTATTCTGCATTACTGATGATGTGCTTGAGTGAGGTAGGCAAGGACCCATCCATTACTTGAAGGGGAAAAGGGCACACATGCACACATAAACATCAAATGTTTACAAAACTAAATGTACAGACTTTGATGCAATAAATAACAAATCTATTGAGCATAGACAAAGAAACTTGGTATATTTCCTCTTTTGCAAGTGTGTCTGATGAACAGGGGGAACAGAGAGTACTAATGTCTCACCATGGCGGATTCCATCAGAAAAGGCAGGGTCCTGGATGGCTTTCTTTAAGAAATTCAGCATCGACTTCAACAGAGCTGCCCGCTGAGGGATACACTGCATACCTGCAGACACAGTGTCATATTGGTGATTGAGTAAAATCGTACATTTTTAAAACAAAGTTTTGTGATGAGTTTGTTGAACGTACCAGCACGAGGTGTGTTAGCAGTGCTGCTCTGTGCTCGATGGTCCGCCTCTGGTCTGGAACCAGAGGATGTGGACGGTCCAGGGCTGCTCTCCATGGCAACTTCTGACACTAAGAAAACAAAAAAACACGCAAACATAATGTTGTAAATTAACAGGCCAGGTGGGATATTCTTTATAATATAAAAATCCTTTTTTTAATATTAAAACTTCTTATTTGTCACACAAATGTCAACCTACTCTCCATGTCTGTGTCCATGTCTTCAGACTCCACAGCTGCACTTGGCCTCTGAATCTTTGGCTTGATGACAAAAGGGCACTCTTTCCTCGACAGGTCCACCTCATGCTACATAAAGGTAATTGGAAAGGTAATAAGGTAATAAGTAAAAGTGTCACTTACTCTTTCAACAAAGACGAAATATAAAAATATACAAAACCAACCTCTAGCCTGCAGATGAAAATGGAAAGGCCGCTGTGGGACTGAAAGGCAGCCATGTCAAGGTTAGTGATGAGATCCACAACTCGCACTGCTCGTGTTACAAAGGTGATCTGGTCCTGCTCATCACCCAGAAACTTGATCACCTAGAAAGTGAAAGTCAACAGTGCAGATGTAAGCATTTTCTAAAGAGACTATGATTAGTGAAGATATTTTTGCAGAGTCAAGTGGTACCTTCAGGAGCGCTTCCATCATGCCACAGGAGACAAGGGCTTCCCCTCCAGCATCATAGCTAGCCAAGTGGTAGAGGAATGAGAATAGTGCAGTGGCAAATTGGTGTGGGTAAGGTTCCATTAGTGGGTCTAGAAAACAGAAATCAAAAGTTGAGAAACAGGCTTCTAAAGTTCATCCCACTTTCAGTTAGAAAAAATGAGGGTTTCAGTCTTACCAATCATTGCTTGAATACAGTTCCGCACTAACACAGGCAAAAACCCATGGTAGGAGGCAGTGCCAGTGCAGTCGATGATGTTTGAAAGTTTAGGTGTCCTCTCCAAATGGACTATTGAAGTTAAAGTGCGCAAAGAGGCTGCCTTGATATCCTGAAGAACAAAATCATACAGTCAGTGTACGAATTTAGAAATAATATTGGTGCAGGAGTGGCAATTGGTGTAAAGATAGAACTACAAATGTATACTCTCTCACCACAAGCTGTTTGTCTGTAATCTGTAATACATCCACCAGCTCCTCTATCAAGCCATTATACAGAATACTGTTGGCTGACTCTTGGAGTGCATTTGAATACACTGCAAACAAACACAAAGTCAGGGGTAAAGACACGGAAAACACACCCACTTTAAATCTTTGGTCAAAGAAGTCTACTAACCCAATATAGAAATTGCATGCAGTCGGGCCTGCACAGCCTGCAACCTCTTCTTGTGATTTGAGAAACCATGGGCCAGTCGAATGTGTGTGAACAGCAGGGTTTGCTTGTCTTTAGGGATGTTGTACATCACTGTCAGCGACTCCATGATCTCAGATGGGCTCTCTGAAATCTGAGAGACACAGGACACCATGTATATGCAGAAACCTTGAATATTAGGATGAATTGTGCAGATGACACATTACCCACTTTACCTTGTCAAGCTGCTCGATGTGAATATAGTGTAGCGTGTTACTGCTCGTCTGCTAGGGGAAAGCAAGTGAAAACATTTAGACATGAACAAACAAATAAATAGATAAATGAGTCCATTTTGTGTTCATAACAACATGGGAGCAGAGATAATAGTATGACAAACAAAAAGCCTTTGACCATACCTTCCTCTCTACTTTGACTTCAGGACCTGGTTCAGCATAGAATTCAAAGTGCAGAGTGGTGGCACTAGGAGGGTACTTCTGCTCATGTACCACCAAAGGCCGCATGGTAAGAAAAGAGTTGAAGAGTTAGTATACATAATTATTATTCAAAAACTTTATTTAAGATGTCAAGTATGACTTTGCTTTTTCACATATTCCTAGAGTATAACGGCATTTGATCTCATTATGATTCTATTGTCTGATTTGATTTTTGGCGTTTTTATAAGTCCATTTGGCCCAGTGCCTGTCTGTATTATGTTTTTAAAAAAGTAATCCATGGTTTGCAAACCATTTACATCCTCTATTTAATAGAAAATAATGCATCTACCACATATCAAATTTAGAAAGCTTTTATGAAAAACTGTGCTCATTTTAAATTTTGTGCCAGCAACATGTTTTTAAACCGCTTGGACAGAGACGTGTGTACCACTGTGTTGCATCACCTCTGTAAACATCTTGGAGCTTCTGGAGTTCTTAAAGTGAAATGTTTTCCCAGTCTTGCTTGATAAAAGATTTCAGCCATTAATCAGGGTCTCCTTTATCACAGTTTTCTTTTTATAATACGCCAAATTTCTAATGGGTGAAGGGTCCAGAATAAGTGCAGGCCAGTTAGGCTCCTAGACTCTACGAAAGGGTTATGCTGACGCAACGCCAGCAGAACGTGGTTCTGCATTATTTGCTGAACATGCAGGATCTTACCTGAAAAGGGAATCAACTAGAGTAGCAAAAAAATATGATTCCAAAAATTATGTCAAATTTTAGTTGATTTAAAATGGGCATAGGCCCAAAGAAGTTGACTGCATTTCTTTAATATATTGGCATGATTCCTGCATTGCATGGTATATTTTTGAACCTGCATACTGATGAGGTGGTTTTGAGCCAATGCAATGGGTGTAGAGGGTCTTAGATTGCAGGTTTATCAACCTTGACCCTCTTGTACAGATATTTCTTCACATTTTCTCAATCTGTTAGTTGTAATATGTACCAAATACAATAAATTCCAAAATCTTTAAACTTGTACGCACAGTCTCTCTCACAGTAGTGATTTTTTCCCCATCTTCATTTTTGAGAGACTCAGCCTCTAAATAAATCCCTTTTCTACCCATGTTACTTACCAGCTGTAAATTCTCAAAATAAGTTGTGAGATACTCCTACAGGTGTTTTTTTTAGTATTACACGACTTATTGCAATTTTGTTGCATATTTTTTTAAATGTGTTGCTGGCATCAAATTAAAAAAGTATGTGTTTTTCATAAGGCAATCAAATTAGCCAGTTTCAACATTTGTTGTTTTGCACAATAATAAATTAAATAAGGTTTAAATTACTTGAAAACATATAAGCAGTTCTTAACTGACATTATACACAGATTTTTTGGCATTGGGATTGTACCACTTCCACAAACATCAGACAGCTAATAGTCCTAGAGCAATAGGTAGCTAGCAGTGACAGTCATCCAGCAACCTTAAATTTCTTACCCCCATCGGCAGATCCCTGCAGCACTCGGCCAGACCAAAGCCATTCTCCTTTCCTCCCCAGCTCTGTAGAGGAGAACAAAAAACTAAACAATGAGGCTCTTTCACTTGAGAGACAGCTGGACAATGACAAAGGAAAACAACTGCATCCACCAGACCTCAGCTAGGTGTTGTAGACGGGCCAGTAGGGGGGTCCTTTTGTCGGATCCCAGCCTTGTGATGTAGTTTGAACGTTTGCTGAACACGTAGAGCAGGTTCAGCACAGAAAGGACCACCTGCATGTCACATGATGCTAACAAGGTGGTTAAGTGCTGTAAAATAAAGTGATAAATACAAGACAAGTTAGTGAGCTGCATCATAGTTTCCTTAGCAAAATGTGTTGTCCGGTACAGTAGAGTACTGACGCTGAGTACTTTAAGTTCACGCCTACCTCTATGGAGCTGTACAGGTGCCTTGAGAAGCTGTACTCAATGAGCAGTGCTGTGAAGTTAAGCACTGCCAGAAGCAGGGCTTTGAGCTGGCTGTTGTCCGGACGGTCACACACCAGCAGCCATGACATGTTCTCCACTGTCTGGCCTGCATCGCACAAAATGCCATCGAAGCGATCTAGCAGATCTACCCAGTGGTAAAGCTCACACTGTTGAAGACATGAAAAAAAGTCAACGCTTTACAAACTTGTCAAATACATATGAAACAACTTTCTTCAAGTGAAAACAGTTATGGTGAGTTATGGCGTAGATGATGCCGAGTCAGAGCCAAGTATATGATAGATTTCCCTGCAGTAGAACAGCTGTGAAATATCATAACATGATAACATTTTACTCCTGAGGTGGCTTATTTTTGGTTTGGTTTGGGACTCTATGATTATACCAAGAACCTAATAGTGATGATGATCTAGTATTGTATGCACTGATTTTGCAACAGTGTACAAATGTAAGAAAATGCCATACAGGAGATATTTAACCACCATAAATCTATTCATAGTCAGGCAAGAATCAAAACCTGATTTTATACAAGATTTTGCCAACTTGAAAGGAGAAACTTAATATGCAATTTTAAAGTGCTCTCTAAAAGAGAGACTGTGTTAATTTTGTGAGTAATCCAGAAATACCTGTACAAAAGCAGTTGAAATGTCTATCTACAACAAGTCAATTGAATTCATACTTTTTGTGTGTTTTAGACCTCATGACAAACTTATTGTTAAAAAACTAACCGTTGCTCCAAAGAATGAAAGCAGCTACTGGTTGACGCAAAGTCTATTTAGACCATAACCACTTTTTATATTTCATGTCCATTCTGTTGTGAAAAACATGTAAATGAAAAAATCCGAACTGCAGTTTTTGCTGTATTGCACTTGCGGCATGTAGTAGCTTCAAAACATTGAAGCTCCAAAGTAATACAGTGTGCTTGTAGCCTGTCCAGTCAAATTTGAAAACATTAATCTACAAGACATTTTTTGTTGTCTTAAATTTTTACAGTGTTCACTAATTTAAAAGCTCACATAGCATAACACAACATTCATGCTCGACTTATGTACTGATGATGTAGCAGCACAGCAGCAAATGCATGAGGATTGGTTCACATGCTCTTTTCACATGAGCTTACCTTGCCAATATTCCAGGTCTTGATGTGCTGAAGCTCAACCAGCAGCTGCTCATCACTGCATGCCTTTAGCTTCTCGATAAGTATCCTGCAGTCCGCAGGCTTCACGGTCAAAAGAAGAAAAAAATAAATGGTTAGACAAGCAAAAGCCCACCTACCCTTTAATCTCAGCACTACATGCTGAAGCTATACTGTTACAGCAGCATGTGACAACATTACAACACATTTCTGTCTTGTGCCCGAGCCAAACTTTGAAAAACCAACACCCTAAACTAAAATTTCTTTTAGTATCACTATTCAAATTAACTTCTGCAACATTTCCGAAGACCTTCTAAATTGAAGATAAAAAAAAAAAAAAATCACTTGATCAGTGTCACAATTTGGCACCCCTTCTACAGTTAAGCAAGTAGAGCAAAAAAGCTAAATACTCACAGCTTCCGTAGGTGTTTTCTTTAACTTGCTTCTGTCGACCTTCATTGTCGATAATCTCTAATGGTTGCTCCTATGAAGAAATGTTGATCCCAGTCAGGAAGCAAGTTACAACACATTTCAATGTTCTGCAACACAACTAGTATAACTCAAAACTGAAACTAATACTATGTGAGACCAAATTCTGCGATATTTTTAAACTATAAGACAGGTGCAAGATCATAAATACTTGACTTTTAAACAAGCTTGAAATGTACTCACACAAAATAACTTGGCAATACCCACTTAACAGCATTTTTCAGTCATTTTACCTGCAAAATGAGACATAAAAGAAATAAGCAACATCACCCTGCATGGTAAAACCCACACTGGATTTTACAAAAGTTAACCCTTGTATAAGATAAAATAATCTCAAAAGACATCAATAAAAACAGTAAATCTGTGAATAAATTAGGAGGTAACCACTTGATATTAAATCATTTAACTCCAAACAAAGCACTCAGCTAGTCAGCAACATCCCTTCACATGAATATCTTTCTATACCTATTTATTTTAACCCACAAACGTGTTCACAGTCTTTGGTCATACGAATACGATGCAACTCAGTTTGTTTCGATTCTTTAGATGAGGACCGATCATCACAGAGCAGACCAGTGCAGAGCATTAGCCAGTGGCTAGCTAGCAACATACGACACAAAGTTAATTAAATCAGATGGGGCCCTTTTAATGGTCTAAATCATTCTTCTCATGTTCCACACACTTATGATTTATGTGACATATAGACAAAAACACATCGCTTTTCCACCGTATGCGTGCCTATCATTAACTAAAGAGACTAAACGATGACAGGTAAAGTTATAGTTACCAAGCTAATAAGCTAAGTTCAACCTTGCTAACAGCTTTAACGTTATTTACCTCCGACCACCGTCATTGTACAAATATGGGGGCACAATTAATTCCTGTAAGACAAAATTACCTGTCTCTGGTAAATCAAAAATACAGCAAGTCGAGTTGAAGAGACTAAAGTATCAAAGAAATCTTATGCTAACGTTCACAACGGAGTTGACGTTAGCCTCAAAACCTGCTAACGGAAAGCTACCGGTAACGCTAGCAGATGGTCTGCCTCTCCAATACTTCAAAGCAACTGAACATCACCAGACATCACTAAAGTCAACCAAACCCCCTGATGAAACGGGTGCAATCAACACTACGTCAGCAATATAGCTAACTTACAATCCTTAAGATTTAGACTTCTATGCGAGACCTGTCATTTCAGCTTTCACAGATTCACCATGCTGTCCTGACCTGACTCTGGACTAATTTAGGTCGAGGCTGCACAGGCCGCAAAACAAGCCCGCACTCCTCACTCAAGCAGCATCGCAGCTTTCGGTAAAAACGGAACCGTAAACACCAGTCGAAGTCCAGCAGCGTTAAGATTGGTAGGTGTCAAATACCTCAAGTCAGGTAGCGTTACTTTGAGACGCCTCTTATCCCGGTTCCTCAGCTAGACTGTCGAAGCACGCGCTAGCAAGCTAGCCGCCGTTAGTTGGGTAGCAAGCAGAAACGCATAATAACTCGCTGAATCATTGTCGAGTTGACGAGTCTAACGTGACACTGCGAGTTTTGTTTCCAGTTTTCGGTCGGGCAAATTGACCAGAGGCTACCGGCTCGGCATTCAACTATGTTTATCCGTTCGCTGTTTTATTTTTCACAGTATCCGCGCCTGTTTCCATTGTACATATGCACTAGCTGTTGGCACAGTCATCATGACTCTGGGTAGTGTGCAAAAAGTGAATAACGTTAAGGCAGGCAATGAGTAGCCACTGTTTATTGATGCACAGCATGTTTGAATAAAGGGCAACTGGTTCTCTGTACAATAAATTCACACTACATTTAACAAGGTCCTTGGCATAAAAGATTAGCACAAGTATCTGCAACTATAAGCTGCAAACAAACATTAACATAAATATAGAAATCTAATCCTTTAAATGATTTTGACTGAAATCTATGACAACAATTAACCCTGCACTTCCGCATTGTTATTTGTATGAGAAGCAATGTACATGAAATTCATTTTGAACCATCTACCATCATACATCTAAACACAACGCATCAACACATCTTAAGAATATTTACAGAAACACTAACATTTTACCAGGTTAGCCACATGCATGTTATATATCGCATAACCTTAAATACCTAAGTATTAAATAGTACCTTAAATTTAAGTATTTCTATTCAATTGATCATGGTACCTCTTAAATTTTAATTAAAATTACAGTAAACTGTAAATCGTTGTTCCTGAGCTATTCTAAATAGCTTTGGTTGACATAACATAACATAACATTGACATTGGTGGCATAACAGGCCATTATCGGGTAACTTAGATATTATTAATACAGCTATATATTTCATCAAATTTGAGGCCCAACCTCCACACAGAGCAGTGATACACTGCAGCAACTTAAAATTTCTTCAACCTTTGAATGCTGAGCAACTGTTTTCATAGTAGGAAGGATATAAAAATCATGTGGAGTTTCCATCTTTTTATAGACTAGCGAAATTTCGTTGGAATTTTTTGGAAAATTAATAACAATTTCTTATATGATTGTCTTCTTTTTTTCTTCATTCTTTTTCTTTTCTTGGTTATCTTTGAATTAGTTTCACTACTATGTTTGCACATGAATATATATCTAAAGGCATCTGATAACATCTTTTGGCCATCATCCATTGTTTTAAGCAATGATGTGGTCATGTAAGAATGTACTTGCCTGTCACAAATATTGGCACTGTCTGCTGCATGACAAATGCACAAACCTATACTGCAGTTAAAAACAGGGTTTGTATTCAATCATTTTTCAAATTTCAAGTCTAAAACACTGACTGACTCTATTCTCATTGCATGGTTACAAGTCCGCAGTTATCAAAATATATACTTTGTGTACTGTGCTTGGTGATGTCTTCAATATCATGAACAAGTTTTGGGAAAACACTCAGGAATTATTTCCACCACAGATCAAATGCCACAGCCACACTTGATTTCTCTAATTTAAAGATCATATGGAAGATTTAAAAGTAATTTCTGATGTCAAGAGCTGCACAGACCCTGTTCCACTTAGCTTTTCTGAACACACCAAAATAAACTACGACAAATGCAAAATATAGTTCATAAACCCATCACTTTCAGAATGAATAAACAATTCCAGGAAATTACCCTTAAATATTATGAGTGAAACGTCCTTGAGAGGAACTATGCGCTATTAAATTTTCACTTTCTATTACCAACAAAAAGAGTTTCTGCTCATTCGTTTTCCTGGAGAAAACAACCCTCGTTTATCTGTTTTCACTCAAAATACAGAAAAAATCATTCCAATATTGTTGTGGTTTTTCATGAAATTGAGTTTTCTTCAGTTCAGATATAGGTTACTTTTTAAGACTGTAGAAGCTTAGCAGCAAATAGTGATGGAAAATTAGTGTATACTGTTGTCTCAGTCAGTATAGAAAAGAAATTGGCTGTACATACCAGAAACTGCTTTGGTTTAGTAGTTCCACCACTCATCCTTTGTTGGCTTTGCAGTGTCTTTTAACTATCTGAAAACACAAAAAAAATATATCAGATGACATAAGTTTCTTGAGCAAAAAAAAAAAAATGCTATAACTGAATGTTTCACACTGGATAAAACTAATGTCAAGGATGAGTCTCTATGGCAGTGCCCAATTCAACTACACCAAGAAATAGTGAGAATGCACAAACCACTGTGTACTAAGAAAAGCAGAACTCTCTAACTGTCACTACTAAATTTGTGAGCAGCTATAGCTGAGCATATGACTTTTCCCTGATGTTCAAAGAAAACTCTATTGGGCTCACTAATAGCAATACTTTTAACTGCCACCAAAAGCCAACCCCTGTCTTGAGGTCTGAATGGTTTCATCTTGAATGCAAATGTGACTGAGTATGTTTCTCTGCTCGACCTGTGTTGCATTAAACACAAAATCTCAAGTCTTTTCAAATGAGCATGTGGAATGAGTGTTGTTTTAAAATCTAATCTAAGAATACAAAAAAATCAACATGAAAAGCATTTATTTTCATTGAAAATATGCGTGGTTGATGTCAAGCTTGCATGTGAGTTATTAATGTTTCACAGGTACATGGACTCAACCTCACCCCTCTAAAAAATGTCCTACGGAAGTGTATCCAAATTCAATGCCAAAACCAGGGCCGCTTAGCCAGGGCTTGTTTTAGTAATACGCATGATGGCCTACACTATTAACTTCAAGAGTAATCAACTGCAAATTACATTACTAAACAACAAATTTCAGCACTGCTTTCTTTTTAAGATAACACACATTCAGAAATATAGGACATCGTTTTCTTACAGTCATGTGATGCTTTCAAGACTTTAAAATAAGGGAACACAATCACAAACAAATTTGTGATCACATGACCTTGGCTTTTGATCACAGTCATAAACACCAACCAGCCATATTATTATGAAAACCTGTGTAATCTTACACAACCCAACATAAGAACTCTGAGAAGTTCTACTTTTACAACGCTACTATATTTTCAGCTTTTGTTGTCATGGTCAGATGGGTGACAGTTGAATTGTAGAAGCTGTTGGTGGAGTGGATTACAATAAGGGTTCTTATATTTTTCCCCTATTGTGTCTGTCAAAGGAGTGGGCTAGATGTGAGGGCCATCTCTTAATATAACAGACCCCTCTGTACACCACTATCACCAACAACTATGTCTTTAATAATATATGACATATGATAACACCTATCTAGTCCTGTCAACAACAAAAATCATTACACTTAGAAGCTTCCTGAAGTAGAATTTGTGTAGAACTGTGTTATTTAACTGTATATAAATGCCAAAGTTTTCATAATATAAGTGTAATTAGCAGGTTCTCCAGAAAGAAAAAAAATATGTACCATCCCAAGCAATCTTTACAACCTGGCCACTACTGGTGATGTACTGTCATCACTATGGTAACTGATTGAGATTGGGTCTAGTGATGAAGGCAGTTTTCCTTTGCTTTCCCATGCCATACATCAGTGAAGTATGGTTGAGCACATAAGGTCCCTGACTTGCTAACAAAGACTCGTTAATGCATTGTGTATGAGCAGTTATCGTTATGACCCCATTTGGCAATATTGTGCTTCGTTTCTCAACAAAATAATTACGACACGTCTTTTATAATGAAATAAACAACAACCAACGTCGACATTTCTGTAGTTGTGAACTGATCTGAATCAGAATATTCAAAAAATGACCAACAGAAGTTTAAGTATTAACTTTGTTGTAATTTACCTACCCAGCGTTAGATTGTTGGGGTTCAGTGAGGTTCGGGCCTTACATATACAAAGTTTAAAGCTGTTAGACTGCGTTAGAAAGGTTTACTAACAGTTATGCTGATGTTAGTTAGTCCGGCTCCAGTGCAGCTTTGATGGCTAATGTTAGCAGATTACCAAAAGTCAAATCTGCAACTTGACACACATTCTCTCATCTCTTATCAATGTGTTTCTTTCTGAGGAAAATGAGTTGCCTACATGAACAGAGGAGATCGCTGCTTTGATCCGTTGTATCACACAGGGGCAGACATACCTTCTCAGTGAACAGGAGTGTAAAAATGTGTATGTTTGTGGGTTTAGCGCGAGCTAACTAGCTTGCAGTGAGAGCTCCGCACAATGCTCTATCAGTGGGATCATGGCTAAATTAAAAATGGCGGTTTACACATCATAAGATCGGTACTTTACCCGAAAATGATACCAGATTTGGGGTCTTGAGTCTCAGCGATGGGCTCAGATCATCGATTGTAATTGTCAGAGAAGCACAACGTTACAACTGGTTGGCCCAAACCACTGTCAAAGCAATGGAATAAGTATTTCTGCTTACCTCGAATGCGTGTTACATTCGCTTCTCCATCTTGCACTAGCGAGTAGCAGGGCGGTTTGGATCTCGCGAGATTACCTGATGCTACGTTTACCGAGGGTACTCCCAGGCAATTGTTGGAAAACAACACTACTGCGTTTTCGTCCAGAGGAGAGCGGAGCCCTTGTTAACTGGTATTTCCAGTTTCACCTTGTGATCGAGACGTCACACGGAAGCACACAATATTATTCCTCCAGTTATATAGTTATATTCTAAATCAATTTAATGTAATTAATTCCCAATGGAAGTAAATAGCACCCCTCAATTGTTGAAAACAAAGGGACTCGCTGGAATTAGTGCGTTACAAGTATCCCTTCAAAATGAAGTGGATGTTGATTTCATTTTTATTGTCTTTTATGGATTTTATTTCCTTTTATTTGATTGTACTGTGTTTTTATCTAATTTTATTTTATCTTCATTGTTTTATTGTGCTTCTGTTCTGTTACTTAATGTATTTTTATCTTGCTGTGCAGCACTTTGGAAACCTTGTGTTTGTTTAAATCGTGCTATATAAATAAAATGGATTGGATTGGATCACGTTATTGTGTTAAATTGAGAATATAAAATAAATAACTTGAGAAAAGCTAATGACAGTGCTTAAAATATAAATAATCATGACAAAAAATCTGTATTTGTTTAGATTTAAACTGATGAAAGTTTGGAGGCCTGAATGTGAAATTGTAGCAACAATATTACTTGTTTTTTAATCAAGACTTTGATATTAAAAAAGCTTAAATCTCACTTGAGTAATAGCTATAGCCCTAAAGGTGATTCGCTGAGAGTATAATAATATGATTAATAATAATAACAAAAGATTTTGCCAAAGGTATATTTTATCTTTTCCAAGTCGTATTTAAACATATCATGTTTAAAACACATAGTACACAGCAACACAAGTGAATATTGACAATTATTAATATAAAACTAAATTCGTGAAATAAAACAAGGGCATTTTTTTCCCAAAACACTATCACTATTACATGGACAAGACAACATGACAAACTATGCATGACAATTACTGAGTACAAATATAAAAAAATGAACTATTTCAGATATTTTCCAAATACAGCAATGTATCATGTACAAGTTATTTTACGAAAGATTTCAAAGTTTTTGAACTATAAAAGAACTTAAATTACAACATATATTTACATATTAATCAATATCCTGCACCTTCACAATGTTGTCACACAGTTAGTTCTACACTTCTAACAAAATTGTTATCACTAGTACATTCTGTGGTAAGAAAGCATATCTGTCCCAAGATTACTGCCAACTCTCGGGGCACAAATTATGGCAACTTGCAGGAAACTAGTCTTCATCTCAATACTTTTTGCTCTTTTAATGAAACTATATAAATTACAAATATTACAAGTATTTACAATGACAACTTAAATTGTAAAAATTCTGACAAAGCAATGGCTAGAACTTTTATACAGATAGTAAGTAGTTTTTAAAAATCAATACAAAGGGACAAAGATGGCAAAGCAGTTAACAACATTCCAGGTTAAAACAAGCTAAGAGGAGGAAAAATGCTGCCTTGTGAAATAAATATGTTCAGAATAAATAAAGTCATAAGATGGATCTCTTGGCATTGGTTGAGTGCTTTTTTTATGAGTATAGCTACAGTGTATGATGGAAAATGTGTTCCACGAGCATTAGGGACATATTACTCAAAGGAAATTAATTCACAAGGCATACTGGCTGCACAAGTGAAGCTTTAATTTTATCTTTACTGTGTGTTAAACTGTGGCCTTATTGTCATCACACCACACAATTATGTGTTGTATGGTGCAAAAAATATAAAATTATAAAATACCAAAACATAACTGTATGGGGAATAATGAACATATCAACAGACATGACATTTTACTCATATGTAAAATCTGTTGAATTACTTCACTTTAAAAATAGATCAGCCTTTTTTTTCAGAAATTGAGCCACTTAAAATAGTTCCACACAGAAACCACAAAAAGTTTTATCATCTTATTAGTCCAGTTAAACCAATGTCCACCTCTAATTTTGACATACATGCTACATATCCCAATGCAAATTTGATGTTGTATGCATCTTTTGTAAATCAGTGAATTCAATGAAGTACCACATGTGCCTTATCAGAACCTACGGATGTAGATCAGGAGAACTGAAGCTCCAAATTGGTTGTTAACCTAGCTGGCCGGGTAACTGATGCAGAACAAGTTAAATGAGGTTTGATGACAAAAGAAAACAGTAAACAAATTTATCTAGAGTACAAAATATAGATAACTATCTCTATTTCCTTTAGATTAACTCTGCAAAGCTTTTTTCTCTTTCCAACTAAAAGGTTCCAAAATCTCTCACAAGAGAAGTTTGCCATTGCGGTGGATTTTCAAAATTTTCCCAAGTCTCTGTTTTGCAGTTGCAAGTCCTTTCTTTGGACGTTTCCCTGAAACAAAGTGAGAAGGAAAATGGCATAAGAAAAGTTGTTGTTACAGGGACAGAAAATTAAAGTGTGAACAACCGCAGACTATGCTTACCTTGACCAACCCCTGTCGTGCCTTGACTGGCTAAACCTGCTGGGGACACAGTGGAGTGAGAGCTGCTGTTCTGTGGAGACAGTGACGGGCGGCGTGAGGTAAGGAATACACCTGGGGCCATTGCTCCGCTGCCCCTAGGGCCTCCAGGACCAAAAGGTCCGGGCCCTGCTGTATACTCATGGTCCAAAAGACTAGCAGAGTAGTAATCCATCCTCCTGTCTGGGCTGAAGTCTGCTGCAGACTCTGGAGCAGGTGTTGGTGAGGGTGGGGCTGGATCAGTCTGAACAGGTGGTGGAGTGACCACAGGAGCAGGGGGACGCTGCTTCTTTATGTACTTTCTTTTAGCAGGCTTTTGCTGCTCCTTGATTTCAAACAGAAAAAAAATAATAAACATGAAGAGTGATTATCTTTTATCTAAACATACTACTACGCCTACAACAGGGATATTTATTTCAACGTACTTGTTGTGCCAGCTTGGCAGCTGCTGCAGCAAGACCAGTTTCTACTGACGCAACCCTGGCTCCCTCTCTTGCTGGGCGATCCTGTTTAGGAAGGGTGGGCATCACCCTGGCTGTTAACAAAATGGAAATGCCAAGTAAGCAACAATCAGGCTAAAAATAAAATCTGATCCATCGAGCTATTGTGATCTACTCAGGTACCTTTTGGGCTCCAGGGTGTGTCATCCCAGTTTTTCTTTCGCTTCATCTTAGCCTTGTTAGCATGGTCCTCTTCATCAGACTCCAAGGATGGGTAAACTTAAACAAACCATTTCAACATCCCGTTAACTTTATTAACTTCAACTCTCTGATTTATATGTCAAAGTATAAAAGTCACTAAGTCTATTTCTTACCATAGTCTGAATCTTTAAAACAGGTCCCTAGAGTCTCTTGCTCATCTGGACTCTCCTCGTCGCTAAGATGACGGGCGGGCCGTTTGATGGGCCGTTTTCCAGGCCGCTGGATGATGGGTTTCTTCCCAGTACCACCTGTCTTTTTGACCCCTCCAGTGACCCATACAGCCCTACCACCTTTTTCCTTGACTTTCCCTAATCCCTCTGTCAGGCCTCCAGAGATAGATAAGGGCGATGAAGACGAGGAGGATGAAGATGAGGAAGGAGGGTTCGCCATGGACAGCATACCCTGGATTGCATCACGGGTACTGGGAGAGGCTGGCGCTTCCTCACTGAGAAAGACAGAGTTGAGAAATTACTTATCAACTGAAAGGCATTTTATAAAAACAATGTCGGTGCAAATATGTGAACCATGCAAGGTTCAAAACTTAAGACACTTAATCCCACATTCCTACACATGGTCCTGAAATCTCTTCAACCAAACTCATGCCAACTTTATCTAAAGCATCCTTTGTACATCAAAGCAAGTAGCCTAAAGTGCTTCATCCATTATTTTGACATAATAATTATCCGCATCGAGCATCAGAAGTGTGTAACAAATTTGTAGCTTCAAACACCACAAAACACAAATGCCAAATTAAATGAATAAAATACTAATCAGTAATCAAAGATATCCAACCTGAGCGCTGCTGAGTCCAAGCCTGCAACTTGCTTGCTGGCCTTCAACAGGTCGAGAATCCCCCCTGCACCACCCTTAACTCCATGAGCTGCGAGTGCCTCTTCATCTGTGGTGTAATCCTCCTAAAGCCACATGCATTATCAAACCATTGTTACAAAAACAAACAGTCAAGTAGGAGGGGGTATAATGCATGACATGTTGTGTCATACATAGCACGTCATACATGTTATGTATGACAAACTGATGGAACAAAAAGTGCTTTGTATACTGTCAAAAATTTAGTTTAATAACTACAGTTAATGAGGCAAAAAAGAAAACATAAAAATATACATGTATCAATATGTTAACAGTCAATTAAATTTTCAGTCCTTATTATTGTTTCATGGACCTGCTACTGCAACAAACCTAATTTAAACTGTTACATGCAGTTTGATCAAACAGAGAAATTTCATTTCACAGCGAGGATATTAGCTTGATGAAGAAATCAGAATCACATCAAAAATGTATGGGCATGACAAAGTTAAATTCAAACCATTAAGTATAGTTTTTAATCATAAGCAAAGAAATATAAACTCTTATGACATCTGTGAAAGCTCCTTCACTGGCTTGTACTTTCTACCGCATATAAAAGATGAAGATAAAATTAACAATTGGCACCAGGAAGCCTCACTGTTATTTCTGGTATAATCTCACCTCAATGTCAAAGTCAACCTCTCCAGGCTCTCTGATGCGATTGGGGTCAGAGCAGGGCTTGGCTCTGGGCAGTTTCCTTGGGAGACCTGAAGACACAGGAAAAGTGATTCATTACATTGACAGGATGGCTTTGAACCCAGACGACTAAACTGGAGCAGGCAAGACATTTAACTGATAGTTTCATCAATTCAATAGCTCCTGTGATCTCTCATAGATTTTCCTGGCAGGGTTAAAATATGGAAAGAATAATATCTCAGTGGAACGCATGGTATTCAGAGTGGCGTTTGCTGAAGTTTCTCACCACTTAATTTCTTTTTCTTGTTCGCTCCTGCAGGCTTGCGTCGTGGCGGAGGGGTCTCGTCAATCTGCAGCTCATCCTCAGACTCCAAGTCAGACAAACTGGACCCCTCCATGGCAAGATGCTTGTACTTCCCAGCACTTCCTGCACCATTACTGCTGCCGTCTCTTTTCCTAAAATCAGTTTATCTGCCGGTTAAAACCCAAAAACCTTGTTGGGATCACAAAAAATGGGAACACTACAAAAGCTGCAAAGCTTACCCTTGGATTTTTCCATTGGTCAGGATAAGTTTCAGTTTGCTTTTGTTAATCTTCCCTTCAAACTCCTCTAAAGGCAGCTCCAGCTGGAGGGACAAATGAGAATTACAAGCAAAGGTTAAAAAACACTTTACAGAGAAAAAAGGTGGAAAGGAATTGAAACACATGCACAAATGTCTACAAACTTTGTACCTTGCTCTCGTTTTTGGATTTGCCAGGTTGAAATTTTTTGAGTGTATGCTTGGTGTGGATCTCAATGAGATCCAGCTCTCCTGCCTCTGCCTTAAGCAGCCCCTTCTGACTCTTCTTTTTCGTTCCAGGGGGACCAACACCTCCCAACACCTCCTTGGGCTTGGGCCCCTTCTTTTTTCCAGGGGGGCGCCCTGAACTCTGGGAAGCGGTCAGAGAAGTTTTCGAGAGCGGCGAACCAGGAAACTGAGCTCCAGTGCGGCCAATGTTTTGCTGGAAGATGTCCTATTGACAAAAGAAAGTGATGTTTGGCTGCGGGAAGCTGCGAACAGTGAGATTTCTACCCACCCACCTAAGAAAATAAAAGAAAGCTAATAACACACCCATTTCTCTCAGTACTTACCTCAACCAGACGAATCTCCTTGGCCAGGTCCTTCACCAGAGTCTGAGTATTGATGGTCTCTGGAATTTCCACTTCATGCTCTGCTAAAGCCTGAGAGTGAGAAGAAAAAAAACAATCTTATACATTTGTATGATGCAGGATAACACATAGATTTTAAGGCTTTCCCAATTCTCCCTTTGACTTATTTTGTGCTCTTGAAGTGCAGTGTTCAGAGTTGGGAAACATTTAGCCGAACAGAAATAAAGCATAATATCAGCAAGTATGTTCAAATTGTGTATAAGCACAGAAAAGACTAACTTTGCACTGTGTGTATTTTTGTGTTTAGTAGATGGCTGGTAAAAATGCACCTGATTTCTGCCAGTTCAGGCTACAGTCTGTATGAGGTAAGCTTAGCTTTAGAATCACAGTCAGCTTTAAATACCATGAATGTGAGGATCATATTAAGTATGTATGTGCATATGTATAAGTCATTCATCGTAAACATACAAGACATCTTTTACTTTTCTAAAGTCGATTTTTTCAACTGAAAGTACAGCACAAGTAAATACACTTTGCTCTGGAGTGAAAGGCTGCTGGTATAAACTACTCTTGTGTCTATTTAATTTGGGGAACAGAACTGTGACCTGTGGAAAACAGCTGGATTACATTGGGACTGGGGAGTTATGGGTAATGAATGAATAAATGAATAAAATTTTATTTAAACAGAAATTCCCCACTGAGATCAAAAATATCAAATGCAAGAGTGTCCTGGTCAATACAGGCAGCAGTACATTTACAAAGTTACAGACATAAAACAATTACAGACTGATACGGATATAACAACCAGCTGAGAGCTGTGGTCCATAACATTACCCTCTTTTAAATGCAAGTTAGTTATTAAATGGTATTTTGCCTACTTCTTTGCGGGTCCAGCCGCGGAAGGCGTTGTTCAGGGCCTTAGCTCCATGAACGAGGTAAGTGGCAGGATGTCTGCGGTTTTCTCTCAGACCTGTGACAGAAAAGTAGAGTGACAAACAGTAACACTGTCCTCTCCAATATTTCACATCAAGGCAAACCAAGATTTTATGACATCTGTTGAACTTTCTCACCTCTGAAGGTATCAAGAAGGTGCTTTCCAACATACCAGCACACCGTCTCAAAGTTGGGAAATTTGAACAAGTCGGCTGTGCTTAATCTCTTCTCTATTTCATATGCCCTTTAAATGATAACAAAGCACAAGAAATGTCAGACATGCATGATCATTGCAACAAAGTTAAAATCACTGTCAACAATGTGTGACTGTTAATCAAGAGCAAAAGGCATTCTGATACAACCAAGCAGTAAACGTCCCTAAATTACTTAATTATTCATTGCTTTGTGGACGAGGATTTTGTTTGGCAGAATCATGTTTAAGTTTTCACTGTGTCTGAAGAGCCATAAAGGCTAGACAACTTTTAAAGGAGTCATGTAAAAAAATGTGTGATGTTGGGGCATGAGATTGTGTAGAGTAAGTGTTTTCCACATGTTATCAAGGTACGTATTCTGCTGTCGACATACGACAAAAACATTAAGAAAGCAAAACTTAGTCTCAGTGTCATCCCACTCTAGGAATCCTGTTCTCTCTCACTTTTGACATTTCAAGCAAAAAGGGCTTCAACAACCTTAATGAACTTAGAAAAGTAGAAGTCAAAATGAAACTAACCGCAGCTGCATGTCAATGTTGAGACTATGCAAGAAGTTTCCTCCAAAGGCCAGGCAGTCCACTGGAGTCAGCACGGCGTGAATCCAACCTGAAAGACAGGCCCAAAAAAAAAAGAAAAAAGGAGGTCACATTATTGATACAGACATGTTTGACTTTCACCACCAAAACAACACACTTACACAACAAAAAACAAGCAGCTCACCTGTTGGTATGAACAAGGTGTTCCCTTGTTTGACGGAGCATTTGTAACACATATCAACCTGGTCTCCGAAGAACATCTCATTCTGGTTAGATGAAGAACTCCACCGCTCAAAAAGCGCCAAGTTAGCTTGGGTTGGGGAAATTAGGTAGAAGATCTTCTCACCCTGAATGGCAAAGAGGAAAAAACTCTTTATGAAAATATCAACGAAGCATTGAAAGGAAAGACAAATATGTTTGGCTATCAAGAGGAACAAAAAGATCATGTTTTCTCTTACCCTCAGGACATGGTACCATACTGAGGTGCCTCCAAAGTCAATGTGAAAGTCTGTGTAGCTGTCCTTTACTCCCATTAGGCAGTACTTCTGCACGTTGGGACGTTCAAATACAGACTCTTCAGGCCAGAGGTTTTCAACCCATGACAGTTTCCTCACAATTTTTGGTGTCTCCACCAAATTTGAAAGCCTAAAAAAAAAAAAAAAAAAAAAAAAAAAACTTGTCTTTGATCGTCAAAACATCAAATCTATAACATTATATTATCTATAAAATTATATTGAATTTCCCTTCGGGCATAAATAAAGTTCTTCTAATCTTATCTTAAAACCTTCCTGAACCAGTACAGTTCTTTGCTTACTTTCCTCAAATCATCTAAATCTATTGTCAAGAATTACTGCATTTATGGAGCAAGACATAGGATAAGAGCTGTAGAGTCAAACGTCAGCGTACCTGGTCTCAGAGAACTCTAGGCTGATAACATTGAGCACTCTGTCTCTGTTGGGGCTGTTGTAGTATTCAACGAAGTCTCCCAACCGCATCTTCATATCAGACTGGCGGGACACATCGATAACATCAATCTCTTTGTCTGAACCTGAAATCAAACCAGAAGTTTGAGCAGAGTGTTAGTGACTTAATTATCCTGTTCAGCACAACAAAGAAACTGCATTTCTAATCTCCATCACACATTTACTGACTTGATAAAGAGTAATGTAAGACTTGTTCAAACTGAAATGCATCAGATTTTACCAATATAGTGCTCGACATCAGCAACACCAAATGATGCAGGTGGGAGGGTCATGCCAAGGCCATCTCGCCTCAGCACCATGACAGGAACACTGAACGAATGCTCTTCCAGAAACTCAACTGTTAGCTGGGCCCCAGACGGTTTAAGCAAGACTTCATCCGCACTGTTACAGGATGACAAAAAGAAATATACAGAAGTTTCGCTATGGGATCACAAAAAAACAAAAATTTGACAGGATTCATTATTATTGAGCTGTAAATGCATAGGCTCTCCCCATAAAACAAGAAACTGTAACATTAAACTTAAAACACGACAACATACATGACGCAAAAGCTGTGTGCATTAAATTGTACTCTAAATAAACATGATGCCACCAGCTGCAATAGCTAAACATCAAAAAAGGTTTACCTTGCACCAAGTGCATCATTCAGTAATAACCAGGGCTGCATATTTTATAATGACACATGTTTTTCCTTACATGGTCATGGGGGCGACTTACTTTGGAAAGGTGCGGCTCCGTAGCTCCCTGACAAACTGTACACTTCCGGTTTTAACAGGTCGACTTGGATCTCTTGTTCCGGCAGAACCTCCATCCACTTGCTTGTTGCCACCACGGCGTTTACGCACTGAGGACAAAAAAAGCACCAGAACAAAAATGTAAAAATCAACCAAGAAGTTTAAAATAATTTATAATAGCAGTGTTAAAGCAACTGTTACTTACTGACAGATGGCCCATGTGTGACCTGACAGTTTGGGCAGTGATACAGGTCAATCTCAGCGGCTTTGTCTTCCTCTACTCCAACACAGCTACATAGAAAAAAAAACAATCGTTTCATTTCTGTAAAAATTCAGACAACAGCATGAGCAATAGTGTTGACTGTGAAAATGACCTACCTTCCATGAAACCAGTCTTGACAGATGTCACACTCAATCATAAAGCGTGTCACATCATATGGCAGGCGACACAGGCAGTACACTGGCACTGATGCCATGATGAATGAGTTTGTCTTCACTTGTTTTAAACAGTTATAATGTGTTCAAAATCTATTCAGACGCTGGAAACAAAATTACTGTCAGGTTTATAAATTCTGCAGTAACGTAAATCTGCTGTTTAGTTGGACTGCAAGTTTATCACTTCACTGGCAGATTCCTCAAATACATGTCCGCCAGGATTCACTCTGAAGACTGTGGAAATAAAGAGGGAAAAACGTGTTGATAGCATGCCGTATATGAAACACACTACAGTAAATGGCTAGTAAATGTATCATGTAAATATTGGGAAACTACACACTAATAACATTAAAACTGATTCCTTTATCTTAAAATGTGGTTTCGATCAAGGAACAGGGCAACTTTGTGGAAACTGATAATTTTGCAATACAGTGCACAGCAAATAGTTTTTAGCATCAAACTACAAAATATGAAAAATACGATGATATATTGGAGAGGCAATAGCTAACCGTTATGTGCTACCGAACTTCATGGTCAAAATTTGTGTGAATTTCTTCAGCTATAGTTAGTCTAAAGCAATAACAAACTAACAAGTCATATCAATAGCTCGCTGTTTGCAAACACGGTATACCTCGTGAATGTTGTATTGCTAGCAAAACACTAACCCGTTTAGCATGTTGGCTAATGTTAGCCATGCTAGCCATTGATGTGTCTACACTGAGCTTTTAAGATAAGTTTAACTCGCACAAGAAATACTTGGTGCTGTGTATTTGGTTTTAAAACTTAATATAAACAGTACAAATATCTAACAAAATGGACAGAATTTGACCGCGCTAACAAACACTGTTTGCAAGCAAGATTGATATGTAACGCTAGAAACTCACCGACATCAGGCTGCGGCAGGCCAAGCACCCGGAGGCCGCTGTAATCCCTACGCAAGCTCGCGGGTAGCTGCGGCCTTATTATGCAACGTAAATTAAAGGCAAATCGCTTCACCACATTTTTGCTAGTCAGCTCTGTTATGCCCGAATATAGAGGCCAGACACTAATTTCAAATTTGACCCGCAACTAAATCATGCAGGGAACCACACGAGCACAATAACTACAAGTACGGTGTAATAAACTACATCAACGCCATTTCAAAGGCTGTAGCGTCAGACCGTTGTTCGTCGCCTTTGTTGCTGTTGACAGAACAATAAAGTTGGAGACAGTCAAATGTGGGGTTGCGTTCAAGAAACACACGTTGCAGATTGTCCGTTTAGTAACACAGCTACGGAAACTGAAGATTGCCTGATTTCGCATAATTTTACAGATTTGATATGTGACAAAAAAAAAAAAAAAAAAAACCTCACAATTACACCCAAACGACTAAAAAAAAGAGGTAGCTATTTAAAGTCAACGATGGCATTCATTCCTCATTTTATATTCCAACATTCATCCATGCATTCGTGTTTGTCGTCTGTATTATACATAAAATGATTTAAAGTAAAGTAAGGTAAGTAATGTAATGTTTAATGTATGGCCAAGCCAGGAGGACTCCGTCCAACACGTTGGTGATGCTGTCTATTGTAATTCCAATACAACTTTCCAACTTAGTTGTTTATTGCTTATGAAATACTGAACATGTAGTGAAATGCTCTTTTGCTGGATCAACACATTTTTCCTAGCTTTATAATATAGAAAAAATATATATTTCAAAAGGAATTATTTTATGAGTGTGGGATGCATCTTTCTGATACATACATGCCAAAGTTTTAAGAAAGAAAGAAAAAAAAATCAGCAAGTATGTTATGCTTAAAAAAATGTGTACAGTAGGATAGTATTATCAATCTGTGGTAGTCTACATGAAAATGATATGCATGTGTTAGTGCTTTGATAAAGTCTGATTTCAAACTGAGTCATTATGGTTTGCAGGGGTGCCCTGCTTACCAATTTAAAATATATGTTTAAAAGAATCCTTACAAAGCTGTAATTTGATGTTTTACATCATTTATTTTGATTAGTTACAAAACATAAATAAAATCAACAGTTGAATTAGTTACAATTTACAGAGGCTAAATCACCAGCAACATAGTTCATTTATTTTTTGAAGTTTCTCTGCCAAAAATGTCCTTTGCACACTGGTTGTCATTTATGTTACTTCCGGACTCCCCAGTTTTGTTTTGTTTTTGCAAAAATTCTTGAATTGACTAAATCTTACCTACATCTGTAGTTAGGTTTTTGTTAATTTAACTGTTTATCTACAAAGTTGCTATAATTTAGAGCTGTTGTAAAAACATCAGAAATAACTTTAAAACATATAAATATCTTTAATGGCCCTGGTCTATCAGGATTCAGAGAAGCAAGGGAGTCCCATGTAAACAGGAATGAAAACCAGTGTTTTCTAGTTTCAAACAACCTCTGATTTGTTATGATGAGAACAAAATTTTACAATTTGTACAATCCCATTTCAAAATACAAAAATAATCTTTATCTTTTAGATAACATTTTGGTAACACTTCAAAGACAAAGCCAGCTTCACATCATGAATCATGATCATTAAGCTTTAGCTTGCGGTCAACATGTTAGTATCAGACATGACAGCACAGTACCTCACCTTCACTAAGAATGAACTACAACTCTGTGACAATGTGGATTTTGTTGAAAAGCAACAAATACAGAAAATCATTGTTATATCCTATATTAAGTAATAGCAGTTTCTGAACAACCATACCCTTCAGTACAAACCACTTTTTCCTTAGTAATGTTTTTGACTCACATTTAGCAGTCTGAACTGGTGCAATCTTCTGTTTTCAGTGGCACACAATCTCTCTATCAATAAAACAGAAATACTGCTTTGACTACATGCTACTTAATATGCCAAAAAAATGTATTCACGCCTGACCATCCATAATCAAATGTGTGTATTGAGAACTCAAATCAAATGTACCGTAATATATCAGCTGCTGATATATCACTCTGTGCATTCAAATAAAGTGAGTTTCGACAAAAGGAATGAAATATTTTTGACTTAATTAAACCCTTTTGCAGAGTGCACGAAGCACATAAATGGCCCACATTTCAGCTTCTGACAGATGCACACTCACTGACAAATTCAAAGATTAAAAACTTGATTGAAATAACATTTTTTCAAATGCCTTACAAAGTGGGCAATTATGCGAGGACAACAAAGCAGAGTTTGTTCTTTAGCTTCTGCATGGTCTGTCCTCTCACCTGTTGAGTTTCTTCAGGAGGCAAGCCCAACACACACAGGCTGAATAAACATTTTCAGTTGGGTTTAGTGACATCTGAGAGGCTGCTTTGAATAAAAAAAAAATAAACACAGGGGTGCAATTTATGATGCAAAATACAACTGGACTATCACAGCTTTGTCACACAAAAAATGTCAACTCACACACTCACAAAAATGCAGTTTTTAAAGGCAACATGGGAATAACCCGTATGGTCTCCCCAGATTATAATACTAATTGGCAGTTTTTTTTCCTTTTCATCTTCCACTGCAGCATGACATCATGATTTTTCTTTGATATGCAGAGCTGAAACTGAAAGCAACTGTTGAATGTGAAAGCCTATCATACTGAAAGCATATTTACTCATGACTGATGAATCATCTTAGTAGGCTACAAATGCCAGATCCACAAATATACCAGGCAAGTCAATTTAGTCATAAGGTCATGCAATCATGGGCTGAGTGTACCCACGCAACAATGATGGCATGTTTCAATTCACCATCATGTTGAGAATTCATCTGAATTTATATCATATCACTTCTGTTAATTCAGACAATTCCTATGTTATAATGTTCAATACAGAGAACACAAATGAAGCTCATGCTTCTGAACAGTGTTTGGTTGCATTGTGGTAATGACTGTAGCCAGATAACTTAACCGTGCTCTGCAGTGTGACATGCTGTTATCTGTTTTTTTTTTTCATTGTCTACTGAAACACTTTGTGCTGTAGGCCTGCAGTTTTAAAAGATCCAACACAGATCATTGGATGATCCATTATGCGTCTGGTTTTCATCAGTGTGCTCCTACAAAAATATTCTATGCCTCACAGACAAATCCATACAATACATGCTGATCAATTGAGATGACCACTACTAATTGCACTTTTTTAGAATTGAAAGTCCTTTTACTTTAAGCACTCACAAAAGATCGCAGCAAAATGTCAAATAGTTTCTCTTTGTTGTCTCTGCTTCAATCAGGTCCAACTGATTTAGTTTTAAAACAATACTAACAATGTTAAATTGTGTAAAAGGACATAAAGGGATATGTACTCAGGTCATCCATAAACAGTCATCCACACTCATAAATGCACACACTCATACATTTAAGAATTTTTACATCTCAACACCCAAACATGCCATGTTTCATCAAGCCCAGCTGCTGTGTTCCATGTTACCCTCTTTTCTGTACATACTGGGTTCAATCTTCTCTCACATTCACTCCCCATCTCACCCAGAAGTTCTGGAGATCATATATTCAATAACATCACAAATCTGTCATTCATACACAACTAACACTCCATATGGATCTGCTTTACGTCCCGATCCACTTTGCATTTCCATCTCTTGCACCTTCATTTGACCTCACACTTCGACTTGGTTTTATTTCTGTCCCAGAGGAAGAGTAGAGGTGGGAGTTGCTGGGTGTATTTTGGCACTGGAAGGTAGAGCAGCAGTAGAGCATGAGGAAGAAGAGGTGGATGAGGATGAAGAAGAGGAACTTAATGTCCCCCCAGCAGCAGCAGCAGCAGCAGCAGCAGTAGTAGCAGCAGTGCTATCGGTGGTTGCAGTTGTGCCACTGCCGGGCAGCAGGGACGAAGCTGTGGACACTGGAGATGAGGGGATTTGGGAAGGCAGCAGTGGTTGATTTGGAGGTGACGAGTGGGGCAGCTGGGTAGCAGGATGTGTCTGTGGTGGGGGCTGTGAATGCAGGGGACTCTGAGGCTGTGGTATTTGCTGGCGGTGAGGGGACTGCTGATAGGTCATCTGCTGAAGAGGGAGGGACTGATGGAGGTGTAAACTCTGCTGCATCTGTGGCACTTGAGCCATGTGCGCTTGTGGTGGTGGTCCCGTAGAGTGCAGGTTTGACAGGTTCCCTCCACCTGTGTAATGAGAAGGGGCTACCACAGGTAAGCTAGTGGGGTTCGGAGATACCTGGGGGTTCAGAGGTGCCACAGGGAACCAACCTTGTGAAGCCACCTGTGTGAAAAATAGAAATAAGCACTGAGGAAGTATCACGGCAGAAAAGAGTGGTAAAATTGGTACTTCAAAAATCCAGTCAGAAAACACAGCTGCTTATTTGCTTCAGAACTCAGCCCAATCCACGGCATTTGCAGTAAAACATCAACAATTCTGCTGACTGATTCTGGTTAAAGGTTACAGCTTTTTGGCATTAAAAAATAATAGATGCATATTTCAATGTGTGGTCCCACCTCAGCTGACTGGCTCCAACCTCCCAGCTCCTGCACTTGCTGAATTTGCTTGATTTGATTGAGTGAAGGCTTGGGTGGGGTGGGGCCCACAGGCTCCTTTGTCCAATTATCAACAAGTTTGTGCAGTTCATCAGTGAATGTGCTTTTTCTTAAAGGGCTGCTGTCTGTGGAGAATTATGGGACACATGACACTGCTGTATACGGGCTAAAGTATGAGATGTCTTGACATATTTATGATTAGCTGTACCTCTTTTAGCAGGCAGTGAAGTGTGGTGCTCTGGGTTGCAATATAAGGGCAGTCTACTCTGCTCACCACCTGAGAAGCTACTTGACTGTTGAACCCCTAGAGAGTTTCAAAAACAGTTACACAGAGAGAAAGCAATAGAATAAAAAAAAAGAAAAGAAAATAAGAGTATGGAAAGAAAGCTTACCAGAGTGTGAAACTCCATTGTTATCTATGTGAGAGTGAGGCCGGGGCCGGAGCTTGGTTTTGGCTGGTCTGGGTCTACGTGGAGAGAGGACAGGAGGAGCTGTGGGAAGAGGAGGGGTTCTGGACAGTGATGCAGGCAGACTCTGCCTTTGGTCTTTGAGGGAACGAAGCTGTCTGTACAGTTCCTGCAGTTCTCTGTTCTGCTGAGCTTGGAGGAAAACCACCTCTTTGATGTGCCTATCAAAGAAAAAATTATACAAAAAAGAGTGGTGAAAATTAAAGACTGTGAAGTAATACTGTGAAGAGAAAATGAGAAAAGATTTCATATAGAGGCATGAAGCCATGCATAATGATCATATAGAGGAAAAAAGTTATAACTGCAGCAATCTGTGAACTTATTGATTTTATCTGATGATATATGCCTCTCGGAACAACTGTAAACCTCTTAGGCCTTCCTGTGTGACCAGCATAATTGACTTCCAGTAAGGAATTCATTTCCCTTACCCTCCATTGTTTACAGTCTATTTAGCTACTTGAAAAGTGAACATGTGTTCAGATCAAAAGCAAAGCAATATTCTCAGTCCTTTTTTAGTTTATTGTACGCCCAAGAGTAGCTCCTGCTCAGCTGTTACTGGTGACTCAGACCCACTGAGTAAAAGAGGCTTTACTTTTCCTTACTTCAGCAGTATGAGCTTGAAAAAAGAAACCATTTTTTCTTAAAGTTGATTAATAATTGAAAGATCTTAAGTTTGCCAAAATAACAATGTGACATGTAGGACATAACAGTGCCGTTGTCCAAATGTTATTTCTCTCCTGTGGAGGCCTTTTAAAATACTTGTTTGTTGAATGAATGGATAATGACTTCCAGGGGATGGACAATGTTTAATCTGTCTGGCTTTTGTTACACAGACTTGTTGCTCAAGATGAAATCATTTTTTTAAAATTTGATCTAGAACGAATTGTTGGCTGTACTGTCTGCTTATAGAGATATATGAAACACTATCAGATTCAATCGCAGCTGTCATTATGGTGGATTGCTTCCCCCTGCTTCTGCTCTCTACGGGGTGATACGTGATTGCTCAGTGAGAGTTGGACCACAAATGGAAACCAGAATACTCTCACAACAATGTCCAGCTTTTAAAATTTGGAAAAGAAATAGATTAATAAAGTGGAAATAATTACAGAGTACATCTTTCCCTGTACAGACATACTTCTCTCTGAGCTTTTGTAGTTCTTTTCTCAGGTCTTCATCCTCCAGCTCACTCTCATCATCATCGCTGCTGCCAAGGGGTGAATGGCCGTGTCCATGACCTCGGGGCAGGTGAGCCGTTGCTGGCGTCCTTTTACTTTCATCTCTCTCTCCCTCCTTGACCCGAGATCTCCTCCTCTCTCTTTCAACATCAGGAGACACCGGGGAGCTGTCAGTGTGCCTGTCCTCTTTTCTTGTCTCAGCCTGGGTTACAGAGAAGCGTCCAACCTTCCTGTGGGTGCTTCCATGGCCTGGAAGAGCATCCTTCTGGGGGGATGCTTGGGGTACTGGAGTCACCTGATGGCAAAAGAAGAGAAAGAGATTAGCTGCCGGACTATGATGAAAAAAACAACAACTGAACACTCAGTGAGTTAAAAATGGAGTCAGTATTGCTCTGACCTGAAACCGTCCTCTGCGTGTTTGAGGTGGATTAAGAGGTTGCGCCTCCGTCTCATCTTTAAGTGTCTGACTGCTGGAGGGTCCATCTTCTATAGACAAGGGGGTGAAAAACCAAAAGGGGGGACAAGGCACAGAGACAAAAACACACAGACATGGGTTTAAGACCACATAAATGACATCGTACAGACACACAAATGCAACACAGAAAAAACATACGTGACAGAGACACATAGATGCACACAGATAGACAAGGGGCACGAACACAAAGGCAATGTTAAAATCCATCCACCAATGTCACACATTGTCAACATCATGACTTACTTGGCTTGCGTGCAGATCTATGTGCATGTTGAAACATGTGCTGTGTTCTGTGGTAGTCATTTTTCCTCACAGTTAATCAAACTGAAGAATAATGTGAAATTTTGTGGATGTTGCGATGCATGCCTAAGAGATATGTGTAATGGGCGTGTGGGAAGGGGTGGCTTGTCTCATTGAAAACACAAAGATATTAGGTCATTAAATTAAAAAGAAACAACATATTGTGAAATGGGAGTTAAATGTTAACAACAGTGTACCCCCACCCACCCACACATCCACTCTCATTCTCACTGACTCACCATATTCCCACTCATATACCAGACAACAAAGCTCAATAACACAGTTGAGATCTGGGCTCAAATCCACAGTGCTATTGTTCAGTGTGTTTGATATTTGGGAATGTCACATTAGCAGAGTGTGTACAAAAATCATCACTGTTTACTTAAAAACCGACATCAACACAGGCAGCCTGGTGTAGATTCTACTTACGGATAATGATCCATTAAAAGTCATCAATGAAGAAAACAACATACATGCTTGTGCACATGAATCTGCTGCACATATGCCTAAAAACCAAACACATGCAGGATGGAAAGCCTACCCACTAAGAAAATATGACAGAATAAAAAAAAAAATAAAGTCTCATGAAGCTATGACGGAGTATTAGGGCCACAATAAGAAAAAAAATGATAAGACTTTGAGATTGAAGTCCTTAATTTACAAGAAAAAATCATGACTAACAAGAATAAAGTTGTAATAAAGTAGGCCAATTACTTAAAAGAATAAAGTTGTTATAAAATCATTGTGATACTTATGATAATGTGGTGCTGATGTGCCAAAAGATTAAGTATTTCCTTGTTTGAGAAACCTATATTGAAGTACATTTTCACGAAATGCTCCATGGCTCTCATTTCAACAACTGTCATCTTAAACAACAGGTTAGAGTATAAGGACTTTATTACGACTTTATACTCTTAAGTAATGAATTTGATCTCGTAAGTTAACGACTTTGACCTCGAAGTCTTTTTTTTTAAGACTTTTTCAATGTGGCCCTAATACTCTGTCATATGAAACATTCCTATTCTGCATTAGAATTTAGCATCAATCTTCTCCATGTTATATGTGATTGGATGGTGCTTTGCTGTCTATACTCAGCCAGCAGGTGGGGGTGAGGAGGTGAGATGGTTGCTGCTGGCCATGCTTGCTGACTTGAGAAAATAAAGGGGAAGGAGGGGTGAAATATGTGAGGGTTTTGTCCTGGGCACAGGCACAGCTGGGTTTTACTCCAGGGCTCATCTGCACCGGGATGGGCATCAGATTTCTGATGCCAACCTCTTCCTACACTGTGCCATTCTTCCACCCTCCTCTACTCTTCACTGTTCTCGCCCACTGCGTGAGTACCCCATGCAAAAAGAAAGATTGCCAAGAAAATTAAATGAAGTCAAAAGAAATGTATAAGAAAAAAGGAAAAACAATAATGCATGTAGTGATGTCAAGACTTACATTACATGATACCTATGTCATATTGCATTAAATGATAACAGGATTTATTAGCTGCAACATCTCCTATCAATAAAAATTATGATTATTCTGATGGTTAAGAATGTTAATTTTCTATGTTAAAACTAGTACTACATATTAGATTTAGGTCCATGCCTCAACATCCCATTCTCTCTCGCTCTCTTTCGCTCTCTCTCGCGTGCTTCCCCGCTTACTAAAAGGACGCTACCTTCTTGGACTCTGGGCTTCTTGAACAAGCTGGCGGAGTGGCGCAGTTTGCATGCCCAGTTTTTGAATTTGCGAGTCCAGGATTTCTTGCTAACGGGATTTCTGATACTAGGACATGTCAGGTTTAGGCCAAAATATCCACCTCCTGCATTGTGCTTCTGCTGTCCATGCCGGAGGGGGATCGGGTGCTGATTGGGGGGCCACGATGCGTCTCCAGTGGTGCTGGTGTCAGAGTGTGGGGGTACAGCCTAGAATAGTTGAGACAGTTAAGAGTGGCTGCATGGAGTTCAGATGCTCAAAGATAAGAGACAGTCATACATTTAAGTAGCAAAATAAGACAGACTGCCAAAAGCTGAGTCATATTTGAATATTAACACATTGTAAACTCAACAGAGTGAAGACAGGATCAATACAGAATAAAGTCAAAATCTCGTCTGATGCATTTACTCACAAGAATGGTTGGTTCTCCAGGTACAGGTGGGCGGCGGGGCCCAGCAGAGTTCTCCTGACTGGGAGTCAGAAGAGAGGTAGGAGGGGTGGACAAGGCAGAGGTTGAAGGGAGTGATGGGCCAGGCTGTTGCTCCACTGGACCTGGCTCCCCAAAGCTGGACATGTCAGGGGATGTCTCCTCTCCTCTTCCATCTTTCTCTGGGTCAGGAGAAGTGGAAGAGGAACGAGAGGTAGTAGAGGAGGTAGTGGAGGATGAGGAGTGAGGGGAGGTATCTGAGGAGGAGGCAGGAGGGGGGAAAGACACATGGTGGTTGGACTGTGGCTCAGATGACTCCTCTCCTCCAGCTGATGTGGAGGCAGCTGATGTCGGCCCTGAAGCAGCTCCCCCTGCCACAGCTCCTCCGCTGCTGTACTCCTGGTACAACAAGTTTCTCAGCTTTTCATCCAGAGTTTTTATCCGGTTGTCTACAAAATCGATTTTCGGGGGGCCTTCACTGTCTGACTCAGCCACAGAGGAAGGCTGAACAGGGGAGGGTGTCATTGTGTGGGAGAGAGAGGGTAACGGGGCATCAGCGGAGCTCAGTTGGAGAGGCGGCAGAGAAGAGTCAGAAGAAGGTTGGAAAGCAGCAGAGTAGCTGCACATGTCCTCAGTGAAACTGGTCTCTCCTGTGGAAACCTCTGACTCTGACATCTGTAAAGAGGACTGCTTTTGCAGTGCAAACTGTTGTTGCTGTTTCTGCGGTGTGTCAGGGGCTTTAACCCCCTCTTGTTGCTGCATGTGTTGCTTTGTCAGCTCAGCAGGGATTTGAGTTTGTTGTGGAATCTGCTGTTGTGGTACCGGGCTAACATTAAGCTGTGCCTGTTGTTGAAGAAACTGTTGACTGATTGACATAGGCAGAATCTGGCTCTGATCTGACTTTAAAGCCACAACATTAGCCATAAAGAGCTGTGGCTGCTGTTGCTGCTGCTGTAGCTGCTGTTGCACCATTTGCTGCTGTTGTAGGTGCACTGTGTGCTGAAGGTTTATCTGTTGCTGGGGATCAACTTGGGCTTGCTGTTGGGGTACTACAGCAGCTTGGGGTGCTATAACCTGCTGAGGCATCTGCTGTAGGTGATGCTGTTGCTGATACTGTGGCGTTTGCTGTTGAGGGAGCAACTGTTGGGCTTGCTGTAGGGGCACTGGTGGCAGAAACTGCTGAAGAGGCACAGACTGTTGTAAGAACTCTGTAGGTCCCGGTGGAGGCAGGAGTGGTACCTCAGTCAGCTGTTGTTGAACTGGTACTTGTGTCAGCATTATTGTCTGGGGCTGTAACTGCTGGAGCGACTGCTGCAGGGCTTGTTCCGGTTGTATTTGAAGTTGTTCTTGAGACACTCGCTGTTGTGGCAGAGGTACCGCTGTAGGTATCTTCTGTACCTGTTGCTCAAACTGCATTGTCTGCTGTTGCTGATGAGCTGCTTGTACCTGCTGCTGCAATGCAGGCTGTAGCTGTGGTTGTTGCAATGGTTGTTGAAGTGGCTTGGCCGTCTGAATGAGTGTCTGCTGGTGCTCTGAGCCAAGTTGGCTAGCCACAGAGGAGGTTACTGGAGCAGCAGGGGGAAGGGAATGAATAGAGGTTGAAGGCTGATCCACTGTGGGCACACATGGCCTTGCAGCGGTTATCACCGTATCCCCCATACACTGACCAACAATGGAACAGTTGCTAGTTCCCGGAGAAGTGACAGTATCTTGCAGAATGGTGTTTGTTGTGGGAGATACAACAGCAGGTACAGAGGACAAGGTGGGGAGATCAAGAACAGCAGGTAATGCAACGCATGAGGAAGCACTCAGATGTAGGACAGCAGAAGCTGAGGTGAGGACCGGCATATCAAGACCACCTGAAGCAGTTATAGGGATAGATGCTTGAAGAGTGGAGGCAGGTAGAGAGATGCTTTCAGAGGAAGCAGGGGCAGCTGTGCCACAGGGGGCTAAAGAGGCGGGGGCTGAGACAGCAGACACTGGGGGGGAGGGGACAGGTAGTGTGGGGCAAGGGGGAGAGGCCATTCCAGTCAAGGACTCCAAACTCTGGGATCCTTCACTTTCTACAGCCGCAGAGAGGAATGCATGGTTAGTTCCTGTTATGCGCCTAGCTCAGGCACGTTAATAAGCTTCAGCATTAACATTGACCTTCGTGATGCTCACCTTTCTCTATTTTAGGAGACTGAGGTGTCCTCATCTCTGAGGCGGGTGGCGTTGTAGCTACTCCCTGGCCAGATAGAGAGTCCCTATGCCGAATGGTCTGGTTGATAAAGAAGCGCCAGCGTCCAACTGGGGAGGAATGAGGCACCGACTCCACTGAAAATAACAAGGACAACAACAAGCTTCAGTATGCTGGGGACTATCATCTCCTCCACAGTTTCACTTAGTTGTGAGAAATCTGAAAACTTACTTGTTGAACTAGTTGGAGTGCTCACATATAGCTGGTCAGTTGATCCAGTCTAACAAAGACGTAAAAAGAAAGATTAGGGTTATTGTGAATTGATTATTCATCTGAATCTAAAAAAGCCTAGCACAAAGAGATGTTTGGTGCAAATATGGAAAACAGCTCACTTGGGAGTGTGCTTGGAGGAGTTCATGAGCTTTCTTAACAATAGCTCGAAGTTCTTCAACAAATTTCTCTTTTTCTACATCCAGAACGAAGTCCTCCTCCACCTGCATACAAAGTGGAAACAAAAAAAAAACATTTATCAGGACAGACTTCAGAATGATTACTTTAAGTTAGCTTCAATGCAGGCTGGGTGTTACATAAGGAGAGTTACCATGTAATCTGCTATGTCCTCTGGTGCATCCCCCTCAATGTCAAATTTAAATGTCACCATCTTGTTGCTATGGGTCTCCAACTGGCATTCTACCATGTTGTCCCCACTACCAGACACCTACAGAAGAAAATACAAATGACAGTGTTTTCCTTTTTTCAAAATGGCAAATGAGAATCTAAGGACATTAACGGCCTTTTGTCCCTTTTTTCACCTGGAGCATGCTCAGTTGAAACTGATGTGCAACCTTCTCAGGCTTCTGAGTGGAAGCTCTTCTTTGAGTCTTCAATTTCTCGATCTTTCCATTGATTAAGACCTGGAGAGTTTCTTCACCATTAGCAGGAACAGACCTGTCGGTGATGAGGTGACAGGAGTGTTACACACTATGCTGCTATAAAGGCTATTTTGCACAAAAGGTGTGCCTTGAGATTTTTACTTGTCCTTTGGTGTGCCTTGGGGAAAAAAGTTTGGAAACCACTGATATAAGACATACCCTGAATGGTGTTCTGCAGATAGGTATGGACCATCCTGTGACATGAACATAGACATGAAGAGGCACACAGGTAAACAGAAGAAAAAAATATTAGCAACATCATAAGCATGTAAAATAAAGTAATCATGGATGTCATCTTAATTAAAAAAATGAATTAAATATAAATAGGTTTAAGGATTAAAACTTGTTAAACTGATTCAAAAGACACAGTTAAAGATGTTAAGACACTGTAAGGTAGCAGTTATCTCGATCATTCCGCCAGTATGTCAGCAAAGTAAAATTATTTCTTAATTAATACATCACTCTTTTATTCTTCTTGTACCTGAGCAATGCCCAGCAGGGAAAGGTCACAGTCTTGCAGCAAGCCTTGGGGAAGTTTTGGGACATTAGATTCAAGCGTTTGAAGAGTAGCGGCAGGTGGAGGGGAGGTGGGTATAAATTCGGCCTGCCCAGGTAGGGTCACCTTGGCCGCTGAAGGAGATGTAGGCAGCTCTGGTGCAGGGGTAGCAGCAGGGTAGTGCGATGGTAGGGATGGTATGGATGTTGAGGGACATGAGTTGTGAGAAGGGCTGAGGGGCATTTGTTGTGCAGAAAAGACAGCATGAGGTTGAACAGACTGTTCAGCAATGGGTGTCTCACTGTGCGTCTGAGTGTGAGAATGAGCCTGGATCTGAACATGTGTCTGTGTTTGGGAGTGTGCTTGGGCCTGGATGCTTGTTTGTGTGTGCGTGTGAGCTGGCAGCATCTTCTTGACTTGGTGTTGCGGGGATGGAGGGGCACCGGTAGCAAGATGACCATAGAGGGGTAGAGTCCTGTCCTGTGACTGAGGCCCCACCACATTCCCGGGGACAATCTGTGCAGTAGGATGATTTAGCAGATGTGAGGCAGGTAAACACTGTGGGGGCAGCTGACTTTCATCGAGGACTACTGCAGCCTGGTTTAGAGTCAGTGGTGGTTGAATTGGAGCTTGAATGGGCTGTGACAGCGACTGAGCCTGTGGAGGAGGTGAAGCAAGTGGTTGCTGTGCTTGGGAGAGGGTCTGCAGCGGTTGCTGGTACTGCATAGCACACTGAGGGAGAGTAGGCTGGGAGATGGGCTGGATGACTGAAGGATCCACAGTGCCTCCAAGGGTCTGTTGCTGGGCTTGAACGACTGGATGTGGTGTTGTTTGACCTGGAATAAAGGCTTGTTGCTGCACAGGATGGGGAGTGCCAAAAAAGCTTGCAGGGTTGACTCCAGAACTGACACCATCTGTTGAGGGTCCGACACTTCCAGTCGGGCCAGGAGACAAAATCATGGTCTGATATTGCAGCACCGGCTCTTGCTGCTGCTGTAGCTGTGTAATATGAGTTTTATCCTGTTGTAGAGATGGTGTGGCCGGTTGGATGGGCTGAGGGATGAACTGCGAAGCTAAAATTCCATGTACCTGGACAGAGGGCTGAGCTTGAGCTTGTTGCTGGAGTTGGGGTTGCATTGGTCCTGGTATTTGAGCGTTCTGCTGGATGAGAGTCTCGTGTTGAGTCTGGCTTGCAATAGAGGTTATTGCTGGTGGAGGCTGGACAGTAGCTTGGCTTTGTTGGCCTATCAGCTGAATGTCCACTGGTGGGCCGTGACCATGCGGTACCTGGACCTGCCCAATCACTGGGTGAAGAGACGGAGCCTGGATTGATGACTGAGTCGTTACTTGGCTCTGTGTGGGAGTGGCAGATCCTTGATAACTAGTCAGCAAAGGTATGTGCTGGGCTTGGATCACGGTCGATGGAGGAGTTACTTGGGCTTTCGTCACAGCCTGAGCTGTATGAACTGTGCTCTGGGTTATAAACTGCACTGGGACCTTGCCCTGGTCCTGTGAATGAACCTCACTTTGTCCTGGCTGGGTGAAGACTTGGGATTGGATGGCAGCACATGTCTGGACAGGGATCTGGGTAGTCTGAATGGCCAAAGGGACCTGGGCCTGTGAGACAATTTGAGCTTGCTGGAGCACCTCAGCTCCTAGAGATCCAACCGGGACATGAGACTCCATTACAGAGGTGTGATGCTGCTGGATAGGCACTGCTTGTTGTTGTTGTTGCTCAATAACCTGTTGCTGAATGAGAGCAGTACAAGGTGTAAGCTGAGCAGCATTTATTTGTTGGATACACGTCTGTTGTATATCAGTCGGTTGCTCCTGTATCTGCATCTCAGTGTTGATTTTCTGAATGGGCACAATCTCCTGAAGTTGTATGACGGCTGCTTGTTGCTGCTGATCTTGAATCTGTTGCTGTAGCAGAGCCTGTTGTTGCAGTCTCTCGACTTGTTGTTGTTGTAACAAGACTTGTTGTTGACGTTGTTGCTCCAACTGTTGCTGCAAAAGAGCCTGCTTCTGCTGCTCCATCTGCTGCTTGAGTTGCATCTGCTGCTGCTCTTGTTGCTGTTGCTGTAGCTGAGCTTTCTGCTGTAACTGCTGCTGCTGTAAGATAGCCTGCTGCTGCAGATGTTGTTGTAACAGTGCTTGTTGCTGTTGTTGTTCCAGTTGTTGGAGTAAGGCTTGCTGTTGCAATTGTTGCTCTTGTTGCTGTGGAGTCAGCTGGGGTTGCTGTTGCAGGACAGTTTGTTGTTGCTGTTGCCTACTCAGCTGTTGCTTCTCTGGTTCACTTTGTATTCCAGTCTGTTGCAATATCTGGCTCTGCTGCTGCTGCTGTAATGGGATATGTTGTTGTTGCTGCTCTAACTGGTGTTGTATCAGTGGTTGCGTTGGTTGCTGTAAAAGACTCTTTTGTTGCTGCTGTTGCTCTTGCTGTTGAAGTAGAACTTGCTGCTGTTGTTGATCCAGCAGTTGCTTTTGTAGAAGTATTTGCTGCTGTTCCAGTTGATACTGTTGTAATGGGGCCTGCTGTTGCTGCTGCTGAAGCAAGGCTTTTTGTTGCTGCTGATCAAGCTGTTGCTGCACATATGTCTGATGTTGCTCTGGTGCTAAAGCTTGTTGTTGTTGTTGCAGCACAGTCTGCTGTTGCTGGAGCTGCTGTTGTATCATGGCCTGCTCACAAGAATCCCCTGTCCGTTGCTGTTTATACGCCTGAGGTTGCTCCCCTGTTTGTGTTAGTGACAAAGCTTGCGGCTCCATACCTGTTTGTGTTGGTAAAACCTGCTGCTGAGGAAACGGCTGCTGAACATAGGTCTGCTGCTGAGGCTCATGCTGAGGTTTCTGGACCGTTGTAGCTGAAATGCCGTGTAGATGTTGTTCCGTCAAAGGCTGCGTTGCAACAACTTGTTGATGATCCAGCAGTGTGGCCTTGGCATCAATTTGCTGTTGTGGTTGTTGCTGTAGGGTGGAGGTATGGGGATCCATCCCCAACTGTTGTTGTGGTACAATGGCCTGCTGAGGGATCATGACAGGCTGTGCTTGCTGGGGTGCTGCCGGGGGTATGACGTCAGTGGGCTGCATGGGAGTGGCAGGGGGCTGAGCCTGCTGAGCGAGGGGTACAATGGTCCCCACTAGTCCAGCAGGATCACTGACCGACATGGATGTAGTGAGAACATTAAACGGAGCTTGTGGGGAAACAGGGGGGATGTATGACTGTGAGGGGGCCAGAGAGGCATGGGGAGTGGCAGTTTGAAATGCCTCTGACGGGAATGTTTGTGACTGCTCAGTGATAATGACAGAATGATGATTGGTGATGATTGGAAAGAGGATGAAAAGAAAGCAGTAGAAAAATTAGGTAAGAATAAGCTTTGGCAGTTCATTAATTGACACATTTAGTTTTATACAACAGGGAATTCCACAGGACTTAATAGCAGTGATGGACAGCCCATTAAAGCACAGATAGTACATTTGATTTAAAAAAAGGCATTGTCCATCTCTGCTACGACATTTCCTGACGATAACCCTTACAGCACACAATCAGGTAGTCAATCTTAGAGAATTATGAGGATGATTTGTGATTGGATAAATTGTTATTTGAAAAAGGAGAACCCACAATACGACAAAGTAGTAGGATCATAGACTGTATATAGAATGGACAGAGTCTGCCTCCTCTCTGGGTGAAGCCACTCCGAGAACAGCACCCTCTGTTGATGGGCTGCAGTATAGGTCATAAATCCCGCCTCCACCAGCAAAGCTTAGGGGGCTGTGGACAAACTTTAGAAATTTATTACACAGAACATAATTTTTTCTCCCCCCTGCTTGTGATGTTGACATGTAATTATTGTAAGACTGGTTTGTGCTCAAGTCCTCTTTTTTCTGTGAAGCTCTGTTCTTAAAAGTTATTAGGGGGTTCATGTTTTCTATGATTGACACCTGATGCAGCCTATGGGCATTCAGGGATTGCGTAGCTCACCCAGGGGGATACGCTGTTTGAGCCGAGCGTCATCACAGTGACTCTCGGCGACTGTGCGGCTGAATGCCCGCATCGCTACTGCACAGCGCTGGTTTCAGGAAATGAAGAAAAATCCCGGAAATACCGAGAGCTTTTTGGCTTCAAATCCGTATACAGGCGGTAGGCGGAACCAAGTTGTCCATAGTATATACAGTCTATGAGTAGGATTATGGCTCAACTTTCTTTGACAGAAATGTTAAATGGAGTATACAGTAGTATTGTCACCCTTTTCACCTGATAATATTGTTGAGGGACACTTGGTGATACCTGTGGAACCATGGCAACAGGCTGAAGAAATGGCTGACCGACAGGTCCTCCTCCACTGTGGCCTATGGACATGCTGGACATACTGACACTCTGGCCCATAGGCACATTAGGGACACTTCCACCTTCACCCATTGGGTGCATTTGAGGATGAGCCAACGCACCAGCACTCTGTAGTGGATAGTAAATTAGCAATGTGACTGGGTCTTATAGGTGCTTCAGATCATGAATAATAGTAATTATTTCTTTGTAGGGCTGGGCGATAAACCGAAAATTTACCAATACCGTAACCAACGTCATTTTGCCCATATTGGTATAATCTATGGTTATGTTCTCAAGTCCCTTTAAGACGCTTACGTCGGAGACTTGACTCCACCCCATCCAGTCCGTAACAAAGAGGGAAAGACAGGTGAGGAGATGAAGGACTGTTCGAAAGTTGTATCAGCTGGAGCGGCAGCTGAAGTAGGCGAAGTTAATGTGGGAGGGGGTGAGTAGCTTGTGGAGTATTTATTGTCCATGTACCGTTATCAAGGTGAACTGCTCAACATATCATGATATTGATTTGAGGCCATAACGCCCAGCCCTTTGTCTCGGTGAACTGTTTGTTTTATAAATGTGCTAAAAATCAAAGCAATAACATACCGACGCTGCAGGGGCGAGAGCTGTCCCAGAGTGGACATATGCTTCTACTTGTTGAGAGAATGCCTGACTCTGTCCACTGGTATACGATTCACAGCTGGCAGATCCAATGCTGTCACCTGCCAAGTGTTGAGAGTAAGTGTCAAACATAGCAAATTGTAATGGCATTTCATATTGGTTCTGTCTTTCAACATGTCAGAAGCAGCAGTGTCTTAATTCTAAATTCGCATGCTTTACCTGGCAGACTAAGCGTTGCCCCACTGAAAATGTGCTGCTGCCTGACATGCTGGTCTACTTCAGGCAGTTCCTCAGACTCCTGCCCTCCTCCTCCACCACCTCCTGTTTGTCCAGCTACCATTGGCCCCAGTGAGGAAAGGCAGGCAGGATGAGAGAAGGTGTAGGTGGGGAGGTTTGAGTCTCTTCTTTCTTCATAGCCCTGCTGCTGCTGGAGGAGCTGCTGCTGTCGACGCTCCCGAGACTTTTTGATCAGGTTAACCCTGTCCCGGATGGATTTTCCCACCACCTTGGCATCGCTTTCATGAAAGAATCCTGACTTTACCTGAAAGAGAGAGAAAAAGTTTCTAATGAGGGGCTGAGTAGAATCTAGGTCAGAAGGAGGTACTATTAAAAAGCTGATGAATGAGCTGAGCGTATCCCCATATCTGATCTAACTTCTAGCTTTGAAACTTTAAAAATGTAATCCAGCAAATCTTATCTCACACATGGCACTCATAAATTCTGTTTACGACTTGTCAAGTGTAAACTTGCACTCACCATTTCCAGAGCCACTTCCTCAGCACTGTCGTTCTCCAGGTCATAGCTGAACTCGATGGCCTCATTGTCTTTGTGCTTCCCCTTCAGCTTCTTGGGCTCTTCAACCCAAATCCGGAGAGCAAGGCAGTCCTGGGTGCCTGTGTCTTCCTCTGCCAGCTCCACCCGGACTCCTGTATCTTCCCCGAAAAATGCATGGTTCAGGAGGTCTCTGATAGAAAGTCTGTTGAAAGAAGGATCAAGAGTACACAGGATGAATAATGCACCACTATGCTTTATGATTTACCAATCAGGTCTTAGTTCAGTATGTTCCATCAGGAAAGTAAAACCTGCCAACCTCTGGCTCTTGTTCTGACGAATGCAGCCTTCGATGATTTCTTTGATCTCTGGGTCGTTTACTTTGTCAAAGCTGGCAGGCTTTATCCCCTGAAAAAATAAATGGGTGGTTCCTTGTGTCAATGTTTCAAAATAGGTCTACACATACAGTATCTAATTAACAAGACTTACACTTGTGACTTTACGATAGATCTGAGCAGCATTCTGGCACTCAGAGTAGGGGTATTCTGATGTGGCCATCTCCAGCATGCACATCCCAAAAGCGTAGACATCTACAGACTCATCATAGTGCTCCTCATACATCTCTGGAGCCATGAACTCTGGTGTACCTGTTAGGACAAGATTGAGATCCAAAGTAAACAACAAGCAAAATAACTTAATAGCTTAAAATCACTATCAGTATTCACTGTCAGAAACTTTCCACAGAAAATTTCCACTTCCTGGGGATTGTTACTTTCTGAGTTAAGCTTTATTGAGTATAATGGTGCCCGGCTTAAGTTGGCATACTAAGGTCTCTGCATTAAGTGCTGCCCATATGGGTTTTACAGTGACTGTGTCGATTACACTCTATTCCCCAAAGCACCTGAAGCTCTTTTTAAAAATCATGATAGTGCTGAATCAAAAGAGAGTAATATTTATAGGCCCTCTTTCCGGTCAGTTGAAACAGGTACTTCATTCCTGGCATTGTCTTCCAAAGTAGCAGATCTAATTCTGGAGCCTACCTATTACACTCTTGGCAAAGGAGGTCCGCATAAGAGTGGCCAGCCCCAGGTCACCTATCTTGACAGAGCCTGTGGGGCCTGTTATGAAGATGTTGTCACATTTGAGGTCACGGTGGACTATCGGGGGAGTCCTGGTGTGAAGGAAGTGGAGGCCCTTCAGGATTTGACGACACCAGCTCCGCAACACTTTGGGTTTCATCACCTTGAAGCGCTTCAAATATCTGAGCAAGAGGACAGGGAAGCTAGACTTTTGTACAAACTATTAAATGCATTATCAACAATTGAAAGAAAGCTTTGTATTTCAAAGTTTGAATTTCTAAATGAATTTAGATTAATAACATTTACTTCCATTCAAATATAAATCTATATCTATCTGATTCTGTCACAGTTTTCCACAAAGCATACAAAGCACAACTTCTCAAATAAATAAGGTAAAAATTCCCACCAGAGCTCCACACTGGAGTATGGCTTTATGTTACTTGGTCATTTTTAGGATGAAAGATGGTACTGCACCAACAAAGATTTACAAAACCATCAGACCATGTTTTCAAATTTGAGGTATGAGGCTGCTATGCTCACGTTTTGAGTGTTCCTGAAGTCATGAGTTCAGTAACCAGTACGATGCATTTCTTGCCGCGTAGCGCAGACTCCCAAGAGTCATAGAAACGGACAATGTTGGGGTGCTGGAGCCCCTTCAGCATCTCAGCCTCCTCCTTGAAGCGCTGCTGCTCAGCCTTGGTCAGTTTGCGGTCCTGAATTGAGAAATACAAAAACTGGTTTATGGCATAACAGTGAATAAAAGCTCTCTTTACTTTTTTCCCATGAAAGGAGTTCTCACTTAAGTATTGAAGCTGTACTTGGGTTATGCAACACTATTCTGCTCAGAAACTCCATACTGGTTTTACTTGACCTCCCACAGCCACTAGTGTTTCACTAACACCTGCAGCCACTAGATGGTACTAGCAATGCAGACATGCAGCAGTGCTGAGACAACACCCAACTCTTGGCTTCATAAAACCCATTTGTGCTGCACCTGCCACAAATCTACAGTACAGCGGACATCATGGATGCAGCAAAAATCTACCTCAGAGGCACAGACAGCATCCAACAGGACCAGAGACAGCCATCAAACATTCTCTGTGTAAAACATTGTGACAAAGGTTATTTTGAAGTCCCAATACTCCTATATATATGTGTGTGTGTGTGTGTGTTCTGCAATAAAGATATGTGCATCTGTTGAAATCATGCATTTCTCATCTTGTAAAACTCTTTTTATTTTTTTGTTATTAGTTTTCTCTTAGACCAGTCATACTCAGAAAAAATAAACAAAATATTTTCTTTCTCACCACAAGTCAGAGGGAAACTGCATTAATGATGATGACAGTATTTTTAAGAGTTAAAAAACGGCCAAAGCTTCAGTGGAAGAAATCCAGACTGGGTCTACTGAGCCAGTGTGTATTTTTAGACATGTCAGAAACAACTGTGGTCGTCTGCCATCTTCTTGTTTACAAATAAAGCATTTTGGGTCTGCTGTCGTGTAACCTTTACTGACCTTGTGACCTGATGTGCAAAGACATCGTCATCATTTATTGGCACTGAGAGCTTAAATAAAACACTTAACTTGCTTGTTGCTAAAGGCAACGCTGAATGATTCATGTTGAGGCAAAATTCTGAGAGAAGATCAGATGAAAAGAGAGTGTTTCACTTGATTATCGGAAGGTAATTGAAAGGCAGCCAGTGTCTGTCACAAACAGACCTCACTATAAATAGAAGTCATCATAACGCTTACTTTCCACAGATCAATTTCATTGATGTTGCTTTGCTTAAAGCTCCCCAAACAGAGGCTGTGTAGTGCAGATGTTTAGATGTAAATAAACAGATTCTCATGCCATGTAGTCTACGTATTTCCTGCCCCTGTCCTGACTTTCCTTTGAATTATGTGCCTCCGTTTCTGTTCCCCCATGGGTCTGTCTTTCATCTTCACAGGGATCCCTCACTCTCTGTGTCTATACTGGTTTAGTGTCCTTTTCTGGAAGCAACGGTAGAGGCAATCTCTCTAACCCTCCTCCCTCCACAGGAAAGTACTATCAACAAAAAGGCTGCGGCGCTTTGCTCTGTTGTGGCTAAAAATAAGTTGCCCATCCTTGGTTTACCCTTATGCTGTCATTCCTTTAATACCATCTTTGTCAAGTTTTAATTAATATGCATACCAATGCAGTTACGTGTGAACCTGAGTGTGTGCAGGTGTGTCTAATCATGCCAGGATCTTGTGCTGTCTGTCACTGCAAAAATATCCAAATGTTTCTTCTTCCCAGCCTTATTTTGTCATCCAGTCCTGGCTCTTTTTTGATGCGTTGGTCCTCTGATGCATCACTCAGCCTCGCTGTCTGGTTTGGTGTGAGGCAGGCTATGTCCCTGTCTGCTGCCTCCTCAGCATCTATTGTATGTCTCTCTGAGAGTGGCATCAGGCAGCCTTAGGGTGGGCAAAGTTCAGATAGAGTTCAGTTTGAGAGACTGTGTCTAGACAGACTCATACAAAACCCTTACCCTCTCCATCGGCACTAACACAGGCCCACGCACACCCATTTTCTCACTAAGAGAGGCACAGCAGTATTACAAACATGATAACACAAGTCCACAACAGTCCTCTTTCTAATGCCAAGACTGCTTTACACACCCAAAATCAATTACTGCTGTCAAGATGTCACCCAAGCTGAACTGTGAAATAAATATGAATCCACTACTCATAAAATCTTTCCAGATTTAACACAAATCTGGGACTTCTTCAATACTGAATCAGCTAATGAAAACAGAACTGACAAACAAAGTAGCCATTAGAGGAGAGAAGGGGCAGGAGTGTCTCTAAACCATCAGATAAATGAAAAAGAGGAAGTTACAGAAAAGCATTGACATAAAGTCAAGCAGACTGAGAGCAGCTAGAACAGTATGATTCTGAGTGGTGAATGGCAGCTTCTCCATTTGTGCATCAGTATGAAGAAAATACCGCTGGCTCTTTTACAAACAAAGTAACACGATAATTATGAAAATATATAACACAAGAAAACAACACCACTTGATTCTTACTCTATAATGTACAGGGGTATGACAGCAGTTATTCTGCCACTAAAATAACTGAAAATCAGTGAGGGAGTTGCTACTTTATTCATAGTTTAAAGTTTGTATTTGCTCTTTGAGGTGTTCATCTCACTTCATTTGCACAAACATACTGACGCTCTTTCCACACATGGACAAAACTCCTGTTAAAGTATAACACTTTTGTGGAATCAGGGTATAGGTATTACAGCCCTAAAATTTTTTATTTTGAAATCTCTAGGAACAACCTTTTCCCCATTTTATTTTTTAACAGGTAGAATATTTATAAAGTTAGTAAATATGTGTTCAGATTCAGATTCAGATGGGTGAAACTTCTGTACCCTGCACCTTTTTTTCAGAGCATGTAATACGCTGCTAATTACACAGCTTATTAGCCTGCTCTCTCCTCCTTGCAAACAGCCCCCCCAAAAAATCTAAACAAACTTTTCTTAGTGGACCAGCTATCCTCAGCTAGTAGGCTAACACACACATTACATCACAGTTTGTATGTTACTTACTGGGCGTTGAACAAAACTACAGGCTTTCTACAAAGACGCCCTTATCTGCACAACCAACTGTTCATTATTTTAACTACTAAGTACCCTCTATCCCCCCAATGAGTAGTCCCTGTCCATACACATCAACTGATCTAATACAAATGACTGGCAAGGGCTGATAGGGAAATTTAACATTATTAATGCCCTGAGAGTTTTAGCTTTCATTTTAATTACGGGGGGCTAGCTCGTATCGTAGACACAGTATGACATTAAATACTGGTGGTTTACTAATCGTGACTTTTTCAAATCAAAGCAAACCTCAAAAACTCAACCTTTATTCAGATTTTTTCCTGTCAGCTCCCCTCAAACAATTTCCACAAAAGCGTGAATGTATTAGATAAGACAGGTAAATTCACAGTGACTGAGTGGACAGCATAATGACATGTTGAAGCTCTGTTTTATTCTCCTAACTGTTCACCTCAGTAGTCTACTTAATGTTTGTTTTGTGATGTTTGTATTGCAGCAACAATACATGCTGTAGTCATACAAACACAGAAGCAGTCACCACTACAGAAGACTCCTCCTGCTTGTAACACCAAGCCACCCTCCTTCACATTCAAACAAAACAGGGCAGATCACGTTGTGAGAGCACATTTGACAGATATTATCTGTTCCTCTGGGACGTGCATGTGTACACAGCAAGTTTCCGTATGTCCTGAAATTATCTCCAAAATGTCAGGAGTCCATGTGGTAACGTGTGAATCGACCTCTGTTAGGTCGTATTATGTTGTTGTAATGGCACCGCCAGGACACAGCCTAAGCCCTGTAACTTGGTAAACAGAGTAAGACCTAAGACCTGGATGTGCACCATGAGTCTGAGATTTCTTTTTTTTTTGGAATCAGACATCTGGTGAAGCAGAAGGTCAGGCAGCAGGTTAAGTAGCCTCATAACACAGGAAATGGACGGGATATGGCTTACAAAGCACATTTGGTGCATGGTAAGAACCTGGGGTCATAAGCAGCAAAGCACGTGAGCTCTAAAACATCTATTTTGGCAAACACTGCACGAGTATCAGGTATCAGACACACTACATGAGACGAGGAGCCTTTCTGGGTGCCTTCCTTTGAGGGGGCCTTGAGCTTCAATGTTTTAACAGGGTGGTAGGAAAAAAAGGCGAGTATTATTCTTACTTATGGTGCTAGTTATCAGGGTGTATGTCGTGTGGAGGGCTCTGAAAGCATGTCTGTGTAAGAAAATCTGGGGTGGCGGGTGGCTGGGATTAGATTAGTGTAAGCTACAACAGATCAGACTAACAAGATAGATCGCTGGTAAAGGGCTGGCCCTCATACTGGATTAGAACTCCAGGCCAGTAGGCCAAGTTCAACACACTTACAAGGACCTTAAACCAATCCTCCGCACTCACCATGTTTTGAAGTGGCCACTTGTAAGCAGGAGCATTCTATGTCTCCCTGCAGCTTATGATGCCTGTTTTTAACTGCAGCAAAGGTAATTTAAGTGCAACAGCATCTCACTAGCAACAATTCTGTTAAGGTAAAAACTGTGAATTAACGCCTGTCTCCTTACACAGACAGCTCTGTGATGAATGCCAATTCCACTGCACAAATCTGACCAAGAGATCTTCCCTATGCTCCATAATTCTATCATGACTACCTCAGATTTATTGGACATGACGGCTCCACTGTTCTGCCTGTGTCTGTGTGGTAAAAACATTGATTGGTAATTGAATCTCCTGTTGGATTGATGGTTCGCTTTTGTGGCTACAGCCCGAGGGACACTTGCCATCTCTGTGTCCTAGTTGAGGGTTGTAGCTGGTCAGTTTAGTCGAATCAATTCCATCCCGGTCTAGTCTGTTCAGCTGCAGCCCATTGAATGTTGCCTCTCCTAATTTGGATTATCTATCAATAGGCCTTCTTTATTTTTACCTGGAAAGACTGAACTGCTCTTTTATAAACAGAACAGAGCTGCAGCAGCAGCGTGTTTCCATTTGTCAATTGGTTTTGTTTTTGTATTCTTTACAAAAGGTGGGCTGAATTTTTAAGGCAGTTACTGGCATTTATAATGACTGGGTTTGAAACACTCATATCCGTATTATCTTTTCTGAATGACAACAAATGTTTTCATCTTAAATGAAAGCATATCAAGTCAGTTACTGCCTGGTGTCAAATGTTAATTCTGTCATGAGATATAGAAAAAAGTACTTAAATATTGGCTCCAACAGTCATGCTCTGAACTTAATTGTATGATTAAATGTATTTTTCTATTTCATGAATCATTAAAAATCCATCAAAAACATGTAAAGATAAGATAACCATGTTTGTTAGATTGTTGTGGGCCTTGAATAATGATATTATGACTGTCTTTTTTTTGTTTTGTTTTTACACCCAAATTTTTACCTTGTATTTTTTTCTTATCATATTTAACATAAAATCAGCATCACATATCTGCCATAATCAACCATCGAAAAACGTTATCTATGGACTACAAGTTTGCACTACGGCTGACAAACATCTTTATCAGTCAACATTATTTCCAACCCCACCCTCTCTGTTTTGTTTTTGTTTTTGAGAGGAAAAAATCCGTCCTATTGATACTTGAACCACAGTCCACACCGTTTGTTCATATCAAAGAGTTGTAAAACAGCTTTTTCTCTCACCAGAGGCAGGTGGCAACCTCGTGAATAGCTTAATTATCATAAAACAAATGCAAAGGAAGTGTCTCAGTTCTGTTTCACAGGACGCAGCACACTCAGTGATAATTCTTATGCCACCTTTAATTGTAAAAAAAATATATATATATATAAATAAGCCTTAACAAGGAGGAGCTTGAAACCATTGCATGATGTTATAAACTCAACCTTTAATAATGGTATTTATCTGTCATTACCTATTAATCAGGCTCTATTACAACAAATGACACCCCAATAATCAAGGAGGTCATGATCATCACAACAACCTTCAGTGCGGGTCTGAGTTTTGTAACCCTGAGAGTGGAACATGGCTGGGTTGACCCAAGCTGAGCTGGACCAGTCTGGGCTGACTGGGTTGAACCAGTCTGGTTTCTGCTGCCCGAGTTATGCTGTCTGTGCAGGGTTTTTGTTCCAGCCTCACAGGCACCCACTGTAATTAACTCCCCTGGATCACCCTGCATGCTCACTCATACAAACAAAAAGTGATGGAGGGAGAAATGGAGGGAGGCTGGGAGAGGAAGAGAGAGGGAGGATGAGAGGCAGACACATAGAGTGGCATATGTTGACACAGACGAACTGAGGGCAACAGCTTGCACGCAGAAATGAAATAAAAGTACGATAACACATACAAACACACCCACCGAGGGTGAGTGAGGGTAAAACCGTTAGCATAGGAGACAAATGGCTCTTCCCTTTTAGGCGTGGAATTCCCAGGGAAAGGGAAAGGGAAGAAGAGCTATGGTGTCCGCATTGTGAACTTTAATTACACACTCTTTCAAGCTGCATTTGGACAGCTAATCCCCTGGCTTCCCTCTCTTTGTGGACATAAGAGAAGAGATGCTAGGTGTTCCCAGGCTGCAGTCTCACAGGAAAGCAGAGTTAGCATCAAATCGTACAATGTCTACTCTCAAACCCCATGTTACAGCAATATGATAAATGATCACATTATTTTTGACGACAATGAGACCTTCTCTTCAATCAAATTGTTTTGAATTTAAAAAACTGAACTTCTAAAAGTGCTATTTTATACAATTAATAACACTGTAGAAACAAGAGTGCTGCTGTTTGTTAGCTGCCTTATTAAAGGTGCATCAATATTGCATTGTGTAAGCCTCCCACAGCAAATGTTTGTTTCAATTTCATGATTAATAATACAGTAAGCTGATCATATCAAATGATTCTGATTGTCATTGTTTATTCTGATACCACTTTGCACTGAACCGGTGAACAAGCTTTTGATTAGACAGACTAAAAGGACAGATCATGTGACCTGACAGACTAGAATGTTTCACTGAATGCAGTACTGGATCCATTTATAGGGGTTTGACCTGGTCGCTGTGTAGAGTCTGAGTGTGTGCATGTGCATGTGTGTTTGTGTACGTCCATGTGTGGCCCTGCATGTGGTAAGTTAGCATTAGCTATGCGACTGCTCTCTGGGAGGGATGCCATGGTAATCCTCTGTTTGGCTGCTTGTCTCTCCCTCTGTCTCTCTCTCCCTTTCAATCACCATCACCTCCTGTGTCTCCTGTGTCTTTCTCACAGGCTGCCCTGCTCTCTCTTTTCTGATGCTCTTTTTTTCCAGAATCTCAGTCTGTTTTGTTTTTAAAACGATCCTTTTCTCTCTTTCAGGAAGGTAAAATACACACTGAATGTTTTTAAACAGAGTTTTTCTGACATGAGAGCTGGTACATTTCTTCATGCGTCATCAACCAATAACCTATTTTTCTTCTATGAGGATTATATTTATGATGCATTTATGGAGACAAACTTCAATATGCATCTGCTAATCATTTTACGCCTACTTTGTTTCTGCTTTGCCAGACAGGCTTAGTTTACAGCCCTGAGCCAGACAGAAAATCAGAGCGGTGCCTTTGCTGGTGCCATGAAGGTATGCTGTCTGTTGGCCAATCATAAATGTATTAGTGACAGCTTTATTATTAAAGGTGAAAAAGAGCACCTTCTGAACATTAGTACTGAAGTGTGAGTGAACAGAAGCAGTAAGAGTAAAATAAACAGAGCTTCTAGTGTAGAAAAAACAAAAACAAAACTCAGGTGCTGAGTAAACCCAGAAAAGGTGATGGGGAAGTGCCTGCTTAGTCCAACAGACAGAGCCTGATCTTTAGGATTAGTCGGGGCTTCTGTTTTGGACTAAACCAAACACATGACTGACTTTTCTCACAAAGCCTGCACTCAAGTCTGATGGCTTACTATAACACTGCTCTCTATTGTGCCGCCAAGAGTCAGAGGGATTCATTTTCTTCTCTCCTCCACAAGACTGGAGTCTCCCACCACATGTTGAAATCACAGCATCTAACAATGTTTCCCGTTACTTCTCATGATAGATCCGGTTGTCTTTAGTGTGTAAAAGCTTGGACAGTGCTCTGGTGCAAAACATTCATAACATTTCATGATAATCCTCCCACTGCCATGTCTATGCATGACAAAGAGTCTCTGACAGTAATGTTTGTGGTTGTCACACCTACATTGCCACAGTGTTCCTTATTTCTCTGAACTCATAAAATACATCCCATTCAGAACCTCCCTCTCATGTGACTACTTCCATACTTCAAATTATCATACAATACACAAAAGTGAGCTGAGTGAGACACTATGGTAGCATCAGTTCAACTCTGGCCCTTATTGACATGATTATACTTACTCCAACATGAACCTGTCTTCATCAAATTATAATATATTAGCCCTTTGGGAGGAAATTGTCATGATAAAAAGACAAATATCTCTCCCACATGGCAGGATACTTCTTGACTGATTTAGAACAGGTCATTAAAGCCCTATGATAAATAGTTATCATAAATGCTGTTATCTCTTTGTGAATTACTTACTGAATTCGTATGAATTGCTACATTTCAGGATAATACAAAAAAGTGTTTCTCGTAGAAAACACTACCACAACAAGGAGAGGAGGTGCTGGAAACCTGTGTTTCTATTATTCATAACGGTCCAGGAAGAGGCAAAGCCTCCACTTTCACTTTGTGCAGTCATACAATTTCAAGCGATGCTCCACCTTATCACCCCTGTCTTCCACTGAACTGCAGACTCTTTGCATGAATAGCAAACAGACAAGCGCCGAGACTCCCAGGTGTCAGCAGAGAGCTCCAGAAACATCAAATATGATTTATTTCAAAAAGCACGGCTGACCTTAAAGCTTACTAACTCAAAGTGTAACTATTTGTCAAAACAAAGTATTCTCATTGTATTTAGATTGTGATGTATCTAAATCCTTTACTAATTTGGGCTTAATCAATCAAAAATTTGCTTGTACATTGTTAAAGTTAAAGCAGGTTTTATCATTCAGTTAATATGTGGCCAAAAAAGGAGAACAGCTGGTCATACCTGAAGTTCACACCAAGCCACCTCCACCCATGTTTCCGTGTCAAGGCCTTTATATACAGTCTTGAACGCTCCTCTGCCCAATTCGATGTCAAACTTGAGGAACCTGCCTCCAGGAGAGGTGGCCACCGCCTTCATCTCCGCCTCTTCCTCCTGCTCACGGTCCCTCTCTTTCCCTCTCTGGGCAGGTGCTGAGGAAGGAGCATCCTTGCCGGGCTCTTGGCTGGAGCTGGGGCAGGATGGGTCATGGCCCATTGCAGCACAGGATGAAGCAGCTCCTTGCTGCTGGGCACTGCCGGTGAAGACTGAGTCTGAGGAGCACAGCTCTAAGTGGGGGGCACTGTGGGGTGCCTCTGGAGGCACCTCCACCTCATCGTCCTGTTCACAAATCTCCACACTCTTCCTGAAGAAACGCTTCTCCCTCCTCAGCCGTTTTTGGCCAGTGTCCACTGTCAAGGATGGCGTGGAGAATGAAATCCGTCTGTCTTGGCTGTCCTCAGTCGTCTGACTGCCTCCCCCTTCTCCTCCTCCTCCCCTAATTCCTCCATCCTCTCTCAATTTCCTCTCCTGAGTCTGGGAGGAGGGGAAGTCCGAGGGGGTGCTGTGTGTCCTCTCCCTCTGTGGGTCGGCCCTGCCCTCTCGCTCTGTGTCCTCCTCCCTCTGTCCATCAGGTTTCTCAGAGGACTCCTCGGTGCCTGTGGGCTCTCCTGGGTCAGTAGCCATGGGGATTGGCCTCTCCCACTCTTCCCCCTAGTCCTCCTCCTCCCCCTCCAAACCTTTGCTCCTCCGTCAGTCCCCGTCTCTCTCTCTTTCTGTGGTCACCCACTCACCCCTGCTAAGTCTCTCAGATTTTCCAGAGCTGCAGGTGACTGAAAGCCGTCTTTGCTCAGGCTGATGACCCTCTCCCGCTTTGCCTTCAGTCTGCTTTCCTCGTCTCTTCTGTTTGATGATGTTCAGCGGCAGAAGAGGAGAGCGAGACCACAGCTCTCGAAAAAGTTTCTGTCTTCTTTACTTTGCTCTTTACCATCCCCTACATCCCCCACATATGTGGAGAGCTCATCAAAGTTAACCACACATCTTTCAGCTCTGACAAACACACTAAAGCTGTAGTCTTTTCAAGCCAGTTAGGAAAGTTGTTCCGTTTTTCTTTCAGACTGCTGTGTGAAGATCTTCAAGTGAGCCCTGCAACACAGAAACAAAACACTGCATTAATATCCTGACAGCCAGGAGAAAGAATAATAGTCTTGTTGTTTCCATATATTCATACATGAAAATATAAAATATTACCATATAAATCCCTTATAATGGGATATTTCTCTATAATCTATAAGCTGTACATTTAAAAAGCACAGTCAACGTATTTCAAATGGACAAAACACACCAACATTAAAGATTAACTACACTGAAAATCCTTATTGTTTCTTTCTAAGAAGAATGACAAAGCTAATTCTTGCAAAGTGAGATCGTATTTCCCTCGAGAACATGAAGTGTTGATTGCCTGTTTAACTCGGCTAATGCATTTTCGCAATTAAACTCACTGGTGGCAAAATACTGTAAACATTAATGAGAACTTAATGTGTGTACCCTCTGATGAGCCCCATGACTGGTACAAAGTTTCCAGCCATCAGATACAGAAACAAAAAAAACTTCCGTAAATGGTGTTTTTCCGACGCTGCTTGGCAAAGTTACCCGAGCTCATTAACTGGACGATGTAACTCAAACTCAGATGTGAACTCTTGCTCCTTAACATGGACCTATCCCGTATAAGGGTGGGAATATCCAAAGACCCACACACAAGGGCTTATTTGTTATGAGCTAAATGTCGGACTTTTGAACCCGAGTATTTTCATAATGTCCAGTTAGCCCGATGAAAAGTTGCATATTACTTTGTCAAACTTCAAGAGGACATTTATCGGCATTTTATAACTTAAAATTGTGTTCAATAGCTCCATTAGTCAACAGTAAGAAGCTGTTAGGAGTATGCGATCCCTACATTAAATATGGATGATGAACTATGGGCTGGTGGAGTGTGAATTATTCATACTGAGAGGAATTGTCAAACTATACTGCAGTGAGTACAACACACTTCCAACCAGGAGCTCATAAATATCCCAAACTTTGATTACCATTATGATCCATTGACAGAATTACCTAGCACATACTCAACGGAGCATCCAGACAGGGTGATAATAGAGGGTTTTAAATTAGCCCTCAGTGTTATCCTTTGCTACCAGAAGGTGAAACTGAACACAGCTGGTGTCCTCTGACATGGCAAGATTCCTGCAATGCTGTTACTCATTCACTGTTTGGGTTTGTATGCTTATGCGCGCATGTGTGTGTCTATGTGTGTGTGCACCAGTGGGTATTTCGCAGATGACATCTTTATCTCTCGTTCTCCTCTATTAATCTCCATTTGGCCTTAGGTATCATAACTCCCCTGCCTCCTGTCAGCTTATGATCATTTTCATTAAGACATCAGCCAGCCCTGAAGTTACTCTGGAGCCAGTATCTGAGAGAAGGGGTTGGGCTACCAATTAGAAATGCAAAAAAATAAAAATAAAAAAGCTCAGAGTCACCGTTCATGATTTAAGATTAAGCTGCTGAAGTTACAGGAAGAGGGCAAAATGATGCATATCAATGAGCCGCACAGGAGAAGCATGGCCACCTTAGTGCAGAACAGTGTAGAAAACTTAAAGTCATAAGTGCTGTCTGGGTCAGGGTATTAACTCACTTTGAATATTAGTTTACAACTTCACACCTATTACTTTACAAACTCAGCACGTGGGACTTTTCAAACCAACCCCTGTCTAAAGTTTCAGCACTCTGAGGTATGAAGCTTCTCCACGAGTACCACACACACACACACCTACAGTCTGTTTGGGCTGCTGAAATGTGTTCTTCTTTGACAGATGCTAGGCTCAGTCAAAGTCACAGCAGCAGGTCTAGACCTTTTTTTTCCCTCTCTAATGAGCAAGGCCCACCCTGACCACTGGGGGCATGTCTCGTGGCTAACAGACGCCATTATCTCTTTTATATGACAGTCATTAACACTTTACATCAAGCCCGCTGTCTCTCTGGGCTCAAAGAGGAGGACTCTGGTATGCAATGCTGGTAGCTGTCTGTCAAATTGGAGACACAATAGGCTGATATAAGACCAACTGCTAAGAGGCTCCTGAAGAACAAGGGAGATTTCCAGTCAGGCAACATTCCCGAGACATAGACACATGCTCTAAGAGACGAGCTGCGATTAGCATTTAGCTCGTCATTTCCATAACAGCTATCATACCTCACATTTTGAGGAATATGTGCAAACAACACAGCTGTTTTTGGCTAATTTAACAGAGAACAAACAAACTCCTCCCACTGCATGTCTGACAAGTTTAAAATCCAAACATACACACAAACACACACGTCCATGGCTTAACTGTAGTGTTTACCCTTGTATTACCTGACTCAGCCGCAACAAAAGGGTGTGACTAACGATTAGTCCTGTTTTGACAATCAGTCTTTAAAAAGGACTAAGCGTGATCATTTTCTTCATGTCAAACAAGCAGAAGAAAATTAAAGGATGATCCAAAAGGAGAACAAAAAGGAATCTAAAAAAAATAAACAGGAAAAGCACTAATCCTTGTCTTTTTTATATTCACTTGTATCTCTTAAAAAGTCAATATTAATAAAAAAAAACAACAACTAAAGGGATTTCCTGATCTCAACTTTGGACTGATGGGACATCATGCCATCTCATGACTACATTTAAGACACTGCCGTACTAAAGCTGTAGAGCGAAGTCAGTGACAACATATGAGGTTTTTAAAACATGATGTGACATCTATTAGATATACGGGGCCCTGACGTCTGTTTCATGTCATTACTGAGCCTCACTCATAAACTGATTCTTCCACTTTTGTGTCCAAATAAGTGTTCAGTATCATGTGCACACTTACGCAAAACATACCGCAGAAGACTGACCGAATATTAAAGGTTAACCATTAAGCATTATGTGTTGAATTTTGGTTTTGCATGTAAATTTTACAGCTGTGCCAGACTAACTTAAACAGACCAAAACACAAAAACAAATGAGGCTCTATTTTACCAGCAAATAAAAGTATTGAATCGAGAAGCTGTATCAATGAATTAATTTGGGATCAGGGGCCAAAAAATTGCAGATAAGGACTTTGCTTTTTTTTAACTGTTTTCACACATAGTCGACAGAAATCATTTTAGCTGAAACTACGAGAACAAATGTCTTCTCTCATACTCACTTTGGCAACTACATAAATTCTCTGAGCTACAGCAGCCCAGATGGGACATACTGTAGTTTACAGTCAGTCTAAAAAGGTAAAGGCTAACAGGATGTGAGGGACAAAAAGGGGGAAGAACAACAGGCGATAAAGAGAGGGAAGTTGCCCTTTAAACAGGAGCTTATTCGCCAATGTCCTCAGGGCAAGGAGTTCCCATGAAAGCCACATACCGGACAGAGTTATCACAGTACATCAAACACGTTCAACCCCATCGCTGTCTCTCACACCCGCCCAGTCTCCCTTTAATACACACACCGATACAGATATATGAGACTCACACTCGCAGCACAAACTTTGTGTTTTACTTTTTCTTTCTGCTCCTCTCATATGTATTATTTCTTTGTACAAGAGACAAAAACATACAAACACACACATCAAAAGCAAACACTCCCGCATCCCAACTACATCTCCCCTTTCAATAAAAGAATGTCCAGAGGAATTTCCTGACAGCGGCCAAATGTCCAAACAACGGGTAAAATAGGAGAGCCACAATTGAAGACCGTGAAACAAATGTAGCAGTTGAAACGGTGGCATCTTTCTGCATCACCTGAGTGACCCCGGTGTGCAGTGTACATCAAGTTCACACGTCAGAACCATTGTCTGCTCATTTTTCTATCAATGCTGCAGTGCATGAGAAGTGAACATCTGACGCGCTCCACTCCGCCTGCCCTCCAGGCTTCTGTGGAGAACACCTGCAGCTGCCTAATCATGTCTGAAATGTGCAACCAAAATCATTGTGACACCTTTTTTTCACAACTGCCAAAGATGTGATTTCTATTCTGTTCTCAAAAATTGCTGAGGCCTGTGTTTGTTTGTGTTTCCCCATTTTTTTTTTCATCTATGCTCAAAGTTTTGAGAGGGGAAAGGAAAAAAAAGTCACTTTTTCAGCAGTCTCTCATCTAAAACATGTTCTTTAACTTTACATATACAAACTCACAGCAACCCTTTCTGCCTTCAACACTTTTTTATCCTTTACTTCATGGGGATACACACATTAATCCCCGGGGACCAAACTGCCACTGGAAAATTAGACAGGCAGACAAAGGCAGAGCCAGTGGACCTGATGTGTGTGTGCGTGTGTGTGTGTCTGTGAGTACATGGACAGTGCGTTTCTTTTTTCAATCGGGGGGACGTGGATGAAAAGAGTGAATAAAAAGTGGCGAGGGGGACAGGAAGGGATCGTAGTTGATGGGAGCAGACAAACAGTAGAGTTTCATACAGAGGGAGAGGGGGAGCGAGAGAGAGGGAAGGAGAGATGGAGCAAGGGGGGCTAGCTAGTAGAAGGGGTGGGAAAAATGTGTGTGTGAAAGAGAACAAGAGAGAGATAAAGAGAGGGGGTGGCACAGACAAAAAGGGGGCTGGGGAGGATTTTGCCTGATAAAATATGTGCCAATGTTTGTGCGAATGAAAGCAGCGACTATGGCTAGATTTTTGCACCATACAAAAGCAGCTGCAGTCATGTCTGGAGTTAGGAGAGATGAGGAAAAGGAAAGGAGAGGGACGGACAAGGAGGAATGCTGTTAGTGTTTGGAAAAAAGGTTGAAAACATGAGGTGGTTACATTAGCATAGGGATAGTTTCCACTGGTATGTTTAGTTGCACAGGGAGCCTGGGTGCAGTGGGCCGAGAGGGAGCGGGGTGAGGGGCTGTAGTGCAGTGAGTTTGTTACAGTAAAATGCCCCTGCTAAACTCTGACATACCGTTTCCAGGGAAACTATACAGAAAAACGAACCGATCAATCAACTGAAAATGACTCACGAACTTTGTCAAATAAAAACCAACATTTGGAAAATTTTGCGTTTTAATTTACTTCAGTTTTGCTTCTACTTTTATGACCTGAATTCAGTTCAATCATGGGCCATTTATTGGAGATTGCACCATACCACTTCTCATTATATCATATCTCATTGAGTCCTATCTCACTGTGTCCTGTAAGGCTGAGCAAAATATACAAGAGCATTGCAACTGTGATGTACATGAGTAGAGGACGTGTCACAGTAGAGGACGTGCAATATCAGTCATATGATCTGAAACATGAGTTGTAACCAGTTCCTCATTTTTCAGTGATTGATCGACAAAAACGTCTGCCTGTTATCAATTTAATCAAATCTCTACCATGACTGAAATGAATACTGATATCTCTTTATGGCTCACAAAGCAAATATGACTACCAGCATTAACAATGAATAATTCTTTGGAGTTATAATCGATGTCTGAAACCTCTTGCATAAGTAGGTGTTAATTTGCCAAAACAGCCTTTATTTATTCTTCTAGAGTGTTTTTACTTTATAAAGCCGAGTGTTAAAATAAACAAGGATGCATTTATCATGAGGTGTCATGCTGTCCACGTGGGGCTGCCAGAATCCACACAAACTGGAAGTTCCTCAGGAGAGCTTTAAATTACAAGCTAATACCACATTGCTGATGACCCAGATTGAACCATTAGTAAATATAGATTGCATATACTGTAACATAACTGCATTTACATAAATTAATAAAGAAACATGTCTCTGCACTTCTCCATGTAGGTGCCAGAGTCACTTTCCCAAACAGAACGAAGATGTCATTTGAACGCAGAGAGTCGACTCAAAGATCCATGATAAAAGTTCAGTCACATTAAGCTATTAAAGGTTTTTCCATTGTTTGTGAAAACACACAAACTTCTCGTATTGCAATAAAAAAAGTTTTACCCTGATATCTTGTGTACCTGGTGTCACGTCATGTTGTATTGTACCATATCTTCCATGTAACTATGGAGTCCAATAAAAAGGAAATTAAAAATATCTCATATCAATTGTTATCATATCATATGGTATGATACAATATCCTATTTTACCATATTTTATCTTATAATATGGTGTCAAAATGTATGATGAAATGACATAATACCATATGATGCCAAACCACACAATACAATGTTTTGGTGTGGTGTCTTATTGTACTTTATTATATTTTATCATATAGTACTGTATGATGTTATATCATATCATGCCAATGTGTGGATCCCTTAGATCCTCCTGTCACCAACTAAGTTCAATCTTGTGGTGCTGTTTTTTCAATGAAATAATTCAACTTGTAACCTATTTTACAAACTTTTGACTTGTTCTAAATTTGATTCAATACTTCAGGTGTAATTCAGGTCAGATGAAAAAGTTATAGGAGCACAAATGGCTCATCAGTGTGTATGCATGCGTCACAGTATTTCTCCGTCTTCTGCATATTGTCCCTGTCTTTTTGTCGTAAGACTGGGATTTTTCATATGAAGAAGGTATGAACTGAAGGACAGGGTTAAAGGCTCTGAGTCACTCAGCAAGACAAATATGGGGAAAAAAACCTTCCTGAATTTATTTGACTAAATTATTATGATGCCCCTGAATCCTGCTGCATAGGTCAAACGTTAGCAAAATCTTCCAATAACAATAACCCTTTCCACGCATGATTAATCCAACACTTAAATCCTTTCAGTCTTTGTCTAATTCAGCACTGGTCCCACAGAGATTTAAAGAGGAGATGGAGGCTGAGTGATGAAAGGAGACAAGGCAGGGGTAGCACAAGGTCTGAGAGCTGCTGGCCAAAATTTGAATGAATTCAAGCAGCAACTCATCTGAAGATCATTCTACATCTGAACTCTGCAGCTCGGCTCAGTGGCAGAAAAACATAGACATGTTTAGTGAGGCTGTGTTATGAGATAGGCATGACTTCTGTCCCACAGTCACAGCGGGACACTTGAGTGGCACAATAACAGTTAATTACATCATCCAAGACAAACATTATGCAATATACTCTGAAAGGAATACAAAGTGAATGCACGATGAATCGATCTGGGAAAATGGTTTTAATGAGAGGAGAGTTAATGGAAATCCCATGCAAACAAAATGAAGAAATCTAGCCTGAAGTAAGGTATTTATCTAAAACCAGCAAAATAATTCAAGAGGAGTGTTTGTGCAACTGAACTGTGAAAGCGAATGCAATTAAATCTGCTCTGATTACTCCTCCTCCTACTTAATGATTGCACGAGTTGGCTCAGCACATGTTGCTTAATTCCCTTTGTGTCATCAGTCAAGGTGGCGTTTTGAAACCTGGTGGAAAAGTATCAATACTGGCCACTAGGATCAAACACACACACACAATGGTTGTTCTCTACCCATTAGAGAAACTCAAGGCTGAAACACAACAAGGACTTTTGTCCAATCCAGGTCAAGCATGGGAGAGCAGAGTGTAGGTAGCACACACACAGCACTGTTCACTGAGAGAAAGAGAGAATCAGACAGAGAGAATATGTCATCTAACCCCCTTTTTTTGTTCTCTTTCATTCTCCTCAGCCAGCAGAACCACTCCATACTGGAGGATTCCTCTAATCCAGGTGAGAGAAAGGCTCCTTAATCAGCCAATGATGAATCAGGATTACATGTTCCTAAAGTAGCTTACTACTGCTGCTGCTCATATCAGCATCTGAGCCCCTTTTGTTCTGCAAATGCTCTCTGAACTTTTACTGATGATGAGGCACTCACAGATCAGCACAGTGTTGGTATTAGTAGATCAGTGGCTGTCAGCCACTTTTAGGAAAGAAAGCATTCTCCCTAATGTTTTAAGTACACTCCTATTGCTTCTATTAGCACTACTGGATGTTTTTTGTTTAAATATTTATTGATGCAATATTAATACAAGCATGGAAGGGCTGTGCTTGTTTATGCATAATTGATGTACAATATGCATGAGGATGCAGCTGTCATTTTGACTGATTTGTGGGATACTTTTAATTTCCCATCATATATGGAGGAAATTACTTTGGAAATTAACCATTATGTGACTTGTAGCCACTGGCTCTGCATCTAAGTTGAAACGATGTATGTTATTTATAGGATACAGCATATAGGCAAAGACACAGAGATGCCTGGATGTGCACGCAGCATGGAGTGCAGCCATTGGCTCGCTGGTCGCTCAGCTGACTTTGGAAACGCCATGCAAACGGTCAAAGACACAAGAGTACAGTCACAGTACAAGGCGAGAGCCCTGTGACTGACACCACCACAAATCAGATACTCCCAAACCGACTGGCCTTTAGTGCCCCGAGCGCAGGCAAATCATTCAAATGATGGTCTGAACAGTTGGTGTCTTAGGGCCTGACAGCTTCACTGCCCGCAGCTCTGCACTTGACTCTGGTGTTTTTACACAGCATCACATATTTTTGAAGGCAACCGTATGAGACCATTAATATCTAATGAGCCATCAAGTCAGAGATAACATACATTGACCAAATGATGATACTGTCTGCTTCAAACTAAAGTAGTGAAATTATTATATTCTACAAACAACAAACAGCACTTACCCATATGAGACATCGTAGCTCGTCGGTCCAGGGAAAGGTGTATTTAAAAAATAGCCCGATCAGCCGAATGAGCTCGCTAACTCACTGTTAACTGGATTCTTTATTATTCCTTTAGCTTTTTACAAACGCTATCAAACACGATTTACAAGGGGGCTTTCTGGCTACAAAATTATTTTACACCAACTGAAAAAATACATTTACAAAATGAATTTTTAGAAAAAAAGAACCGATTTGCCTTTCTCTTTACGTTTCTTGCGCTGATCGTGGTGTTATCGGCTGAAAATCCCCGCCGGAGTCGTCGAGGCTCGGTCTGTGTGAGCGACAGGCACAGAGCACTTGGTGTACGCGGTCCAATTCAGACGATGTTCGCCGTTGGTTCTCAGATATTCCCGCACGCTACTCGGTTAGACGTCTCCGAGGAGTGCGGCCGGCCATTCATGCGATCCCAAATATTACCGGTAACTTATGTACATAATTTACAACGCACGAGTCCAACGGCCTTCAGCAGGTTCTCGTGTGCACTGTGCGCGCTCTGCCTGCCCGTGCTCACTTGCCACAGGGCTCATCAACATCCAGAGGACGGTCGAGAGGGACAGTGGGCTTACTCGGCCACGAGAGGGCGGTGGTGTTATGTGTTTGTTTCAGCGGTTTGTTATGCTGCTGGGGATGCTGCCTTCAAGTACTCCTCGTTAGCGCCAAAGACTTTTGGAGTACAATCCTATGATTATTTAAACCGTTCCTCTTTACATGACTAGTATGTTAGGGAATCTAAAACACGTTTAAAACCATACATCCTTTTTGTCAATATTTCTGATCTACATTTAGTAAAAGTGTAGCTGTATCTACAGAAAATGATATAGATTTAGCTAAACTGTAAAGCAGACATGGTTATCCAATAAAACTGTATTGCCCGTATCGCAATAGGTGGACAATTTTATTAATAAATTATAAATATACTTATTGCGAGCCATAAAACAGAAAATGGCCCCTGTTTAAGTTACCCAACTGACTTTTCTTTAATTACAAGTAGTACTATAATATTCTATGCTACAATTTCCAAGTACAGAAAAGGAATATTTACCTTTTTTTAATCTACTTGTGAGCTAATTTGGATTTATATGACTTCTCTTTAAAACTTGAGTCTTTTTCAAATGGATTTATATGTGGAGACTGTGGAAAAAGGACTTTTTTCTGCAGACAATAAAGGTATCTTGAATGTCAATTTTAACAAGAGCGCATAACGTTTGAATAATTTGCTGCTGCGACACATTCGTCTTAAATAATGTAGGATAAATGATGTTATCTTATGAAGACATACAAGGAAAATTTGGAAGAAGTGGTGCCCCCAGAGGTCAAACTAGTTTTAGCTTTAAACTACATTGTCCACACTCTTTCAGTGAATTTAACTCAGCCTCCACATAAAACTCAATTAAACGATTTCTGGTGCAACACTTGAAGGCCACACAACACATTTCCATGGAACAATGAATATTATCGTGTTTGTTTGTATGAATGAGGTTTCTTTCTGCAGCTTACATGAGCAACACTAGTGTCTGCTGTGACTGAAATAAACGTCAAACCTGAAAATCTTCAGCTTTAAGACCCCGGTGATTACCCAAACGATAGCATATGCTCAGTAAAGCAAATGCCTTGAGCAGAATGAACTGACTAACCCCAGCAAGATTAAAAGCTTTTGTCGCCCTCTGGTGAATTTCTTCAAGTACGCCACAGGACTCAAGACCACTCAGGACCAATGGACGGGGGCGGGGACTGAACGAATAAAAGACATAAGTTCAGACTCTTTATTCATAGACATCGTTACAACAATATAAAGACAGACTGTAATGCTTCAAAGAAAATATTTTCACTTGGAAGACATTACAATCAGCCAAAGTGTCTAAAATCGACCTCTCAAACATTTACAATGATGTATTTATTTCTATACATTTCCTACATGTCAGGCTTGCAAGATACCCCTTTAAAAATACAACCTTTAAAAATGACAGACACAACCACACATGTAGAGTGAATTCTAAAAAGAAGTACTCGGCGAAAAGACGCCTGCAAGCTAGGGACAACTTTATAATAAATGAAAGTGTTAAGAAGATCCCACACAATGAAGGCCTATTTGAAAAAGTATCAAAATAAATAAATTCATTAAAAAGGTAGATGACCAAGAAGAACATTGCCTAAAGAAGTCTGTAAACTGGTGGCAAACAATAACTGCAATGCATCAAGTTCTAAGGAAACTGTGGCAGCAAGCACTAGGCATAACCATGAAATATGTATCACAGGGTGATAATATATTAACATATTTAAATATAAAATCTACTCACAGCCTGTTACTTAGCATGTCATTAAAACTGTTAGTGTACCTTTAACATTTTCTTATGCTGAGCTGGATTAGGTTTTCCGAAACCCAAACCTGTTAGGCAAGTTTGTTATCTTCTGTGCATTAACTGTGCAAGAATTCAAACTGTTCATATTCCTGTTGCTCAAGAATATTGACACTCTACAGGCAGGCTTGCACAAAGGAAATATATCAATTTCCAACACTGGCTTTGGAAGACCTACTCCAGCTGTTTTCATTCATGAGTCGTAGTTACACTTTGGTCAACAAACATTTGGCTTCTCAAGTTTCACTTAACCCAACACATAGTTTTCCCTGTTTCCATGTGTAGTGGTGAACAAAGCTTCATACAGACATCCTCTAAAAGTTCCAGCAATTTTGAATAAATCAAGTCCCAAAACAGTCTTTGTTGTCAGCTCATACCTCAGCAACAGGAGGGAAATAAAGTGTGGCTTATAGCCAAGACATCAGACAGTTCCAGTTGTTTGGCAGTTACATGGCTTTGTTACAGTCATTTGGATCCACTGCTATCACTCCAGCTGTTACTGCACTGTTAACGTGAGAGAGTACCAGGCAGGATCATCCTTCCAGGGGTGGACGGAGGGGGATACAGCCATCCATCTCCAAAGACTCAGGCCAACCTTCATACTTGTTGCTGCTCTTGCTGTTCTTCATTCGCTGAAGGGAACAATCACGGTAAAAGAGTTGATGTCAGCAAAACAAATGGGTCAGCTGCCCTGAGGACAGCAGCTCAAACAGAGGGCCGAGTACACACTGAATAAGATTTAGCAATTTAACATGATGAATCCATTTTCCAGCACATGCAAAAGTTATTGGATTCATAATTTTTAACTTTTGTACGAGCACAATGTACCAGACTTTTCACGCCAAGTGCCTTTCTAATAATTGAGTTCCCATCCAACAGAAATCCCCTTACTGGCATAAAGTGAAATATGTCACTATGTAGAAAAATAATTGACATCATCAATTTGAAAGCTATCATCAGGTTTAGAAAGCAGCTGCAAAAAATTCCCCCAGACTGGAAAGGTTTCTTTTGAGTTTTTCCAGGGCCATGTCTGCCACTGTGATAGCATCACTAATCTAACATCAGAACAGCACAGAGATAAACAGAGACGTTACCGTGGAGGCATGCTCAAATTTCTGCTTACAATGACAGTTCAAAGTGGAAATATTGTCACATATGTTTCTGATAAATAAATTATCTACTTCACGTACTGCTCAACTATACGCTTAATAATTACTATCCTTTGTCTCTGATCATAATCTGTAACTACAGTGACGTACCTGCTCAAAAGGACTCTTGTTCTCAATTCCTTTGGCTCCAACAAACACCCAGCTGTCTCTGAAAGCCAGCTCCTTCACTGCTGTGCTTCCCAGTTCTTCAAACAGTCGCCGAGTCTCGTCGTTCATCCTGAAGGCACAGTAGCAGGTTTTGTATGTTAATATGAGTAGAAATGTGCTAGAGGCATGCTTTCGTCAACGTAAAAGGCTAAAACAGGTAACAGCCATTTCTCTGAAGGCTCCACCCACATGGTTTAACCACTTTAAAACCCTGTTATGTTTTCAACCCTTTATGGCCTTTGCAGGAAACAGAAAGAGTTTCATAATTACACTCATTCTGCTTCACGGAATGAAAACAAGTAGGTTATTTAACAAATGAGCAGTAAGTAAGCAGATTAACTTTATGAAAAAAGCACCTTTCACAGACAAGTCCCAAAGTGCTCCATAACAAACAAGCCCCTCAGTAGCATCAAAATGTTTCCCTGAAATAAAATAGTGATCCTTGACACCAATCAATCTTCCATGGGGAACTTGTATTTTCATGACCTTTTCTGGCTGCTATGTTTTCCCCCTTCAAAATGTATTTTAGTGGCACGTTTGAAGTAAGAGGTTCTTAAAGAGCAATTCCAAGCATGCCTGGTATTAACACTTTTGAATTCTGTCAAATTGTTTCCTCATACTTGGAGGCAGACATATCCGGTTGTAGGTGTTCTGCTTAATGTATACATGACCTTGGCTGACTGGAACAAAATCTGTCAACTTCTGCTCCATCACACTGCTGAAATTTGTTGTGGACATCTATTATATTTAGTCTGCCAGAGGCTTAGTGGACTGTACAATCTTGAAAAAAAAAAAAAAGAATTTTCATCTAGTTTTTTTTTCCTGATGAGTTAAAAAAAAATATAAAAATTTTTGATGCTTTTTTTTATCTATACATTGTACTAAGACTTTTAAGCTTTGGCTGACATTTATCAAGGGAAATTGCTTTGAGATGCATCAAAGGTGGAAAGAGAAGGGTGTTGGACTGGAACTGATAGCAAACCATGGATTCTTACTTTGTAGCTGCATCATCAAAGGAAGCAACGAACACGAGTGTGCCTTCATGGAGCGGCCTGAGAAACTTCAACAGCTCAGAAACATCTGTGAACAAACATCGGATGAGGTATGAACTGTGGTTTACAGCTTGTCACTGAGAAATCATATGTACCAGATGTGATGTGCAGTACATGCACTCTTTGCATTTATGTCTGGTTTTTATTACCTCCTGCCCACATATCGAAAACCTTCGAGGCTAACAACTCTCCTGTAACCCCTAAAGGAAGAAACACCAGTCAGATGTTACCAAAATAGCAGTTTACATAAATCATAGCTAGTTACATAGGAGAAAGATAATGTTCTTACCATTGACCAAAGCTATGTTTAGTCCTCTGCCAACGTTGTTCTTCACACTGCTCACTAACCTGTACATGAGGATTAATGAGATTAAAGAACTTTCTTGCCCATCACATACGAATTATTCACACACTTCCACTTTCAAGCTGCCTGACACTCAAGAAACCACAAAAAAATGTGAAAGGACCAACTACAGACAAAAACAAAAGAAGTGGGGGGAGGGGGGACAGAGTGAAACAATACTTGCATTCAGCTCCCAAGACAGACTTTGAGGCCTGGTTATGACAGCAAAGGGGGGAAAAAAGAACAGAGTGTGAAACAAGAAAAAAACAAAAAGAGGAGTGAGACAGCAGGGGAGACAAAGACGTACATAACAGAAAAGAATTGGCAAGCTCAGAATCTCACATCTTATCCTCAAGGCATATTTTTGGCCCTATGACGTTGGCAGCACCGGACACTAGGCGGAAGGCCAAGTGTTTGGGGGGACAGGGAGCCGTGAGTCCACATTTATACCTTCGAGGACGGGTTTCTGCAAAGACGTGATACAGTAGAGATCATATGAAAGATAGTAAAAGTTACATCAAAGTCATGGTGCTTCTCGTGACATTTTAAATAGGGTCATAAAATGGTTATTTTTCTTACCAGGTGTTGGTTCCTCACTGGCACCTGAAAAAATACAGAATTGTCTCACTTGAATGAAGTAATATCATATCAGGAGCCTTTGTTTGATTAGACCAAAACCCTCTAGCAAGCATGTACTGAGGTGAAGACAACACATAAAAACTGAACCTTTGCATTGCTTCTAACATAATTTTTGGAGTAAATGAGTCTTGTCAATGAAATTAATTGAGTCATCTGTGATGTTCTTTATTTGCTTTTATGGGCTTGGCCAAAACTTAAAAAAAACAATATTCCACTAGCTTGATTAAAGAAAGCAAGTCTCCCCAAACCTGACATGTAGCAAACAGAACCAAATAATATCTGCAAATTTGTATGACAAATTGTTCTCGATTAATTCTTGACAAATCTATAAATGCCAGTCTGTTAAGAACTGTTTCTCTTACCAGAGAAGAAAAACTTCACAGATGAACCGCTGTCCCCTCCAAACAAGGAGTTTGCCAGCAGCCAGGTGAGCCCTACCAACAACAGCACAGCCACAGCTCTCAGGGGCCCTGTCAAGACAAACAAGAAAACTTACATTCAAGCTAAAGACACATTGACAAGAACCAGATCAACTAATTCCAACACAGTTGTTTTTAGAGCTGTCCAAACCTGTTAATCTCATGTTTCAACTTGTCATAGACCTGAGGAGAGACAAATGAAACACACAGGGTTTACATTTTAATTGCTTAGACATAAGCACATTTACACACACTTTAACAATGTCTTTTGAAGTGCAGATACTGTAGACTACTACTGATCAAAATTTTAACTTTACTAGACAAGGGCGACATAATGACATATGCAAATGTGTTGTCATTTTGTTTTTTAAATAAGTTTCTCAAAAGTGTTGAGTCACAACAGAAAGAAGATAATGGGGAGAGACAGCTTTGAAAAGTATATTTTTAAACTCGCTTGTTATATAACTTTAACAGAAAGCTTCACTATGTGACTGTGGGATTGCAAGATGGCACTGCAGAAATGACGTGCAATGTGATGCCCAAACTCAAACCATTTCAATACAGGGAAACACACAGGGAGACAAAAAGACTTTTAACTACATGATTAATCACTTATGTGTACTTGCAAGTTAAAAGCAACAAGTTTTACCTTCTGTGCCAAGACCTCAGGCGAGTTTTGCCTTCACTTTTCACCTTTTCTCAGGTGCAATAGACGGTAAAGGAGGGCTGTTGCTCCTGCCACTCGGGAGTCGGGCTATTTCTTTCGCTGTTTCTTCATTGAAGCTAATTTTATATAAATAATCTTAACTTTAAAATAAAAAGTGTATACACTATGCTCATTGAACTATTTACACAAGTTATAAAATGCCGCTGTTTACAAGAACCGCTGGAAAATTATGTTCGGGGTTTCTTCCATCTGGCTGTCTTCCGGATATTGTGCCAACCCCCAGTGAAAAGACCAGCGAGTCTGCGCGACGGGGGTCACGTGACTTAAATGAATTAGATTGTAAAATTCAAATTTAAATGTTACAACTTAGGAGGCTCCGTAGAATATAACAGAGGATTTTTTTTAAAGGATAAAAATATTAAAAACTGATAAGACATAAAAAACTAATAATAACCTTCGCAAGAGCACTACCTCCACGCCTCCTCGTGCAGTGTCGACTATCGCTTCATAACCAAGATGGCTGCTCACAGTGCAGTGCTCTCGATGTCCAAAATTATTAATCCTTTCTGGGGTGGACTCCTTGGAAATACGGCTAAAGTAAGACAGGGTGGAGTTGCTTCGTCTCTTAAGTGTTGATTCGTGTTGATGTGTGGCTCCACATTTTAGACAAAGACAGTTTTATCTGAGCACAAGGTCATATGGTTTATTGCTTACAGCTAGAAAGCTTCAAGCCTTCTGTCAGTTCTATTGAAGTGTTAAAATGAATGTTTTATCAAACAGTATCTAGCAATGAAATACTCTTCTTTGTATTTCAGGTGTTTGGAACAACTGTGACAAGTCACAGGAGTAAGACTTTGCTGACTGTGAGTGAATCAGGTTGTCTATGTGGGCTTGTATTGTAAAATAAGCAGAAGAGATTTTTTTCACTTTGTCACAAAATGGTTTGTAAAAACAAACACGCAAAAATCCCTTCTGCTCATTGAACCATTCATTTCCAAGATAAATGGCTTTGGGTATCACTGTGGGTATGTTTAGTCTGTTTCTCTGTAACCTTGGATTGCTTTTGATCTATTTTCCACCCTCTGTGGGGAGGAGAGGTTATTAACATTATGACTTCCAAACTACTTGGATTCTTATGTGGAGCTGTCAAACTGACTCTTGCCCTTCTGCTTTCTGTGCTGCGCATCCTCAACGACAGGGAGAGAACATTGTAAGTAACTGACTCTGATGTGAAATATTTCTCTGCAGTGCATCATCCCACATACAATAAATGATCAAGTTTTCCCTACAGAAGCAGTGTGATATGATAAAAAGCAAATCTAAAGCAATAACCAGAACAACTACTTGTTACAGTGATGTATGTGAAGATATCCAAGAGGTTATGAAATATCAACTATAGATAACATAATTAGTAACAAATATTCCCACCTTACTAATTTAGTTTGATTTGATCATAGTTTTGTCTTAATGACATAATTATATATATATATATTATATATATATATATTGTTAAAGTAGGCCCTCAGCTTGTAATAGTAGTAAGCGTTAGGAGTTGAAACATCAAATGCCAAATGGCACTAATCTCAAGTTTGCTGTTCAATAGCCTCTCAAACTGACCTGCCCCACAGGCTCTTTTGTTAATAGTTGAAAAAATTGAACCTAAGTTTGAGAAACATGCAATGCTTCTAATGGTGGGCTTGGACCTGCTGGCTGCAGAATTTGCTCAAACACTGGTGGAAACCTTGTCTAACAACTTTTTACTGTCTTACTTCATACTCATACAACTTTTCCTGGGTACGCTGGCTGTGTATGACTGAAGTAGTGATTTTCCACTTTAAATATTATTTGCATAAAACCTTATTTTAATCTCTTACCTGTCAGTCTGCTGATGTGCAACTATATACTAGAGCACAACTATTAGAATTTGTATGAGTAGTCTACAAATTACAAAGATTCTTACATCAAGAACAGCTCGTTCCAGTAAATGTGACATTTTTGCTTTAAAACTGACCAAAAGTATGAATTAAAATAGTTGACATTACAGTTTGTTCCTTAGTGAAATAGGTGCACAATGTATGTCTTAAATTCTATCACAAATTATTTCTTGTTTAACTGTATTCCTGTCAGAGGACTTGGATCAGCTCTCTTATCTCAGCAGGATTGATTAAAAATGTTAAAAAATCACAGCATTCTATATTTTTCAATATTTTGTCGATGTGTTTATACATGTACATATATTCAGTCACAGTCTGTTAAACAGGATCATAGTATCAGCTAATGTTCAAAGACCAATACACAAAAAGAAATGTATAATGTCCTACTATATCCAACATAAGAAAAATAAAAATGCTAGAGTTCAAATCCATCTGAAATACAATTATGGATATTGTGCGATGATAAAAACCCCTGTATCAGAGCATGTTAATTTATTAGGTTAAACTTTAAATTTGTCTGAGAAAGCTTAGAGAAGACCTTGAGGTCTTTTCATTAGCGCTTTAAGACCATGCAAAAGAGAGTTAAAGAGACAATGTGTCTAACAGCAGGAGACACTAATGGTTTAATAACAGATTGTGTGGTGGTTTTCACCAAATAACCATAATTTTCTTTGCGGTAGTTAGTCCAGAGAGCCAAATTCTTTTCTCACCCACAGACAAAGAGACCATAGAAATGTCTGCATTTTATTTGTTCAACCCATTATTAGTGTCTCTTTTGGTTTTAGATTGCAAAATTAAAAATGCAGTATCATTCAGGCGCTAGCATTAGTCCCATTGTCTTTAAAATCACTGCAAACCCAAAATCTCTGCTGGTAAAATGAACAAAAAATAGGAATGCAAAGTAAATCTCTGCAAGTCAATTGTTTTTTTTGCAATAGCAGACTCGAAAAAATAAATTAACAATTATACACCATCACATAGAAATAAATCATTAATGCAGGTACATACATACACAAACAAACAGGAACACGTATCTAATTTATCTATTTATTTGATTACTTTTATGAAATGCAGTAAATGAATCTGATCCATTTGGTTTCAACATGCAAAATTACAAGTATTTTCCCTTGAAGTTGAGAACAGTTGATAATGTTAAAATGCTAATGTTGCAGCCTCCTCCAGCAAAGTATGGAGGCAGACACACTGTGACCCTCATACCTGGAGATGGAATTGGTCCTGAGCTTCTCAACCATGTCAGAGAGGTTTTCAGGTTGGTAAGATTTAACCTCATTCCTGTTTTAAATTGTAACCTTCACACTTGTGTAGACGGCCTCTTCAAGCGTTTTTATGTCGAAATTGTAGGTTTAGCTGTGTCCCTGTTGACTTTGAGGTGGTGCACGTCAACTCTGCTCTGGAGACTGAGGTTGACATCAATAATGCTATTACTGCTATCCGCCGTAATGGAGTTGCCCTCAAAGGTAAGTGAGCCTTTGTTTGTCTGTTTAGAAGCAGAGCATTAAAACATATAAACCAGACAACAGCTGTGAGAAGAAAGCTGTTTATAATAAGACCATGACACTGAAGCTAAACTGTGACATTACTTAACTCTCCTGGTAGGTAACATTGAAACCAAACATACCATGGCGCCATCTGTCAAATCCAGAAATAATCTCCTTCGGTAAGAGTTTTAATGAAATACCAATTCCCTTTGTGAAAGCTCTATTTTGTCAGATGGCTTTAATTTCTCCCATAATTCAGTTCTTTGTATTTTGTTGTGTCAGTTGACCCATTTTGTTATTCCTCAACTCCCTCTCTCCCTTGTTCCGTGTGTGCATGACCAGCACAAGCTTGGACCTGTTTGCCAATGTGATGCACTGCCAGTCTCTCCCTGGGGTCCAGACTCGCCACAAGAACATTGACATCATGATCATCAGGGAGAATACAGAGGGAGAGTACAGCAGCCTGGAGCATGAGGTCAGACAGTGCAGGAACACTCAGTCAATATTATTGACCACCAAAACGCTTAAACTTTCTCCTGAAAAGACCTCCTTCCTCCTCTGTGGGTTGTGTCTCCAAAACTTTTTCCCTTTCTGAGTTGGAGTGCAGCACTTATTTACCAGAGGGAAAACACTGGTCGGCTGTTTCTGATTAGTAATGGTGCAGATAATAGCCCTGTTAAACAGACTTTTATTGGCCAGACAAGACAGACCCACATTAAATGTGAGGTTTTTCAGTCACAAGCACTAAAATGCTTTACTTTAAAGTTTAGAAATAACTTCTGTGATGATGTGGCATTAAGAAACTAAGAAGCTAATTGTTTAAATGACTTAAACTGCCTTGAAGTATTTCAAGATTTATTCACAAGATGCATTATGAAAAGAAAAAGCTAACTGTTTAAATGGCTTAAACTGCCCTAAAGCATTTCAAGATTCATTCACAAGATATTTTCAGCTGAAACTATTCCAAGGTCAATGGAGATCAAACCACAGAAAGAAATTCCAGATCTTGCAGCAGTTCAATAAAACACCAAGTCCTCTAAAATCACTAGCTCAGCTGTCAGAGATCTGTGAGACATTACAGTCTAATCCTTAATATTTAAAACTTCAAAACTTTTAAAAGAAACTGGGATTAAGTTTGTCAAACTGTGAATATTTCTACACAGTTGTTTATAATGTCTGAAACTGCTGCAAAGGAACAAGTATTGGACAAATGATCAACAGCATGCTGCAGAAACAGCCTTAGTTTTATTTACAACTGATTGGTAGATTTGACAAGTCAAAGAAAGACACATTTGAATTACACATCCACAATACAAGATTTACTAACAGATGAGAAGCTCTACTTTTTGTTCAGGGATCACAAAAGTCATAACAAGTTGAACATTTCTCACAGGAGCTTAAAGACACAATCAGGGAATTTGATAAACTTTTAGAACAACATAAAAACTTGTGCAGTCCTCTCTTAATGTTTGTGGATACCTACTTAGAGTTAAGAGGTTATCTGTAGTTACACATGCCACTTTTCATGGAACAATATGTTTCACAATCAACATGTGGTGTTTGATTCTCACCTTACACTGTCTTTGTCCAGAGTGTATCAGGGGTTGTGGAGAGCCTCAAGATCATCACAAGGAACAATTCCCTCAGGATCGCAGAGTACGCTTTCAGACTGGCCAGGGAGAAGGGCCGCCGTAAGGTCACTGCTGTTCACAAGGCCAACATCATGTGAGTTTCTGCAAGGCTCGTGTAGTGCCAGAGCTGTTTGGCCTCCTGAGCCTTACATAATAAAGTGAGTTTCTCAGAGCTGAACATGTTTAAAGTAGACTCTATGCTGTAACAGGAAGCTTGGTGATGGCTTATTCCTGGAGTGCTGCAGAGAAGTGGCTTCTGGTTACCCAGACATCACATTTGAAAGCATGATTGTGGACAACACCACCATGCAGGTAACAGATGTTGAAAACACGCACATTTAAAGATGAGAAGAGCTTATAAGTGCTGATGAATGTTTACATTTTGTTTGTGGGATTCTAGCTGGTGTCCAAACCTCAGCAGTTTGATGTGATGGTGATGCCAAACCTGTACGGGAATATAGTGAGCAATGTGTGCGCCGGCCTGGTGGGAGGGCCTGGCCTGGTGCCCGGAGCTAATTACGGCCGTGATTATGCCGTCTTTGAAACAGTGAGTGCTTGACACCTTGTGGTTATTAACGCACTATCCCGTCTGTTCTAACTTTGAAGAGTGAAAAACATAGTAAATCTTCATCATGAGTTGTGTCTGGTTCTTGCCCTATTTCCTTTGGCACCCTCAGGCCACAAGGAACACAGGAAAGAGCATTGCAAACAGGAACATTGCCAACCCCACTGCCATGCTGCTCGCAAGCTGCATGATGCTGGACCACCTGGAGTAAGACTTTTCAGATTAAATACTTTAAGTAAAATCCTTTTGGGTTTTTGATCTTGATTTTATGTTGTGACTGTGGTGAACTAGTTTTATGAACAATTCTTCTTTCTGTGTCTCTAGGCTCTATGATCATGCAAGTTCTATTCGAAACGCTGTCCTCACCACCATGAACGAAACTCGGGTAAGTCTTCCTTCACTAATAGGCTCTCTCTTCACCTGTCCCTCTACCATACAGCTACTGATCCATTGTTGTTCAACAGAGGCTTAGAGGCCCTGGTGACAGATCTGGCATGCTTCCTACAGGGCATCAGTGTTCACACAAAGCGCCATTGTGTGCTTTTGATGTCGCATAGCTCTTATTAAGTGCTACATTGTGTGGTATCTGATTTTACATTGAGTGGCATTCATTACAGTCCTTTAGTTCGCTTGAAAAGAACTTGCTCTGCTCATTACTCAAAGCAGCTCTGCTGTGGGTTCTGCTTAGGCACCACTTTTTTAAGAGGCTTGCATGTATTCCCTACGACTGGTAATCTGCATTCAGAATTCAAATTCTTCTGTTTTTGTCTTACAGTTGCACACAGCTGATATTGGGGGCCAGGGCACTACTTTGGAGGTGGTCCAGTCCATCATGAGATTCATCCAGAGTAAAGGGCAGCTCACGTCTGATCTGTAAACACACACTCCTCAGAGGTGTTATTCTGAACAGGTGTCAGTAATTGGGACAGGTGCACAGTATCAAAGAGGGATGTCCATGCATGTTTGTTTCCATAGTGCCACGTCCTAATACGTCACCGACATCACAACGTTTTTTTTTTCTTATTCACACAACTTACTGATTGATTCACTCCAGCAGAAACCTTTCCCCCTAAGCTTTCAGTGTCACACATTTCTTACCTTCCCCAGACTGATTTTAAAAGGGTGCGCTAATATAACTTAACACGGCACCATAAATCCTCATGTAAGAATATAAATAGAGTTCATTAGGTTCAGTCTGCTGAAATGTAATACATGCAGATTCTCAAGACACACAAAGAGGCTTCTTTCCCAGCATGTCAATCAGCAAAGTCATGTTGTACTTGGTTGAGTATTAAAATATCCTGAAATGGGCATGCAGTGTTGGGACAAGGCTGGGGATTCCTCCTTATAAATCATGATTTATTTTCTCAATTACTGCTCTGTTACAGCCTTTCCATGAACCAAAACATACAATGTTGATTCAATGCCTCTACTTTCTTCATATTACAGTAATTTTCATTCCTTGCTGCCTGTCATATACCGTAATATGCCATATGTTCACATCAGATCAACTGTCTTAATATATATATTTGTGGTGTCATCAATAGAGGTTTGCAACAAATAACTGTCAAAGGTCATCTCTTTATGTTTGTGCCATACTTACATGTTTACTTAAGTTCAAATCCTATGAAAGTAGTGTACTGCTGTCTCAACTTGAAATGTTTGGCTTTACTGTTTCAGTGGACGGGTATAAATACTGTATAACATGTTCTTTATATTATCAATAAGAAATAAATTATGTACATTCAAGTGAACTTATAGACAAAGTTTTGAATGTGAAACATCCTGCAAAGAATTTCGATGCTTAAACGAATAGATTTGTGGTACCATATTCGTTAAGCGCTGAAGGAGTCTACTCCAACTGTCTAAAAACATTACAGAGGATCTTTGTTATTCTGCTGCTTTGCAATGTGCTTACACCGCACTAAAACAAACAGAGGCCTCCTTAAAACTCTCTAAACTGAATTGAAACAGTAAAAAGGAATATTGCATTAGTTTTAGTAAGGTGTAACAAATACATGTACTGTGCATAATAGACAAACTAACCACTGACTTTTAAACTGTCAGGCTGATAAATTTCAATCTTCTGTCTGCGCCTTAACTCCAAGGGAAATCTCTGCCCAAGCTGCCTGCTGAGGATAAAAATGATTTTGCTCCAAATAAGATAAAGCTCACTGATCCCCCTGTTTATTCTATAATTTCATGCCCCATTGGTGTTTGACTTGCAACCTGGATGACAATTTGCTGTTTCACATTTAACCACTAGGTGGCAACATCACTTCCTTGAGGTGCCATCAAACTGCAGCTATGATCTTTTCAACTGGGTGCAGTGCACTGACGGGCGAAATGAAGAAATGTATGTTTGGCTGCTCTGACTCCAGAGTCGAGGAGCTGCAGTGAAAATAGGAACATGGCAATCTGGAAGCCAGATTGCTTCACATAACAAGGGACATGGGGTTGATTTCCTTTCTTTTCATGTGACTGATAGGAATGAGACTCAGATTTCTGAGACCACATGACAAAGACTTTGGCTTTGATCTCCCTCTTTAAAGCATGGCCTTAGATTAAAAAACTACTTATTTGACCTAATTTCTTTTTATCGTTTGGGTTTCAGAGAAGTACATACAAGTTTTCACAATACCTATACAAAAATGATCCCTCACTCACTCATGTATCACACAGGTGTTAATAGTAACGATACTGCATTACACTAAAAAAAACTTCTGTTTTCTATAGTGATAAGTCAGAATGACAGACTAAAATGTAAAGGGAAACTCTAATGTAGAGAAATGTTAGATCTGCTATTAAAAAAAGACCAAATTAAGGGTATGATAGAAAAAGAGTGTCTTTAAGGCGCCAACAGTCCACAGGCATATTCATTTTCTCTGAAGGTTTTATTTTTTATTTGTTAGTTTGCATTTTGGATTATGGTAATAAGCAGTAGAAAAAGCTCAAATATATGACCTGGTCTGATGTTTAAGTTGGCTTTAGGATAAGCCAGAGAAAAAACTTTGGGATTAGCAACAGGATGAGCAACAGGATGAGTGGAAGTCAAAACGAAGAGAACAAAACAAGCGCTAGAAAAGAGGTAGAGGAGCAGATGTGGGAGGAACTGGGAGACAGTCTGCTGGATGAAGCAGCTTAATAAAAGAAGATAGAAGGATGGGGTGGCTCAACCAAAGGTTTTAGGAGGAGCTCATGATGGGAAACTGACAGATGTACTAGTGTGGTGTTAGTATTGACATAAACCCGGTATATAAAGAATACTGTCACACGGATGTGACTCATAAAATGAAATTGTTGTTACCACCTCTTCTAGGCTACTTGTTTAACATTAATGATCACAAATAGACCTATAAGAAGAAACATTGGTGGCAACAAGTGAATGTCAATAATCAGTAGGCTATACGCTTGTCTGTTATGTTTATGGTTCAAAGTGAACAAACAAAACTATTTCTGCTCTGACTTTTGACTTTTATTTCAAAACTTTAAATCATCAAATTAAAATGAATTAGTGTAATAAAAAGTTAAAAATTGTCTGATACCCCTTACAAGATTAAAAGTAAATAGTCTAAAAAGATTCAGAAAAAAAAAATAGATCCTATGAAGAAGAAAAAGCTTTTATCTATCACTGAGGCATACCTACACCTCTGACCCATGAATTTTGATTTCTGACAAGAACAATCTTAAATTTAAACAATTTGTCAAATCTCATTTTTTTACTCACTTTTTATGATATTGATAATTTATTATTGATAGTTTCATAGTTCAGGTCAAATCCACATGATTTACACACAAACATTGCATTATTATCTTCAAAGGTGGCATGTTGACATTGGTTCACAACAGCAGGTAACAGGATACATCTTTAGCGACGGTAGACAGTAGAACGTTTATCCCTTTTTGAAACTTGAGAGGGTAAAACGAGTTAAGTAGCACACCGTTTATAAAACCTTTCCCTAACATCTCAACTTCAGCTTCTCCAACATTTTAGCTCGCCAGCTGGCTAACCATAGCTGTGAATTTTGTGACGCAAACCCATTAGGACAAACCAATTTTCCAGGGAGCCCAGATGACATTTAAGTGAGTTTTTACCACCATTTGTGAAATATAATGGTGTTAGAACTCTACTAAATCTAGTTTAATATTTACTGGTCAAAATGTGGAGGAACATCTTGTCATCTTATAAAATGAGACCAAACCTCAAGTCCCTTCCCAGGTCAGGGGGAGGTCAGCAATGGGAGAGGCAGGGAGTCAAATTTTAATGCCTCGTCTTCACTTTCCTAGACTGAGCTCAAGGAAGCGAGTCAACCGGAAATCCATTCATTCCAATCGGATTTTCTCTGATATCCTAATATGTGCCTGCAGAGCAAAAGGCTGCAGTGTGTGGGACCCTCATGTTGTTGTGTCACAAACGTTAATGGGGTTAGGGGCATTGCAAGGAAATCTGGACTCCACTAAAGATCACAGTGGGCCCCAACACCACAGTCCATTTAGGCCTGCTCCACAACCATACAGTCAGTGAGCTCATGACCCATTAAAAGTATTCAAGAACTATAACTGTGTAAAACCCTGAAAGTTTGGGATCAATTACAACAAGAGAGGCAGCATGATATTTCTAAACAACTCAAGATGTGATTGCTGTCAAAACCACTCTAATGCTGGACTGGCATTACATGGCTTTTTATGGGATTTAAAGTCTCAGACAAATTCCAAAGTCAGAATAAAGTCATAAGAGTTTTGCTGAAGTTGATTTGTGCTCCTGTGATCTCAGTCGTTTGGTACGAGGTGAGCTGAAAGCTCGATCAGGTTTGATTTGAGGCAGTCTTTCCCATTTTGGTATTCTAATAAAATCAAGCCTGTTCAGTGTTGTCAGAGGTCTCAAGTCTTGTCTTATTTGAATCAGGTTGTTCAGTGACTTCAGAGCTTTGTCAGCTACCAATAGGTGCTATCTCGCCAGTCCCTGATCAGTACCAAAACAAACACGACAGGGAGGCAAATGATCAGATAATCACACATTGTATGGTTAGCTTGTAGGTTGATACCCCATCCAGAGCACAAGCTGTAGCATGCTCAATGGGGTTTTTGGGGGCTGCAGCATTTCTTGTTGACATTTCCCTCCTCCACATTAAATCTTGGCACAAACAAGAGGACACGACAAATCTACAGAATCAACAACTCTAGCAGCTGAAGAAGCGTGTTTCATACCCCTAAAAAATGCAGAAATCTTCATAAAAATTAACTGATGTTCAGACCCCCTGATATTGTCACATCTGCCTTTGATGTCTGCTTGCATTTGCTGTCTCCTCTAACAAGTTACAGGTTCATATTTGACATGAGATAAGGCTTACTGCACTGCAATCAATGAGTTCAACGAGGCTTAACAGCCATTTCAGCGGGCTTTGCACTGCTGAATTTGCACAGTGTGTTTTTGTTTGCATGGCATTTTACAGATTAACTCCTCATGGTTTTGGAAACTGAATATAATTACAGGCGACTTTGCAGACATTGCTGGGTCCCATATATAGACAGCTTCTCTCCTAGTCATCTACTCCTGTTTTTGCGCAGAGAGCATGTCACTCATTTTCAGTTCTGAGACAATCCAGGGTACTTAAAAGTTGTCTTATAAGAACAGTTCCAAGACCATGACCAGTCGAGTTCTACAACAGTAATCTGGCATATTATGTAATTATTTTTACACTCCCACACCAAACATTTCACTTATCAATGTAAGGGTATAGACAGTTACTTTCTGTTTTTAACTTGTGGACAAAAAGCCATAGAATGAACGTTATTCCACAGTATAAAGAAAAACTGCATCCTTTTGGTGGTTCTCTCTTGGCACAAAGCATTATTTCTGGTCTTGATAAAGAAACACAACTTAGAAATATATCATATGTGCAAAAGGAATTAATGTAGACAAGGGATGCAAATTCAAAGTCTTCTTTGTTGATCTTTGGAAGTGTTAACGATCACTTACAGTATTAGGTGTAAGGTTCTCCCTGTGACAAAAACAATGTGGAGGCGTTCTAGCATTTCAACGCACTGAATATAATTATGCAGAGCTCATAAACATGATATCTGTGGACATATTATAGCCATGTAGAGCATGGCTCGATTTTCTGCAACAATACGACTGAGAACAAACTGTTTCAGACTCACTGCTTCCAGCTTTCTACCTACATTTTCTGATAAGGAAAAGTGACCATGTTCATATGATGAGGTGTCAGTCAGAAGCACAGCTTAATTATCAAGTAGTGGTAAAAAAAAAAGAAAAAGGCTGGACAGATGGCACAAATGTTGCTAGTGTGTGGATACGAATGTGTGCCAGCCTTGCCAGTCTTTTGAAATCTCTCTGCAGTGACTATCTATTAGTTCTCCGTATCCAAAGGTGGGGTAATGTCCTGTGAAAAGTCTGCTATCTCTGCATCTGTGTCCATGCTGTTAGTGCCAGAGGCTGTTGTGTCCATTGCAGCAGAGCCATCACTGAACTGCATACAAGGTTACTGTACTTGGATGTCTTTATTTCCATTTCCTTTTTCCTTTTGTTCACTTTCTCAAAGTCCCTGCCTCCTTCTACTTTCTTTGCCTTTTTCTCTTCTTTCCCTACACCAACCCTGCTCTAGATTTGCGCTTGCTGGGTTGTGCTTGGCTTTTTATGTCCTTTAATTTCACCATTTTGTTATGGTTGTTCTAAAAGCACAGGTGAGACTGGAGAAAGCATTACATGTCCACCTCACATTGGAAGTCTTAAGCCAAGATTTGATCTCAGAACCCAGCAATGTAAGGTGACAACGAGGACCGACTCATCAACGTACAAAACCCAATTCCAATGAAGTTGGGAAATTGTGTTAAACGTAAATAAAAATGGAAGACAATGATTTGCAAATCAATTTCAACCTATATTCAATTGAATACACTACAAAGACAACAACAATATTTAATGTTGAAACTTTTCTTTTTTTTTTTTGTCAATAATAATTAACTCAGAATTTCATGGCTGCAACACGTGCTAAAGAAGTTGGGACAGGGGCATGTTTATCACTGTGTTACATCATCTTTCCTTTTATCAACACTCAATAAACGTTTGGGAACTGAGGAGACTAATTGTTGAAGCTTTGAAGGTGGAATTCTTTCCCATTCTTGCTTGATGTACAGCTTCAGTTGTTCAACAGTCCAGGGTCTCCGTTGTCGTATTTTACACTTTATAATGTGCCACACATTTTCAATGGGAGACAGGTCTGGACTGCAGTTAGGCCAGTCGAGCCACACTTTTACTAAGAAGCCACGCTGTTGTTACATGTGCAGAATGTGGCTTGGCGCTGCCTTGCTGAAATAAGCAGGGGCGTCCATGAAAAAGACGTTGGCAGCATATGTTGCTCCAAAACCTCTATGTACCTTTCAGCATTAATGTTGCCTTCACAGATGTGTAAGTTACCCATGCCTTGGGCACTAATGCACCCCTATACCATCACAGACGCTGGCTTTTGAACTTTAAGTCGATAACAGTCCAGATGGTTCTTTTCCTCTTTGGCCCGGAGGACACGACGTCAACTATTTCCAAAAACAATTTGAAATGTGGACTAGTCAGACTACAGAACACTTGTCCACTTTGCATCAGTCCATCTTAGATGAGCTCGGGTCCAGAGAAGCCGGTGGCGTTTCTGGATGTTGTTGATAAATGGCTTTCGCTTTGCATAGTAGAGTTTTAACTTGAACTTACAGATGTCGCGACGAACTGTATTTACTGACAGTGGTTTTCTGAAGTGTTCCTGAGCCCATGTGATAATATCATTTACACATTGATGTCAGTTTTTGATACAGTGCCGCCTGAGGGATCGAAGGTCATGGGCATTCAATGTTGGTTTCAGGCCGTTCCGCTTACATGCAGTGATTTCTCCAGATTCTCTGAACCTTTTGGTGATATTATGGACCGTAGATGTTGAAATCCCTAAATTCCTTGCAATTGTACTTTGAGAAACGTTGTTCTTAAACTGTTTGACTATTTGCTCACACAGTTGTTCACAAAGTGGTGAACCTCGCCCCATCCTTGCTTGTGGATGACTGAGAATATTTGGGGAAGCTGCTTTTATACCCAATCATGGCACCCACCTGTTCCCAATGAGCCTGCTCAACTGTGGGATGTTCCAAATAGGAGTTTGATGAGCATTGCTCAAATTTCTCAGTATTTTTTGCCACCTTTCCCAACTTCTTTGTCACGTGTTGCTACCATGAAATTCTGTGATATTTATTATTTGCAAAAAAAAAAAAAAGTTTATGAGTTTGAACATTAAATATCTTGTCTTTGTAGTGTATTCAATTGAATTTAGGTTGAAAAGGATTTGCAAATCATTATTTTCTGTTTTCATTTACGTTTATCACAATTTCCCAACTTCAGTGGAATTGGGTTTTGTAAATCAAATGATTAACAAGTCCATCTACATCCGCTGTTACAAGCTTTTAGTTGTACAGAAAGATCATTCTTATACAAGTTTTAGAGAAGAGATGTCGAATTTCTACCTTGTCATACCTCTTTGGTCACGAGACGGCTGCCACCAGACCTCTATCTATAAGGCATGCTTTGATAAAAAGTAACAGAAATGGAGTATGCGTTTAAGATATGAATAACCCCTTACTATTTTAGTTTTATGAACAATTTTCCATAATTTATCTTATTAAAAGCCTTGGATAATTCCAGAAAGCACAAGAATGTTGTAGAGTTTTTTGTTTTTTTTTACTAGGGGTTTTCCTCAGTGCACACACACACACATACACTTGCTGTTCTGCATATTCTAAAAACCGAATCGTTGGTCTGTGGTCATTATGTATCATAAGATCCCAGTATATCAAGTCTTATGAAATACCAGGATGTAGGCTGCTTGTTTAACTTAGTTTCAAACAGTCTAAATCTACATGCTTGCTAACTTTGTTACATAACCATGGGCTACAGTAGGCTGTCAGGGCACTACACAAACCAATGAGGAGTGAATGTCCCGAGTTTACTAACTGAGCTTAGCTAGCTGCACCAGAATACATACTGAATATATACTGAATACAATGTTCAACCCACTGCAATCCTACATTGTTAAACAAAAGCTGTCAATCTAAATCAGTTCAACCATAACATTGCTGCTATTCCCATGACTGCACCTGCTGGTGTCTGTCTTGCTTTCTCCCTCCTGGCTTGTGGTCATAGGGGAAAATCCCATTGTAGTGGTGATATAACAGGTGTCCCTCCAATAGAGCACTTAGAAATTGAGCAAAGATCTTTTTTTAAAGTAAAGTTGTCCAGATGAGTCAGAATTCATGCACAATCATTGTGCAGCATGTGAAATGTGCACTAAATTACATGGGGCCCTGAAAATTGGCCATCTTTTACCATTTAAGGTTGTCTACTTTTCCTGGTGTTTCAGGAGATTCGGAAAGACAGAGTGTTAGCCCCTCAATGTTGCCTTTCCTTTCTATTTGAACTCAATCTTATTTTGCCTTTTCAATAAGAGGTCTCCTACTCTGAGCCAGCTTTTTTTCATCATCCTATTTCACTCGAGCTGTTTACCTCACATACCTGACATCACTTCTCATCACAGCACATGGAGCTATACTTATTCACTCTTGTCACCCCTCACCCTTCTCCACTCTATTCCGAGTCTCTCTGTCCTGCCCAAGCTGCTGCTGCTGGAGCTGAGCCATGAGGCAGATAACCAGAAAGGGAAATGTGGCAACAAACAGCCAGCCACTTGATCTTTATAGGCCATCGAGTAGTGCTTGTATAAAGCTGTGAAGGGCCTCAAGCTGCTGTGCAGAGCTGCCTTTAAAAGGTCGAATCACCAGACTGAAATAAATAAAACAAAATAAAAGGGCAAATAAACCTAGCC